ATATGGGACCGTCGGACTAAATTGTATAAAACCTAAACCTGCTTGTACTGCTTTTATGTTTCCTATCCACGCGAAACTCCTAATATTGGATTCATTATGTTCCCAACAGTCCTCCAGGATGGCTTTAGTGGGATGCGAAGTACTATGCCCTTGAAGATTGACCCAGTATGCTAACATAAGTTTCATTCTCCTGATCCGTAATGGTTGTTCCCCCATTTCTACTTGTATGGCTGCTACTGAAGAGGATTTAAAAGCTCCACTACATATCCTCAGTCCCTGTGTCTGCTGCACATCCAGCTTTTTCAGTTGACTTTCTGCTGCTGCTAGATAGCCTATACAACCATAGTCCAGTGTTGCTCTCATAATGGCCTGATATATGTATATTTAGCAGTGACGCTCTGATTGCACCCAAGTGTCTTCCTGAGAGGCACCTGAAGAGATTATTGACTCTTTTACACTTATCCCTCACTTTGTCAGTGTGTTGCCTCCAAGTCAGCTTTTCATCCAACCACATTCCAAGCAGTCTGACGACACTGACCCGCTCAATTTTTTGACTATATCATTTCAGGGAGATTCTCCATTCTCTTTATGAACTAAAGTTCTTTTATACCTTGAATTTATGTAAAATGAACACTTACATTTTCAGTATAGTATAAAAATCTTGACATTTAATGTGTGCCACATAGTTCAATTGAAAATGTGCGAAGACAACATATCAAAGAATACATTTCATTTAAATTCAATGCTAAATTTAGAGCAATTGTCCTGGGACAATAAAGCACTGGAAATGCTGTTGGAGTAAATAGTTCTCCGACTTAAGAATATTGTCTCCTTGCATAATACTGCACAGAATTCTGGGATTGTATCAGCTACAGTAGACACCAGCATAGAGATATTGAGAGAATCTTGTGAAATCTCTATAAGAAAAGGACACTAAGGCTATATTGGATGGGCATGCACTTAAAACGGACTTGACCAAAAACCATTACTGTAAACATAATCAATGCTGCATCCACAAATTCAGATTAAAACTGCAACACCTGAACATGTGAAAACATGATACAGAAATGCCAGAAAGGCCCAAGCCCATTAAGATGGGCTAAGGGAACGTCAGAAACTGTCTGATGATTTAATATCTCACATTCTTTTTGTAAATCATGGGCTCCAAATACCATGCAATAAAGAGGGAGATGATCCAGCTTTTTGAAAGCTAGCATCCCTGATGGTATGGGGATACAAAAGCACCCATGGCATGGGTAACTTATATATCTGGAATGGTACCATTAATGCTGAACTATACAGGTTTTGTAGCAATAGACTGCCATCTCAATCACAATCACATTGTTTAGTTTTCAGAATTAATATGTTTTCTTTGCACTTAGTGCCTATTTAATTTCAGTTCAATAGATTTTAAAAATCATAACCCGTCTTATTGTATTTTAAATGAATATTTCACACTGCATCTCAGTTTTTCTGTAATTGGTAAATGGTGAGAATGTTAAGCCAACAACATTGTCCAAAACCAAAAGATAATTATCTAGAACAAGAAGATGTGGTTTGTTGACATTACGAAGCAGCTGTCTTGTAATGGGAAAAGCTAACATCTGACAAATTAAAGTTCGTTAAAATTCATCATTCAATAACATTGTTAGCAAAGTCGATAGATTTCCTGAGATATGACTGGTTGATTGCTTTTATTTTAACAACATGCTGCTAAAGTTACCTGAAGCACACTTATAATAAGGTTTTCAATCTTTAAATAATAAACAGTTTCTGATTATGAGCTTTTGCTTTTAAATCTGTCACGTGTTCTTGTTTTTACCACGTCACTGGTAAAACAGATTGTGATTTTCTCTAAATAAAGGAATAAGAGATCAATCAATCACTGTTAGAGAGATAGAGATAAGAAAAGATGTCTGTTCTGTGCAGCACACTCTGGACTGACACAGATTGGCTGTATTTGTCACTTGTCATGTAATTATAGTCTTCTCGTACTGGGCTCTATCAAACAGGATCTGTTTGCACATGATCTCCTCCCACATGATGACATGAGAACATTTGGCCTCTGTCCACAGTATTGTCCATGTTGTCCTGAAAAGAACTATGTGTAACTCACTGCCATCCCCACAATCGTTGTTTGCTGGAGTTATGGGAAAACCACTAAGGTCAACGAAAATGCACTTTGGCTTACATCTTCGAAAGGAGCTCATCAAAAAGGAACAATGTAGAGTTAGCGCAGGTCATAATTCAGCCTCAAAACCACTGAATGCTCCTTGTTATCTTGTTTGGTTTTCTGCAGGAGCCTGGAGCATCCTGTGCTGATTATTCACTGAACAAAAAAGGAGATATCTCAAAAGTGTTGGGTGTAGCTACCGTTGACTGAAACATATAGGGTCGCTCTTTGCTCTGGCATCATGAACAGAGTTTGAAGACTAAATTTAAAGGTAATTACTATGACAGTGAGAGGAGAAAACTGAAATAACCCTGAGCTTTTCAAAGCTGTCATTATCATTGGAATTGTAATGACAAGGTTTAGGTCTCTTCAATAGAGTTTCTGGGGTAGGACACCCACAAACATGGCATTCCTGAGGCTGACATTGCAGCATATTAATGATATATTGCACAGTGTAGATTACAAAGCTGGGGTCCCTTTTCATGCTTTACGGTTTCAGTTAACTTGAAACAAAATACCAAAAGTACCTCTCTTTGAAACATTGTGTTTGCAGTGTGCTGTGTCATGCTGTAAAGGGGAACATTACTCACTATGTTTTAGCAGCGCATGTTTTACATGACATGATTTTAAAGCATTCAGACTTTCCAATACATTTGTAAGTGAGTAAACTTAGAGGGAACTTTCAAAACCGGTGACTTCAGCTCTCGGCCTGTATTACTTTCAACGTTAAGGGCAGCTCCTGTTGCTTCATATTATAATGATAAACAAAGTATTACTAGGTGTGTTTGAAACCGAGACATGCAGTGATTCACGCTGTAAAATTGGTCTGATAGTGGATTATAGCCTGATTTATTTCTCAATTTATTGCTACATCAACCACAAGATGTGTCTTAACATTAAAAGTCAGAAAACACCCAAGATTGGTTTCAACTGCAGAAAAAAAAATACCAGATAAAACATGACTGCAAAATGTTTTTCCTTTGGGGTCGTTCTTAGCCAGGGCTTATCACTCACATTATCACACTGTTAACATGAAACCAAGACATCTCCAGGCACAAGTCAGCGAGAGGTCCTGCACATGTACGCTTTGATAGGGGCAAACGACCATTCTGGTTAGCCGCAGGATTTGAAAAAAGTAGCCACAGTATTTAGAAAAAAAGAAGGAGGAAAGAAAGTCCAATATTTTTAGTCCAAATTACAGTGTTGGAACAGTGCTTTGCACAGTCGAGTGTCCTGGGAGTGGAATGGCATGATGGGTGAACACTGGTGCCAAGCCCCACCCTCCCCACATTGTCCTCTCCGTGGACTTCCCGCACTCTCTTGTGCCCATCTGCAGGACCTCTGCCCTCCCCTTACCCTCCTGAATGGGCTGGCTGGCGGACAGCTTGGTTTCTGCCTCAGACTGCTGCAGCATGAGGTGAAAGAGGCTCATATTTGAGTGCATGTTAAGTTGGGGTCTTGGCTAGGTCAATCCTTTAGAGATGCATCTATTGCTAGACTACCAGCGACCACTTTTTCAGGTCTCTGTCTTTTTTTTTCTGTTGATACAAAGTGGGTGGAAAATATCACAGTGAAGTACAAATCTCAGTTCATCTAAGGTCTCCAGGTTTGTGTGCCCCTCTGCTGTGGCACATCTGCACCCTTCTCTAGATCTAGTAGCATTACATGATGAGGCATTAGCTAGTTGCGTGGTTTATGATGCTGTGCCAGCCACCCACCTAAAGCAGAGAAACAGCCACTCATGCTTTTCATGCATTCTCTTGTGAAACGTGCCATGCTGCCCAAATATTTTTTCCCTTGGAAAGGCTGCGGTTAACATAGGGATGAGTGGGAGTGAGATGATTGCAAACATTCTTTTAACTTTTATGCCAGCTGGGTGCAGGTCACATTTGCATTTTAGAAGGTTGGTGAGAGGGCTGCTGTGGATTTTCTGTGGTGATTGTTGTAGGAAGAAGTCAAAGAGAAACTTTTGGTGTACTAATTTAATTAATTTCTGGAGGCTTAACATGGTTTAGTAAAGGTAGTGATAAAACAGCCACCTACAGCTCTAAATGAGTCATCTTTTCTGTCTGAAAGAAGACTGTAAGTCTATTTAATTTATTGTCTGCATTATAAACCTGAGGTGTTTCAAATTAAGCAAGACACACAAGCCCCCACATTGTAAAGGTTAATTCCACTACAAACAGCAGAAAACTGCAATATTAAAGTCCATCTGTGAAACTCTTTGGAGGACATCCAGATGGAAACTTGCATCACCCTTCATTTGCGCTGTTGTGAAAGTCCAGAGAGTTGCAGGATGAGAGATTTTTTTTGTGTAAATCTCAAGATGTGATCTTAAAATACTCTATATGGGTGTATTTCAGTTTTTTTTTTCTTAACATTGAACCATTCATTTAACCTCTAAAAAAACGTTCCTCTTTCTTAAGGTGGACAATTTTGGCTCCAGAAAAAGTTGTTAAGATGGGAAGGGTAAAAACATAACTAAAAATAATCCTTCCCTTTAAAAAAAAAAAAAAAAAAAAGTTCAAAAAAGGAAATGCTGTTGGTAGGCAGGTAGTCAGCCTCCAGCTCAACTCCCAGGAGGTGGGGGGGACTCCTGATGGAGCTGGGATGGACTGTCACAGGATTGGTGGATGGCTGCTCCCGGTGTGGCCCCATGCCAAGCCCTTATGTCTTTATATACTGTAAACAGATGACCGGACAGTCCTGAGTGTGCATCGCATCCACTCTGCCTCTCTCCATCTCCTCTGCTCTCTCCCTGTCAATCTTGCACTCCAGCATCCACAAAGGCTCCTCTCCACCTCAAATCCACAATTTTCTTTTAGCTATTAAAAAAGAAAAATCTCCAGTTGTCTCTTCTCCATGAGAACAATGGCCGCTCCGAGCCTGCTCCTCACTTTCACCGTGTGGCTCCTCGCTGGGAGCCTCTTAACGGAGGCGACTTATTACCGGCACCACCGATACATCCCACACTTCTACCGCTACCGGGAGCAGTCCGCCAACACGGAAAACCTCCTTCCTGAGGTCTCCAACCCGGCGCCTGCAGTCACGCAACCTCGCGTGCCGACCTACCCTGAGATTCCCGAGGTGTTCCACCCGGTGCCTGAAGTCATCCACCCCATCCCAGAGGCTTTCAACCCGGTGCCCGAGGTGGTGCACCCGGCACCTGAGCCTTACCACCCGCACGAGATTCACGAGCCAGAGCCTGAAGCCTCCTCTCCTGTCAACATGAGCCGGGTTTTCTACGGGATCATGTTCGACGCAGGGAGCACAGGCAGCAGGATCCACATCTACAAGTTCATCCAGAAAGACCCTGGTAAGTGCACCGGCTCCCCTCTTACTCTAAACCACGAGTAGTTCTCTGCACATGCTGCCGGCTCCCTCTCTGTCTGCTTGCTGTTAGGTCATTCACTGTGTGGTGTAAGGACAAACATGCACAGGCAGAGTGCATGGGTAATAGGCTACAGCTTCTAAAAGTAGCTGAGGTGGACTTTAATTTGCCTGTCTGACTCATCTGTGTTGGAAGTAGACCTCTTAAACTGGGTCAGGATGTAGGTGAAGAGCTGCAGTCTAAATATCACCAGTTGTAAAAGAAGAGATATGCAATTACATGTACTTCTGCCTCCTTTTTTTAGTGGAGCTGCCAGTTCTGGATAATGAAATATACCACGCAGTAAAGCCTGGACTGTCTGCTTATAAAGACAACCCTGAGGAGGTATGTATGAGTTCGTTGTTTGCTTCATCACTTATCAGTTATCAGGTCTATAAAGCAGTTGTTGACTGTCTGCAAAAACCCCAAACCACAAGGATTTTCTTTGGGCTGGGTTCATGCGATGTCAGCCATGTATAATCACAAAAATGTTTGTGTGGATGCTGCCCAATCCTGTTTTCTAAAGACTGATCAGTGATGAAATCGTGCAGTTTGATTAAGAAATCTCCATCTGATGTCATCTTTTCTTCAGGGTGGCAACACCATCCGTCAGCTGCTAAAGATTGCCAAGAAGACAGTGCCAGAGGATGACTGGAAGAGGACCCCGGTGGTCCTGAAGGCAACAGCAGGTCTGCGCCTGCTGCCTGAAGACAGGGCCAACGCTATTCTGAAAGAGGTGAGGCACGTTTCTCCCTGTCTTTCTGTCTCTCTTTCTGCCCTCAGACAGTTTGGCACAAACACCGCCTGTCCCGCCACGGAACGGGATGAGAAACCACTAAGTGCTTACAAGTGTCACAGAAAAAAAGAAAAAGGCAGCAGCTCTGCCCATTTGGTGGCTATCGTGTTGCAAAAAAACAGCTGTTGTGGGGTTGTGTGGAGTAACCATATTTGTCATTTAAAGTATTAAATTCAGGCTTCTGTTCCAGCCATGCTTGTGGTTGAGTTATCTGTCAATCTAAAACTAAGAAGGCACAGTTTGTCTCCTGCAGCTGAAACACACCATGTGAAGCTTTAACACACTCACAGTAAATGTTTCAATTGAACGAGGGTTTATGTCTTCCACAGGTAAAAGACGTGTTCAACGAGTCCCCTTTCTTTGTGCCAAACAACAGTGTTTCCATCATGAATGGGACGAATGAGGGTAGGTTATCTACGACTTCTTTGCAAACATTTATTCTGCAGCGTAATACACAAAACACAGTGAGTTTGGTGTGTTTCTGACCCAGATAGTGTGTGACCAGGTGCCTCAATTACTGAGGATGTTTTAAACAAAGCTGCTCTCATAATTATTTTTACAAGAGGTTTGTCCCTCATTGAGGCAAATAAATGTGTCAGTGTGAGCTGCCGTCCCACACCCAATAATTTAGAGCAATCCCCCACATCACTCATTAAGACAACTTCACTATGCCATGTTTCATCATACAGTTATTATCTACACTTTATGAGAGCAATAACTTCACATCTGAGGCAATTGTAATTACCTGGGCTGGCTCTAGACCAAGTTTGCTAATTAAGTATTACCCTCAGAGGAAACCTGAAGTCATCTCTCGTTCTAAGTTTAGTCTTTGAGGTCAACGAGTTTCAGCTGTATCATAATCAGACTAATGCAGACATTTTCCCCTCCTATGCTGTTTCAGGAGTCCTCGCTTGGGTCACAGTGAACTTCCTAACAGGTAAGACATGACTTGTGTTTTGCTATGTTGGTGTTAGTGGTCAGGAGGCTCCATATCTGAGGCTCTAGTGTACACAGAAACACGACAGCAAGAGACTCTTGTCTCCTGTCTGAGGTTGTAAGATTGAATCACTGGCCCCAAACAGGTTGTAAAAACAAGCAATATTTCCTCTAGTTTTTTTTTTCACACAATTATGGCAACATCCCGTTTATTTTAAACAACGGCCTGAAGCATCCAACCGAAAGGGTATTTCCCCTCGTAGTAGGGAAAAATGAGCTGTAAGCATACACACGTCTGACACCAGTGCTCATAAAAGTTATAAATTGATCTCCTAATTGTGTTGACCAGTTTATCTTTGGGTCTATTTTACACAGGTCACTTGTACTCCAACACAAAGAGGACAGTGGGCATCCTGGATTTGGGTGGAGGATCTACACAGATTACTTTCCTCCCCAAGTCAAGGGTAAACCGATTAATCTATGGGGTGATGACATCTTTCTGAAACTGCTTTGACTTTGACCACACAAACACTAAACAACTGTTTTTCATCCGACAGAAAACAGTCGACTCTGCTCCTCCCAGTTACATCGCCAAATTCAACCTCTTTGACAGTACATACCAGCTCTACACACACAGGTAAATAAGACTCAGAGAGGCTCTTTTCACCACAGATTTGGTTTGCCCACAGAAGAACAAAAAACGACACCCTTTTATTAAAAAATGGGCATTCATTTTATTTCATTATCATCTAGCTACCTTGGAAATGGCCTGTTTGCAGCTCGATTGGCAACTCTTGGAGCACTGGGAGCTGATGGTAAGTTTCTCAAGCTTTCAATCACTTTTCTCTTTGTGCCATTCTGCTATTAAGAAATCGCAAACACTTTTTTTCCCCCTGCCCTTTTCCCCCTCAGGTCTTGATTGGAAGATTTTCACAAGTTCCTGTCTACCGAAAAAGTTCAGAGAAGATGTGACTTTTGGAGGAGACACCTACAAAGTTAGCGGGATTCCAGACGGTAAGATAAAAGCAGCCTGAGGTTTTGATTCCCTTCCCAGTACCTTGGGTCCAGCAATCCGTGCATTCCTTTCCCTCACTCTGGAACACAATAGAGTACAGTATGATACAGTCTCACAAGAGAACATTTTTGCGCTGTAGTTTCTGTAACCTTGGCGCCAAACTCATGTTTTGTCATCCTCTCTTTCTCTCTTTTGCTTTCTCTCTCAGTCCTCCCTCTTGAACAATTATACTGCAGTCAACCTTGTATTTAAACGAAAAGAAAACTGTCAGTTAACTTCACAAATAAGGCAGTCACTCCCATACCACAGTCAAGTAGCCAAAAGATGCTGGGCTTGTCCCTGAGTTGTTATTTTTTTTTATGTGTAACGAGTGGCTTGATCTGGACCGCTCACAATTATGTGGTAAAAATAGACAGCCCAACAGAGCTGCGCTAACTGCTGCTCTTGTCAGCACATGGTTTTGCCGGCACAACTGAACAGACCATACTCATGGGGCCGTGTAAAACTTGTCCTTCTGGGGCTTCCCTTGTATATTATATGGTGAGCCCCCAGCTTCAGCCCATGACTGACCTCAAACCGAGGCTCCAGACTGGTCTCATCGCATTCCAACCATCGCTGGCTCTGAGCACCTTCAACTCATTGTTAGCTCCATCATTTCCAATAAAAGTCAGTTCTTTTTTCTTTTCACTAAACCACGTGTACATTTTCTTTCTCTCTCCTCAGGCTATGCAGGCTATAAGCTGTGCTACTATGAGGTCATGAAGGTAATCAAAGGAAAAGTGCACCAGCCGTATGAAGTGAAAGGCAGCAGCGTCTTCTATGCTTTCTCCTACTACTTTGACCGAGCGGTGGAGTCTGGTCTTATAGGTGAGTGGGCACAGACCAAACAGTCACCATGCTTCCAGTGCCATTATCTCTCAGGGTAATTATCATCTTTTGCAGAAAATGAGCTATTCAAATTGCATGTTGCATGTTTTCTCTCCACAGATGGCAGCCGAGGTGGTGTGGTTGAAGTCAGGGATTTCAAGAAGAAAGCCAAGGAAGGTAAGAGTTACATGTTCTCCTCTGGAGGGTTGGATAAGCTTGCATACCGAACCGACAATTTTACAAGTTGCATTTATGTTTCAGTTCTCCAACGTTTAAATCATTATGGGACTGATTTCATGCAGTGAAAAGACAAAATCACTAAGCCTTTAAGGGTGCAAACAAGAGGCTAATCTGCTCAAAATTGGTATATCTTTTGGATTTATCAGGTAAATGTACTGCACTTTAGAAAGTATAAATCATTATTCAGTGGAAGCATATCAAGCTTATCAACTCAGGTGATACCCATGATGTCTCTGTTGATCCAAATTCATAGCAAGTAGGACCATGGTTGGGGTGTTATATAAGACTGTTTGTGTTGTGAGAACACTGTCACATGGTCTCGAGGAACAGCTCTGGCTCAGGCCAAGCTGGCAGCTGAGTAGAAGACGTCTGTCTGCTGCCTCGGCAGCAGGGCACCTGACAGCCACACACCACCTGACACTTACTGAAACGCACAAACTGTGAGCTAGGCAACCCACCCACACCCGCAGCCTTGTGCTGACCCTCGGCCATTCTCCTTGCACCTCCCTGTTTATTCAGCCAAACAAAACAGAAAGGTCATCTTTTAATCATGTAGCACAGGGGTTAGAAAAGGTGGGTTTTTTTAAACATTGAACAATACTCTGTTGTGATGCAGTGAGGACACTGTGAAATAGTTCCCTTTCAGTGACATCTTAAACCTGTGTTAATGTTGGAAACCTGTGTTTTTGTGTTGACAGTGTGCAACAAAATGACCAAATACCGTGCAATCAGCCCCTTCCTCTGCATGGATATGACATATATCACCTGTCTGCTAAAAGAGGGCTTTGGCTTTAAAGACAGCACTGTGCTGCAGGTGAGTAAATCAGAACCAGGATACCAAATATGCAAAGCAACACTAATGTTCGGTCTTCAAAAGGCTTAAACACTACTTTTCAAACCAATGTGACTGCGGGTGTGGGAAAAAGCTTCTTTCTTAATGGAGATCTTTCTGTCACTCTCTTCAACAGCTGGCCAAAAAAGTAAACAATGTGGAGACGAGCTGGGCCCTAGGAGCAACCTTTGACTACTTCAGAAACCTCAACATCCACTAAGGACAGCTTGCTGTCACTGCAGCCAGCACTGAGAGGGACAGTCTGTCACTGTTGGGGCGTCTTGTCCTCCGTCCACCCTCCATTGGCCCGTCCCCCTCACAGACACACCTAGCCCCCCTTCTCCTCCTGTCCTCAACCTCAGCACCCAAGAACTGTTGAAAAGAAGAGAAATCACTATATTTTTCTAAGGCCAGCTATTTCTACTGTATAACTGTATATTGAGCCCATAACTGGTGGGCTGACTTTATTTTTTGTAAAAAGGTTTACATTTTTTATTCCTTATGGGTGTCTGATCAGGTTTGAGATCGTTCTCACCTCAAGTGTGGAGAGGATAGTCCATTAGCGATACAACCAGTCATGGTATTTTGGTGCTTACTGTGGTCCTGGTGTGCACTGCACAGAACAGTGGGTTGATTCACAGACTGGTTGCTGAAAGTGCAACTATATATTTCTCTGTAAATGTCAAATCAATCTTGTTTTATACTCACCGTAAATTATTTTACTGAACCCTAACTCATATTCCTTCAGCTGCATACACTATTTCAAATCAAGCAGATAACATCTGTACTTCCTTGTTCTTCGACCTTTGCACATTACACTTTAATTGCAGATATTGTAGCTACAACATGATCAGTTGCTTTGATGTCAACCAAAAAGTTGTACATATTTGTAAAGAAAAAAGTGGAAAGTGAGAACTGTAGAGCAGCCTCTCACAGACTGTTTTACATGTATGGGGGTAATGCCTGTATTTTACACTTCAGCCATTATTTCTTGTTGTGTCTACAGTGAAAAAGACCTTATCAAGCATGGCTTAATTGCAGGGGCCTCAGTCCTGGGCTGTATTTTAGACGAGCAGAAGGAAAACCTCTCATCAAGGGTAGATAGAGCATCCAATGGCATACTTCACAGCCATTAAATGCAGCAAAAATGAAAACAGAAATTATGTAAAAAGCTTGAAACCCACAATACCTTTATTCATTGCTGGTTGCTCAAAAATAATAGTTATATCGAATTCTGTGTTATTTGTCTCGTGAAATGTACAAATATTTATATAACTGAAAGTTTTTCTAATGTAGAATATTTGAATTATTGTCACTATAATACGCTTGTGCCTTAGCCTCGCCTTTGCTGTTTTTTCATTTATAACATGTTCAATAACTACTGCTGTATATACATGATGTCAACCTTTTATAGCAAAAGTATTTTGGACAAAAATGGCTTTTTACATTGCAAAAGCTTTATGCTGCACAGAAATGCCTCTATGTGTATCAGGATGACCAACCTGATGACTGACATTATGTTAAGTGTTGTTTTTATTAAATCCAGTGAAATATGTGTATACAACACATGTATGTTTTAATAAAATATAAAAACTATTCTGTGATGATTCTTATTTAAAAGCAACATAGACATGGAAATTTTAATTATTTGTTTTAGGTGCACGTTTATACCAAAGGCTGAATTTATACTGGCCTTAATTATTCCATTGAACAAAATAACTTTTCATACAGATTTGAAAACTGCAGATCTGAGACATTTAAAGTTATTCACTATTCCCTGATAATCAACAAACATTGTGATTTGAATTGAGTTTTCAAATGCTTCCAGCTATGGCAATGTCGTGCACGTTTTGCTGTTGCAGAGGCATAAATGAGAAAAAAAAGCCACATAAGAGTTAAAATATATCTTTAATACTTTATTCTTACATTCACATTTTTACAGCCTTTGGAGGTTCCCCAACCACCGTAGCATCATCAAGTCATCACTTGCTTGCAAACGCCATGATCTGCTCCTGTGAAGTAAAAAAAGACATCAACAGAAAAACTCGGTCACCTTTGACTCATGCTTGGTAAAACCCACTAAAAGAGAACCTGTAAACCAGCGGCCTCGCAACATTTAATATGGAGAAAATGCCACGTTTTACTTTGTGCCTCCATAGTGAAATAGCTTTACAACCCGCTACAGTTGTGTTGGTCTGAATCACTTAGTAGGGTATAAAGCCATTTCACATGAGTGGTCGTAATAAAAGGGGTGTGAAAACACAAGCCAACACCGCTGTCCGCTGCCCCAGGGCCAGCCCTGCACCCCACCCACACACTTTTGGTAACACTAAATTTGGGGCTAAACTTAGATGCCATAGTAGTAGGTTCAGAGCCCTGGAAATTATAGACACCGCTAAAGTAAAGCTCTGTGTAATCAGAAAAGAAGGCGAAGGGTGGAGTCAAGCTGGGGGCGGAGCTTCAGTTTGACAGGTGTTTGATGTTATCAGAGTGGTGGACAGGTTTCCGAGATACAAAGGAAGACGTGCTTACTTTTAGCGCTGGGAGCATGTTGGTGGCCTGAAGTCCAAAGGTGCGTAGGAGGACCACTGGAGCGGCGTTGGTGGAGTAAAGTCGTTTCATGAGGTCAACGGCAGCCATCATGGGCAGATTGTGTCGCTGGCGTTCAGTTTCATATTCTAACAAGTGCTGTATCGCTCCTGTAAAGACAAATAGTCAAAACAAATGTCAGACTTTGAGCTTGTCATATGGTTTTCGTATTAAGTGAACTTACAGGTGCCATTTTAACTTCAGGAAATTTAACAGAGGAAAATAAATAAATACATTTTCCCATGGCAGGATTTTATCTTTCATTAAAAACACTTGACATGTATGTCCTGCCAGAATGAACAGCAAAAGCAACGTCAAATAAATGTTACTGAAAAAGCTGCAGCTTTTTATAATTCAGATCAACAGCATGCATTTGAGCTGGAGCTATGGAAAAGAGCTTAGAGGAAACCACTACGCCTTGGTCGTGGCGTTTGTGTCTGTTTAGAGTTCTCACTGACCCAGGTCCTTCCCGTTAAACGCCGCCTGGCTGAGGAGCTGCGTGAGGCAAGCCACATCCCCGAAGCCCAGGTTGGCTCCCTGACCCGCCAGAGGATGGACCCGATGGGCTGCATCCCTGCAAAGACAAACATATCCCCTGTGTTGACTCACAGTGTGCTATTTTATGCACGGAGCAAGATCGCTGTGGGAAGTTCCCTTACATGTTAAGTATAACATTTGCAGCTCAAAAGCACACGCTAAAAGCAGATTTGGGGAATTTGGCAATCAGTATTTTTACTTAAAAATCAAAATTCTTCTTGTTTATGTTTTACAACAACTCCTCAAACTTTGGTACCCAGCCAATCGAGTCACCTAAAACTTAACTCTTTGAAGTGGGCGCCTTTTTAACGTTGGTCAAACTCAGTGACAACCTGGCTGAAATGGTATAGAAACATTATTTTCTTAAAAATCAGATTTTTGCAATTCTATATCATCCGGCAGTCCTGATAAGTATTTCAAGGCTCTTCAACTAGTCAAAAATACTGCAGCTTGTACACCATTAAGATTTAGGGGAAACAGATCATATCATATATCTCTATATTATCTTCATTGCATTGACTCCTTTGTAATATCTAGAATAGAATTTAAAAGACTCTCTCTGGCCTGAAAAGCAGTTGAAAGTACGTATTTACCAAACTGTTGCCAAGTGAATCAAAGTTTAAGCTCCATAAATGTAAAAAATAAAAGTATGAATTTGCTTTTCTTGTCAAGTGTCCTAAGTTCTGTAATTATGTAGTGATATAAATGAAAAAACTGATTGACTGATCTTAGTCAGGGCTCTTTTATGTTTATAAGACATAGTGTCTCAACATGATTACCACAAGTAAAACAAAAGATTCACACGGTTTTATCGATCGTACCCAATGAGAGCAACCCGGTGCCTGATGTACTCTGAAGCATGACCCATGCCCAGAGGAAACATGACCCGTGTCTTTTTGCCGATCCCCGCCACGCTTGGGGGGAGCTGTCGGGGTGAACCTGCAGATGGCATGATGGCTGACAGGGCGCCGCGGAACAGAGAGCCAGCCGTCTCAATTAGCTCTGACTGGTTCTCATTACTCCACTGTTAGAGCACACAGACGGGCGAGAAGACACAGACACATCACAAAAAGGACAAATTGCCAGCAAAAGAGAGAGAAAACAGACGTTATCCCTTTGAGTGGACAAAGAAATTAGCTGACATGGGAGCAAGGCTGAACTCCAGGCCAGTGAAAGTGCTTTTTTTTCCCTCTGTAACTGACTGGTTTGGCAGGGCTGTGGGAGTTGTGCTAATTAAAAGAAGATGCCGGCCAGGCTATGCAGTTGAATTAGCTCTGTTTGAAAAACATTCCATGCAGTAATGGTCGACACTGGGAGACCACAGGTTTAATTAGCAAACCAGGCCTGAAACCAAACGTGACTCAACCGTGGTGACCCCGTCCATCAAGAGGCCCTTTAAAAATAGCCAGCTTGGGAAAAAGGAGTTTCTCCAAACATAAAGAAACAGGCTGTGAAGTATTAGTATTGTTTAAAGTTTGGGCACAGCAATGACAATATAGTTTGTGTGAGTCAGTGAAAACAGCTGGACACGTGGAGACAGGGTCTGTGGAGAACCCCTGCCATATGCTGCACACTGCGCAGAGAGTTATCAACATCTCTTCGACTGATGTGGAATCAGAGTTTACACACAACACCAGCAGCTTGGTGGATGACAGAAGACTCACGAAGGCAGAGTTGATCGCATCGACAAAGCTTTCCTCGTCCAGCTCAAGCAGCTCCTCTGCCAGGCGGTGGCTGGTTGACCACACCAGAGAGCTTTCGGTGTCTGACAGCTGCAGGGTACAGAGCGTGAAGAGTGATATCAAATACTTTTATGACCGATGAATATGTAGCAGGAGAGGGAAAAAAATAGAGAAAATGCAGATGTATTACCGGTAACATTGCAATGGGCCCAGTTGGGAGGAACCTCTGCCATGCAACATTGTTCTCCGTGGGCTGCCAACACATAAATCAAACACTGAAATATTGTGGTGTTGTATTGTATTGCATATGTGTTAATTATATATACTGCACACCAAAACAAGATATAATAAAGTGTACTTCTGGGTGGGTGTGTTGTTCTCTGCATGCTGACAGATGTGACAATAAAATTACTGTCATATTCAAAACACAGTGCATTCACCCGGTACCATACAATAGTGCGTGCAGAAGAAATAAACACAACACGCAGTTGAAACTTTCATAACGTAGGAAAGCAACAATAATTTCACCGCATTCATATGGTGAAGGTGAAGCTAACCTCTGAAAGGTGCAGCACAGCAACCACAGCAGATTGGTCATAATTCCACTTGACTGTTGGTATTCTGAGTTCCCGCCTAACCATTGAGTTTGGCCCATCTGCACCAATCTGAAAAACACAGACAGAGGAAAACTGTCAACAACAAGAAACAAAAAAGGGAGCAAATTTGAAGTTTGCATTGTAGAGCCAAACTGACCAGCAGCTTGGTCTGAACAGTTTCTCCGTTGGCGAGCATGACCTGCACCCATGGGATGGACTCAACAGACTGGTGCGGCATTGGCCATGTGTACTTCACCACCTTGGACCTGTACTTCACTTGCACGTTATCTGATGGACAACGAAGGCATAAAAATGGTCACTTCAAAGGCAGCTTCCCAGCATAAAAGCAGAGGTCCTTAAATTACAATGGCGTGACTCTCTCGCAACAAAGGGATTGGTCGTGGCCTTTTGTTTGTATCATCACACGAAATCAGCGCTTTGCAACTTTTTTTCGGTCAAAACGCGAGCATGGTTTGCCTGCAGCCCAAGCAGTGGAAGATCTATAAACCACCTCGTAAAACACCACTGGTTTTCCTCCCTGGCACATGCAAGCTGCTGAAGTTCACATTTGACGGTCTTCTTAATGATCTTGGCCTGTCACTTTGCACTGACTAATGGTGTTTATCTACAGGAGCACCATGCCACGCTTTGCACATGCTGCCAGCTGGTTGAATTTTGCGTTAAAACAGCCCCTCTTCCTAAAATATCAGCAGCTGGTCATCCCAAACATGAAAGGATCTCTGGGTGACGCTGGCTCGGGCTGAGTTGGAGCAGGATCCATCCGCTGCACTGCTACTGCTTCCTGAACACGACATCAAAAATGGGTTTCCAGTGATTGGAGAGCTGGGTAACATTGAAAACAGCTGGCCTGGAGCACTTTTCATGTACTGCACTGAGCACAACAGCAGCACAGCTAAAAAGAGAAAAGCGGGAGAGAAAAAGAGAAAGAGGCGGACGAATGGCAGGCACATGAGGCAAAAACGTGCTGCAACCACACATCCGTTGTTTGGCACAAAATGTTGAAAACTGTTTATAAATATGCCACTTTAACTGTCAAGCACGAAGCGGAGCGGAGTTTTATTTGCGAACCTCACAAAAGTTGGTCTAATGTCAACAGCAAAGCGGCACTACACAATGTCAGCGCTTTCGTGTCTCAAGAGGTGGCAAAGCTTGGGAGCACATGGCAGCTTTAAATAGGTCACTGGACCACTTCACGTGTCAACAGAGGGTGCCGGGGCTCCGCAAGCTCCCAAAATGTGAGGTTTTGATTGAAATTGCAGGAAAAACACAAACGCCTCCAAGAGCTGTAGTTGTCTTTGAAAACACCAGGAGGGGGAACAAATACACAGAAACCTGGGGACAGGATGGAATAAATGTGGTGGCAGACTCAGCATCTATTAGGCAGATGGAGCAGGACTGAAAAGCTCTCACAGAGTGTTGCTGCTGTGGGGGATTCATGTTTTTATCATAAATGCTCTGCTTACCGGACAGGCTGTCCAGCTGCTTGGTGAGAGCAGCCACAACGACGTCGTTCTCCACGATGTATGCCATCTCCTCCTCCAGGTTCTCCTTATCAAAAGTGATCAGGGCATCTGAGCAGGCATCCCAAACCTAAATGAGAGACCAATTATGCCTGTGGTCTCCGAGTCTATCCTTAAATGCATCCCCTTCTCTTATATATAGCTGGGCAGAGAATTGCCGCTTCACTTAGCTCAACACATCAAAGATTTTTGCTACTTTCGGAGGTTGGCACAGCATGCATACATCAAACCCAGCACTTCTGGTGATCACCAACACCCTCTAGCTGGACGACTGACTTTAACTTAATGGACTTGACATTTTTGTGATGTGGATTTTTAAAAGCATTTTCTTGGAAAGGCAAATAACAAATGACATGTTTGTGTACACACAGGCTGAATCAATATTTACCCGCAACCCAAAGTGGCAGAATGAGATTTACTCGTAGACTTCTTAATTCCAACCCTGGAAGCACCATCTGAGTCCAACATGAGGGGGTAAAAAAGTGTTTCTACAAGGTTAATCCTCTCTGGGCTTGTAACTATGGTGACAGAACCCATCATTGTGCAGTAATATGCTGATGTACTCCTTTTTTCCAACTCGCCATAAAGTAGGGGGATATACTCTACAGAAAACCACTAATGGCAGTGGGTTTGCAGCTTGTGATAAGTGGTTGGGAAGAAAGATTTACTGAGACCAGCCCAAAATTGTTTTGGGTTTGTTTAATGCGGGGTGAAATGATGCAGCTTTTGGGCTGGTGCATACTTTCTCTGCAAGATTTGAACAATACGCATCGGTGCAACTTTACAGCAAAAAAAAAGAAGAAATGACGTGTTGACGGTGAAAAAATTGTGCTCACCTTCTGATTCAAGTCTAAAACCTCAATGCTAACTGGATGTTTAAGGTGGAACAGCATTTTACAGCATGGAAAGAATGTTATTTAAAGCTGACCTGCAGTACATACTTTCCTGTGCCATGGCTGAGATGGATATGACTGCAATTCAATGGACAAACAAGCCAAAACAGCGGTGGCAGAGTGAAGGTATAATGGGAGAGGTACACTACCATAATCACTGGAAGGCAGTGCATGATGACATCTTAGGCCCAGAGAGAAACCCTGTGGTTGGGTGTTTGGTACACGCCGACCACATCTTACAAGAGGGCCTGAGCCTGCACCCACAGCCGTAAGCTGGATCACTCTGCAGCAAACAACCACACTCCTAATCTTTCATCTTTTTACCGTTGTTAACATGAATCTTGATAATTACTAGACGTGAGAAAAAGCAATTCAAAGACATCAAAAATGATTTACCTTATATTGAAAATCATGGCTCTAATTGATCAAACTTGGTTGGAGAGCTTTCAAAACACGCAGGGATGGCCTTGTCTTAAATTCACCTTGTGTGCTTTGGCATTCTTTGTGCGGCAGATCTTGCAAAGCTACTGAAAGGGCATAAATGCCTCTGAGGAATGAACAAAATGCATGCTGCCACTGTGAAACCACCGTTTGCCATTTTAATGTGAACGATTACATACCATGCACATGATTATATGATACTGTATTGTGTTGCTTGTTCATTAAGCTGAATGACTGAGTAGAAGCTGAGAGTCACAGATTTCACCCTCCGCAAATTGCATGCTGCCATGATTGATGGATGACAGAAATACATACATATGCCTGTAAATTAGAAAGTCTGGAGGACGTATGAAGTTTAGGATGTATAATGACTTTGGGGGATGCACAGTGCCTCAACGCCTGCAGTTTATTCTTTTATGATACTTTCTGAAGCTTTTTAGATACCAGAGCAATGATAGTTTCTGTTTGCCTGCGTTGCACTCATTTTGAATAAGAAAAGAAATGGAGTCATAAGACAGAGCTTAACATACCTGCATCTTTTTGTAGGGCTTGCACCTCATTTTTGTGATGTTTTCCCACACTCCAATACCTAAGGATGTCAAACACATAGAAAAACATTTACAATACTAATTCTGGATGAAATGAACAGATTAAACAGCAATGAGACAACTACAATTCAGTAGATTTATTTCCCTTTGTTCACATGAGGATTTAAATGGTTAAATAATGTGACTTTTAAAAGGATGAACATATTTGAGGGGAGTTAAATTGTATAGTCTTACACCTATAACCTATCTGTGGCTAAAACAGCAAGGACAAAGATTTTTTTTTGTCATAATAAGCAGAAGGCTAACCTGCTGATATGGTATGGAGAACATACAATGGATTTCATTTTCTATGGCCTCATTAGACTGAAGGAATTGTGACCTAAATATAAGTGAAGGACCTAGAAACAAGTCAAACATTCTGCTCTCTTAGCCTGACTCACTCGCTGTGAGCAGCACACGGTTATTCTTTGCTGGTTTGAATATTGTTGTGGACCTTACTTCTTATTGGCAGGGTCTTAAAAATTATTACAATTTTAAGTAAGGCATGATTTATTATTTAAATATCTTTTCTGTTTTTAAACAAGATGATAAAAATCCAAAAATCTCAAACGCTGTTTGAGGCTAAAATAATGTTGCACTGAAATGTGTGATCTGCTGTAAAAATCTATCTTTAGGTGTACTTCTAAGGGCCCTATTCAAACAAATAAAACACATGGTCTTTCATGCATTGTGCAAGGTAAAATGGGGCGTACCTAACCGCATGTTGTTAGTTCAGTGACGCACAATCTTGGCGCTAAGTGATACACAGGGCACAAAGAGGTTGAATTAAGTCCCTTTAGTATTAAAAGGTGTGTTTTGGGTATAACATGAATCAAACCAAAATCAAAATCATTTTGACTGCTCTCATTCCTTTTAAGAGTCTGGTGCGTCTGCAGGCAGGCGTATTGCTACTCACAAAGCAGATTTCATCCTTTCTCTTTACATAGTCATCTGTGGCAAGTTGAAGAGTCCTGGTCTTTTGTGTATGCAAGTGTGTGAGTGCTGTATGTGTTGAATGGGGGCTGGGAGGGTGGGTGGGGTTTGATATATGTATTTGTATTTATTTTTATTGTTTTTTTTTTTTATATCCACGAATGGACAGCACTTTGTGCTACATTCCATGTATGAAAAGTGCTTTAAAAATAAAGTTTGATTGATTGATTGATTAATGTAGAAGGGCACATCTAACTTCTCTCCTTTGAATTTTGCAATTTTGCAATTTGCAAAAAAATGCAAATACACCCACATGTCACTGAATGAGTAATGCTGTCTGATGGATTGATGTAATATCTACTGAAACACTTCCTCTGTCCAAGAGAGACAGTCAGAGATTTTCCCACTCAACAGGCTTGTACATATACACCAATGAAACAGCCATATAACTTCATTGATAGTTAAGAAATCAGGACACGTCAAAAGTATCAGACACCCCGGATGACTAACATCTTATATGCTTGACATCAAAGAAAGGTAGGCTATAATTTACTCATTTATGCAGCTGGATCACACTGCTTTATTTTGTGCAGCACGCATTATCAACTGGTTACTCCTTACCAATATCTGGGGGCACCATGGTCATTAGCACCAAAAGTAATATTTGGAGAATCAAAAACAATATACTGCTGTATGTCTGTTTGTGTGTAAAAAGCAAAGGAATGCACTCTTTGGCCTATATTACTGTCTCACTGATGCACCTTCTAAGCCATACCAGACCACTGATTTAAGATTTTCCACCAGGCTTTTGTTTGTCTAAGGTTAAAACACTTTCTGCATCCTCAAGCTGGCAATGCAACACCCTTGTGCCTGACTCTACTTCATTTTAACACCAGTACACCCATGGATAGACAGATAAGCAGAAGGTTCTCTTGCTGTTTAATCAGTGTGGGCACTGGGTGTAGAAATGATAAGCACCATGGGTGGATAAAATTGCATTACACACTGAGACACTCAGTTCCAGGTGTGAAATAAGGCCCTAAGACTCTCCATCTATATGGTGGACATAAAAAGGATATATTAAACTGTGTTGGCTGTTTGCTGTAGTGGGTGAGCAGCCGTTTACAACAAGAGTCACATGTGGCGGTATGGCGCAGCCCTCACGCTTAAAATAGCATATAACACAGGTCTTGACTGATTAACATTTAGCTATTTATAGTTGTTCCGAGACATAGGATGGTGGATTTAGGACAAAAAAACCTGTTACAAAGACAAGTCTATCCATCCCAGATTAAGTTACACAATCTGATACCCAAGACTTTACCTCTCCCTAATCTCTTACACTCAGAGACTTACTTTTGGCTACAGACTGGGCATTGAAAAATTTCCCATCTGCAGCTTGGTTGTCAGCTGTACATGAGAGAAATTAAGAAAAAACTACTGCGTCAGGGAAGATCCAGGTAGAGCTATCAGATCAGTAGCAATCAAGGTCAAATATGATCCCCTCAAAGCCCTGGAAACTGGACAGTGTCTGATCCCAGGCTTACTGTGCGGGAGATGTTTAACAGTCTCGCACCTCAGGCTACTCCCAGGTAGAAGGCTAATCACCACAAAAATAGCTACCTTTCAAAATAACTTGTGAAACCGTCCCTTGTGTACCCATCACAAACAAAAACCATAACACAATAATGACAAAAGCTATGATATTCTGTGTCAGTTTCAAAACTGTATACTGTACCACTGAGGAGGGTGGCAGAGCCGGGACTGATGGAGCTGACTCTGGTGCTGTAAGTGTCAGGGACCTTGTCCATCACTTTCTTGTTACCGGCTTCCAGCAGGAGAATCTTCTTGCCCTCCAAGTTGGGATCCATGCCTGTCATATATAAAGTATTTATTGTAAAGAACTGACAGCACATCAGTGAATCCTGTAATGTAGCTGTGAGTGTCAGAATAATCTTGTTTGACAACATTTTCATATATGCTTAAGGACAGTCCCCGATGACACTATTTTAATTTGAGATTTAACTGCATTACAAGTTGAGGTTACACACCCACATGTTGTCAGTCAGTGTTGGGCAAACTTCACTCACCCAGAGAACATGCCATTGCAGATCCAACCATTCCTCCTCCGGATATAACCACATCATAAACTTCACTCTTGCTTGAGTCACCCTCATGATCAGTACTCACTAATCCACGGCTGATGATTTTAAATGCAGATAAATGCTTTTCTGCAATTAAACACCGGCCAAGCCCGTTTAAGGCCACCGTTGCTCGTGTTAACTTGTGCATGATCTTATCTGTCTTTACGTGGGACGAGTCCCGAATGAAACAAAAGAACCAATTTCAATCATAAATGCTGGATTACACCTCAACAAACGCGTCTCCTTGGATTTGTCCTAAAAACAGCAGCTGTGTCTCCTTCGTAATCCTGCCATGTTGTGTTGACAAGCGCTCCAAAGGAACTACTTCCGGTATCGCGACCAATCAGAGAAGACGCCTGGCACGACTGCGTGATTGCGTATGTCCACTGACTGTGCTACTGCGACCAAAACGGGGGTAAGTTTGACCGCTGTCTTCTTTCCAATTCTACACAAATATTATCATTTTCGTTTTCATTAAAGCTACGCACCTTTTTAATGCACTCGAAACGTTTCCTGTTAGCGGAGTTGTATGAGTTTTAAAGACGTTCCAGGGCCAGAAAATACTCCCCAAAACTCGGCTCCTTTGAGTCTGCGGTGGCTCACCATTGCCTTTAGTTTAAATACCGTTTCTCAATACGTAATTTTGTACATTTAAAAAAAAAAAGAGTTTTATTATATGATATTCAAAAAGTTGATATACATACTAAAGCGTAGTTTAGCTGTTGACTGACGTTTTTATAATTGAAACGACTCTATGTTGAGCGCGCGAGGTCTGGTTGTCATGGTAACCAGTTCACACAGGCTGAGGGTGCAGTTTGGCAGTCAGTTGGAAGTGTGTCTTTTTTTTTTTTTTTTTTTGAAATTTTTAAAATAATATTCCCTTAAAATACAAGAACAATACGAGCCACTAATTATAGATATGTTTTCTATTAATCACTTGAATTAATTTGTCAATTAATGTTGTTTACAGATATCTAATAAATAATGGCCAATGTGTGATGTTGAGCCATCATAATGTGCAATACAAAAGCATATTCGAAGATGCTGAAATACCTTGTTGTCTCTACCACTCACTTACTATTAATTTGGCTTCAGTCATTAGATTTTTTTTAAAGAAAATTCAGTACTAAACACAACTTAAGAATGTGAAACTATCTTAAGTCTAATATAACGTCAGTGCTTTAGCGGCCTATAAATAAAAATGTTTGACTTTTGTGGACATTCTAAAACCACACAAGAATACATCGGTGGCAGCAGCTCAGGAGGGCGGTTTGGTTCCCCCCTCCCTAGCCTGCCTGTTGTGTCCTTGGGAAAGACACTTAACCCACCTTGCTCCCAGTGTGTATCCTCCACTGGTGTATGATTGCGAGTGTGTTGTGTGGAGGTGGTCGGAGAGGCTGTAGGCGCAAACTGGCAGCCACGTTTCCATCAGTCTGCCCCAGGGCAGCTGTGACTACTATGCTAGTTTACCACCACCAGTGTACGAGTGTGTGAGTGAATGAATGATGTATCCAATGTAAAGCGCTTTGAGGGTCTCTGATAAAGTACTATATGAAATCTGATGCATTTATTTTATTTAATCTACACTGTTAGTGTAGTAATTGATAAATTGACCCTATTCTAGACAGTCAACTCATAAACATTGTTTTGTCAAATTCTAATGAAATAATATCGGCTTAAGCTTCTTTGACGATTTTTTAGCTATCTATGGAACAAACTGAAATCGATGTTGATGCCTCTCTATGAGCTACGAAAACAAACGAGACCACCTGCATAAAAACTGACTATTTCTACACTGTAATTCATAATAATTCCTGAAAAGTCTGCCATGTGGAAGGAATCAGATAAGGCAAGTCACATCACACAGAGGGAGGTGCTTTTTTTTATAGATTTTTTACAGCAAATTATCCCAACAAGGGACACAGAAACCTTGAGGTAGCACAATGCTAGATTGTAAATCATGGTGCTATACATAAGCTTAATCGTGGTATTTATTTTATTGACCTTGATTCTCTTTTATCATACTCTCTTACTTTATCAGTGTCAGATAAATATGTCAGCTCTGGAGACCTTGTTGGAAGATGGGCTCACATCAGAGTTGATGCTCCAACAGCAGCTGAAGACCCTGACAGAGGCTCTCAGAAAGCAGCTGCTGGAGGCACAGAAGAAACAGACAGAGGAGCTGGAGAGGAGGATCCACCAAAATGCTCTGCTGTCTAAAGATGTTGTAAAAGAGGCTGGTGATAGTAGAGAAATGAATCATCACACCAAGTTGGTCTCTTGAGTTTCTTTTATTTATTTATTTATTTTAATAATCACAAGCTACCTGTTTTCTTAAAATTTTCTGTTTTTTTTCCAGTAATGATGGATCGAGGGGATCAACACTCCAGCACCAAAATACTTTACATCATCCCAAACAGTCAGGGAGGCTTAACTCATCTTCTACAGCCTTAGTATTTTCAAAAAACTGGAAAAATGATTCAATCAGGACTTCCACTCCAACTCCTACATGGCTAAGAAAAGAGAGGGAGGCTGAAGTTGAGTGTCAGAAGAAATTCTGTGCTCACCCAGTCCCTAGCCATGTCACTCAGCCTCTATATCAGGAGATGGTGAAGCTGAGGGAAAAGGAGAGGAAGCAGGTTCATGAGGAGAGGAAGGACTTCTTGCTTTCCATTCAAAAACCTTTCAGCTTCCAGGAGAGGGACAAGGAGAAAAGGGAGAAACTGATAGAGATGCTAAGCCAGGTCTCACAGGATCAGCAAAACAAGTTAGCTACTGTGAGGAAACCTCCAAACAAAGAGGCTCAAAAATTGTTAGATCCTGAACTTAAAGGTGGGTCTCCTTTGCTTGAAATGATGCCAGCTGTTTGGTACAAAAGTTAAAACTCCTTTTGCACTAAAAAACAAATATTCTGCCTACTTAAAACAATACATAGCTTATTGGTATCAATCTGTCCTAGCCTGTGACCTTTTAAAGCCCAACAAACATTTGTTTTTTTTATATGTCAAACTAAATCACAGTGAAATCACAGTCTATGTATAGACCAGGTCTAGACAGTAATCTAGGCTACAGCAATAAAAATGTCCTTAACAGGCAGAATCCGCAAGCATTAGACTAATAACAGAAGCATGACTGATGGTTGTGCTATGTAGCTGGGTTAAACTTGATTAATTAAAACAAAAACAATGAAAACAAAGGAAGTAAAGCAAGTCGAGGTCAGGGCAATTTCTAACAACACTCAACAGGAACTCGAAGAGAGGACAACAAGACTCAAAGGTCTACATTCTGCTTTTACAGGATATGAACATAAACAATCTAAGGCAGACAGAAGTAGGGAAGGAGAAGAGAGAAGCAGGTATCATGATCCCCAGCAGTTTAAAAAGCCTGTAACAGAACAAGGAGAAGCTAGTCTGAGGCAAGCCCAGGCCAGTCCCCGAGAAATCAAAAAGGAACATTTCCAGTCTAACAGAAAATAAGGGGTGGTGGTAGTCCTGACTCAGAGGGTCAGATGAGAGCCTTATTGGTAAAGTAAAAGATCCACCTCCCATACTAGAGACTTGAGGTACCACCAATAGGCAGTCAAAACACATTTGTCACTACTTACAACTACTTATAATGACACAGGATTTTGTGGACCTTATTTAAAGGTTCATGCTTTTAAGTTTCGCTGACATATTTAAAGAATTCAAGATATATTTTCTGTATATGGCTGATAGGCAAAAAAAAAAAAAACCAGCAAATATTATTTTCCAAATAAACAGTTTATGTGGTGTCAAAAGAAGAAATGTTTTACTTATTTTTTTAAATTTTTAATCATGACCAGAATAGATCAAAATTGGCTTCTCAGAATTTATAAACAGACATAAACAAGGCTTTATTTGAGTTACAAAAGGATACGTGTATTTAAAAAAATAGAGGAAAACCTATTGAATGTTGATATTGGATGCATGTATGCTATAGCGGGATGTGGGATGACCTCACTCTTTTTCTACTTCACTATTTTTCTGTCCAGATCAGGATCTTAGCACACAAATCACCACTCTAACAACAGTCCCTCAAAAGAATCTTGCTGTGTCTGGCAGCCCCAAGCTTCGCACTGCCGACCGCACCAGAAAAGAAAAGTTGGGATTCCTGGATGAGAAGCCCAGCTTCCATCCCAAAATCAAACATCAGGTCCCAGATTTCAGCAGGCTGCACAGAGCTTTGCAGACAGAGGGGCTGAGACGAACTCCGAGTAAAGATGGGATAAAATGTCAGCCTTTTTTTCTGAGGACATCAGCACTTCCTATGAGGCAAAGTAGGATGAGTCCTGAAACCACACAGGTAATTTATTTTTATTAGCCCAGATAAATTGTTTTGTTGCATTTAAATTCCGAGGGAATAGTTATTTGTTCATAGCAGATTTGTTGGTGTTTGTTGAAACATGAAAGTCATTTAATGTTTTTATTATATTTTGTGCATTTGATTGATCTGATTAAAGCCTTAGAGCTGTTGTGGTCATCCCCTTTTATGATGATAATTAAGCTAAGCAGTCATTGTTCAATTACAAGTATATTTTTGAGAAACATAACGTAAAAAATGCAAATAACAAGCCTACAAAGAGCCTTTGCAGGATTTAAGTAAGAAGATATCCAGGGCTACGGGCACCACATGGCCTCATGTTACAATTTTATTTAACTGCTCTATTTGATGGATGGTTGCAGGGACACATCCACCTACCACTTTAACAAGTCAGAGAACCAATGTCTGTCTTTGAAGGCTTCCAGATGAAAAACATTGTGGATTATCTAAGTCTTTGCTGTTTGAAAAGGCTGCTATCACTTTGTTTGAACAACTTTGACACTTAAGTTTTTGTAGACCACATACGGTAAATTTCTTTGATGGATTTTAGTGGTCCCTTTATGGTTAGAAGTGCTTCATATAAAAGTGATGAAGGGCTTTGACCTGGTCGAATATAGCTCTCTATTTTATGCCTTTGTGCATAATTTCTTGGGTTATAAAGATTTAGTGAATGGTTAAAGTTTTCCCTTGTCACATGTGTTATTTTTGAGGCTGTTTAAATCACTCCCCTCAGTTGTGGAGCTGCAAATCTATTTAAAATCAGACCAGTAAGCCCTCTTCACAGAGGAAATGTTCCCCTCCCTTTAAAGTTGTATTTCAAACTTTCCCCACCTCATAATTTATCAAATTTAACCCAGACGCATAGAACAACCATGTAGCATCTGATCACTTTTTTGGTTGTCTGTTCCCAAGGGGAAAACATTTGTTTATGAGATTCATTGCATATTATTTTCTGCTCACTGCAGGGTTTTGTTCTAAGTGAGCTCTCATCATCTATCCTTCACAGATACCAAGAACAAGTAACCTCAATAGAAGCAAATCAGTGGGAGCATTAACATCACTATCCACAGACACACTCCCCACATACATCACAGATGCTGCCAGAAAGCGTTGTGCGGCTATCAGGTGACTTTTTGGTGTACCTTTAGACAATAGAATCCTCCTACATGAATATGTACAACAACCAGCCATGACACCTGGCAATCTAATAGGGCCCAAAACAACCGCTCTAACACAAATTCTACTTTTATGAGGCTTCTATACATTCAGTTTTGTCGAAACGGTCAAATAGGGGATTATTGTTCATTGGAGAAGATGACATATTCCTGCCCAGGCTTCCTGAAAGTAGAATTCCTGGTCTTGGATCCATCAGATTGCCCAGGTGTTCATCATATTATGGCTGTCAGTGTACCCTGAAGCTTACAAAGTTAAATTCTCCTAAATGCATTTTTTTAAAACCTCTACAGAAAGTCAGTAGAGATGAGAGAGAAGAAGAATCAGGAGAGTGCAGACTGGTTGAAAAAGTACCAAACAAAGTCCCATGCCATGAAAATGGCAGTCACTCTTCATGCAAAGCTGCTGGACCCCCACAGCAGCCTGAAAGAAGTGTGTGATGAAAAACTGCAGCGGCATTGGTGAGTGCTGGTCAAGTAAGGCCACTTGTTTTTCCATTTTTGTGACCTTTGCAATTCCCATCACAACAACCACAACAGCTCCAACTGTAATCGTCTCATACATGAAGGCTGGCTGACCAACAAAGGATGAGAGAGTACACGAGGGAGTTACGGGACATGAAGGCACGCGTTAGTGAACGCCCTTATTTGTTTGAACAGGTGACCCAGGTAAGCTGAGCTGTAAAATGAGCACTTCATCATCTTGGTTCTAATGACATGCCTGGACAGTGTAACTTTGGGTTTTTCCTTACAGAAAAGTGCAAAAGCACATGCAGAGCAGACGTACAGGAACAAGCTGGAGAGAGCTGGACTAAAGGAGCAGTTTGTTCAAGAAAAAGGAGAGACGACCTCTAGATCTGAAACAGAAGAAACAGACGACGTTCAAAGCAGGTATGCAGGATGGGAAATTCAAGCAAATTTGTTTTACATCCACCATGTAATACCACTGTGTCCGGTAAAAATATGAATAGCACTGGTACTTCAGAGCCAAGGACTTCATGTGGTTAAGTCGTATTACATTACATAATTCTCTGAGCTTGTCCTGCTAGTCTTCAGTGAAGAAAAGACAAATACTGCAGCCAAGCAAAAGTTTGACATAATTACAATATAGCCATTTTCTAACCCAACATGTCTGATTTAGGGATGAAAATGTAGACGACGGAGAGAAAATTGAAGATGTGGATGAGAAGAGCGTGAAGTCCAAAGAAGAAATGCCATGATCAAAAAGGGTTTAGGCGGCACAGAGTTTTTTGTGGCCTCCCCGCTAGAAAACAACACTGTCCTCAAAAATGATTCATGTCACGGCTGACTGTCCGCAGCAAGCGTTTGGTAGTTTAAGACTTCCAGCTATAAATTATCATATTATAAAACATTCTGGACTTTACAATCACAATTTTTTGGCAGTGCAGCCTAAGGAAAAAAAGTTTATAGAACCATATATGTTAAGGAGTAGGAAATATTTTATATGCTTCAAGTTTTTTAGATACATGTATGTACTCAACCTATACATATATTTATATGGGATCTGGGTAAGGTTTTGAGCAGAATACTTTTAAAATAAAAAAAAATCTACTTTTGGTTTCACAGCCACAGTTTTTCTCAAGAATACAAACTCTGTAATTTTGGGAATTATGATACTTGGTTACCAGAATAAACAGCTACAACAACAGAATATCACATTGTTGCAACAATTTTTGATTACCCACCCTGCAGTAAGAAGCTTTAGATATCAAATTAAATGATTACTGAGTACAAAACCTCCTTTTTTATGTTTGGTTCCTCAAAAAAATCTAAGAAATGTACCGTGCCTTTATTTTACAGGTCCCATAAGGACAGTCGGTGTCTGACATGGCCCTTTCTTAGATGGTCCAGTTAGAGTTTCCAGTTGTTTCTTTTGCCACGTTGCCTAAATAAACGTCTCACAAAGACCATTTAAGTGGTCTGCCCTGAGCCCATAGACCCACATCAAATACACTCATACACTGGCCCTCACTGTAAACCTGTGCTTATGCAGCTGACTTCCAGGAATTTTAGAAATCATTTTAACATACAAACCACAAGGGAATGTCTGCCTATCTTAACCATCATAATCAAAAAGTCATCATGAAGAGACCAATACATACCAAATGTTTGCTTTTTGTAGGCCACTGTGTCATGCGTTGAGGCTGAGGGCAGTGTTTGTATAAATGTCAATCAAGACATCCCTAAAAAAGCATTTCCCATAAAATTGCAATACAATTACTCCTTCCAGACTTGTGTTCATCTCTACAGAGAAGGACTGCTGGTAAACAATGGTTTTCACAGTGTCCTAGATAAATGAAGCTTATTTGGTGTGATTAAAAAATAGTCAAAATGTGGTCAAGTAGCGTCAAGATAATAAATAAGTCTTTTCCAATAAATCACAAGCATCATGTGACAAAGCTTCAAGGGCTCCATCCTCTCAGGTTGTCATGGGAACCGTGTTTTCCTCCCCACTCTGCCTTGTCGCCCCTCAGGAGAACGCTGTGCACCTCTGATTCCCTTGATGCAGCTCTGAAAACAGAACCAATCTCTCACAACCTGTTAGATAATATCCGAGTGAGAGGCTTCCTCCTGTGAAATGCACGCTGAAGCAGATGCCTCTGACCTCTCTGTAAACAAACTAAAGTGCCTGGAATGCACTCGGAAGCTGAGAAAGGGAACAAACACATCTCATTTAGATTAATGAGAGGCTATGTGCTGGGCAAGCAAATGTTATGTTCATGCTGTTTGAGGAGTGGCTCTGCTTGGCAGATGAACAATATAATTTTTCCAAGGTGGTGCGTTCAGGTCTCTTATTTTTCCAGCTGCTTTAGAATATAGAAAATCCCACATGTTAATTATGTAAATGCATGGGTTGCAAACATATGCAGCTGAGGAAACACCCTAAAATAGACAATATAGGCCCCGTAACGGATTTACTGTCTCTGTGAATTCTGTCTCTCACGTTTCACATGTCTGATTTATTCTCTGCCATGTATGAACTCCTCTGCCTGCTCCTGACCTGCAGTTACCCCTGTGTTCCCTCCATACCTCATCACCTCATTTGGCCCGCCCACCAGCACACCTGTTCCCACATCCCCATCAGCTCAGCAGCTTATATAACAGTTAAATAATCCCCCGCCTGGATGTTGGGCTCTTTTTCTCAAGCCTGATCCCTGATTGGAAAAGCCTACCCAATTGTCCTTGACTGTTTCTTTTCTTTTCTTTTCTTTTAATTTCCTTTTAAATAAGACTTGTTTTTGAAACTAGCATACACCTGTTGTTGACAAGCTACGTTGCAGGGTCACCCTTTTGCCTCAAAGCTTGTTTTGCTGAGCCTTTTAAGATCTGCAGCTGCTTACGTTTTATTTATTTATTTTTTTTATTATATCGGTCATAATAATTTTTCAGTAACCTGGATTATCTTGTCCATGAAGGCCAGGTCTTTTAAGACGCATGTGTGTGTGCATGTATAGCCTCTGTGTTTTAGTCCTTGGTTCACCTGCAGGAGGAGCTGTGGCTCGCTGCAGCCTCTACAGAGCAGAAGAGAGAGATCCCTCTTTTTCTCCTTCAGTGGCATGAATAATATCCCCTTGTGCTGGAGAGAGAGCATATCAAGAGGCAAACGGGGAAGGGGAGAGAGAGATAGCAGCCAGTGTGACAGATAAGAGCGTGGCAGAACTTGCCTCCCTGATTGCACCACAGGGCTGGGGGAAGATAGAGATCAAGTGCACCAGAGTGTCAGGCAAGGCTGCACTCAAACACACACACTCACTCAGACAGACCCCTCAGCCTGGCTGCATCAGAAGAAGTTCAGAGAGAAGACTGACCTCAGGAAGGTAAGGTTTGTGTGCGTGCACGTCCAGCAGATGTTTCTTCCTCTCTCTATCTGAAACATTTCTCGCAAAATCAGCTACAACTTTTGACTGTCCACTTTGTTTTCAGGCGGCAGAAGTTTCCTTTGTGGATTACCCTGTGTATTATGGCTCTACTTAAACTGTGCCTTCTTGTCCTGTAGAGGAGCAGTGTGTCTCCCTTTCAAGAAGAACTTGTCTCGTGTTTACAGCCAGAGGAAGGATGGAGGAGCTGTCAGGGAAAGACAAGGAGCTGATACGGGGCAGCTGGGAGAGCCTGGGCAAAAACAAAGTTCCTCATGGGGTCATCATGTTTTCCAGGTAATGCTTAACAATCAGTTTCTTTCAAATAGAAACAGATAGTAAAGGGACTTGTGGAGACAAACTCTTCTATTCTGTGCAATAACACTAACGTTTATGCTTTACTTTAAGCAAAGGTAATAGGATCTTGCTGATTCTGTTATTACTTAACAGCTGTGATGGTAGAATATGTTTCCTCAGAGAGAATCAAGCTAGATCTTATGCTGCACACTTTCACCGTGCACAGACCGGAAGCTTGACTTGTTGCTTGGCGACGAGCTGCAATAATCCACAGTTTACTTTGAGACAGCTGCTGCTAAATCAGAGACAAGCAGGAGAGATTTGTAGATACATGATTTACAGATTGATTTTGTGGCTGTTTATACACCTATAGAGCTCTGAGGTATTTGTCTGTGTTAGATTGTTTGAGCTGGACCCTGCGCTCCTCAGTCTTTTCCACTACAATACAAACTGTGGCTCTACACAGGACTGCCTCTCCAGTCCCCAGTTCCTGGAACATGTCACCAAGGTGAGCTCTATTAGCCACAGTTATGAATTTAAGTTACACTTTGTGCTTGTGCACAGTTTGCAGCTCTCTCTGCGTGTATGTTTGCATGCGATCCTAGGTGATGCTTGTAATCGACGCAGCAGTCAGCCACCTGGACGACCTTCACTCCTTGGAGGACTTTCTGCTTAACCTTGGGAGGAAGCATCAGGCAGTAGGAGTCAACACACAGTCATTTGCTGTAGGGGCAACATTTTATCACACAGCTCTAAAAAGCAATTACACGAATGAATGAGCTGTGACAAGATATCGCAGAAAATCATATTGAGTTTTTGCTCTTGTTATTTCTGGCTTTCAGGTGGTGGGTGAGTCCCTGCTTTACATGCTGCAGTGCAGTCTGGGACAGGCCTACACGGCACCGCTGCGTCAAGCCTGGCTCAACATGTACAGCATCGTGGTAGCAGCCATGAGCCGAGGCTGGGCCAAAAATGGTGAAGACAAGGCGGACTGAGGCGCACAGCGGGAGCTGCTGAGCAGTTGCTGTCAAATCACTCATCATGGTTGCCATGGAATAAGGTTGTGTAACTTGCAGCGTTGTGGCTTTGGCTGCTGTACATTTGCTCTGTGAGTGGGGTCGTGTAGCGTAGCAAATGTTCAGTGTGGTTACACTCAACAATCGGATCGACCAATCGCAGAGTTTATTTTCTTTGCTGCGGATGTTTAGCTGCCAGGCAATGGTGCTGTTCAGCTGTGAGGATCAAAGCCAGCCTGCTTTAGCTCCTCTGAGTCTGGAGACACTTTGAGATAAAGCAACAAGGATAACTGTTGAGTCTTTATGTAAATATAAGTTTGATTTATCTCCTCAAATGATAACAGTGACTGTAGTGGTCTTTGTGATGTATCTTAAATGAGTTGCACAATAGTGAAACACTAGATAATACATTCTGGCATCACACACTACTCAAACTTTGGTGTTACTGTGGCCAGCATTGGCAGCTCTCTTTCTAACTGGAACACAGTGATACTTAAAAAAAACATGTTCAAAGTTTTGGGACAAAGCAATGTGATTTTACAAAGAAAAACCGAATCCAAAATCCTCGTCTTTACTGTGCTTTGTAATATTATTGCACATAATTCCATCTTTTTTAAAAGGTCTTTGTCTGACATTTAACCTATTGATAAGCAAAGTAAAAGAATTATACCATATATTGACAAGAACTGTTATACTCTTGATAGCTTTCTTCAGTATTTAATGACTGTTAAGGCGTGCAAGTGCACCTTACTCAACATGGTGTGCGACACTGTCCTCAGTGGAGGTTGTGAGTATTTCCACAGGCGTCAGCTGACTGTTAAATTCTTACAAATAGACTGTTACACTCATAGAGTTTGAAAGAAAAGTGAGGAGAGGCAGTATAACATCTATGTTCTTTAGATATCAGTCTCCAGCCATTGTTATTGTGTGGTAGCTCTGTTGTACTGTAGTCGCTTATTTCAGTAAAGCTTTTCAACTGTGTTATCGTGGCTACGTACAAAGCATCACTTCAGCTTTAGAGGTGAAGAGAAGCAGGTGAGCCTGTGTTTCTGACACAGAGTTTATTCATCAAAGTCAAACAGAGATGAAGGTTTGTTTTAGATTATTAAAAGACAAACTTAACTTATAAATATTTTCATCAATCAATGAATTATACAAAGAAAATGTGTGTATTATCATCATTTCTCACATGATGCTGTATGTATTAGTTACATCCATGGTCATAATGCCAAGTAACCTAGCAACAGGGCGCCAAGTATTAGATAATAACACCATACAACTGTTAATCCAAGCTGCTGATATGTGGTTATTATCGCTTTAGCCTGAGTTTACATTGAAAAGTTTATTTTTATATACTATATGATATATATAGATATGTGTTGTTAAGAGCATTGACTTTTTTTCTATGTGATGTACTGTAGAGTTTATCCTCCAGATGTTTGAACTCATTCACCCTGCTGCTTCTCATCAAGTTTCTTTTTATTTTACAAATATATAAACTTGTAGATGTGAAAATCTTACAGGAAATTAAAAAGCATCAGAGTTTTATTGAACTGTTCTAACCCTGCAGATTATTTTTAGTCTGTACTTTTCAGCTCAAAGGTATGATGTTTATTAACTGAGTGTGTAGGTGGTGTATTTATAGTGGTTTAGTACACAGCCTTATGCAGGTCAATGCTCTTCATGTCTCTTTTTCTTTTTTTCATTTACCTGACATTGGTTGTGTCTTTTAGCAGGCATGATTGACATCTGGCATGTTATCCTGCTAACATCAAGCACTGTATATATTGGCTGTGTCACTGTCTACCTCATCATTATCAGCTGCTACTGAACAGTGATGACTTCACCTAGTTATCCTTCAACCAAAAACGCACAATATTGTTATGATATTTATGATTATAAATAGAGTAAATGCAATCATGCACTCTTTGTAAGCTGGATTCTATCCTCCACTTTGAAAGAACAACATGTTGTGTGCTTACTTGAGACTAAATAAAGTGATCTGTGAATATTTTACCGCTAAAGAAGGTCAGTGTGTTTTCCTCGGGCTCACAGATAGTTTTTCAGAGGCTGGTGATGGTTGCAACACAGTTGTCAGCATTTGAAAATCAATCACACGATGCTTGGTTTCCTTCCCACTGACTGCCCATGCCCCAGTGTTACATAAGATCCAAGCACCAAATGGCTCATCGCTCTTGGCTACAGAGACGAGAGCGACTTTAGGCACATCAGCCTACTTACTCATGCAACTGCACAATGTCACATCAACATTGTTTACAGAATTTAACAAAAGCTTTTCCATTCTGGTATTTGTAATTTGAACAGTACTTGTTTTTCTCAAATAGAGAGGAAAATACTTAAGAGCATGTTTCTGCTCTATGATTAGTTTGCGTGTCCTAAAGTTAAAAGAGTAAAAAAAAAAGATGGAAAATGGAGGAGGGAGGGTTGATGGTATGAGTTAGCTGGGAAAAATTTCTCCTGTAGATACAATTTGTTTGTATCATTGTAAAAGTCACATCCATGAGCTGACTGTCTGTTCAGCTGATAGGGTAGTGGCTGACATGGCCTTAATCTGTCTCTCTGCACTCTGAACATTATCCTCACTCCCTCTGTCCCACTGAGAGTCCTCTGATGTCCAGCGTGCACAACAGCACTGACCCAGAGGTGACTAGAATTTGGATCTGACCTCCTCAGTTCACTAATACAACTTTGTTTCATAAATGACCGGGTAGCGTTAAGGTGTTTGTTGCCCTTTTGGTGAATTAATAATTACTTTGGTTCTCAGAGTCATGCAGGCTTACCTTGAAGTGTTTGAGGATTTGCTTTGGAGCCGTCATCTGGAGAGGAGTCTATGAGGAACAACAACCTTATTTTTAGAAAGTCTGCAATGTGTTTTGATATTGCGGGGTATTGGATGTTGTCATGGCAACTGTTAGGTGATGGTCTAGAGCCTGATGTATTTATGTGTGTGTGTGTCTGTGTGTGTGAAGGGAAAAAAAGGTATTGCTTTATAACTCACTCATTATAAATCATATTGGGGAGAGGAATGATGAGTGGGCGGGTCTATCAAGTTAGCTCTGATAGTATCCTCAGCTGGATGCAGCAACACTGGCCCCGCTGAGCCGACAACCCAACTTGACATTCAGCAAGTTATAGGCTGAGGTTGTTAATTTAACAGCATAATTCCCCCCCCCCCCCCCCCCCACACACACACACACACACACACACACACACACACACAAATACATTTTGCAAGAAATGTTTAAGATATAGACCCACAGAAATGCGGTTTCAAAACCCTGTGATTTTAAAGTTCGACTCATGTTTCATCTGTCAACATGGAGGGGTAAGCTTTAGGACCTATACCAGTCATCAGGGGCGCTCTAAATGTTTGACTTTACTCATGGACAACTGTCACTTGGTCTGCATTTTCAGTCAGCCACACTCTGTTGCCGTCTGTGCAGTTTGCTATGTGAATTTTACTGTTAGAATACAAATAATGTTAAGGACTTGATACTACGCCTGAACATACAGAACTTCATATAGCCATAGAAGGACTAAAAGGGCAAAAAGGGGCCAGCAAACATGCTTCTGCAGCTTCACTAACAGGCCAAGCTTCCTTGTCTTTTGTTTTAGAAAGCACTGATGATAGTGTGATGGTGTATGTGGGGTTGACACAAAATAAACTTCAGCTCCCATCGTCATTTGAATGACAGAACATGCCACACAATTATGTGATGGATATAGTGTTTAGACAACAATGGAGTTTCAAAACAGAAGAATAAGTCCTTGGCTAAATAAACAACAATGGTTGGTTAGGATCTATTTATTGATGGGTTTGGTTTTCTTGGTTTGTCTTGATTGCAGTTGTACACTCAAAAAAAAAAACAAATCTTTTCCTCAAATAGAGTCAATCGATCAATCAATCAATCAATCGCAGTCAATCAATCTTTATTTACATAGTGCCAGTTCACCCCAAATGCTATCTCAAAAAGTCTATTATATTTGTTGTTTACAAAGAGTCAACATAAAGATGGGATCAGATTGGGCCCCATCCTGCAAGATCAGACCCACTCCCATCACATCTCCATCAACATGAGTGTAACACTTTAGCAAGTTACAGTGGAGAGGGGAAAGTTCCTTTTAACAGGCACAAGTCTTCAGCAGAACCAGACTCATGTTAGAGTCATCTGCTGCTACTGCATTGGGTTTAGAGAGAGGATAGAGGGAGATGGATAGAGCTTAATGCCAACAGCAACACTGACAGCTGTATGGTTACAATGCTACAGATAATGGCACAATTTGCATGATTAAAGGCACAGTTGATTTGACTGACTGGCAGGCACACTGTAGCTGTAAGCAAGGGGGCTGAAGGCTCAAGGCAGGAATTTACTTTCTTTTTACCAAACAAGCAAGACCTCTATATAAATTCATTCATTTTTGCTCCTTTTTCTAACATCCTCCTCTATTCTGGAACAGCATTTACCATTGGTGCTGTGGGGCTGTAAGCTTTACTACTGTGGTCTGGATAAAAGCAAATCCTCATACAATTAATTGCCCCATCCAGCTTTACATGTGGTTTTTCAGAGACCAGTGAGGCCTGTTTAGTATTTTCACAGGCTTGACCCAAAGCCAGTTCATGCTCACGCATACTGTTTCAAACTTTAAGTCGACATGCACCTGCATATCCAGTCACTTCTCTGCTAAACTGTGATAGATGATCTTTCATTATCTTTGAGAAATGTTACTTATCCTCTGACAGTTTGACATTGAGGGCGGTGTATTACTTTCCCTATTACAGGATGATAGTGTAGCAGCAGATTTATTGCTTGATAAGAATAAATGAAATAATACATAAGCTCTTGCAAGTTTAGAGTGTATATTTTATATCTCTTTGGAGAAACCTGAATAGCTGTTTGACTGCTTTCAGATGAGTTAGGGTTACAGCAGGTCAACAGTCACAGAAGGTGCCATCGATGGTAGTAGTTAAGAGAAAAAAGTCAGTCACAGCGTCGCCCATTTGTTTGTCAGCTTCTGTTTTGGAGCCCTGACTCAGGTATTTGGCTGTCACCACCATGCTAAAATGGATCATAGTTACAAGAGGATGACTGGACATTGCTACTTCTAGATATCAAAATGTTTCTTTTGGCTTGAGATCAACTTAGAATCAAGGCCACTTTCGCATTTGGCTCTATACAATCAAGGAATCTCCTGTCTCACGAAAATGATCTTTTTCAGGTATTCAAGTCCAGCTAGCAGTTAGTAAAAAACAAAACCAAGCCAGGATCTAATTTTCTATGTGCCACACTGTTACAATACAATAAGCAACCAAAGAAGCAATCATGTTAAGACTCAGGGTGAAGAAAAATCCTCCTGATATATTTCTCTGACTGTAATTTCTTGAATTATTAAATCCCCCTGATAGAGAACCAACTTGTCTGCTGGTTGTGAGTCCCAGTTTCATTGTGAATATTAAGTGTATAATAAGTTACACAACCTGGTCTATGTTGGTAATATGAGCCTTAAAGAGAGACTAAATTTCATGTTACTAGCTTGAAGTCTGTAAGATTAGCAAAACAAAATCATGATGTGGATTCTTAGAAAAACAATAATACACGTTTTCCTGATTTCAACAGTCCCTACTACTGGATGACTGGTCTGTGCCGCCTGCCATACAAACATCAAATGTGTAAAGTCTATAATCTGTAGAAAAATAGAGATTAGATCACCACTTATCTATTAATACAAGTGCAGGTTTAAGACACTGCATCAGCTTCATGTTTAAACTTCGTACATATTCCCAACAGTGTCAGAATGTTTGCAAAAGATGTGTATGAAGATGTAGTACCCAGTCTGCTTTGCACATATCCTGAAGGCACCAAGTGCACATTCACTCTTGTACTACTCCGTACCACATAAAAACCTGACTCACTGCTTCTCAAAAACCCTTCATCATAGACCACAGCAGAGGAGAGCAATAAGGAGGTCATGCCACAAGATGAGTAGATTGGGCTGTATTGGTTTTAATTTCAGATCACAGCACTTCACTTTTGACAGATGAAAACTTGTTAGCCTGACAGAGATTAATCTGAAACACAGTCCGCCACCCCCAACCTCAATCTTTTTCTGCGAGATCAAACAACCTACATTTACAGCAGGCTGGTCGTACTTGAAATGGAGAAGGCTACTCATGATACACATTTTATGACTGAGAGCATAATGGACATGTCTGCTCACATGCCGACTGACAACAGTGGACAAAGCTAATGTTCCAGTGAATAAACCTCAGAGGGTCAAGCCGGCTGAATATGGACAGACAAAACAGGATACAATAAAACCAGTTAATGCACAATCCACCCTTGCATGACCATTAAAACGGAGAATATATTAATAATTTTTAGTCTGTATTTCAAAGGAAAGTGGGTTTAATGGTCTGTGAAACAAGCTTCAGTAAGAGGAACCACAGAATCTGCTGGCAGAGTCAGAAATTCAGAGATATCCTTTGAAGTTTTCTCCCCATACTGCATGTTATTTCTGATTTCTCTGAACTGACCACTTCATATTCAATCCACTGCCAGCTTCCATCTGTTTTATACAACACTAGAACTAGAATTGGACTCCTTATAAAAAGGAGCATATTTATATTACATTAACAGAATGATATGCCATCAATTTTATTGAAGTACAACTGAAAAAGTGAATAACTTTATAATAATAACTCTCGTCTACACATCAGAAAACTGATTCAAATTCACTCTTTACAGCAGCAAGATACCTACCCCCTCTGAGAGATAAGGACTTCAGTACTTAGTATTAGTCAAACATCTCAATATGAAAAGAAAAGAAACAAAGGAATGATAAAAAGTAAATCTTCACTTTTTACATGGTACATAGACCTTGGCCGGACAACTTCTGAGAAAGGAGAGGAGAGCCGAGAACTGAAACAACATTGACTGAAGTCGACAACAAGGCACCAACAAGACCACAATACAAAACAGAAAAAGATTAGAAAGTCTGTGATGTAAAGACTGGTAAATTAGGTTAGCATCAAACTTTGAAGCTCCTGATTATGAAAAAATGAGTCAAGGTTCACTTGCTTGCTTTTTGAACTTGTTATGTATGACATGAGGGTCTTCAGGATGATTTGAGTTCCCTAAGTGATCTGAAGTGTTCAAATTCTTGTATTTTCTGTGAAGTTTTGGAACTTTTCTTCTATTGATTAATCATAAAAGCAAGTAAGTGATCCTTGAGTGGAGATTATCATGTTTATTTCTGTTTTGACGGACCCTGAAAAAGATGTAAAGTAGAAGTATAAACATGCAAATATTAGCAGACAGTTTGAACATCTACTGACCAACAACAGCTAAGAAATTAATCACTCCTGAAGATCATGTGATTTCATGAAAAGCTTATGATAAAAGCAACAAGAGGATGTGCATGATGACTATTTTTGTAGAGGGAGTGCGCTTTGCTAGGTCACTCCACACACACACACACACACACACACACACACACACACACACACACACACACACACACACACACACTCTTTCTCTCTCTCACTCTCGGGATAGTTTTAGTTTTTGTTGTGTATTCCTCTCTTCTCCACTATTTAGTTTTCAGTCCATGCAGCATTTGTCAGGCCATGCTGGATTGTCTCACGTGAGGGAGTGTTTGTTCAAGGCACAGCAAGAGACATGAATGAACTACAATCAGTTTACATTCAGAATCATGAGAGAAAATAAAAACTTCTGAGCATGAGGGAACAAATCATAATAATAATTTAAAAAACTGCACAAATCCCAAACGTTCAGATTGACTGTAAAGCAAAAAGTTTTTAAGTACATGTGACTCTAAGGATATGAAGGATGGGAAAGCATACAACATACAGTCATCTACATGCAATGGAGTGCCACACATAAAAGGTTAACTGAGGTGGAAATAAATAATATTTTTTCTAATTTCTGACTGAACAAAATAAAAACATTGAAAATAACTCCATTACTTCTGTAGTTTGTCATAAAAAAAGAAAAACAAAAACTGATCAACATGGATCACTACGAGCAAAAAGACATAAAAGACCTTGTGACATATTTTTGGATCTGCTGTCAATGTTTAATTTTTCATTTAAGAGCAGAACAAAGTCATGGGAAGGAAATGTATTTGTCCTTTCGCTGAGAGACAGATGTGAAGATTGATACACTGTTTGCTAATCTTTAGATACCATAAACATTCAAGTTAGCTTAGCTTAGCTTGGCTCCTCAAGATTTTCCAGTTAGCTAAACAAGTTAGTGGTGTTTTTTTTTTTTTTTTACCTGTAGGCCATGCATGGCATTTATATGTGTGATACATGTGACCCTGTGACTCTGGTAAATAGCAACTGTGCTCATGCTCCTACGCTTTACAATCCAGAAGTTCACAGATAAAGATAGCAGCCTGTAGTGAAGAATATAGAATAGTAGCACAACCTGGATTCGCAGTATTTAGAGTTAGAAAATAGAGACAAAGTGGTAATTAGATTTTGTCTGGTTAACTGTTTCTTACTTTTATATTAGCCAAGTCAAATTTGATCAAATTCACATTTGAACAGCTAGGAAATGACTCACTTTGGGTCATCACTGCTCGTGGAGAATTAGCTTTGTGCATCTCCTTAAGTTTCACTATTTCGGCACATGCATTTGTGGCAGGTGACTGTTCACCATGGAGTCTGATTCTGTTCGAGGTTTCTGCTTGTTTCTATGAACAAGCTCTTTAAGTTGTTGTGCATGCATGCTCATGGTGGATTTAATGTTTTCACACTGTTAAGTAAAACAACAAAGAATACGATCTTGACATACTTTCCCTGGCCTGGAGCCATGAATCGAGTGATAAATGATGTTTGGTGGTAATTTTCAGGTCCAAGGTTTATTTAACTTATTTATTTAATCCTTAAGAATAACTGAATTCTCCATAACTGTAAGTGTTAGCTTCAAATTAACCCAGGTATCTGTTCTGCTGTGAACTGCACTGACCTAAGAGATCTTAGATATTTTATCAGTAATACAAATGTGTGTTTCTGTGTGTTACCCCACACAATGCAAAGATGAAAGCTTAGTGTCAATGTCAATATTCAGTCAACTGTTTAAAGTCTTTGTGCTAAGCTAAGCTAACGATCTGCGGGCTGCAGATTCATATTTACTGCGGAGGAATGAGTGATATCAATCTCCTCACCAAACTCTCAGCAGGTAAACCTAAAGCTTGCAAATGTTGAAGTACACATGGTGTTGAATCATAGCACATCACAGCAAAATAAGAGAGTACTCTGATTAAAATGGAACAGCTCTGAAATTCAGTGACCAACCCAAAGCACTACATCAATAACACCAAAAAAGTGTAGCAAAAATAGCAACCTCAAATTACTAACAATAATAGTCACAACAGGCTGCAGGTACAGTCAAGCTGCTTGTGCCTCCTTACTGAGAGAGTACATATATCACAGTACATCTCTGAGTTACATTCGGCTCCATCCGTCTGTCTGCTCTCTCACTGCAGATGGCTTCACAACTAGCTGCCCTCACCCTCAGCCTCCCCGAGCTCTGCCGCCCAGGAACCAGAAATCATCATGCCCAGACCACTGTGTCAGTCTGCCAGGGCAAGCCTGCTCACACCACCCACCCTGATGGGAACTTACAGCTCCACTCTTGTCCAAGTGGCATCTCATAGACAGAGAATCTGCGATGGCGACCTGAAAGAGTTTCTCCCTCAGTCACTTTAATTAGTTTGAACCCTTTTAACTTGCAAATGAAGCTTTAGAAGAAGAGAAAATCCCTGTCATGAGCATCCAACTGTTAAACTAAAATAATCTCTGCACTTGTGTATCCTCTTAGCGTTGACATTTGTGTCCAGGTTCTGGAGATCTTTGCCAAACAGTTGTTGACTTCTTCTCTTTAAGCTCCTCTCCCCTTCCTGCTCTTGATCCTTTGCCCTGGTCTCAGGGTCTGAGGCAGCTTAGTTAGAGTCTGAGGTCAGTGGTGAAAATGCAGCAATGTGGCCTTAAGCAATTTGTGTTCCCCACTGCAGGATAAATTATATCAGCTTTGGAGGATTTGATGTTACTGATAGCTGACTGGGCTGTCCATGAGTGGGCTGGAGCAGCAGGGTTCTGGAGGGTCTTGGAGCTCAGTTTCATGGGTTTGGGTGTGGTCTTCTTCGCTCTCTTCCCCCTCCGCCTGGCAGTGGCTTGAACTCTGTGAACTGGCCATGGCGCCGTAGCTGTGGTGTGCTGGAGAGGGCATGGGGGTCAAAGCCAACTCTGGCTCCAGCAGCACAGACGCAACGAACAGCTGAGGGAGGAAGAGCAACATCAAGTTTAGGATGGCGTCAAAAGTAAATCAGTTAAGTTATAAAACTATTAGAGTTAGGAGATAGACATGTAGTTTTAAATCTAGGTTTGTCCCCCCTGGTTATTATAACAATAAATACATATATGCAGACATAGGTTTTTGGACTGGCTAAGAAAAATGCTACTTAGAAAGCAGGTTAGCTGATATGAAATGATGTCATATGATTTTTTAAATATATAATTAGTAGTTTAACACATTATCATGTGAAATAAAGCTGAGTTTGTGGTAATAGAAAAGTTGCCATTGTGGAGTCAGGAGATGATTGGATAATACTTGTGGTGTCCCTCAAGGGTCAATGCTGGGCCCTAAATAGTTTATTTTGTATTTCAATGTTAGTTTTATTTGCTGATGACACAAACATGTTTTATTCTGGCAATGATTCCTAACAATTACAGCAGTACATCACATCAGAATTGATTAAATTAAAATACGGCTTATTACTATTATCATGAGCAAAACTAAGCAAAACAAACAAACAAAAAAAATTGGATAACACAACTTTAACACATGAATAAAGATTCAGTTTAATGAGGTTAATATTGAAAGACTTAAAATTTCTTGGGAGGGATAATAGATGAATAATTCAATTGGAAAGCACACATAAAAAATTTTAAAAGCTATTTTTCTTTCTATAGTAACACTTTAAAATAGTTTTTATGTTACTCTGTATGCTGATGTAAACTTGCATAGATTTGCAGGAAAACTTTTGATCATTGATGGCATGATTTAAACAGATTATGATATTTATTAGCATATCTTGTATACTAAGAGTAATTTATGTCAAACTATTTGTGTGATATTAAAAATGTTGTTTATGATATATATGATTTTTTTGTGGATTAAGATAGTGTTACATTAAAATTAATTTGAATCTGGTTGTAGGACAGATAGTGATGGTAATTGGAAGAATGTGGACATCAGATTAAGAAATTAAGTAATGTTGAAATGTTATTACTAAGGAAGCAAAATATTTAACTATTGTTGATTTATGAAGAGGGGTTAGGTTTTAATTCATCGTTCTTCCCACTCCCTATCAAATCTGTAAACCCAATCATTAAGTGTTCCTGTCTTTCTTTTTTTCTTTACCTTCATTTTTAGATTTTGTTCTATCTCTCCCTCTTTCTTTTTCACGTTTCAAACAAACATTTCATTTCAATTAAATTTTATACACTTACTGAGGGATAGTTGATAAAATGAGGAATAAAAGATGCACTGTAAATTTTAAGGACTCATTGAAAGAAAATGTGCTTCTTTACATTGGAGGCAGTGGTGGATGTGACTGTACTCCTGTCTGCGTCAGTGAACGTCCCTTCGGTTGGCTGGTCCGACATCTGAAACAAGGTTAAATACACACCGTTATACACCACAGCATCTTAATGCAGCTGAACTTAATTGAAGTGACAAATGGCAGAGATGACCTGGTAGCTTGTTGATTTGTCTGGTTGCTTCCTAAGGCACAATCGGAAGAGGGAGAAGGCAATGGAGGAGAGCAGGGACACAAAGGTGAAGAGGGTGATAGGATGTACTGGACCTGGAACACAAAAGTAAGATTGTGAAAAACTAAAGTATCACAGTGCACTGAACCTGAAAATGACAGGTTGGAAAAGGAAGTGACAGGGTACCTAATCTTAGCACGGAGAAGAAGAGCAGCCAGAACATGCAGAGGATGGGCGCCAAGATGACCTGGCTTATAGCTGCTCTGTGGATCCGCTGGTTGAGTTTGGTGGGAACATATGCATAGTAAATGTTGTATCTGTCGACCATGTGCTTCAGGATGGCATAGAGCAGACCTACAGGGTGCACAACAGACAATTTCACACCAAAAGCAGCACTCTGCATTAAAAAAAAAACAACAGGTAAAAGGATGGAGAAGAGCAAAGTATTATTATGAAAGGGCCTGTTTGGACTGAGGATTTGACTGTGGAGGTAAATAGGAGCTTTGGGTAGAGACAGGAGCAGAGTGGGCGTCTGGCTCACAGCTCGCTGTGTCTGGGTGTCTGGGACTACAGCAACAAATTCACACAGTCTGCATCAGAATGGCAGGCAGGAGAGGAGAGTGAGGTCAGATTATGAGGAGAGGCACCATATACACACTGCCAAGTGGGGATGTGATGGTATGCAGAGAAAAGACAGAAGTGGGAAGAAGGAGGGTCACTTTATGTTACTCACCAAAGGGTGTAATGATGGGACACGTGATGCTGTAGGTCATACTGACTGCAAATATACACATAGTCCAGGCGTACTCCAGGCCAAACTGAAATTCATAGGCCTGACTCTGCAGAGAAAAACACAAACATTCACATTTAAAAAAGAACACAGTGATTTGTGTGATCATGTGAGGTTAGCTTACCCGTTTGACATGAATGCGCTCGGCCTGGGACTTCGCAAAGCAGAGGCGTAGGGCGTATACCGTCAGCCCTGGGATACGAAGCAGCTCCATAGCTGTGCCAATTAGACTGGATGTGATTACGTAGTTTACAAAGAAGGCGCCATTGTCAGGGAGAAACACACACCTGTAACCGAGAGTGAGGATAGTCTAAATCCTTGAGGAGGCCACAGCTCTTTAGGTGAGTTTTATTTAGAAAAAGTAGAAATCTTACTGGAATTTGACTTCCTTCTCATCCAGGAAGTTGACATCAAATAGCCATGTGAAAAACAGGTCCAAACTACAAAAACAGTAAGTAAGAGATGGATTAATCTAAAATAACCAAAGAAAAAAATATATAAAAGAGGGAGTATTGTGGGTGCTTTAATCTGCTGTTGGAGTACCTGGATAAACCAAGCGAGGGCAGGATGATGACCATGAAGACCAGCAGAAAAAAACACTTGTGCATTGTGACTTGGTTCTCTCCAGACCTGAGGCATTAATTGAAAAACATGTGATGGTGAAAAAAAGATAATAATGATTCAGACTAATTCAGCTTGAAGTCATATCTGCAGAAATCCCCTTAACAGCTACTCTAATTCAAAGTCAGCTGAATCCGTGTTTACGGGACCAATGGGTTCATTAGCACAAACTATGCTTTGCACTCCAATAAACAGTTGATTTGCATTCGCTCCTTTGCACATCACGCCTGCACACCACGTTCGTGGGGGTGGTTGTGTAAAGAAAAGGGTGCTCAGAGGTACTGTGTAAGGTTGTCTCCCTATGCACAGTCGTTCCCGCTCCTCCTCCTGCTAGTCACCATGTGCACATTACTGTGCATATCATTATTCTCACATGGAGATCTCTATGACAACCTGCCAGGAATAACAGTGCAGGGAGAGTGACAGGGAGGAAGAGGGAGAGAGTAAAAAAGCGCAACAGGGTGGAAAGGAGAAAAATAATTGATATTTGACAAAAAAGAAAAGGTGGGAGTCCAAAGGAAGATCGCAGCATCATGTGAAGGGTCCCTCTGAAAAGGCAAAACGAGGGGGATTTCCATTTCAGAGGAGAGTGGTGGCAGATGAGTACCTGGTCCAGTGGGACTCAAAGAAGGCTGAGTAGTAGACAATGAAGGGCAGGAGTACAGAGAACGCCCACAGCAGTAGGGTCGGGAAGAACTGGGTGATGACTGGGCTCTGGATAAAAGAACATGTTGATAAATTAATAATAAAACTGCACATACATATGTTCGACATAATAGCTTCTCAAAAGTGAAACCAAAGTGTTTGAGGCTCGCCAAGGTCACTAAGCCTGCCACCTCCGTGTTAACAGATGGGTCAAAACTTTAATCAAAATACACAGTTTTAGTTGAATGAGATATTTTATGCTATTTAAAGGTTTTTGAGCTAAGGTTGACAGCTTTGTTGACAAATAATGTTTAAAAGAGTCTTTGAACTTTCCATATCTGTGACTGTCTGCTTTAAAGTGACTCAGGATATGGTAAAGCTGTAAACCATGCCAGTTGAGGAACATTTGATGTTTAATCAGTGAGTTTTTTGTTGGTTTATTTAGAAGAGGTGGGACATCAATACCCCAATTCCACCAGCCAGAATTGTACTGTAAAAACGGACTCCAAAGCTTTACTCTTGTACAAAAGCAGGAAGTAGAGTTACCTTGTCCGTCTTTACGTACAGGAAAAGATTTCATCTCAATTGTAAACTAACCCGCAGACTCTCCACCGGTCTTGTGACGTTGAACTTGTCCATAGTGTTGACGATAATGGCTGGAGTGGTGAGGAAAAACAGTAGCAGGAAGAGGAGGATGTTGAGGAGGACGCAACGAAGCCACCAGCGAGAGCCGCACACTGACAGGTTCTCCCTGGTGATGGGAGAAATAATGTATCTCAATTCACAGGACAGACAGGACATTTAACACCCTCCTCTCACCTGACTTTGCAGCTCCCTACATATTGACATAAGCCTGAAATAGCCGGCCCTGTCGCCTCTTGTATGTGAGTTGTTTCCACTCTACAAGACTGGAGAGCCGGTTGGAAACAGCACATTTTCATGCTTTAGTTTTATAGAAGTAACACAATTACCTGCTCCACTCGTCTAGTTGGTGCAGGAGCACATTTACTCAATGCAACTAATCAGATGTAAAGCACGAACAGTGTAAATCCCTTCAGTTCGTCTCCCATACATATGCATCATTCATTTGTTATATAATCTCACTGTGACTTCTTCATTTGCTCCCCATTATAGGAAAAATGCATTAGGGCTAATTGAATCTGGGAAAGGGAATGAGCTTTAAATGGTGTTAGAGATCTGACACAGCTTAAATGAAGCTATTCCTTCAAGGTTAAGATGCACAATTTGCATAATATAAGCCTTCACGGAGAAAAGGCTTCAAGCGGCATCATGGAAAGCCATATTTTTTCTCAAAGTGTTATTAAAGCCTACAGAACTCTGGCTTTATGTTCTGTCAGAATCAAAAGGTTTCCAATGATACCAAATATGTCAGGCTTAATTACAGGGAAATGTGTCTAAGTGATGCATGAGACGTGTAATATTGGATATTGCGCTTGGATTATGTGTCTGCGTGGGTTTCCTCCTGGTGCTCCAGCTTCCTCCCACAGCAGAAAACATGCAGGTTAATAAACTGCTTGTACTGGAGGTGTGAATGTGAGTGTGAATGGTTGACTGTCTGTCTGTGCATCATACTGTTCCTACAACGCATGCTGCAATAGGTTAGACTACCTGGATGAGAGGCCTTTTCTTTTGAGTTCCATGTCAGCATAGACAAACAAAAAAAACGATGATTGGATTAAACTCCAGTACTAACCAGATGATGTCGCTGGGAGCAGGTGCGTAGCCGACCCCCCATTTGTGCGACTGCACCACAGTGGTGATGCTAGACTGCTGGGGTTTTTGACGACAGTGCACACGGCTGTAATCCTTCACAATGCTGGAAAAGAAAAAATCAAAATATTGAATAATTGCTGCAAAAAACTTACACCGCCACTTGATTATATCAGCATAAAATGAGCTTCACTGTTGCTCCCTGTTGTGACATGTTTTGATGAGAGGACGAATAAACCTTGATGTCATGCTGTGGTTTACTCACACAGCGGTCATCCGCTCATCACGGAAAGTCACAAAGGCGATGCCCAGCCTCTTCATAGTGATGCGGTTCTTCTCAGCGTTGAACTCATCTGTCCGTTTCTCCTCTAACTCGCTGTAGTACTGCTCTGCATCCACCTGCAGAGATAAAAAAGTTACAGCTCACCTAACTCACTTCGTCTTTCACCTGTAGAGGAACTTCACATTTACACAGTAGGACAAGCTGCTGCATGCGCCTACATTTGGATTGCAGTGCCATCCAGTGGTAACATCCTCTCTGTGCAGCCACTAATCCAAATAATGCTGGTTAAACTTGCCTTTTCAAAGCCACAGATGTCACAGCAGAAAATCTGCGCACATGGATGTGTCTTGATCGTGATCTTCCCTTCCTTCTTGGCCTTGGTGGCGAAATACAGCCTCCCTTTCATCGCCTTGCGCCTGCATTAATACATAAATCTCAGTCAGGAGGCTCATGCCGACAAACTGATTCTGCTGCAGCTCTTAGTTTGTTACTTTACCTCTCTAAGTCCAGCCTCATCAGCTTGTGGACGTCAAAACAGAAGCGGATATCTGTGACAGTGCAGCTGGGGTAGGCCTCACTGGTAAAAAGAGCAAAAGAAGTAAATCATCATGGTGGTGACGAGAGTGTCTCCAAGTGAGTATAAAGATGGTCATGGATTTTTGGACCTTTAGCAAACATTTATGGAGGATTTAAGTTGAAAAACATACTGAAAGTGTTTGGTGATAAGTCCTGGGTCAGAGATCTCTCTTGGTATGGAGGTTATCATCAGTGTCCTTGCTACCTGAAACACAAAATACAATCTTCATGAGAGGTAGTATTGTGAAAGCTCCAAAATAAGATTTTAAAAACCATCTTATCAAGTAAGGCTGGCTCTATGGATGACATTCTTGTCAAAGATATATCAATAATCACGTCATGGACTTGGTCCCCTGACCGTTTCTCTGTATCCAGCAGCAGATTCACTTACAGTAACAAGTGAAATTGCTCTACCATCACGTTGTGGATTTCTACAAGGATTTTATCACATATTCCTGTTTCCTTAAAAAAAGAATCTAACCACTTTTTCTCATTATATTTCATCTTATTCAGCCAACAGGACATGATATTCCTTTAGATGTAATGTGTAAGCTAGTACCATACACTGAATGTGGAAGTAACACATGTAGCCTCAAGTTTTCAAAGTTCACTTCAAACGTGAAGCCTTACCCTAGCCCCTATGTTTAGTACTTTAATCTGCATATGAATAACCTGCCGGAGGAGGTCTGCTAGTTATATATTAGGGAAAAAAACTGACTGTGAGATGCCAGTTGGGAAAAATAAACAAAATAAACAAAAGATCCTTATAAGAGCTTTAAAAATTAGTACCAGTTCCATCAATTCCCAAATTCCCAAACTGTTTCTGGCAGAAAAAGGAAATAAGCTTGGAGACTCTGACTGGAATCCATAAGAGATTCACAAACCAACCTGTGAAGTTATTGTGCTAATGTCCACTATTGATATACATTCTGTGATCCTTATATCTTTGATGTCCTCTGACTCCTTTTACAAAGTGCTCCTCACAGATTAGAACTTGTTTTTGTGTCATAGATAGTTGTGCTATCATTAGATAGATTTCCATTAAGTCTGTAAAAATCATTTTCCTCTAGGGATGAATTCTTATCACTTTTAATGATGAATAAACTCATCAATAATTAAATCCAAGAGAATCACAGGGAAAAATCTTGCTTTGGTTTTTGGTTGTGATGAAATACCCGCAAAAATGCTGAAATCCTGATAAGCGTCGGCCGTACTCTGTGTGAAGTGCTAATGAACCTGCTGCATTTGCATTCAGAAAAGAAGTTCCCTTGGTTAAATGGATGTTTTTACAGCGGCGTGATGTGCTAGTGAGTTGGTGACAGACCTTCTCATCCTCTCTGTACTCCAGCCGTATGGTGTGGTGCGCCATACAAAGCGCTGTGATGATGAAGTAGACCAGAGCAAAGACGCTGTGGAGCCACAGAAAGCTGTCCCTGTGAAGCACAGAAACACTGCTGGAACTCAAAGGAATACCGATAGTCTGGTGTTTTTATCACAGCTCTGTACTTTCTCACCACATTTGATGTCATGTGTGGAGTGTTTGACTTACTTTGCGTTAACATTAGCCAGTGTTGTTCTCCCAAAGTTTTCAGGGCTGTCTTCTGTAGAAATAATGCAACATGACAGACAGCGAGACGTTTTAATTTTCTAATGACTTGAAGGAAACTCCTCCTTTTTGTCTGGAGGGTGAAGCAATGCAACTGTTCAAAGAGAACTGTTAAATGAAGACTCTCTCATCTCCACGAATCCTACACGAAACTCAAACATCACAGTCTTGCTCTCATAACTGGGCCACTCTTTGTCTGCCGTTGCCATGGCAGCCCGTCAATGATGTTGGTTTGTTTAACGAGCAGGGTGACACACCGGCCCATAGGATGACAGCCAGCACTAATAAAAAAGTTTCTGCTGCTCTCAGACCCCATAATGGCTCCTGTACTTCATGCAGTCATGGAATCACTTACTCAACACTTCCTACAAAACAAGCACAGCACTGCTGAAAGGCATTTCTGCTTGTATTTAGCAGCTAATTTTCTGCTTCATCCCACCCCTGACACCTACATGTGTATGTTAGGAGGAAATGAAGCACTTTCTATTTCAACAATCCTGCTTGATGAATTGCCACTGGCATGCAAGAAACTCCCATTAGATGCAGCCCAGCCTGCGTGTTTGAAAATAGCCATGGTTTTAACTTCATTATATTATTTCATGTCATTTTAAGTTAAAATTATCTTTTGACTTTTGATCTGCCTTCATTTGTACAATAAACTTTGGCCTTTTTAAAACTTAATTGTACCACAGACTGTTTAAAGCTAAAGTTTCTGTGCGTTCAGCTGCAAAACCCTTTGGAGTGTAGATGTGTGTGATTGTCTCTGTGTGGCCTGGCTTCTCTCCCTGTGAGGTTCTTCGGTGTGTCTCTCTTGAGGTTAAGGATATCCCTCTGCTTTTTAAACAGTCAGACCAGCTAAACCATCATGTAGTGCCCAAAATACCCAGGAGGTTCCCGGAAAAGTTGACCGGCAGGATTACAGCCAAAGACAGCAGGCAAACCACCGTCATGAGCAGGATGATGTGGCGCTGAAAGGACAGGTACGTTACGGCATCGATACCACATTTGCTACGAATCTCTTCATCTCTGCAGGAAAACAAAAACATACTGGGATTAGAATCTCTACCTCAAATCCAAGAGACATTTGACACTGTTTTACTAGGGGGACCATATTCTGAATCCCCAAAAAGAAGACACGACCATGCAGGGGCCCAGCTACAGAGTTGCACATGGTTAATTTTGAGTTTTTCGGGTAGGATATAGTGTTTTTCGCGGGCATCTAAATCAGAAGGTCCATGCGACGCAAACTCAAAACTTCTATACAGAACCCCAGATATTCGATTTTATAAACTCCCCTGAACAAAGCCGGATAAGGCCGGACAGCCCCCAAGAAAGAGGACATGTCCGGGTAAAAGAGGATGTATGGTCACCCTAGTTTTACACGACAAAATCAGAAATACAGCAAACTGTGCTCTTCTTTTAAGCAAGTCAATCCTAAACTTGCATAAATTTGTCACTCTGGCTACTGCCAGGGCCTTCAGACCGGCAGATTACACCTGATCATGATTAAAAATGTGGTGACTCAGGTGCTAAAGGCAGTGGCAACCAGGCAAGAGGTTCAGGAAACCCACTGTCATAAAACGGAACAAATGCATGGGAATACGGAGAAAAGAGGTGCAAGCTGGTCTCATGAAAGCCCACACATTGCGAACTTTCAGGGTGGGTTCACACTTTCCCAGGGATCCCTGGGTGAGCCACTGGCATGAGAGCTAAAAACGGCAGCATCCAAACTCCACCATTATACTATGGAAACCATGGACACAGTGGAAATCGCTTTTTTATGAGCCTAAATCTGTTGTGTGCAGTCAGACTTGAGCAAGTGCAAATATTCAAGGGGAAACCACGACACCCATTAAGCTCAGACTTGTTTGTTTTTCCTGCTAAATGACATATAACCCGGGACTTTACATTTGACAGTGACATCAGCTTTGAGGACTGAGCCCATAAAAGAATTGGAGCGAAGATGAGAGACGGGTGGAATAATTAGAAGGACAACGACTCTGTGTACTTACTTCATATGGTAAAGAGATGAGAGCCACGAGCAGAAGCCCTGCAGGGACAGGAGAATCGTAAAACAGAAAATGGATGCGTTATTTAGGATAATTAATGACATCTGTATGAGAGTCTCAACTCAGCACATCTGGCTTTTTGCATGAATCCTCTATTAGCATAGTAATAAGGTCTGCAGAGTGACACACAGAGATGGAGATTTAATAGGTCTAGCCTGTAGCACTAACCACTTTACTGCAGTCTCAGCTTTGTGTAGGCACAGTGTATGATGATGACTCCAGTCTGAGTCTTTGTCTTACACAGCTGTAAACATACAGGGAGTGACCTCACTCTGTCACACAGGTGTCACAGAGTCACAGACAGCACAGCTGAGTCATGGCTCAAACTTTCCTCTTACAAATGTTGACGTAATGACAGCTCGGACAAGTGGACTACATTGTAAAAGTGCAGCATGGTGCATTTTTAGTGATTAAGTCACAAATAAGAAATTCACTGGGGACAGCTTTTGACTAAAAATGTAAATAAATACAGAGGTGATCAGGAAGACTAGCCTATATCAGTAATTTTTAAGCAGCTCTGTAGCTACGATAGTGCTTTTTCCTCTTCCCTGCACAGTACAGACCTCTGAGTTTGTCTTTTTCAGTCTGAAATACCAAATTTTAAACCCTTTCTTTAGTTATTACTGATATTCTGGGGATTTTTTTTTATCACTAGTAGTATTGAAGTAGTATTGAATTTCCCTTCAGTGATAAATTAAGTTATTCTTAGTCTTATCCTTACAGTGGAGCAGTGTTTAGATGTCTACAATTGCTTTGCATGAAGTGGCACTCATGTTAACATGGACTATTTGGGCTAAAATGCAACAGGCTGCTTATATTCTTTTTTTTGCATTTTCATGAAGCACATTTCTTTCATTGGTGCTATCAATCCATACATTTCTGGAGTTATTCAGTGATTCATCACTGAAAATTCATACCTGGCCACATTTTTATAACTTTAAACGTATTATTTTTTACACAGGAATGAAATGTTAAATGTGTGTGTCCACATACTTATTGCCACTCTCTCATAAATCAGTGCCGAAGTTGGTGATCTGAAAATATGATTTAATATTTTTAAAACTAATTTACCTTGAATACAAAAACAATGTATGAGCTTGTGTGATCCACCACAAATTCTATATGCATTCTTTCAATATAAAACACATTTTTATACAACTGTAACATAGCAAACTACCTGTAAAGCAGTCAAAAATGAAATGAATAAAAGTTTCTTCCCTGAAACTCTACATAAACTGTATATTTACTAACATTCATACGGCCATATCAGCCCCATTCAGCAAATCTCTATGCATGAAAAAACTTTTAGTGCCTAAAATGAGGTATTTTGGAGGTTTTCATAGTTACAAAGTATAAACTGTCCTGGTTTATCAACAGAGCTGTGCAATGAATAGATATTATGATAAAAAAAGCTGAAAATAAAAAAGCATATTGTGATTATCATTTATAGTCATGTCATCTTGATATCTTATCCACTGTCCATTCCCCTTCATTCTGAACTTAATCCCACCAATAATAAGTTCATGTTGCTGATTGCTTCTTTAGCTATTTGCTAACTTAATCTGCAACTTGATTGGGATAAGATAAAGAGTTAGCAGTGGGTTTATAGACATTTTCGAATAAATATGACTCAGTATTTTTTACAAGCTGATTTTTAGCGCTTTTAAATATTCAGCTAAAAGGCACTGATCCGGTGGTCCGGTGATCATTCTTGACTAAGATTGTTTGTTTTGCTTTTACATTTGATTGAATTTTACATTTAATTTAAAACATATTAAATTCATTGTCAAAACAATGTGGAGAGCTTTCAAGTACAGCAGCGATACAGGGTCATCCAGTATACTGATCTTGACTTAGTATACACTGAAATTAAAGTGTTACAGGTTTAAAGTCGTTTGTTGAACCTCCAGGACATTAAATGTCTTTTTAAAAGAGGCTTGATGTGAACACAGTGGCATTAGTTTAGTATAAAATCCAACAGGGTACTTTTAATCCAGCTGAAATGCTGTCAGGGGGGCTTACTGGCACTTTCAGGAGCAGATGGAAAAAGATTTACACTCATCAAACTGAGAAACTCACCATGTCCTTTGTCTCGGAGTCAGATGGGCTGGTCTCTGAGGGGGACTTCTCTTTCTCACTTGGTTCTCCATAAAACAGGGAGGTGAGACTGATTGGACAGATAAATGAAGAAACAACAAGGTATTGATTGTTGCCTGACATGACCTTTTTTAGATCATCCTCTTTGATTAAATTACTTTAAGGCTATAAAAGACAGAACAAATAAAAACATGATGGATGTGCTGCAGACAGCCTCTTAGCACCTGTCTGACATCAATCCCTGCGTGTGTTTGTATACAGAGAAGACAGAAAACAATACAGTAAAGATGAATCTAATAAAGCCGCTGTGATGATGGAGTTTGTGGATATTTCTCTGTAGGCTGCGTCTCTGACAGTTCAACAGCGAGTCAAATTAAGCAGCATAATTGAATTATTACGAGAGAGGGCTGCTTGGCAAAACGCACAGATGATGCTCGCCCTTGGGTGCTGCGAAGCTGCTGCCGGTCAGCCAGAACTAATCAAGCCTCAGTTACCCAGAAGAGGAGACTCTGGTTAAGCAGAGGGAAATAAATGCTGCAGACTCATGCTGACTGCTCTGTGCACTGAAACTCCTGTAGATTTTTTTAAGGTATCCAAATACAGTATCAAAATAAATCTTATAATTTAGTCTTTATTTAATAAATACTTGTTTGTTTCCTATTTTTAAACAATACATAGCTCTACTAAAAACGGACAAGTTAAAAAAATCTTTCATGGTATTTGCTGACAACAGCAAAGTAAAAAATAGTCCAAGCCCTTTAACCCTGACCTTTGTTATTCTTGGAAAAATGTTAAAGACTGGCCATGTCAGGCCTCTGAAATGTGAGTATTGTTGCTTTTGTGCACACTTCACAGCTGTATACTGAATGCAGCAGGATAGGGCTCTCCACACACAGTGAAACTGCACACTCAGGCAAAGGCAGGTGTCAGGGATATTGAAAACAATAAATTAATTGCTGCACACTGTAAAACCACTTCATTGTGTCTACGTTATAGGAAAAATATAAGTCAAAGTAAATTAATTTTTGTGTGTAGTTATTTATTTTCTATGTGTATATTGAACAAGTTTTAGTTGTATAGTATTGTTTGTAACAAAATAAGCACTGTAAAGATAAAGAAATTGTGATTTTTTCCCCCCTTATGTTTTCTGATCTAATATGGAAATAATAATTGGTTTATTAAGCACAACACCAACAATAATCAGAAGCAAAGGTTTAGTTGATCCTTCCGTGTTCCTTGTTTCCTAAGCACTACCAGCAGAGGGAGCTACAGCCTCAGGATCAGGCTGCTGAAGTGGCTCCTCTAAGAATTATTTCTCCATCTTAAATGTAGCTCAAGTACCAGAGAGCATATCAAACAGCAGTAAATGGATTCACCTGTCATTGTCCATCAGTAGAGCCAGACGGCCATAGTCCCACGCGGCCTTCCTCAGACAGGAGAAGATGAGTAACAGGAACTAAAGCACAGAAGGACATGAATGAAGAGCTGTTATGGTTCAAAGCATGACACACGCTATAAAACCTGAAAACATCTTCATTTCAAAACTGAGGCTCATTTCTGCATTCACATATAATAATAATAATAATATAAAAAAAAAACAAGAATACACGGTTCAGCAAAACTAGCCTTCTTCTTTCTTTGGAGTAGTACGCGGTTGTCTTGGAAACTAACACAGACAGGTCAGCGTGCGCACATACACGCAGACACATGCTGAGCACTAATGAAGAATGAGCGTGGTCAAAAGAAAACATCTGTTCTATTCTGCTATGGACGGAGAAATGAAGTTTAAAAGCCCTTTTCAGTGACATTCAAAAGCACACAATGGGGAATTCAAGCTGAAAATCTCTGATTAAATGAATATACCTAAGAGTATAACTGGGCTATGAGAGACGAATGTTGACAAACGCAAATTGGGTAAAAGTGCTAATGAATGTTTGATTCAAATTACGGCATTAAATCATTAACTCATTTGTGGTTGGGAGACATTTGGTAAAGCGAGCGGGGATGTTAATAAGAGAAAAGCTCCTGTGAATGTTGAATGATTCATGCTTTAGTGAATCAGAGCTGTGCATACACAATCAGGGAATCCTTGACTGAGACGTAGATGATTAATAAGTGTGCGTTTGCATGCAGCTCTCGCTCAAACTCTATCCTTAAGTTAGGATCCCTCTGTTATCTCACTGTTACCCCGCTGTCCACCTCCTTCCTGTTGTTCTACTTTATTCAGTCCTGATGCGTGGGCACGTCCTCCTCATGTCCCACAGATGATTTATTCTGTATGATGATGGAATTGATGCAGAGGCGTTCTCCCGTCACCTGGGGGAAAGCATGATTTGACTCATGCCTGTCATTAGGAGACAGCATTCAACCCTCAGCGTTGTCTTGGCAACCAGGCAACGATAAAATGAGCCAATTAAGGAGCGGAGGTGGCAGATTGAGAGTGATATCGGTGCAGAGATCAAGCTTGACAAGGCCTGACAGAGGAACTCAGGTCGCTGACAAGTGAAACCAGAGGCTATTATTAACTGGAGGCAGGAGCTAAAACACTGAGCCGTTATGTAGACAGTGTTCATTATTGTACAGAGGATCCAATATACTCGATGTAAGGAACTTTTTAAAAATTTTCTTCACAACATATTAAAAAAAAGATCTGAAAATATATTACTTTTTGATGGATGACAAAATCCATGAGTAAAGTCTACTTTAAGGTGTGAAGGGATCATTGTACTAGAGGGTGAAATTATGTATTTCAAATATTAAAACAGACTCTTTGTATCATAAAACCATATTTATTTGCACTCCTTTAAAAAAACTATTAAACTAAGCTATAAAAAAAGGCTGACAGAAGAGAAGCCCATAAAGCTTTTTTCCAGTTGTTTATGAATGTATACAAATATTATGTCAAAAGAGGTTTTATCCCTCAGTTGTACAAAAGCCTTGATGACCTAAAACTTCACTCTACAAAATATATACGTATATGAAAAAAGGTGGAAAACGTTGGGCAAACTGATAGTGATGGACAAAGAGTGGCAACATATCTATGCATTTTATCCCTTCTGTGGGAAAAACTAGAAAAGTGACACTTTTTTTTAACTCCCATACAAAGGCTTCATATTACAATTGAAATTCTCAGACTGGAGAAACTGTGGTTATCGAGCTGTGAGCCAAATATCACATTGTCATGAGGGAATTGCCAAATGGTGACTTTGATTTCACTTTTTTCTCCTTCTCTTACCGTCACCTTCTCTCTGGGTGTATACTGTTATCTTACGGCTCACCTAAGAGGCTATTGAAAATGGTTTTAAGAATCCATGTTAAATAGATACAAGGCTGAGACTGCAGTTTGGTACAATGACAATATTTATCCTTTAATACATCCTACTTTTTCTAAGAGTCTACCACAATTTTAAGTGTAAGTACACCCAATTTTCTTAATGTAAAAGATAAAATAATACGCCATGTTCTGAAGGTGGAGGCTTAATTTAAATTTCAGATTAAGTTCTGGAAAAAATTCCCCTGACTGAACAACATTAAGGTTCCTGGCTCAGCAGAGGAAAATGAAATGATATGATACATGTTTTTTGGACAGTTTAAGGAATAACACACAAACCAGCCCAGAGTTTGACCCTAGCATATTATTGACTCTTGACACAGGCGTTGTTTTGCCTTATCATCAACTTCAGAGCAAAGCGGTGTGACAGCGTGTCCGTTAAACGTTTTATTTTTACAGCAACAGCCCTCTGACAATGCATCACCTCTTGCTGCCAGCTTGTATCAGAGTCTTCATTACATCTCAACAGGGTGTTGGCAGCTCTGTGTATATTCAGGGACTGTCAAGACTTATTGAACTGCAGCTGTACACATACAAAAGTCCACTTTAAACGTTAAAGATCAATGACAGTGCTCCTACTAATAAGTATTTTTCGCGAAGCTGTAACCTGCATAAATATTTTTTTTTTCTATTAAGATCCTGAACTGCTGACTTTTGATCTGTTGTTTGTAACCATAAACCATCATGGCCTTAAGGGAAGGACACTTGATATTTGAGGTTTATAAAAGAAGGTTAAAAAAAACAAAAAACAGAAACTGTAATTAACTGAGATCAAAATAATAAAATTAGGATCAAATATTCATGAAAAGAGGCTTATTGAATAGTTTAGATCGGGTACATTCATTCAGAAACAGTGTAGATTATAAATTGCATCATAGAGTTTGATTCTTTACCATCCAGAGTACAACATTGATGGCGAGGACCGTGGGCACCCCTCCGAATGGCAGCCCCTGGAGGACGCTACTGCGGGAGTGTGAGCGGTAGCATCTCTCGGCCGTGCTGTTTGCTTCTCCAAACGAGTCCAAAAAGCTCAGAACATCTAGCTCCACGGGCCTCCCCTCCACCGGGGGCGCTCTTGTCTCAAACAGCTCAGAGTGCGCCATCAGGACTGAACCATACCTGAGGGTCAAGAAAGAGACAAGTCAACTGTTGGAGTAAGGCCTGTTCTACCTTTTTCTCTATTAGCTTTGAGACAGATCTGTTGAAGCTCTGCAATTCAGGTTTATTGATAAATATTTCCACACCTATAATTTTAACAGCATCATTTTCCCACTCTCCCCTCTATGTTTTTGACTTTATCCACTCTATCTCTCAATGAAGGGGTAAAAAAAAGGCGACAAAATAGTTTCTATGAAATGGAGAGGATTGTAGTGCAAGAAATAAATGTTGTGGTGCAGATAATAAACCTTGAATTAGCTGTTAAATACTCTCCATTTTCAACATACGACAAGCATTATGGTCTTTTTCTCACAGATAATTGTCTTCCATCCTCTCTCAGTGTGGTTATGAGCTCATTTATCCATCTAATGATGATCACAGTCCATTAGCAGCCATTTATCTGTATCTGTTATTGTACTGGATGAATGGAAGTGAGATGTCACATGTGAAAAACTGATCAGGAGACAAACAAACAGCAGGAGCTTTACAAAGCCCAACAGACAGATGCTAATAGCCTCTTAAACCGCATCAACAACATGTTTGAATGACAGGCTTGGAACAACAGTGAAACCTTCAACTGCGCTCTTCTGCCTTTGTGGACAGCTTGAGGAGGATCGGCAGTTCTTGCTGAAGCACATAGAGAATAATATCACTTACACCGTCATGACCACAAAACCATCTGTCCTCCAGCGCCACACACTCCTCTCACTTTCAATCAATACAGTCCCGACTCGCATCTGCTCGGCTTGTGTACACTCCTCCCTGAACAAACAGTTTCAGGGAAATGGAGCAGCAGCAGCAACAGAGTGCTGACAACGCTTTGCATCAATACAGCGATTACACCTGAGCATGAGACATCAATCATCAGATTTTGCAGCAGAAATGAGCCTCCACAACATATGCAGAGATGTTATTATTGTTACATAATGGTATGCTCAGTAGTAAACACACTGTGCACTCTGCAGCCAAAAAATAAGCATCATTAGCCAACTCTCATAAGAGCTGCTAGGTAACACGAGACTAAAACAACCGAGAGGCGGTAGAGGATGCTAAAGGTTTCCAAACTGGCACACATTTCTAAACCCAGCCTTATTGTTATTTATCACTGCACCACTGATGCCACTTCCTGGGAATCTCAATCAGTTTTGTGAAGGATTTAGTAAAAACAGCTGGATGTCTGATGTAGGAGGCGAGCTGATCAATGGCAGAGCTGCTGGACTGCTGTACATCACACTGTCAGAGCGGTCTGCAGAGGAACAAAAATACAACCCAGTAATAATTCAACAGCTCTTTCTGCACTACAACAGTCCCCCTTTACTTCTGTTAGCCTCCAATCAATATTCAGCTGCTGTCAGATACCAAGTCTCTGATCCTCCAACTGAGAAGTGAGCAGAAGATTCCCTGAGGATGAAGATCACAATCCATAACATACACACACAATCTGCAGAGCACTGTTATCAACTTTCTTTATGGTGCTTTCTTGGGCTAAATGTGCATGATTTTATATGATTTTTGTATTCAAAAGGTGGTAGGCTACTGAGCTTGATACTATTTGCAGTACCTCCCTGGGAATCTATTCAATAATCTTGTTCAAAAGCCTAAAAATAGGAAGATGCAGTAAAAAGGAAACTATTTGGTGCCTATTTATATCCGCCTGAGATGAGTGGATCAATAGCAAACAAATCAAAGTGCAGCTGTGAGCCGTGACAAAGCAACAGGAGCTAAATCAAACAGTCATGATGCCTAATTGTAAAAGAAACTAAACAATCTGGCTGTAAACTGGAAGCACACAGAGCTCTGACAGAATTGGACATGCAGACGCTAAAACAGACCTTAAACGGCTCATTGAGCTGCTCTTCCTTCTGCATCAGATGAGCCATTCACTCTGAACACAGCCTGCTGCTCATGCTAACAGTTCAACTCTTCCTCTCCACCTCCAGAACGGAGCAGGATGCTGAGGGATACAGGCTGCCTGTGGTGTGGTTTCACACAACATTTGGACAAACGTCACAGCATGACTCAGCAGGTTTAGCAACAAGACTCCATGGATCTTCTTTATCTGTCATTCCCTTGCTAAACAAACACTCAAACATGCTCACTGTCATCCCACAGTATCCGTTTCTTCTGCAGCTTATGAACTTTGCTAATCTGATGTCTCCCTAATCCGTTCCCTCTGCTCATTTCTTTTCCCCTCATCCCTGAGTCTTGCTGCCAAGCCAGTGCAGCAGATTACAAACTGAAGTTTGGCTTGCAAAGTAGCATTCTGCCTCCGACTAGCAGCATGAGTAAAATCTCTCCTCTGTGCAGGGTTATTATGATCACAAACGCTGAAGTAAGTTCAGAAACAGAGAGCTGGTGATAACATACACCTGAGTTAGAGTCAGAGAAGCAGAGAAAACAGCACACTGTTCAAAAGGGGAAGAGCTGGCTAGCTAATCTGCTCATTGCATCAGAAAAAACAGCTGAGGTATCTTGTGTGAGTGTTAATGTATGTGTGTGTTTGTCTGTGTGTATCTGTCAGGGATAAGGAGAGAGGATACAAGCCTCGAGGTGATAGGGACAAAACAATTAAAGTGAGGTCAGAAGATCAATAGTATGCAATAAACCCTGATTAATCTATGTCTGCCCCTAAACCCTCACAATACCTGAATTAAATTAGCTTTAGCTTCAGCTGGTTTGATTATATGGTTTGATTGAGGGCACCATTGTGGCCATGATTCATTAATGCCTGTAATAAGAAGGAAAACAGACAAGATTGAAAATCTACAGTCATGCAGGCTTTTAAGTTTGAGTGAAACACTGACACCAGCATTCAACACACAATCACAATTTAAAAAATGCTAAAATATATATGTATATAACAGTGGCATGAATGTCTGTGCTAAATTTGCCAAAAATGCCCATGATATGTTGTGCAGCCACCTGCCATGAGCCAACAATGCAGCCCTGTTAATGCTCTAATGTTCTACTACCTGTATGTAAACAAGCACAGCAATGTACAGTTTGGCAGTATTTTGATCTTGAAAACGCAGAGAAAACCACATGTGGCTGGGCTTGTATAAACCTGCATACAATTACTCAACTGAAGTGATGTGTATTTCAGACATGTGGATGTTTACGTCTAAGAAGTGCCAAAAGTTGTAGGTGCTCTGCTAACATTCGCCTCGAGCAGCAAAGCAATTTAAAATCAATTACTGGGAGACTTTGTGATCTTTTGATTAACGGTGCTGAATACACCGTCCTCAGCTGTCATTGTTTTCTTACATGTTACTTGAATTTTAATTTTTTGTAGATAGAGGCCTTATAACATATCTCTCAAAATACCAACAATATCACCAAAAGGCCTCAAGTTATTTCATGAAAAAAAAAAGGAACATCATGATTGTCGTTTGAAATCAATCTGTTTGAGATCCTTTTTGAAATCTGGCTGTCACCATATCATGTTTTCCCTTCATGGTTATCATGACCACCTGATATTTAATGAAATGTTGAAGAAGTCCCTAAAACAATCAATCAATGTGAGGATATGGACAAATCAAGGACAAACTAAGACAACATAAACTTATGATGGATGACCTATGAATGATTTATCTGCATCACCAGTCCTGTGACCAAAACTTCTTTGGAGCAGGCACTGCCTCATAAATGATTTTCATGCTTTTATTTTCATATATTTTTTCTGTTCAGTGTTCAGGTTGCGTAATTTCCTGTATGGACAAACTATGCTTTTATTTTGAAAAATCTACATCTGGTATAGTAAGCTACAGAACTCAAAGAAAATAGTTAAATAAACAGTTTGGAAGTCCAAATGTTTAATAAATCAGTAATCCACATCAGTACCAGTTTTAACATTGTTTTTGGATTCACAATTAATCTGGAAAAGCCAGTTATAAAAAGTGCCTAATCATGTCTCGAAGGGCTGCTAACAGTACGCTACTTCCTCTTTGTCTATTCTCTATTATTATTATTATTACTGCTATTATCATTGTGATTGAAATGCAATATGATATGTGAGTCAGGAAGTGACTAGACAAGTAAGCTTTTTAAGAGCAGGATTATACTGCAGAGCAGATGGCGAGGGTGGTGTGCATCAAAGTTTTCCTGAGGGACTTAAATCTGGCTGAATGGCATCCATTGCTCTCACACACCCTATCTTAAATTTCACCTGTATCACAATTTTAAAATCCATCTGATCCACAAATACGTGCTTTATCATACTTCCTTGAAATCTGCTTTAAAAACAAGACAAGAAAGAGTTTTATCTCTAAACACACTTGAAAACACTAGGATCAGTCCTGGTGTCTCCATCCTCATCGACAACATAAACCATTTGTTGGACAGCGGCAGAAGAGCTTTTTCTTTCATGGTCAAACATTCAGCTGGATGAAGACACACCACCTGCCCAAGGGAAAGACAGAGATGCTTCTATTTCACTACAGAAATGAACCATAAATAACATGTGAACTTGCTCTGACATGCAGACCTCTGCACCTGCTCAACTGCCAGCTACAGAGAGATAAAAGACTACCCCCAAGGACACCTTGCAATAACCATAAATAAAAGAATAATAGCTTCCAAGCTGTTGTTTCTCTTCTTGTACTGTCTGAAATCTTGTTAAACACACAGTTTTCCCCTGCTGCTGCTGCTCTGTTTGTGTTGGCAAAGATGTGTCCCTCTATTTGGGACAGTGATACCTGCATGGAGGCGGAAGATTTGATGTTTCCTTTGTCATAAAGTTAATCTCTAAAGCCTGCTGTGACACCACAGCATGAGCGGCTTTTACCTGTGCTCTGCATGTGAATGTAAATGCGCAACCATAATTATGGAAACCCAGCTGTTTAAAAGGTATTCTGTTTGAACAGTCACTCTTCAGTGAGCTCTTCACAAGCCATAAGAAATTATAGTGATGCAACACGACACAGTGTGGATTGGAAGCTGATCTTTTGCAGTAACAACTAAGAGGAACTGAAAAATACTGAAAGGCAACTGAGGGTAGACAAAATAACTTAGCTTCAGAGATGCAGTTATAGCTTCTCGCAGCAGGTTGGACGGAGAAACAATCCTGAGTCATCTCATGAAGTGGGTGTGGTGCATTTTGGAAGCAATCATTCAACTTTTTACACATCCGACGGATTGAGTGCCAACTTTATGACTTTGTAGTAAGGCTGGGCAATGTGGGAAAAAAATTATCACAATGTATTTTTTCATATCAGTCGATATCGATATATATATCACGATATAAAAAAAAAGAAATATAGAAGTGCTTATTGGTAGCATGTCTTTTGCAATACAATAAGCTACTGCATCTGTGAGATCTTTGTGTCTCTTTGACATTTTGTTGTAAGCGTTGGGCTAGGGAAAGCGGACTGAATCGTCAGCTGTTTCGGCTGCACAGGTGCCATGGGCTCCTTGCTCCGCTCGGGGTTTGTAACATTTTGCATTGTACATGCTCTGCCGCATGGCACTTCTTCAAGTGGTGAAAAAGATTTGAGGTATTCACCGACTTTGCAAGAACATGTACTCGAAATAATTTGCAGTGAACTTTACTCTGCTTCATGTCCGACCTCAAAAAAACAAAATGCCTCCACACCATCAACGTTTTCATGCCAGTGTTGTCGATGATGTCGTCATCTGTTGAGCCTTCATCTGCATTTCTGCCAGGGGTAGCACTCATTTCTCTTTTTCTCACCGACAGTGCTGTCAGCTTCACCTGTTTAAAGTGCTATGGTTGCGTGTAGCTGCAGCCTGTTACTATGCAGTTGTTTGCTACTTGGCTCTAATTCAGCACATGATTAGTTCAGCGCGAAGCGAACCCAGAGCAACTCCCCTTTTTATTGGCTATTCATATCATTTACCAAAACATGGCAGAATACCGGCTATTGAAAAGGATATTGACCATGTTTTATATTGATATTGAGGGAAATTAATTTTTTCATTATATATTGTTATCGTTTTATTACCCATCCCTACTTTGTAGACAAGCTTCTGACAACCTGAGCAATACTAAGTCACATGTTCACATTCCTTTAATTTCAATTTTGGTCTCTGCTAACTTTCAGTGTAAATACTTGGCAACTTAATAAAAGGGTTAATTATTCATATTAACTTATCTAATTTTATTGCCTGCAGTCTGATGCTGGGTTTGGCAGGTTTCCATTGAGCATGTCATAGCAATAAATAACTTTTCAAACATGGGATTTGGTTTATGCTGTATCATCCTATCACAATAATAAACTTTTAAACGAAAAGAAAGTGTTGTATTTTTGATACAGCGACACAAAGAGGTGTGATGTGTTAACGTGTCAAAGCATGCACAGCAACAACACGAGCATAAACATGTCAAATAGCGAGAGCAGTGGTTTGGCCTTCAATGATGATTTAGTATCTAAAATGAGAGCTCAAATAAAAAAAATCTCACATCAAACCTCAAAGACATTCGACTCATGTTGTGGCTTAAATGCAATAAATCCAAATCAAATTGGGAGGGTTTGTAATTTAAATTATAGAGCTACTTTTTTTTTCCACTGGGATTTTATATTATCATTAAAAAATAAAAAATAAAAAGTCATTTTTCTAAGTCATCCATTCTCTGCAAGCATAAGTAAGCCGTCCAAATATCTGGACTGGACCAGTGGATGAAAAACGGTTTAATAAAGTCTTTGCAAGCGTTGCTCTGACACAAACAAAGCCTGAAGCAGTGAGCAATTTGTCACTGCTCAAATCCACAAATCCAACTCCACTTTCTACATGGCAAGAGTTTGGGTTCCGAAACCTCACACCTGTATGCAGTTGTTGGTGTGTTTGGTGTCTCCCTCTACAATCCTGAGTGTTGATGTGTTTTTTAATCAGCTGGAAGGTATTTTTGTATGCATTTATGATTGAGTTGCACAGAGGTGCTGCCGGCCACAAAGAATTAGCATAGTTAGCATGTGAAGTTAGTAACTAGTGTAATGTAAGGATTGGCTTATTTTTATCTACACAGGTTGAAAACATTTTTTTTCCCTTCACGTCTTAATTTATGTAGCTCAAATCAAAGTTTTCCCCCAAATAAGGTAAATGTTCATCAGATCCTACACAAAAGATATATTCACCTGAACTTCAAATAGGCCCCGCCTTAAATACTCGCTCTACGATCTCACTCCTCTATTGTGCTGTTGGAATAATTTAATACGGAAACCATTTGTGAGTGCATCTATTTTCACTCTACAGGGGCTCCGAGCAACTGCTGTGATGCTCCCGTTTGGAGGGAGGTGTTTGGGGGTGCAGCGGGCAACTCTCCCTTGCTTCATCCGGAGGGGGGGAGAAAGAGGGGAGGGTTTTCACACAATCTGCTCACCACCTGCTTAGTGAAAAAGGGGAGGATGCTTTCCTCTTTTTATACCTCACTTTCTCTCACCATCAGGCAGAGCACAAACACAGCTTAGTGAGGTGTGTCTGCTCAGAGCACATGGTTAATGCAGTCATTTCTTTTTCCTCCAAAGGCTGAATGAGCCTTCATATGAATCGAGCTATGACTGCACACACAGACTGTGCTCAACTAACCAACACCTGCTTCCTGTTAGGCAGCACATGCCCAGTGAGCCCCCAGGGGAGCGCTGTGTGTCTGCTGTGCCTCTCCTGTATGGACCAGGCCCATCCTCATTAGACCCCATGATAGATTCAGTCCAACACCGACACTGACTGACACACCTGACTAACCTGGGTTTTCTCTGTGCAACCCAGAGCTTCTGGAGGATTCCACCCACAGCCTGTCACACTGAAAAAACAAACAGCTGGAGCTGATCTTTACAATGGACCTGGGAGACAACCGGACTCTCAGAAACAAAATTACTTTCACCCACACAGCTATAAAAATGTGCAAACGCTGACAAAAGAAACAGATCCCTACTGAGAAATAAACATCTAAACTGAGAAATGCAAACAATAATTAGAATAAAACGTGTCTTATCACACATCTGGCCACAGATATCAAAAGTTGGACCTGGTAAAAAGCGGTATTCGAGGACCTTTTTGAATTAGAAGATGCTAGTAGCTCACAAGTCTGTAGCCACAGTCTGTATTGGTCGCCATATCATGTTCCCTGCCTGACTGAACGCTACTGTTTGTAACCAACTTTCTTCAATATTGGTAAAAATATAAGAAGATAATATAATATAAGAAAACTCTTCTGATGGGAGAGCATATTCAAAGCTGACCTTGTCAAAGCACTCTGTTATCCTTTGTATGGGAAGGCTACGCTTAGATAAAAGACTCTATAGATGTTACTGTGTCCACTGGAAAACCTCTGGCATTTGGTGCTTAAAGCTCCTGTAAGGAACTTTTGGTTGTGTCAATTTTGACAAAGCAGCCTTTGCTTATGTTTTCCTTTACAAGCTTAAACTTGTAGAGGAAAATTTTTGACAGTCAAATGCACCAATTAATGTGAATATTTTATGTGGAAATTGTAAAAAGGCGGCTGTTTCTTGAGCTGCATTGCCATCACCTACCCCCTCACACTGATTTAGCAGGCATCAAAAACAACAATATAAAAATCAATGGGCTTTCTGGTCGTACAGTCTCTTAAATCAAGTTAAATAAAATGATAGAGATGACTCCCTCTGACAAACTAGCTTCTATTCCAATTCTCTGATCGGTTTCTCATCAAAAGAGTCAAACTAACTGGCGCACTTACTATTGACAGATACCTCATTCCAAAAACCCTGCCGCTTTAAGAAACCTTAAAGGGATTGAAACAGCGTTTGTGGTGCAGAAAACATTCAATTCTAAATCATTCTTTACTTAACTTGCAATTTAATGATATTCAAATGTCTTTTAGTGTTTTTGTCATCACTTATTGGCATCAATCTTTTCCTTCTACGGCTAAACAAAGTAAAATGCCTGTCAAAAGCATTTTTTGTTTTGTCTAAATAAACATGCACAGCTAAGAGATGTTTGATTTGCTTTCAAAAGTAACAATAAGGAAAGAGCAGTGACTGAACATCAACAATTATCGTGATTCATATCCCGTCATTAGTCTAAGAGAGAAATTGACTGGTTGTTTCAGCTCTAATGGAAGATATATTCAGCTTGTAGGAAGTGGAGAAAAATGCAAAACCACCAGTATGGACATTTAATAATGACCGAGCCTGTTCGTCAGATGAGATTTTTGGCCTCCAGGCGCGTGAACAGGCAATATTAGATCTGTGAAATGTGAGATGATGAGAAAGTCTGACAGCTATATGTGCCTGTGCATATCAAATACTGCTTTTTTTTGTTGTCTGGTAAACTCTACATCGCACGCTTTTTGATGGAGAGGATCTGTTTACGACACATCAATGCTGCCTGCATCTGCATCACTGTGATGGACCCCTGAGGAATAGCAGGAAAGTTCACAGCAGGAATTTCAAACAGCATGGAGCCTCCTATCCGCCCAAGACATAAAAAGAACAAAGCCCAGCCTATGGTACATAACTGCTGTGGTTAGAAGGCAGCTGGAATACAAATGGAGGTTTTACAGGTAACAATGATATCATCAGCGACTGCTTTGTACAGTTATTCTAGTTGTGTTCGATTTTCTGTCCAGGGTGCTTTCATCAATGGGTTTTCTGACAATCTTATTCACATCCTGCAGCTTTTGACATGACATGTAACAAGGGAGATGAGTTACTGATATACTACTCACATATGATGCAACTCTTAATGTATTTTACTCACACAAGCGTACCCGGAGTTCCACAACTCGACACCACCCTCATCTTCATCATGACTAGAGGAGAAATAGTAAACAGGAAGATTCCTGCAGTAGTGCTACACAGAAGTGAGTGTGATCTGTTAACAGCATGGGCTGTTCCCGTCAGAGTCTATTCAGGGAGCGAGGGTACAGCCAACCTTTACACTCATTTACCATGCAATGCAGAACCACTGTCTATCAACCCCCCCATTGCACTAGGGCTGGATGGCACAAACCAATTTAGGATATGATTACATTCATTGAATTAGGGATAAAAACACCCATCTCTCTTTGCTTCTTTTTAAATGTTTTCCAAATGAAAATTTAATGAATGGAATTGATACAGAATTCTCAAATCACATTGACTTCTAAAACATGGTTTAAGTTCTTCTTATAAAGTTGATTTATATCCACCCTTTGGGGCTACACTACATCAAAAATTCTCTGATGTGCTTTTCAGGTATGTTTGATGTTTTGCCGAGTACCACCCTCTAGAAGGGATTAGTAAAGATTGCTGTGTCCCCATGGGGTGCCAACATTGACACAAACTAAACATTTCTGACTGTAGCTTTAAAGACAGTTTTGGAAACCAGGGAAGTCTCTTTAACACCCTTTGTTCATATACCTATTTTTACCAGCTGTGATCATTTTCTATTATCACAGGGTGTTGGTTTTTCCGACTCTTGTGTTCACTAACCTCACATTGATCAGCAGGTAAACATCAGTTAATCTGGTGCTGGCTGACACCAAACTAGAGATTCATCTGACTGGCCCCTATTTCCAAGTCAAATGCTGGCATAATTTTTAGGTTTCCCTCATAGCTCTGCAAACTAACTGTGGCACAGATTCACTTTTGCTACAAGTTCTGTGTCCTGGAAGATACAAGGCCAACAGACTACTCCCCCTGTGTTTCACAATCTGATTGAATCCAGATCAAGACTGAGGTCATGCTTTTATCACACATTATTATTTTTTGGACTTGGAAAAGCTTATACCTAAGAATTAGAAATATTTTAAATCCGCACAGCATTCATTTTAAGCTCTGTCAATGTGAGTCCCAGCAGATTATATGATTTCTGATGCCTTACACCATTAGATTCAAACATCAAACGCTCTTTGTGCAAACACTTCACCGCTGACTGTTTGATCATTGCCCACCTGCCTGGGGTGCTGAAACAAAAACACTAGGTAAAGCACATCCATAGACAGTGGCTTATGTTTATAAGTCACACCCACTTTGATTTCCTTAAGGGAACCTTCCCAAAAGTATAAATGAAGTTCAATCTAATCTAATCTCTGATCTGATCTGTAGTCATCATGTTCTGCTAGTCCATCCTCTGCGAGTACAAGATATCCATCTCACTGCAGCAAGCTATTTTTTCAATCTCAGCTTGGAGTCTCTTTAAATATTCATGTCTGTGTGATTCTTAAAAAAAAACAACCTGAGAGCACTTTTATTTTAGCACTGTCAAATCAAACTTTAGAGAGAAAGACCTAAAAATGATTGAGATCATCAAACAGCAAAATGACATTAAATCCTGCACACTAGCATTCACAAGGGAACATTTTGAGTGAAGATCTTTTTGAGCACTGAATTGTCAAGTTACACTTCACTTGTCATTTTATGCAAGAGTTTACTATTTACACTTAGTAATTGGTAACTTTATCAACCAGGTCCTACAAAAATACAATTCAACTAAAATTTTAGTTGTTTACAAAATGTCCTATTTGTATTTTCAGCAAGGATCTGAATTCAGCCACAAAAAAAAAAAAAAAAAAAAAAAAAAAAAATCACTAATTCAGCCTCTGTGGGGATCTGCTGCCTCCCACCCACTTCTGACCTCATCATCCATGCAGCAATCTGAGTGGGTGGGGATGTACTGTCATGATGATAATGAGGAACTGATTGGCTGCCCAAATGTTGTTTTCAGGGTGAGGGTAAAGACCAGTTTAGGTGGATACAGAAACAGAAAAACACCAAAACTCACAAGGCAAGCACTCCAGACGGACCCACGCCAGTGACGGGGAAAATGTTTTTTGATATCAAGCACCTTTGAAGGTGGACTTGAAAAATAACCCTCTGTGTAATTAATTAAAAGTTTTTTTAATTCACTCAATATGGTCACAATACTAAATGTTCAACATCTAAAATCATACCGATAAAAATTCAAGTAAACAGCTTTCATTGCTAACTTAAAACTTGTTTCAGCAATGTCTAAAACCCCGAGAGCTTGTTTGACTGTGAGTTTAAAGCCAAATACATCAATCGTTTACATTGATTCAAGAGTTTGACTGACAGTTTTTGCCTCTTTGATGAGTAAAAGCGTACATCTCTATCCATGGATGTCATAAATGAGGGCTTGGAAACATAATAAAGCTCAGCTCTAATAAATTGAGGACTCTTAATGCCATCATTACTGTCATTTATCCTGCTTTAAAGCTGTGTTTGGACTAAAGCTTGTCGATCTGACATCTTAGAAGTCTGTGTCCTCAATAAAAAACACCTAAATATGACTCTCTTTTGAACAATCAGACCTTCCTCCACATGATATTTTCTCTTTTTTCAAGTCAGAACACATGGCATGGCATTCAAAAGCTGTGTGCGTGTGACCAACTGAAATGCCAAAGCCCATTTATAAATCTGGCTCCCTAAAGGCCACAATCAGACAGGTGTAGCTGGCAGAATATATGAGCTGATGTAAGACACAGTCTACCTCTTTTGTATTAAATGCCAGAGGACTGCAGAAAAAGTAGAGATGGGTAAAACCCTGTGAGTATGCAGAAGAATCAGCATGGATTCAACAGGTCACACCACTAACTCATTACAGCCATGAGAACTGTGACAAGTAGATCCATCACACCGATCAACGACAGCAACAACAATGGGCAGAGCATGTTTACAGCATTGCCTCAAGCAAAAAAAGCTATAATTTGCAGTATTATTCAACAGGGAACCCTGAATTAGAGGCAAGAGTGTCTACAAGAGGTACCAGCCAGTAATCTCCATGAGGAACAATAGGTGTTGTAGTGAGAAAGAGGGGACTGTCTCTTCTGTTTTGGGTGTTGTTGTGACACACTGCCAAGAGCACCCTCACGCTAACAGGCTAAAAACAACTCTGTCTCAGGATACAGGTCCATCTGCAACCACCGCACTGATTTAGATCTGATTTCTGCTTGATAGTGAAAGGTAAAGGCGTTTCTTTTTTCACCATCATATCGTTTTTGGCGACTCCTTCCATCGCTCACTGCAGCACCCACATCAGTCTGAGCCCCCACCTTCCTCCGGCTCACTAACTTCATGGAATAATTGCGCCATAAATAGCGCAATAAACCTCACCATCACTTTTTACATCAGTAAAAGGTTATTTTACAAATCCACATCACTCACCTCAGGGCGCTTCCTGGTCGCTGGCGTCTGCTGCTGATGAGGATGCTGCTAGAGCTTTTTTTTTTTTACCCCCTCCTACAGCAAGAAACAAGAGAAACTCCCACCTACTCAGGGGCCGTCTGACAATTCTGCAACTAAAGCCTACTTAGGGAGCGTCAACTATTTCTACATCAATGTTTTTACTCCATGATTTTAGGAAATATTCGCTGAATTTTGCGCCAGGTACCCATACGATGATTTCTAATCAGATGAATGACATTTATTTTTTTATTTTTTTTTTATTTTTTGGTTTTATTAAATAAAATTATTATTAGATTCTGAAGCTAAGAAAATGACATTAACAAAGCATGGATTTGGTCATGCCCTGCCACTAACTACTGAAGGTAAATGAATCTTATTGTCTGTCAACACCCAGCTAAGAGGTAAAATAATCAAGGTTGCATTGCCATCTACTGGTAAACTACCTTCCCTGCAATACCAAAAACCTCCAGCCAGACAAAACATCAGCTCTTCTTATTTTTCTCTAGTCTGTGATTTGCTTCGGTGCAGAAACCACATTTATCAAATATGTGCTTTGACATCTTCTTTATGTTTTTGCCATTGGTACTTTTATCATCAGTGGTAACTGCACTCTGACTTAAGTCATCTGACTCTGAGCTTATTTAAGTCATTTTTAGTACAGTAAAATGCAGCTAAATGCAACTTTCAGTGAGATAAGATTGCAACCTCAGTTCCACATAGGTAATTTAAAGCATACAAGTTATTTAACTGCAAGATAAGTCAAGTGTTGACACTGAATTAAGTCATTACTTTTACAGAACTACAAAATTTCACATTCATTTTTAATTTAATACCAGTAACACGTTTAAGAACAGTTGAGAAAGGGTCACATTTACAGCTGTGTTACATCACCACTTCTTTTAACAACACCCTGAAAATCCAAGGGACCAGTTTAGTTTAGAAAGTGAGATTTTGTTCAGAATACTTCAATGATAGGGATGCTGGATAAGGATGCCTGATTCTGTTTAACCTTCCACCTGTGTTAGCTTTTACTACACACTAGGGTCAGTTTTGACCTGTGTCTTAAATCAGCCAAAAATTACACTAAGAACAATTCTCTATCATCCAATTTGGTTCTCATCTCTAGGTTATCTTATTCACATTCATCATTCATAAAAATATTGCTTATAACAGTTTTTGTAGTGGTCCTCTGGGTCTTTCTTTGTCAGTATACCCCTCATACAGACATCTATACTGAACTGATCTCACATGTCTGGACATGGCTGATGTTTTTTGTGCAGGAAAAACATGGAAAAATGATAATTTCCTTAATCTCCCATGATTGGAAGAGGATCTGACTGTCAGTGTGGTGCCTGGCGGTGAACTTGTGATTTCAGTTGTTGCTCTGATTATTACATATTGATCTAACCAGGTCAACAATGACCCTAACACAATAAGTGCAACAAGTTTTGTTGAAATAGAGTTTCCAGACAAAGTCAAAACGTCTTGATGCAAAAAAAACTTATTTGTTTCTTTTAAGCATTTAAAAACAAAAACAGGTTGGTGCAGACCCTAACACAGGAGGAGGGTTAATGAAACAGTGACATTTTCCCATATTCATTTGATACGATTGCATATGACATTTTGATGTTATTATAATACTGTTTTTTGAGTAGTCATTACACTGTCATACAAAAAAGAGTTGAAAAATTTAGAGTATAAAGCTGTGATATAAAGTTGTGGTAGTAATTTTGAAGGCCAAAGGGTGACCTATATTTTATTTTGAAGGGGTATATATTTCTTGACAAGCCTTTTTAGGCATATAACTTCTTAATGGCCTTCATTATTTTGTTTTCGTCTATTAAAGGTTTGTTAGGGAAAAAAAGGCAAAAACAAATCAAATAAAATACTAAACAAACAACACCAAAAAACTGAAAAGGAGTCAAAGAGACGCATCCGAACCAGCAGGCGGCGATAGACGGAGCAGTAGATCCCCAACAATGAGCAGGGACGTGGATGTGTCTCTAAAACACCTTGAGAGCGTTTGAATGAACGTGCAGAGCTTCGAGCCGAGTCACCGTGGTGCTGAAGGGACAGCTCCTCATCTCTCTAACATCTGCAGGTAGGACAACATGACGAGATTTGGACGAGATTTATTCCTTTTTTTTGTCATGATAATAACTGACGCCACTGTGACAGACATCACGGAGGATGGGGAGCTGCGGTAGTCTTTGGTTGTGCTGCTTTTTATCACCCAGGGCATTTACTGTCCTACAGAGGAGCTTTCAGATTTTTCATTCTGTGAGACCCTCATGTAAGAGACATTTAACCCAGACTTGGTTCGGGGCAGCTCCCCTCCTCCATCATGCTGTGATGTGTCTGTGATTTCACATCTGTTCGTCCTGTAGGTTAGGAGATCACACAGAAAAGGGTGAGATATTCTCGGTATTCTCAGTGGTCCCTCAAGGTCCCCTGATCCTACTTGGCAGAGAAATGAGTTTTTCTCGGCAGCAGCCTAACATCCTTTTTATTTAATGAGCTCAAACGCTCTTTGTAGTATATCTGTGTCTAAGAGGAGGTGTGTCACGCTCACCTTCATTTCACATTTTATCATAGGATGTTAATTTCCTGTAAAAATCAAACCATATCCGTCAAAGCTTTAGATATGGTATAAGATACAGCATGCATCAAGTTATTTATCACACAATTGTGGGTAACACTTTAAAATAACCATAACTTATAAATGGTAAATAGACCATTTATAAATGGTAAGCAGATAGTTTATTAATGTTTAATTATCAGTTATAAATAGCATATAGACCATTAACAAGTTGTAAATTTTACAATTTTAAAAACCTTTATAGGTTTATAGGTGGTTTATAAATCACTCATTAATAATTTACAAAGTATTACAAACATCAGTTGCAACTTTACAATAACCATCTATGTAATGTTTATAGACAGTTTAAAAACCAAGTATTGACCATTTACAAAGTGCTACTGTCACACATTTTAATCTAGATGTTTTACAACAAATATTTAAACCCTATATAAACCTTTAATAAACAACCCATTAATGATTAATGAAAATTATTAATCATAATTTTATTGCTTGTTAACGGTAAAGTAGCTGTTAACTTACATTAATAAACTATTTGCCATTTATAATTGGTCTATATGCTGTTTTTAAATGATGATTAAACATAAATAAACTATCTATTTACCATTAATATATTATGGCTATTGTAAAGTGTTACCCAGTTATGATATTATTAGACCCCAAAGGCACGCACACAATTTTATAAGGGTGGGCTCAAGCAAAAAAGGCCCCCCTTCTAACCATTTCCATTTAACTGTCTGCTCACTTTGTCTGCCCTCTTTTACAGATATGTTCACCCGCATGTTAAAACTGAGACTCCTCAATGCTGTAGCTCCTGCATACTTCTTTATGGCTACAGCAGTCACCTTTGTTTTACACTTTGGCTTCTTTGTCCCAACTATCTTCCCGAATCCTGATACATCTCTGGGTAGCTCCACAACACTCCACACGGTTCTTTTTCTCTTCTTGATGTTCAATGCTCTGGGAAACTACATGATGACTATTAAATATCCTGCTGAAAGCATCAACGAGACAGTGGTGCCAGTGTGTTCTCCACACTGCTCAGACAAAGTCGATGCTCACTACCTCCTGAACGGCCGCCACTTCTGCAAACTGTGCAAGAAGGTTATTCTGAAGAGGGATCATCACTGCTTTTTCACTGGGAACTGTATTGGAAACAAAAACATGCGTTACTTCATCATGTTCTGCATCTACACGTCATGCATATGTTTTTACTCACTGGTCCTTGGTGTGGCCTTCCTCACAGTGGAGTACTCCATCTCCTTTGAGAACCCCCTCACCTTCCTCACTCTCCTTCCCCTCTCCACTGGTTACTTCTTCATGGGTGAGTTCTGTAGTCAAAATTAGATCTGAATTTAAAGGGTAATTCCTGTATTTTTTTAACCTGAGCTAAAATTTCATAGGGACAAGGTCTTAACAAATAATTCAATTTCCCCTGTAATATTTCTCCACAGGAACAATCTCAGGCCTGCAGCTGTTTTTGGTGCTGATGCTTTATGTCTGGCTTGGTATTGGCCTGGTCTGTGCAGGTTTCTGCTGCCAGCAGGTGCTGCTGGTAGCTCGAGGACAAACCTGGTGCCAGATGCAAAGAGGACAGCTGGTAGAGAACCGCAGTCCCTGGAGAACCAACCTAAAGGATGTTTTTGGTACCCGCTGGATCCTTGGCTTAGTGTTGCCTCTGCAGACGGTGGAGACGTGCTCTGAAGATACAGATGCACAGAAACAAGACTGAGAGATAATGTGTCATAAGCTGTAAAAAGTTCTCTCTCGGGATCCATGTGGTGTTGTTTTTCAATACGGGATGGATGCTTTATGACCTTTAAATTAGACCGTGAAATAGTTAGCTGTTAGCACACATTCCTATAAGGACAGGAGCCATATACTAATGTTGAACTTTTAAGTATAGTCTAAGTGTATCCTATAAGTAGGTAGTTTCTGACAAGGCAATATTATTACAAGATGGTCATGTGGAACATACCGCAGTTTTCCATGCACCTGTGCTTGCTTGCATCATAATATAAAAATGCCTTTTTGCATAAGCGCATGCATTTACAGCTTTACATTTTTATACTGCATTATCATGCAGTCACTCTGAGATTACGGCTCTATAGTGTGCTTTTGTGATGCTCTCTTTTGTAGGATGCTACAGTGTGACATTCAGGAAACCTCTGGTAGTTTCTGCAACAATAATCGACTTCATTGTTAAGGGCTAGCAGACGAGGAAACTACAGGATCTAAAGCATAAACTGCCAGGCTTGACAACAATAAGCTGAAACTTGTTGAGCCTGATGTTTTTGACCCCAATGAATGTGACTCAGTGTGATGCAGATGTAGTAATGTGCTCCTTTCTAAGAGTGGGTGGGGAAATGTGATTGTGATTACCATATTATTATCCAGGGTATTATTCACAATGTGCCATACACTCATGTCTTATACCCTTACAGAATACCCCATCAATGAAGGTATTCACTGCATTGCTACTTAAAGGGCGCCTTTATAACAGTTACGACTTTCACTGTAATGCTGAAATGCTCGACATCCTGTGAAAGATGTTTTGGATTTCAATGATTATACTTTTAAGAGCTATTTTGTCTATCCCTGTAATATCAATAAAAGCATTTTAATCACAGCTCGAAGTCCCTCTTTGTGTTATAATTATAAAAATAATCAAATTAAAAAAACATGAAATCAAAGACAGAAGAAATGATGTTCAAAGTTTTTATGACAGTTCATCATTAGTCAAAGTGACTGCTGCTAAAGAAACAATACAAAGCACATTTCACATTAACAAGAAAAAAGCAATCTCTGGAAAGTAATCTTAATAAAGTTTCATTATTCTTCTTTTGCCCTGATGAGCTAGACTGATTGGACTCTTTCTCAACTTTGCCAATTTGTAAAATGTTGCAAGAGTGTACTGCACAGTACTGTTGCAAAAATAAATAGTGGAACTTAACCTTAAACCTAACATTTGAAACTAACTCATTAATGGCTTAAGTTGTACTCATGCTATGCTCCATTTCAGGCTTTTCCCTAACTGTCTTGGGGCTGCTATGGTTGCTATAGTGTTGTTTTCGGCCTTTTAAATTTTTAGCTTTGTATGTATTTATTAACTGTGTATTGTTTTTGCTTTTTGCTTTTACTGTAAAGCGCTTTGTGACCTTGGTCTGTGAAAGGCGCTGTATAAATAAAGTTTACTTACTTACTTACTACTCCATACTGCAGCTGCTAGCCAGATCAATTCTCATATCAGGTAAGAATATTAATTCTTTGGATAAATTTAAGGACATTCAACTTTCCTCCACATGAAGCTCACAAACTAAGCTGCTCAATACTGATATAAAATACAAACATTGACATTTTCCAAAAGGCACAGGCATCCAGATAAGCACTGAAATTCACATTATTTCTAAAAACAAAACAGAATGCTCATTTGAGAAGACAAAATAACATTTGTCTAAAAATGTTGTCAGTCATTTTATAACTTAGGTGCGAGAGTCAAAAAAGCAAAAAGAAATCATTTAGCTGTCATTTCATAGTCGAGAAGTTTTGATAGACACTTAATACTACGCTCAAGCAGGAATGAACATGGCAGCGACAAACTAAGTGCAAAGAAAGAGTAATATTTGTGAAATGTATGGCACTTCACCTGCTACAGTTTAAACATGAACAAACGCCTATTGGTTGTTGACCGGACTGTTTTCCCAAAAGGAGTTTGCTTTTCACCGTCATCATGTGCTCAGTCTGTGTACATTAATCACATGGCTTTAGTCTGGATCAGAAACAAAAAACAAAAAACAAATAAATAATACTCAGACCAAATGACTCGCAATATCAAAACGACTTGACTGCTTAACCTTCAGGCTAAATTGAAATTCTTTTTAAAAATACAAGCTGCCAGAAACATACTTACATGACACATCAGCTAACAAAGTTTCATTGGCCGACAGATTAAAAACAAATAAACCATAAAAAAAGAGCAAGACAGCGGCCAGCTTATAAATGATACTTGTAGGAGAAATGTAGCCACTTGGTTATCTTGGTTAAAAAGTTGATATTCTTCTTGTCATCTCTACATCAGTAATAGTCAAGGCATGTATAAAGTACTGACCCCATGTTTCCCTTACATGTGCTGTAAGGCATGCGTTTTATGCAATTAGGAGTCCATTATATAGAAGCCATAGCCCTATAGCAAGTCGTACTTGCTACTTTGAAGCAGGACAGACAAGAAATTGTTTTAAAGGCAAGGGTTTGAAGTGTTAGCATGCTTTTAAACCTCCACTTGGTGATAATAGGTGTGCTTCGGCTTTAATTCAGACCAGCAGTTCGAAATGTTTTCTCAAACTTTCTCCAAATTTCGTCAGACAGAAATACAAAAGGGTCAAGTTCAGTTAAGTTATAAATAAAAAGTTATAAAAATTATAATGCTTTAAGGATAATTCTAGGCAAGGAAAGCTTTTATTTGAAATATCTGAGATATGTTTTTACCTTAAATCATTCGTCCTGTGACCTCTTTAGAACTGCTGGTCATGTCGGTCGTTACATTACACCAGAACTCTCTGAGCTTTGGCTGCCCATTGCTCCTTGTCTGTGTGCTGCAGAGAGAGCTGCAGTTTAGTCCAAAGCTGTGGGTCTCCACTGCTCAGAGCCTCCAGCAGCAGAGCCGTTTGCTCCTGAAGCTGCTGCAGTTGCCCCTGGGTGCGCTTATTATCCTTGATCAGCTGCTTTGTGCGCATGGTGATACCGAGCAGCCCAGATTTGTTGAGGATGTTGTAGGTATTGCTGAAGCGTTTCAGTTTGTCGCTGTTCACGGAGAAGGGGTCCTGGTCTTTGTCATCCTGCATCCCGTCGATGTCCATCTCAGTCCTGAAATCAGCCGTGTATGGGGCCAGAGAGCTGTTCCCTGCCAGCGCTGAGAGAGACATGTCAATGAGCTGCTCCTGACTCTTAGCTGCCTGTGATTGGTTGTCTGCTGCCTCAAAGCAGGGGATGGGTTTGATTGGACTCTGCAGGGCTGGCTGTGGGCTGGGGGAGCTGTATGGCCTGTGGCTGTGGTGATGCCTCCTCTGACGCTGCTCATATACTGACGATGAACACACCCTCAGCCTTGAGGATCCTGCCTTCTTAGTAGGTGTGTCTGCAGGTTGTGGGGCGATTTTGGGGTATGATTTGAGGATGGGCATGTAGCTTTTAGATTGCTTTTTCACTTCAGGAACCGTCTTTGGAGAACTGCTGGTGCCACTGCCATTTGATACCATTGGCTGCAGAAGAACAACCTGTGACTGTGGCATTACTTCCATGGGAGAGGAAAAGCCCCACTGTTTTTCAGTGGGAGCCATGGCAGATGGCTAGAAAAGAAAAAGACAACATTAAATATGTTACAATTGTATTTCTAAGATAAAAGCACAAACATAGCAAAGAGTATGAAAGTAACAGTAAATTGTAATCGATAGAGATTTACTTAAAGGCAGCACCATAGGTAAATCCATGTTCTTAATAATAATGGTCATAACTACCAAACTGTCAGAAAGGAGCGCTATTGCCAAACAAATATTCCATCTGATTTTACAATGTAAAAAGAGGCAGAATTTGTGAAAACTAACAGCATGGGAGTTGGAAACAGTCCTTGGCAACAACAGATGCAAGTGGTTTTTACCTGCTTCAAGACAAAGTTATTCATGATGAACATTGGAGATAGTCCAGGGTATGAGCCACCCATTACAGCCACCTGAGGTCCAGTTGGGTCCTGGCTGATTATTGCTCCATTCCTGCCTACATCCTCAGAGTCAGTAAGATCAACTGTGCTGAGATACTCCGAGCTGGCATCTGAGGATGAGAGGACAAGCATATGGATTTAATCATGCCTAAAAGCTACATGTTTACTTTTCTATTGTTTCTGTGAAAGAACAGACCAGAGCCATGGAAACAGAGAAAGACACACATAGGCCTCTCCAGAGGGCCTTGAAAAAGGATACCATCAGCCTGATAAGGAGGACTTAACCAAATCCAGGTCAGAGCTCATCATACATACAAAAGTCATGACCATGATATTATCTTTTGACCCAATAGATAATAAACATTGATGACACAAAATAATGTGACCTAGTTCTCTAGATTTGATAAGGGTTGAACTTGTCCACAGCTTGATGGTGTTTTCTTTTGACAATGTAAAAGCATACTCAGGAAGAGAATGAAAGAAACCTAACACAAAACTGAATAGTGAGTAACTATGAAGCAATGTAATTGACTCGAACCTGAGAAGCCTGAATCCCTCTCCAGGTCCAACTTGGATTCTCCGAGGTGTGTTGCCCTGGAGAATGGTTGCCTCCTGTGTCGGTTGGGCCTGCTGAAACTGTTCATGCTTGCCTGCTCTGGAAAAACAGAGAGTTTAAGGTTAAAATCTGTGCAGACCTCTGGCAAGTTTAACATTTGTATGCTTTACTCTCAGGGTTTGTGGGATTGTTCAACCATGAACAACTCTGATTCCATTACAATTTATTCAATGAACAATAATTTTTTTGTCAATACTACCTCCTGGATCAGCTCATTTTACATGATTCAGGCCTTGAAAATCAGAGACATCTGATTCTCCTCATATGTTGTAACATATTTCTAACAGTTTGATTGCCTTATCGATATATCGATAATGAAAACTGTGTTTTGGAAACGACTTCACACAAGTAAGACAGCTGACATCGACCCACGAGAGAGCGTGATTGTTTTTATATTACGTCAGCTGGGCTTGACGCACGGGCCCGTCCCCCTCGAACACGTTCATGACAGTCTTTTAACCATTTTTAGCATTATTACTGTACATAAATAAATCAAAACTAAATCAAGAAATAGGTCTGAACATGTCTCGGTGTCTTTATTCTAAACGCGGTTACAGAGGATGTGGTTTTCTTCCTGTGACAGAGCTATTATGCACAAACTCAACTTTGTCAACACTCCCATTTTGGGACACATAGGCTGACTAATGTTGAAAGCTCACACTGTTAAGAACTCTAACCAACATTTTACGACTAAAAGTATAACATTAGCAGTTCTCCGGGGTTTATATTACTGTGTCAGACCCTCGCGCTGTTAGCTACATGACGCTAACTGTTGTGTTGACTATCGTGGCGTCAGCGTATTACGATGCCATCTGCCCTATATAAGCTATTGGGAGTGTAGAATTACTTTTTCAAACCTGTCCAAAACGTAGTTGATAGAAAAAAATATGCCGTTTAAGGTGACATCCGATGTAAGGTTTAGTTTTCTTTTCCTTGTACTCGAGTCTTGCTGTAGTCTGTCTGTTCTTATTTTTCTTCTTCTACGGTTCTTGACGGCAGCCGTTCTGTTTTGTCCTACTTTATGGGTCTAGTGCTTCTGTGCTGCCCCCTAGTGGACAACCTAAATGCCTGCAATTACCTGTTATTGGCCTCAATCTTTTTGCTTCTGACACCACGTCCCCTTTTCTTCTGACACATGTTTACTGCCACATCAAGGAGCGTGTTACCGAATATAGTAATGGAAAAACGATCACAAAGACCCTTTGGTTTGAGAAGAACACGAAAAGTCTCATTACCATGGTTGTTGCAAATGAGGTTGCCATGGAAACGATGGCTCGAGAGTTTTTTTTTTTTTTTAATCTAATTTAATTTTTTTTTACAGGAGGATAGGAAAGAGGGGCACTTGTCGTGCTTTTAATTATAATTTGTTTCAATTTGAAGCAATGAACGCATTTCCTTTGTTATGATAATGGAAATATGTTCTACGGTGCAGTCTGCTGGGGAGGAAGCATCAAACACAAAGATGAAAGATGTCTTCACAAACTGGTGAAAAAGGCTGGCTCTGTGGTTTGACTCAAGCTGGACTCAGTGGAGGATGTGGTGGAGAGATCTACACTGAGGAAGGTGGAGTCTATTTTAAAGAACATGGATCAGCCACTTCACAACACCTTGATGGACCAAAGGGCAAATGGTGGTGGACGGCTCCTCTCTCTTTGCTGCAGGACAGAAAGATTCAGAGGATCTTTTGTACCAACAGCCATTAGACTTTATAACTCTTGTGTAAATAGTAGATAACTTTTAGAGACATGTCAAGTGAGACAACAGACAATTGAATTTCCCTTTGAGGATTAATAAAGTTATTCTTATTCTTATATTCATTATGTACCAGTCCATTTTTTTATAAGATAAATCACACATTTCAAGCTGTCAACCATTGCAATTTAATTACAAAATAAATACTGAAATGAAATAAAAATACTAACACAATAGAAAATTTACTTTTTACATTTTCATAGATTTTCTTTGTGTAGTACACACAAAACAAACACAACCAAAATAAACACAGCGACTAACCATCAAATAAACAAATAAAACCCCCATTGTTTTACGTAACTATTTCAATTGATCTCTTCCTTAGCCTGCAGTGTTTCCAGAAAAAGACAGAGAGGACACCTGTGCTGTGGGCTAAAGTTAGTCTGTGTTGCTGGATTCGACACAAATCCTAGCTGTTCAAACAAACAATACAAGAAAATATTCAACTGTGAGAACTTTGTGCTGACATAAGAAAAACAAAATAATGTTATAGTCAAAACTCTTAAATTGGGATCAATACCAAATGAGCAATTGATTACTGTTGTATTGATCTTCTAATCCCTGTTGAGCATATACACTTTCTGTGTTTCTGTGCTTTAAGATAAATGGATGTGTGTCTGTGTCATTTAAAAGCTCCCTCTTGCAGTTCCTTGTAGTCCTGAAGCAAAAGCCTCTGGCACAAAAACTGCATTTTAAACCCAGGAAGAATTCAGCAATGGTTAGACTTTAAATCAGGTATAATTAACAGTGTATCAAACCCGTCAGAACAATAGAGAGAGAGAGAAAGAAGGATCCTGAAGAACAATCCAGGTTCCTGGCAATATTTCATCACAGTTATTTGTTTGTATAAAAACATCTTTGGCCATGCCTTGAGTTGAAAAAAGGTACAATTACTCTTTACTCTGTTGAAATTGTCAGATAACTAATAGGTCTATAAGCCCTGTTATGGCTGGGTGACTAGAGACACTCCAATGAGTCTAATCCTATTTATACTACTAAAAAAGACATCATGTCATCATGTACAGTGGTTCTGAACTCTGTTTCAAAAACACTAGAGGGCGACATTTCATGACTTCTTGTACAAAACATTTGCAACATACTGAATGCTGCTGTGACAGGTAAAGTCTTCTTCATAATGTTTGAACAAACTTTTTGAAAATACTGGTCCATTTTTTTATTGTATTAATAAATATAGGTTTAAAAACGTGTAACCACCTTTAAATACCAACATAATGACCACATTACAAGCTTGACACAGTAATATAAAAAAGAAGGCATCGGTCTGTTTGGTTCTACATTGCACTGGCTCCCAGGCATGTCCATTGCGTCAGGTCTGTAACAGCAGTGTATCCACCAATCAAAACACACTTCCTGTTGAAGCTTGTCATTACAAACTCCCAGCCCATTAGCAGGAGGGCGTGTCAGCAACACAACCCAGCAGTTTGAGTCTCTAACTGCAGACACAGTGGTGGTAGAGGTGGTGGATGAGCAGAAGAGACTCAGGATGCTTTCACTGGGTTGAGTTGGTAGAAAATCATGAGCTGCACTGCTGCAGGGAGTTTGGTCACCACTACAGTTACCTGCGAGGGATCTGGCACCTAAAATAAAGAAATAATAACACAACTCAGTATTAAAGTTATGTTGTATTATTCATGACCTAAATTCTGTCCTCCAGGATTCTGTAATCACCTTTCACATTCCTTTGTTTTTTGTCTCTCTTTTTTCTTCCGTCCCCTTCCTCTTTGTCTTTTCCTGCAAAATGAACAATGAATCAATGATTAGCCTTCGTTCTCTGACATGGACAATTACTGCGCTATTCAATCATGTCAAAACTTATGAGAAAAGATCATTATTCATACCTTTCAACCTTCACAATAGGTTTCCTGACTCTGAGAACAAATTTTGAGACAGAAATCAGCAATGACATCCAGGTGCAACATTATAAAATAATCATTAGCCAACCCTGTCTCCTAGAATCTTTGTTGAAGGACCTCTGACTTGTTTTGGCAAATAGGATGGAAAGCAAAGCTTGACTTTATTCATTTGCTTTCGGTGGTAGGTTTTTTGTCCTTTTTATAAATCAAAAACATACAGACTGGGGTTTGCAATGTTCTGTGCTTGGGTTCAAGCTCTAAAACACAAAAAGGTTGCTAGTTTCAGTTTCTGACATTGTACAGGTTGTTATTGTTGTGTTGTTTATAGCCTGACATTTCAATCCTAGGCGGCAAATTCCTTAAACTTATATTTCATCTATAATGGTATAAGTTGCTCAAATGACAAATGACTTCAATTTGACCTGACTCAAATAAGCCAGTCATAGCTATCTACATTGAAGAGAAGTTAAGGTTCTTTTTTAAACAATCAAGATGACTGCTGCTTATGACAACTTTCAAAATATGCTTTCAATCAAATGCAACAGCAGTAAAATGTTAAAGCTCCAGTGAGGGGTTTCTAAGTAGTTATAAAGCAGACTGAAAGTTAGTTTGGAGACAGTAATAGACACAAGTTCTTGTCGAGTGACACAAATTACCTGAATGTAGTGGAGCGAATAGTGGGAATTAGGCAGATTATACACGCCAAGGATGCGACTAATGGAGATTTGCAACTCATTCAACACACAAACAGAAAAAATGATGAAAAAATCTGAACCCAAGCAAACCATTTGCACCCCAATAGTCACTGATCATAGAGATTCATTGACATATTGGTGTATCTTAATAACACGCCAACAGAGGTTTATCTTTCTGGAAAATGGGGGACAAAGTCATTGTGATTATTTTTGCTACTAAATGCATAGACTGTGTATAAAAATGTTGTGTTCATAAGTGTTCACTGAGGCCAAGAGACTCAGAGCTCTTCCCGCTGATCGGCTGCAGAACAAGCTATGAAGTCTGTTCTCATGTTAAAAGATTGGACATGAGTCAAGTTACAGAATTTAAATTCACATCAGAGCGATTTTTGTCCAACATTGTTTCTTTCGCTTCAGTCACTTCTTATTATGTTGATTTATGTCTAAGTGGTAAATGCCTACGTCAAATTACTATTACTATCTGTTCTGCTACGGACTGTACTGACCTGAGGGATCTTTGACATTTTATTGGTAGGCATGATCGGAAAGGGTGTGACGTCAGACCTCTGACTCTACTAGCCAGGTCTATGTTGCATCAGTGCAACATGTCAGCATCTATTTAGGCAATCCTTTACCCTTACTTCTGACAATAAGCAGATATGGGAGTCAGCTGATGACTAAATCTTGTAATGTTGCCACTTGGCATGGCAGCCTGATGCTACATCACATGTTCAGAGGAAGTTTAGTGTCTGCTTTTAAGCCATGTTAAAATCAAAGACAAGAAAAGGTCCTAGACTAATTCCAGGCTAATGAAGACATAAGTTGTTATCACAGTCATCAACATCAAACTAGGAGACAGAGTTGGTACTTGAATACTCTTCAGTCACAAATTGTTTCTTGTTTCTTACCTACATTCACATGTCTGGTGCTCCACAAATGTCATCTCTACATATTGTTGGTCCGGCTCTGATGGCCTAATTTTCAACAGCTAAAGAATAAAGCCATTTTAAAATGTCAATATACACTACGACGGCACTTTAAGTCATAGATCACTCAATTTTAACAACTGCTCATCTTACCTGCATGGTGACATTTGAGGTGCGGGTGGGATGGCACTCCAGATTTTCATCCCCGCAGCAGCCTGCACACCTCACCAGTGGCACACAGGAGGGGCTGTAGATGTGCTCCACCTCTGAGGGGTACTCTTGCACCACCTCCACCAGCTTCTCAATGGTCCGGCAGAAACTACGACCCCACACTTCTTGGAACATTAACACTAAATAAAGGCAAGAAGGGGGCTGAGTTACTCTGACAGAAGGAAATATAGGTGGACAAAATTAATATTTGCCTCCAGTCCACATGTGTATTTCTATCTCACCTTCATAAAGCAAATTACAGTTAAGATGCAACTTACTTTGGTTTTTCTGTGTGAAGCTTACTTAAAATTGACTTTTCAGTCAAACTACACTGTTATTAGTGATGTACAGTACAAGTAGAACATCAGCTATTACTCTAATAATCCAACAAAAGCAACTTTATACTGAAACATCAAACCAGTTGCGATATGTCACTGTGTATCCTGTTTTCATTTTGAAGTAGAAATGTTTGTTTAATGTACAGTATGCTTTCCTGTGGGAGTATATGTGTAAAAGTGTCCCAGTTGTGCGGTCTGTGGGGGAGGAACAGGGACGACTATGGCAGAACAAACAGAGAAGGAAGAGAAAACAAACATTGGAAACATGGCCATGAACAGAGCTCTGGAGGAGCTGGAGCTGGGCTGCCCAGCAGGCACCTCTGGGACTGTGGTGACCCCCAAGGTCACTGAATGGAGCCTGACAGCACAACAGCTGTTTATAAAAGCAGACAGGCTGGGAGGAGATGGCTGGGGAAGCAGCTCCAACAGAGAGATGAGGCCAGAAGGCCAGTTCACTGACCAGTTACAGCTCCTTCAGCTGAGTGTAAATCGACTGATAGTATGGCCTTTTGTACCTCCTCTACTCCTACAAAAGTTCTTTTACTTTCTACTTATATCTCCTTTAGCTGCATTAATCAGCCAGTAAATGAGTAATATCTTCAAGTCCAGACAAATCAAGCTATTATGAAATTACAGAGGAATTTTACTGAACTTGCATAATCCTGGATTATATATCTAAACAGAGCGTGACAAGTACAATATGCATGACTAAAGTTCAGCAGTACTTAAATGACGTTTGGATGATTTTTTTCTGGTCTGCATTAGACGCTAATATGAACCACAAAACACACTCTTACACACATTTGCACCTCAAGCTTAACAAAATGGTTGAAACTGCTTTTTTCAAGGAACTTTTGTCAACTCTCATGCTGCCCCACAATTTTTTAAAAGAGGATTTCAACAAAATTTCCGAGTAGATATTCTTACCTTGAGCTGTACTGTTTATGCTTGGCAAGGGTAGACTCTGTAAAACAGAGGAAAAAGTCATTCAAAAGTTGTTTTCTAGAGGCCCAAACTCCATCTTATGGCTATTTCAACACAGATAAAAACTTATGATTACTAACTCAAACCAGGTAAGATGACATGATTACACCTTAAACATCCTTAGTACACTCATCTCAGAGTATTTTCTGAATAAAACCAACATGAACCTTCAAATAAAATAGTTGAGTCTTTGTCCCCTAGTGGTAAAGAGGGGAACTACAGTGATATAATGCAGATGATCACACTGTCTTTTTCCATCGTGACGAGCAGCAGATCCACTCTCTCATATATATCACGTTCCTTTGTGCACTAACTGTTTAGGTTCAAAATCTGTTTCCTGTGGTGTAAGATTCATCTCTATATTTGTTTTCCCATTCATGGCCTCCCCCTATTCCTACTTGATTTTTCCCATCACTCCATGATAAACAGAGTACATTTCTCATTGGCCTGGGAAAACGCAAAACCTCGAGTTGACTCCATCTGGGGACGGGAAGCATAGGTTAGATAAAACACCCTGAAGCAGAAGAGCTGGACTACCAGCAGACAACCTGAGAGGGTAAATCCAGAGGTCTGCTTTTATTTGTTGGACATTGAGCCATTTGTTGAAAAGCTTTTAAAGGTTTCTCAGCCTACTGTTTGAAACTCTTCAGACTTATCTGATCTGAATAGCAAAACTTCAATACCCTAATCCTTTTCAAAGCTCCAGTACAATTTCTCGAGTCAAGTTTCTTCATTGATCGCCTTAGTGTATTTTCTTACAAATGTTATATTTCATCACTTAATGGTTTCTGATTGGTTTTAAGGCCAGCTATTACAAAGAAATGCTGACTCAATCCAATAACATTTGGTTCAGTGGCAGTGAGGTGGCGCCGAGGAAGGCTTTTAATCTCCTGATGGACAGCTACAGCACGCCCACCTGTCTGTCAACCCAGCTGTGCCTTTAATCATGGTGATATATGTAGATCTTTAAACTTTTATATTGTCATTACAGGGAGATTAGATAAAAAATTACAACCTTACCCTCTGTGCCAAATGCAAGAAGAAAGAAATGACCAACACGAGTCAAAACATTATTTTTAACCAGGCAGAAAAATGTTGATTTCTTCTGTCAAGCATTTTAACCTGTGGAAACCAATGTGGAAGTGAAAAATGCTCTAATTCCTTAAGTGTTCACTTGAGACTGGTTGCAAAAACACCTGTAGCTATGAACACATTAATTCATAAAATGCCAATCTGCAGAACAGAAATGAACACATTTGCAGCTTGAAAATATGTTTAGTTTTACCAGGTAGCTAAGTGAAGCGGCTAAAGGCCTGTCTCAACTTAACTTTGGCTTGTGTTAGGTTGACCCAAAGTTAGCTTGAGTTAACATTTCCAAAATGGCAACCACTGACAACAGGCCTCAAAACTCCACCTCAGAAACCAACGAGTCTCCATCACTGAGACTATGTCAAGGTCTTGTTCACTATGACACCAGTGTAAAAAGTTCATTTACACAGTAAAGTCAAACATGTTCTGGTTTCAAAAAAGAGTTCTGGTCACCACTTTAAGACCTCACCAGTTATAATCACGTACAGCTCATTGTTTTGCACATCTACAAAGAGCTCAGCTGAGTTAACTGTAAGGTGGGTGGGATGTAGCAGTTAGCTAAACAGCCAAAAGCCCACCTCAATCCTGTCTGTTTCTAGGTTGTTTAAAAGCTGAGCTGAGTTGTTGCAAACAGGACTTTCCTGAATGACAGTGGAAAAAAGAAACTCACTTTGTTTTTTTCCATTACTAAATACATCAGCTTCTTGTTCTGAGCCTTAATTAGTTGGAGTGTGAAGATAGCATCTGTCAGCACAGTGCTACAGTCGCCTGTTTCTTCCAAACAATGCGATTAAAGAGGAATGTCCTGCTTTGAGAATGATGATGCATTCACTGTCACACAAACATGTCAGAGGTTTCTGTTCAGCTGTCACTCAGATAAGAGTTTTGGGGATGGATCTGTCTTCTTCGAAATGCTCATTGTTCTCCGTAATAGACTATATGCAAAGAGTTTCCAGTCAAACACTTGAGATCGGTCCTCCCTGTGTTGGCAGATGTGTTCAGAGATCTCCCATTTCTCTGAAAGTGGTTGGTCATCGGGCCAACATGTACAGCTGCTCCTCTGACAGAGGGCTTGTTCTATAGAGACATCTCTTAGGACTGTTTGAGCTTTACAACCGCGAAATAGGGAGAATTTACTCTTTGTGAAACATGGGAAAGTCTCAGTTCAGTTTCAGCTGCTGTTAAAAAGTCAGTTCCTCTCTTTAGCACAGAGATTTCACTCTCTCTCTAGTTATGCCAGGTGGATAAAACAAATCCTTTTTCAAGTGTTAATTGCCTTCTGATCTGCCCCCTCTCCTCTTGTCTGTAAGTGTTCATGAGGCCGTTTCACATCACAAGGCCTTTTGGCTCTGGTCTCCATTGCCTGTAAAAATTGTGGTGAGGTATGGGAGGATTTTGTGACTTCAGAGGTGGGTTAAGCTTTGACATGGCGGGGAAGAATCGCTGGCACCTTCTGTGGTTAACAACAAAGGAGCGAGCTGCCCATGAGGAGCTGCCAGATTAAAAAAAAGGGCTGCATGAGGATCATCACGTAGCCGTTTACAGCATCTCTAGGTGATTTATGGTGGCTTGGAGGTAACTCAACTTGGACGGGAAGGAGGAACCTCTTTACATCAATAAAAGAGCATAAAGTTGTCTCATAAATCCCTGAAGAGGCTGATTTCTTTGTACATCTTTCTGGGTTTCTTTCCCTTCTGTCCTTATGATCTTTCCTATGAAATTTCCCCCTCAGTACTCTGTGTCATTTTCTTTTGTTATTTTTATTATGTGGGTGTAGAGACCTTTGAGACTGACTGTTATTAAGCACTACACAAAGAGGGTCGACTTGACGTGACCTGGCATAAATTCTTCTGTTATTTGCTAACAATAGGCATGCTGTGTGCGCTATGCATTGTATCCAACATCTGGGTTTCAGAAAACTTACTGTGAAATGATTACCAAACAAACAATTCATACTACCCCGACCTCAGGAAAACATTTCAACTTTTCAGAATATTGCAGTTTTGATATCCTGGGAAATCTTGCATAAGTATCCTGCTGCTAATATTGGATTAAAAGCCAAGTACACAAAAAACAGCCTGAAAACAGAAATACAAAAAACACCAGGGTGTAAAAGGCTAAATAAAATCATGCGATGTTGATAAGTTTCAGCTTGAAGTCATTCTTCTTGTACCTTTTTAAAATTATATAATCACAAACATTAATGATGCGGCCAAGGTGCTGTAAAATCCCCTGCCTGAAGCTGACTATTTCATTCTCAACAAATAATTTATGAGGCTAAATTTTCACATTAAGAACTTGATATTTTGTTATCAAACGTCACTGAAAATCTTAAGGCGTTGTCCATTTTTCATGGCCATGCCACTACTGGAATCATGAGTTTTTAATTATCATGCGAGGAGTGGAAAGGCAAGGAAATATTGCATTTAAACTTAATTATAACTAGCCTTTTGGCACTTTTACTTGTGTAATGACTTCAAGACTTTCATTTTTACAATGCTGCATCTTTCCAGTGCTCGCCTTGCATCAGAAAACTCCACTGCAGAAATCACTGTAGATGGATAACTTAGATGGTGGGTGTGTAACAAGAGTCATCAGATTTTGCTGTGCATTGACCAGAATGTTTTGCAGGGTGAAAGGGGTTCCGTTGAAGCTATCAGTAAAAACAGTCTCTTCTGTTTCTAAAGTCCCTCAAAGTATTTTCACTGCTGCTGCTGCTGCTCTGAGTTTGCTTCGTCCTTTGGGTCACATCGGAGGACCTGTTGTGTCTCTGGGCTCCTGCTGTCAGGCCACAGAGGCTCCGGGCCTCATTACTCTCCACTCCCACACAGCTGAACTGTGTCATCTTTAACCTCTTTGCTTAACTCTGTCTGTCAGAGGAAGGGCAGCATGTGTAGGGAGCAAAAACAAAACTTGATGGAGACCCAGCATAATGGTCATAAAGGATTTTTAGCTCTGGGGGTCACGCTGAGGAAGGGGCCCATGGGCAATTCAACAGCAGGTACTATGGCTGAAAGCCAAAAAGATCTGGACCACAGCCAGGATACATCTCTGCGTTCCATAAAGGGAAATGGAGACTCACGCAAGAAGAGAAGAAATGATTCAGATTGTACAAAGTTTCTTTGCCTGTTCAACCTAGAAGGACAGAACAGCTTCTCCTGGGTGAATGAACAGGAAAATGATGCATAACCGGATTAAGTCATTCTGGTCTTGCTTCTCCTTTGGTTTGAAAGAAATGAAAGAGTTTAACACTTGAGATTATTTCCTTTAACTTTAAAGTGTTCAAAGACAATCAGATTTTATTGTAATTTGAAGCTTCAGAGTACAAGAATGGACCCCCTGAGTACTATAATACAAATGTGTCTTTGTCCATACAAAACATGATCTCTACATAAATCTTGGTATTATTTGATTCTTCATAGTGGACCGTCATCAATGGTTGTGGATGTTTTATCAGACTTTCTGTGGTTAACTGGCTTGTTGGTAAAGAAAAATGCCAAATTGTTTGAAAAACTCAGTGACAAACCTTCATAAAAATGAGTTTGTGTTTCCAAGCCTCAAAACCAGCAGCAGTTGTCCAGCTGTTCTTTGGCAGCTGGGATATCTGGCTGAGGAGCAGCTTACACCACTATTACACAAGAACTGCCTCACGTTTTTTGATGGTTGCATCCTTTTTGTTAGGGAACAATAAAAAGAGCTTTTCCTGTTGGCAAACTTTTATTGATGAAGAGGAAGTGAAATTCAGCTCCAGAGCTGTAGTTTCAGTTTTCAAACTCTGACAAACTGAGATCCCACTCAGTTCACTTTTATGAGGACACAAAATTAAATATGAAAACATTTTATGAAAGACTGGTTGAGGTTTTGGAAAAACCATCCTCTCTTTTATGTATTTCAACCATAATTGACTTTACACAGCAGCTTACATTGCTCTCCAGAGACTTTATTTGGTGAGGGTGACAATGGGAATACACAAAGTGCCAACCTCCAGTGTTGAATAATAATGCCAGTACAGAGGTACAAAAACTGGAGTTTATCTGGGCTCGTATTGAAATTTTTGCAACAGTTCTGCAACAGTTTTGATACAAAATGGTTTGTTCTTGACATCTTATTTCTTTAATCCAAAAAACTGTATCAAGATGACTTTCATTTCTTCAATCATCCATACTAAGGCTATTAAGGCTATGACTTCTACATAATTGGGTATACTTAGGATCATGGCTGATTTGACTGACAGGTGAGCGTGTAGTATAAATCCTGCTTCTCTCAGAGTCAGAGTCAGCTCCAACTTTTGCTTGTTGCATGCCGTCCTTGTTTACAGATAGCATTTCTAATACAATGACTGCCATCTTTGGGATTATGGGGGCAAACTTACTGAGACGACAGGTCAGGGGAATAAACAACTTTCTGCAAACTTGTGGTTTTTATTATCAGTGTAAGTTACTTTTGAACACACTTGGTGATGAGAAAGGGGGATAAACAGGAGAAAAGAAGTGAAACCAGCAAAACAACTGCACCCATACTTCCTAAAAAATATATAGGCCAGAGGGGACTGTGTCATGGCTTTGGTCCGACTGAAGCTTTATGTACTGTGAGCAGAGGACCACACAGGACAGAGAGCACTAAAGCAGAACAAGTGAATACAAACACAGAGACAGCTAGACAAGTGAGAAAACAGAGCTACCACCCTGCCTCGCTGACCCTCCTCATCCATCCTTTATCGGGAGCCAGATTCCACATCACCAACACCATGACGGTGACATTAATTCTCAGGCCTCTCATGAGGGTCTGCAGGTCACTGTATCTTTTCCCCACCACTACAAAAGAAAGCGTTGGTCTGTTTAGTATACACGTGCTGGGTGGACCCGCAACGACAGCGGTGCTATTACAGCCCTGACAGTATCCAGCTGGGTCTCCGGGGGTGGTCAGGTCAGGCCTTGTGATCACAGAGCTCTGCCAAAAAACCAACAGACTTCAACAGAGCGTGTGGTAAATGTGCCACAACAATCTGTCAAGTAATCTGGGGTGAATGGAGCCTTTGAAATCCAGAGTTACTCTACAGATTAGAGGACTGACACACTTTTGGTTTGTGTGTCACACAGGCTTAAAGCCACGGAGTAGCATAAATAAACAAATGTGAGTGAGTGAGTGTACAACTTTGAAACAACTTTGAAAGAAGTCGAACAATACATTATGACCATGACAAAACAAAACAAAACATTGGAGTAACTCATTTGGAAGAAATAAGGGCACTAACTTTCAAGTGGCACTTAATGCCAGTTGGTTTCAAGTGGGCTAGCAGCTCTCTTGGTTCAGTCTAAAGCTAACACAATCCACCCAAATGAGATGTAAAAGGTACTGTATTAAAACTGTGGCAACTTGAGAGAAACATGATGAAAAGCCAAGCGCTGTGTCATTGAGTCGATACAATTTGGAGGGAAATTTGGACCGTAGTTCAAACAACAGATGTCATGACAAATTAGCTTCCCCTAGAGAACTGCTGATGTTGATATAAGCCACGTCCTATCTTGTGTTAGCCAAGAGGTGACTAAATGCTTATGTTATCTTTTGATTATGTTATACAAAATGATTGGGATCCCTTACTAAGCCTGACAGGAGGCTAGCTAATGGGCTGATGTGTGTATGTGTGTGTCCTACTCATCATTTTTTAGGCTACTTTATTGTTGCCTGCTCTCCTATGCTAACTGCCTTGTGGCTCCTTCTTATACATAAATAGTGGCTTGTTATTTATGGATGAGTAAATCTTTCAAATGTAAAGCTATTTCTTTTGACTTGCCTTTCTATTCTCGATAAATGTTATTTAATTCATGTGGTAAGTTTGGAAACATTACAAGATGTCATGTTTTCTTTGAGAGGTAGTCGAATATCTGAAACAACAAACTAAACCTCTGGGAGTCTTTGAACAAACTTAATATGGTCTACTGACCAGGAGAGGTAAAGGTTTGTATAAATGTTGATTTAGATAAGCACTATTTCCTCAGTGTAAGTCCATTAATGCACGCACAAATGTCCCCCAAAGACACACAAACACACACACACAACCACTGTCATAAACGGCTCTGTCCACAATACACATACACACACGACACAGGTCTTGAGATAAGGCTGACCGGTGGTAATTGTGGTCTCTATTACAGTAAACGCTGCTCTCCCTGTGTAAACCACAGTAAATTATATCCAGATGGGAGATTAAAGCTTGCTGAGCAGACGGCTGCCCCGAGCGCCACCGCTCCTCCTCCTCCTCCTCTGCTAGAGGAAGGAGAAATCCATATTTCCTGATTGCAATTGCGACCTTCCCTTGGGTCAGGACATTACAACTAGAGAGAAATACCAAAACAAGACAAAAAAGGGCCTTATCAGTCAGCAGGTCACTACAGTTGTAGCCTCTGGCTCAGCGTACAGACATATGAGGTAGTAATAATAAAGAGCGAGACTTGACTCTTGGACTTCTCATTGTTGATTATGGAGCCACAGCTTGACCAAAACTGTTGCTCTTAAATTGTAAGACATCTTCATCTGATGTTTTCTTTTCATTTGTATAATTTTACGTCTTATCTATGACTGTTAGAAATCTACTCAGCCATTTACATTTAGCTTTCTAAGCAAGGTTTAGAAAAACACTCACTTTCCACAGACGTGTGTGTTACAGATGGTTACGCTCAAGTATTGTTTTGCTGCTGGTGTAAAGGAAACACCTGTGCAACGTCATGCCCCCCATCCTCCACTGCCACTGCTGCACGCACGCACACATACATTTGAATAGCAAAAGATGCTGTGTCTGCCGGGAAGTCTTTCCTTTCCAGTACACACATTCTTATTCGAGGAAAATGTTCTGTTTGATACCGACAAAAAGACTAAAAAATGTCATGATCTCATACCAAAGAGGTTTTGAATTCTTTTTCTTCACTGGACATTTTTGGAAACCTGATTCCTGGGATGTGACTCAGGTATCTCCTCTTAGAAACGCTTAATTAAACTCGTTTGGCTCTGCTGTGGTGGAGCTGGATTTCACTTGCATTACTTTAATATAATCTCGTGCTTTGGGCAGGAGGCAACAAGTACTGCACATTTTGGCACACATAGTTGCAGTTTTCAAACACACACTCTGTACATACACAGTGTGTGTGTCTTGTAGGCAAATGAAGCACTGAACAGGCCGTTAAGTGTTGAGGAATGTGTGGAAAATAATGCGGTGTGGCTGTTATATCACATTCTCCATTAGACAGTGTTAGACACAGGGTGACCAAGAGTTTAGCATTGTTTAAAAGGGAAGCCCAGGTGCTTCCAGCCTCTATGAAGGGACATGTACGGGTCCAGGACAGTGTCAAAAGAGTGAACCACAACAGACAGAGAAAGAAAACAAAAGGCAGGATGATTCGAGTCAGATGACATAAGACTTTATGATTCTGAAGCAACTTTCCTGCTCTCCATGGATAAATTCAAAACACTGTTTCTAAACCAAAGTTGACTGATACTTTTTGACTGTGATGTTTGATACATGCACACAGTCTCGTCTAGATGAATAATCCCCATACTCATCATTTGCTGTCCTCATTTCAACATGTAGCTGCTTGTTCTTGACCTTTTCACCTACGGTATCACAAGTCTTACCCTTATGATGACTTCATAGTATTCTATATTATAAGGAAAGATTTTATGCTATTCATTTCTTGAATATGATAACTTTAAAGCCTTTTATTTCACTTTTTGACAGAGAGCTTGAAAGAGATAGGAGATGGGGGAGAGGGCGGGGGATGACATGGGCCCAATGCTGGACCAGGAGTTGATCCTACAACAAGTACAACAAACAACAAATGACTACAGCCACAAGGTAAACCTGTGAACAAACCTTTAAAAGATGCACCCCAGAGATGCTGGGACACCAGTAGACAAGCTGAATAGAGTACTTTTACAATAAACTCCACTTGAAGTTGGAAGAGGACCACAATCAAGATCTGCAATGAGTCACCTTTGCAGTAAATCTGTTGTAGTAAAAAGGAATTGTTCAACACATGAAACCAACCCCACCCTCGCTTGTCCACATGCATTCATAGAGGATATGAATGACTTGATGAGTCACGAGGCAGCTGTTGACAACTCCAGCTGCAACAATGGGGAACATCATCATTATCAATTAGTGGCATGGGTCAACATTGCAAAGACAGAGGTTTACGCTCGACTATATGGCCTTAGTTTGATTTTTCCTGTCTGGCAGCTTACAGAGGAAGCCTGAAGGACCTACATCTATGAAAAGAGGCAGAATTTGTCAACACAAATTTGATGTTGCTTGAAGGATAAATTTGGAGTGATATCTTTATATAAGATGTTTTACTGAGGTATGATGAGGCATGTCCTGTTTTTAACTTCATTATAAAGCAAAGAAAACTTTTGATAAGAGGCTGATGAATCTTGACATTGTATATGATTCTGTATTGGATATCCGGTCAGTTTTCTGGGCAGCGATGGGTCATTTCTCCTGCCCCTCATGAAGGGCCCTGGATTTTGTCACACTTATTTTGACTGAGCAGGCCATGAGCTGATTATCAGGATTAGCAGAGATGTGGTGCCTCTCCCACTCACTCTCAACTTTGCAGCAGCTGAAAAGTCTCCAGCTTGAGAATCTGTGTGGACCTGGAACTTTTCTCAACCTCTGGCGTGTGATATTTCTATATGTGGACCTCGGTCTGGCAGAAAGAAAAGTGCCGCAGAGAAACTTCAGCAGCTACACTGCATGAAGTATGACAGTTGCAGTGAATGGCTCGGCTCTGCATTAAACATGAGAGCCATCACAAATCACTGCCAGCTCTCAGCCACCTTGGGAGGAATTCAGAGACTGAATGGATGCAGGAGAATGAGCGTTACTTGGCACATGTCCGGCTGTCCAATGGCTCATACTCTAACAAGTGTGGCACAGGTCTCTGAATGAGTTCTCAGCTTTGTCCTGCTCTGGCGCTTTTTCATTAGAAGACCACAAGTCAGTGCCAGCCAGAAGAGAACAGAACAGCTTTGTGTTAATCCACTGCCAGCCTGACAGTGATATGGTTAGCCTGAAATCCAATTTGTTTGGTTTTTGCACATTCACATGCACTGGTCTATCTTAGGGCCATTATTGTTATGATCAGCCTTTATGTATCCAGATATGCTGGGATAAAAACAAACTGGCATGTGCAGTAAATCAAAGAAAACTGTACACTCCTCTGCCAGCTGTAATTGATCCACTGCCAACTCTGTCTGTCAGAAGTTTACTAACCTCTTAGCAGCAAAGTTTCAAAACTATAATCACCCAAATTTCCAGGGGGAGTTCCTTGCTTAAAGAATATCCCACCAGCATTTGAAATCCGTGTTTCATGATGGAAATATACTCTGACAACAAGGGCTAATGATAACATCATTTAGGAGAGGAGCAATTCCTGTCAGTAAAACTGGCTTGTGAAGTATAATGCGTCTGTAATTACAAGCTTAGCACGCTCTGCCAAATATAACAGTGAGTCACTATGCATCAAGTCATGCAGGCGGAGGGATGCAGTTTGTCACGTTTCAGTTTATGAATGAAAGGAGCCGGATGAAGCTCGTTCAAAACGCTATGAGGTCAAAGACTAAAGAAGACGTATCACTTTTTTAACAGACTTCTGTCAAGTCAAGTTTTTGAGACAATGCAAATAAAAATGTGATTGTTAATATCCTGAAAAAGGCTCTGTTCGTTTTAAAAGTAGACCTCAATAATCAAACCAGAGCGTTAAATCTTCCCACCCCTCCGTTTTCAAGTTATAAAGACAAAAAATCCCGTTTTCTTCTTACTGAGTATAAAGTTTCTCTTTATATAACTTCCTACCTGTGCAGGTGAGAGCAGCAGAAAAAGCGCCACCGCTGTTTGGATGACAAAACCGACTTTCATTTCGTGATGTCTGCGAATAGAAGATGGTCCTGGCTCCCGATGCGCACAACAAAACATTCCAACCAGAGTCCCCAACTACTCTGACAAGAGAAAAAAGATGCTGACCGGGAATTTCCGAGTCATCCGCTCCCAGCTGAGAATGAGAGCAGTCACGTAGCTCCTCTGCGCCTCTGCGTGTAACCTGATGAAGAGGAGTGAGCTTACTAATGAATAAGGCCCCAGAGGGGAACTGGATGAAGCTTGGGTTAGAGAAAAAAGGCTGTCAAAAATAAAGTTTTCAGAGCGTCACATTGATAAAAGAACTAAAGCACACAAAGGGCAGTAGTTTCTGCGGTATAAAACAGAGGAAGCCTGATTTGTCCGAGCATTTTCACTGCAAAGAGTAAAAAAAAAAGACTTTTAAAATCCAAAACAAGCTCCAAAGATGCACTACTAGTTGCAGTCCTGATCCTCTGAGCTCTGATCTGCAGAAAAACACACTTGCCTCTAATTGCCCTACACCACCTTTTCACAAGCTGACCATTTAAATCTCCTCCCCCCTGTTTGGTGTCCTCCTCTTTGCTCTGCCTCATCTGCCTGCACACATCTCAGCCTTCTCTTTCTTCTTTTTTTATGGCCACTTTAAGCGGTAACATATAACAGTAATTTATGAGATGCTTCGAATGGTTATCGCAGAGATAGTGACACTGCTGCTGATGCTGTACTTCTGAGTTGTAGACTATACAGCGCAGGTGATTTATGCTGCAGAGTATACACAGACTAGCTGAGAAACTCCCTCCGAGTACTTTGTGTGAGGGCTATTCAGGAAAGGTAAACATTTGTAGATCTTTTTTCTTTGCTGACATGCATGGTGTACTCGTTGCTTGCCCCTGGGATGCACAGAGATTTTCCTGCACGGTTTCAGTTTAGTTTGCAGAGACAGAAAAGGGAGATTCCATTACTGTTGACACATAGAGATAATCCTCAGTGTGGAACTTGTGTGTTTGGAGAAAGCCTGGAACGAAAGGATCTCTTGTGGGCTGCCACACATTCCTTTAACACTGTTGAATAGCTCCTATGCCGCCTTCTATTGTACAGACCACACTCAGGAGTGTGCAGTTTCTAAACATCTCAGACACTTCAAGCAGAGTGAGGCACCCCCCCTTCACCATCATGCTGGATAGAGCATCAGAAAGTGCAAACAATCAGGAGTTTTGAGAGACATTTCCTCTAATTATTCTGGGCAGCATCACAGTACTCTTTGCCTAAATTGTATCTCTGCATTGCAATGATGGATGCTCTTGGAAATTCAGGGAGACGATGGAGTGGAAGCAAAGCAAACTGTGTGTTCTTCGAGGAACAAGACACTGCAATTACTTCTGCTTTAGCCCTGTCTCTCAAGCTGTGCTATCATTGTCTGGGTGGTGAAAGTTTTATTTTACAACACTATCAATCTTCTCTTCATTCCTCGTCTATTCACCTTACTGCTGCTATTCTGCAAGTTTACTGACCAAAGACTGGGCAGAGTCTGTTCTCAGCCCTTTATGGGAACACATCAACCCCAGCTGAATGTAAAACTACAGTGTAGGAGGGAAAATACAGCCATTTTGTCATCAAACTTCACTTTTCAGTTGTGTTTGTGTTATCTGGAGGGTTTTTAAAATATTGGACATGTTACAAGACTTTCTATGATGCTAGAAGCCTTTCAGCAGGCCAAATTCTGTTATTATTATTGTTAATAAACTCAAGTTTTACTCGGGTATACTGAGCTTTGCACACCTGGCTCATCAGTGAATCATTGAATGTTCATGTTGTGTTTATTCTTAAGTAGCCACTGCATCAGAGTCAGGATCATTGTTTGCTTCTTCCTGGAGAGACGATGGTAGGCAAATACATTGAGAGGGACAGTTATTTTAAGATACCCGGTACATGTTGTTCACCTGTTGCACTCCAACAAAAAAACTGAGCAAGTGTGCAAGAAGCCTCAAGCTCATAAATAAACAACTCTGGTAAGCCACCACCACCACAAATAACATGCCACTCTACAGAAAAGAGAGAGAACCAAGCCAAAACCCTCGCTTTTAAATTTGCCACAGGTGCAGTGTTCGTTTGAAAACCAGGATCATTCAAATGATTAAGTGTTAGTGTGCTGCAAAAAAATCAAACCAAATGCAACAAGAGTGCTGCAAATTCATTTGCAGTGAACAGAAAAAGTTCACAAACCCACAAAACAAAAAATCTACAAATCTGTTCATCATCATGAATTTGTTTTCCAGTTTTCTTTTTGCAGCGTGTTTCACCTGTTTTCTCAGCTCCTGGAGTTTGTTTGCTGTGTGCAGAATACAGAGGCGGACTCTCACCACTATCTCGCCATTTGCTCAGTGATTTATTTGTGTTTTTTAATGTTCACCAGCTGGAAGAGTCAAATGAGATCACACAAAATGTTTTCACTATAAATGCTCACTGACAAGACAAGCAGGCCCAGCTTGAGTGATGGTGATATTCAGGGGAAGATGGATTCTTGTTGCTAGATTGTGAAAAAACCTTAAAGCCCTTCAATGACTTTACTAAAATCTGAAAGGAAAATGCTCATAATCTCTCCAAAGGTTTATTGATATGAGGCTCCATCTATTAAACTGAACGAATTGTGCTTGTAGAGAGCAGTGAGGCTGGGGTTAGGGTTCAGTTTCCGGTCTACTGTGCAGCAAAATGGGTTTCTTTTGTGAAGTGTTGGCAATGAAACTTGGTGAGAATATTTGAGAGCAGATCCAAAAAGATCATATAGAGATCAAAATGTCACCAAACCTCTTCTCTAATTGGGTTTCTCTATCAGGCCGTGTGATTGAGTTCAGGTCAGCTGGCCAAATAAATGAGCCTCACACAGTCCGTCGTGTCTCTTGATGTTGTGAAGACCAAGCGGTTCCTCTCAGGAACTGGAGTGCAAAAGTATGCACATTTCCCCCTTTTTGCCACTGACCCCTCATTTTCCTAGATTGCTGAGGAAAAGGTAAACAGATGAACAACATTAATGATGTCCATTCATCATTGTTGGGGCAGCTTCGGTTTCCTCCACAGTGAGGCCTTGAAGGGGAAGGTGGAGAGCCAGAGAGCCCCTCGCTGTGAGAGATCTCATTAACGGTAGTTGGAGCTTGACAGGGAGGCCAAACTTACTATGGAATTGTGAAGTTCTTTACTCTAATTCTTTAAGACCTGAGCGCTATATACATATCCCTTATGACGTAACTTGAAACTCGGAGTATAGACGAAAACATATCTTATAAAATGAAACACAAAAAGGTATAAAAATAAAGAAGAGAGGGTAACCTGGACAGGATGGAGGTGATGTAATAAGATTTGACTCATGATGGACCACCTGGGCAGCAGACCCAAACAGGATACGACAATATTTAACACATAGACCCCTTTCTTCCTGCCATTAATTAAGACAGGACAAGCCATGAATCTTTTCCTCTGCACTGACTGTGTCATTGTAAAGAAAACTATATTTGAAAAAAGCAGTAAATAGGAAGTGCTCCAGCCATGAGTAACAAGCTGCTTACTGTTGCCTAAGGTGATTAGCAGTATCACAACATGTTCTTTCATTTAAAACATGTCAAATCCTGTTTACACTTCCATACTACATTGACGTGGGTTATTTTTGTCCCAGACATTTCTTTTTGTTTCAAGGCTGTCAGGTGTCATCCTGTTTTCATGCCCAGTGGGCTCATGTATGAGCATTGTTTCAATCTGTAGGAAGCAAGTTAGCATGTTAACAGACAATTAGGAGTTATTTTTGTCTCAAAATATCATGAATCAGTCATTGCAGAAACCTCCAGATACTCTTTAGCTTTATGCAGCTGCGTCTTGGACAGCACAGTGTCAGTATGCTGTGGTAACAGCATGCTAAATGGGGATTGTAGTTTATTCTGTTTGTTTTTTTGAGTGCAATTTTAGCAAACCTTTCACTGCTGGACAAAAGAGGGAGAAATTCTTGCTGAGATTGTTTTTGGACTTGTGTACTCCAGGACAACTTTGACATGAGAATAGTGCTAAGAGGTTGTTTGCCTAGTTGTCCACAAGCTGTCTGTTTACTTTTTATTTTTTTTATTTGTGGATTTAGCAACAAGAGTTCATTATCAAGCTTTAGAGGTGTTGGTATGCTTCTAGTATTTAAGTTAAGCTGCGCTAATCACCTGCTGATATAAGCCCCTTACCGGGCATGCAGATGTCAGACGGATATCAGTTTCTCACTTCACTTATTCATCTTGAAAGGAAATGAATGTGTATGTAGCCAATGGTCAGTCATAAAGCTTCAAACTGTATTTTTTACTGCTTACAATAACATACCAGCTAACAAATTTTTGTGGCTCACATCTACAGACAGATGGATATAGACGAGAGATCATTAAGGATCTGTGGAGGGGACCTCGAGCACAGCAGCTGCATCTCTCTGAGAGGAAACCCAGTGTTTGTCCAAGATAAAATTTCATCACCTCACAGGCCTGCGGTTGGTAATACAGAGAAGGAAAAACAGCACTAAGAGTGAGTTATCACGCCTTGTGTCATTGCTGGTTGTAAAAGCCGTTAGCTTTATAAATGAAGAGCGAGCAGTGCAAACTGTGCAGGAGTGGTCCCGCAGTCAGAGAGCAGGTTATAACTCAGGCCTGTGGTGATACTCTAAACTCCATTAAGAGGTCCCACATGTGGAGCGCATTCACAAGTTCACAAGTTGACGCTGTTGGTGGTGGTTCAGTCTGAACCATTAAGCAGATAAATGAGATGTTTTTTTACATTTCTGTCATGCTCAAACATTTTCTTTAAGTTATAGCAACAAAATAATGCTGAATGTAAATATGGAGTACAGTTTTTTCTCGCTCCAGCAGGTGTACTGCAGCAAGCCCTGGATCACTCTGTAAACACACATCTGTGTGCACTTAAAGGACTTTTTTTTAACCTTCTGACAAGTTAGTAAAAGAGATAAAGGATGCAGAGGCTAATTGAGTATACCTTTTGATAGTAAATGTTGCTCTGAGATCGATTTGCGGCAAGATTAGATTTATTCTTTTAAGTAAAGGACCCTTAAGTAAACACAAACTCGATCAGGCGGCAAGATTTGCTGGACTGCAATCGCCCTTGAGTGCTGCTGTTTATTTTTTCAGTGTACAGAGTGTTTTTTTAAAACCTCAAATTAGTTTATCCTCCCTCAGGAGCTATGTGCAAGACTTTTAAAAGGTTTCCTCAGAAAACACACATCAGCCCCTTTTGAAGGAAATTTGGTTACACTAACAACTCTACTTCAGCCGTTGGTGGAGAAAGCAGTTCAGTTATAATTACAGCTGAACTCAAATAAACGGTTTTGTTGCTTTACATGAGCTGACATGACTGAATGTTTTAATGCTTGAGTGCAGCGCTGTCTCTAATGATTACGACAGAAACACATTCAAATAAAGCACCAAAATCTCACCAAAAATGAGAATTACTTAAATTTGTTCCTTAAAGAGTTTCATGAAAGAAAATTAATACTGCTTTTAAGTTGAAAAGTTAATCTGGGGCAGCATCTGGTTAGCCTAAGTCAGTTTAATGAAACAGTAAACAGAAAACCTCCAGACTTGTTCTGACAAAGGTTACAGAACACATCTTTCCTCTCCAGTTAACTCAGAAATGTGTGATGACTATCAACACAGGACCGTTAAGAATGAATGTCAAAATAACAACAGAGCACATGTTTGGATCCTAATGAAAAGGATAATCAATTGCACAAGGCAAAATCACAAAGCATCAACAACCCAGCTATTTGAAAAAGCTGTTACAGCTCATTCTTCCAGATAATTTTAACCCTCCGAGACCTTTTTTTTCAGGCAGCGATTTCAAGATATGATTGTGAAATGATGCATTGGCTGTCACGGGACAAACCCGCTGAGGTGAGGAGGAGTACAGAAGTAGGCTGTGGCCTGAGCAAGTGTTGGGTGAAGTTCATCCCTGCATAAGTGTTTATACAAACTGCAGCCAAACAAAATTGAGCATGCAGATTTATTTATGTGCAGGGAAATACATTTACTCAAATAACTATAGCATGAAGAACAAGGAACAAGAAAAATGGGAGCAGGGCAGGGAGCGGGTGGGCGGAGGTCAAAGAGCAAGGGAAAGTTAATAACTTGAAATAATAAATAATACATCCGAATGATGGGAATTTGGCAACAGCACCATTTATTACCATCAGTTAGCTAAGATCAGTTCAAAGAGGCTGCTCATTGCTTGATGGTTGCTGTGTACTTGTTAGGACAGTGAAGTTCATTACTCAACACAATATGTATGTTTGTTGTCTGACTCCTGCCATTAAGTGTTGGGTTTGAAGTGTTGCTGCCAGAGAGGTGGTGAAGACAAACAGTCCCAGATGGAGCTGTGCCCAGAGGGGACGGATAAATGAGGACCACCAGGGTGGATAAAACAGCTAAACAGTGATGAACACCGTTTTATTTAGTTAAGGCAAACCCAAGAAGTAAAGGGAGGTTTGAGCAGTGATATTTTAACTTTGCACATGAGTTCAGCTCAGGCTCAGGGTCAGATATCAGTCTGACTTTCTATTTGGAAAGGAAACATATTGAGCGACGTTGGCTGAGGCAACATTTTCCGTTACCCTCAAAGAGAAAATAATCAAACAAATACACAATTTCCAGGATGATGCAGCTGAGTCTGTGAGAAATGAGAAACTGTGGAGCAGATTATTATTTTGCGCAGCAGTTTCTGATGTCACTGCAAGAAATAAACCCCTGACTAATCGACCTATATCCCCCAAATATTTGGTTCTTATTGTTTCAGTGATTGAATTTCAGTGATTTTTAGGATGAATTCAAAATCCTAATAAAAACAAATCCATTATGTTGATCTCAAAGTCTAATTTAACAAGACAAAACCTTCAGTTTCTCTTCTTATGCATCTGCAGAGATTTCATTATTGCAGCGTGCTTGGGTAAATGGATTGGCAGAGGAGTCAAAACTCCGACTGTGAATTCTTTCCAGTATACATCTTTGATGGAAAACAGGACATCCATCCTGTCTGTGAGACTGTGTGACATCCAAGACATGTCTAGCCTGATTATAGGCATGATTTCCTCTGGAGTTTACAAAACTGTCTTACCAATGCCCGATGAATGCTTTTCATCTTCACAATGATTGGCTTTTGAATTGAAATAAATGAAAGTTGCTGTTTGACAACTCCAGTAGAGACGTCAACAAAGGGGTAACATGTGCCTCGCGTGGGTGTTCGCGAGCAGATCAGGCAACAGGGGAGTTAGAAAGTGTTGTGATAAGCTTTGAACCATTGTGGAATGAGCTGGTGTTGAATGAACACAGACCACTGACAGGCTCCCAACACCCAGGGCCGCGAAGGACTGAAAATGTGCAGCACTAATCAGGAGAAAATAAACAGAACAGCACCCCCGGACGTCGTGCTAACAAGGGGAATGATGGCAGGACGGTGAGGCTAGGGCATCATAAGACAGCCCAGCTTTATTTTGTGGGTAAAATTACTTTTCCAACAAAGTGAGACCAGCTGCTGCTCTGATTTATACAATTTTGTTTTACTTCTTGCTTGTTGGGTTGTGTCACTGGTTTATTCATGCAAATGGGTTATTCTGGATCAAAGCCAACAAGGCCTGAGGGAGCTTGCCTACAAATGGTGAGCCTCTGAGGAGCCAGTATACTCTGTCTGGGGGACTCCATCCTAATCTCCGGGATCGGGGGAATTTTCCCACCGAGATGAGAAGCAGATGTCCCTCCGTTTCTGTCTCGCCCTCACACTGTCGCACCAGCTCTGTTTCTGTCTCCCTCCGTCAAACCTGGTCCTTCACCTCCCAGGGGACAGTGGGAGGAACATGAGCACCATGGGAAGGGTGGCTGTCCCGGAGTGTGATCACATGACGCAGGAGGAACTGCGTAAGGTACAGAGCTGTGAGCATATGGAGCCAGTTCAAGAGCTCCCAACTTTCTCATGGAAAAATACAAACAAGATTTGATAAAAACGTCATGTTTGGGAGATTCCCACTTCAAATGACAAACTCTAGATGGTTAGCTTTTCTGGGTAGACTGAAAACACTCTGGCTTTACTGTTTTACCACCAGTGTTTATGTAGTTCATGGCTCTATCAGAACAGGGAGGCTGCTGTCATCCTCTTGTCATCATCAGGCTCCTGAATTTGCTCATTTCTCCATAATTCATCAGACTCTTTTGCCCCGCCTCCTGCACCTGCAGTTCCCTGAAGGTCCTGGCTTCATGTTCCCTTGACTTCTGTGGTTTAGTTCTGACGTGCATACTTTTGCTCACAGCGTAAACAGACAGAGATGAACTGTGGGCCAGTCACCGGGTGTTTGGTCGTGGTCTGTAAACAGATCAGCAGGAGGAGGAACAGCAGCTCCCAGTGGAAATGAGACAAACTGGCTTTCCTGAGGCGGGAGAGAGCAGGCATGTGATATGAGGCTTACACCGATGCCTGTTTAATGTTCTCAGCTGCCGCACCATCAGCTAAGATAAGGTATTTGGTATGAGGTTGTTTAGGCAACTTAGATCCAGGAAAGCTTGTTGGTTGTAAAGATAATTCTTCAACCCAGTTGGGGTTGATGCACAAATTGAACCTGAGATTTACCTCTTAAAGGGTCTCTAATGGAGACAGTGAATCCCTAAAAGGTTGCAGGATGCTTCTTTTCTGAGTTTGTAGTCCTTTACATTAAACGATAGGTACTGAATTTGATATCTTCAGGAGGTAACTAGATGAGTCCACATTTTATTCTGCAGCATTGTTTTTAATGTGTTTAATGTTTTTATTTAGTGTACGAATAAGAAAATGAGATACCAATCTAAAACTGTCTTTTGAACCAGGCTGTGAAAATCTAATTGTTCAGTTAAAATTTTATCATTAGAGCTAGTGAAGTTTCTTTGGCCTCGAGTGAACACTTGAGGAACTGCATTTTTTAATTTTTAATTATTATTTTTTATTTTAGCACTTTCACATTAGTTTCATCTTTCAACTCTGAGGTCTGCATTTATCTGGAACAAAAGTAATTAAAGTTTTTATGAATTTTCCTAATATTGTGGGTTCAAATAGTGAGTTGTTATGAACATGACACAACTAAATCTTCAATCAAATGACAGGAAAAGTCACATATTTTCTATGCAGAGCTATGATAGCTGAGTCAGCATAACTGTCAGATATTGTGTTGATTTCACCAGGAGTATAGAATCATTTGTTGCCTTCAGCTGTGTGGCTCTTTGGATATTTTTTGCTGAAATTGCTGGCTGGTAAACTCAGCTTTGTATAGTTTGAAGAGCTGGGATGCATTTTGGGGAGGTTAACATATGAGCATCTGCCCCATATTTTTAAAATCCTGGCCTATATTGTGTTTGTCAAGATGTTTCATAACACACACTGCATTGAATGGATTCAAAATGTACTACATACTTGTAATGCAATGCTTGGTATGAATAGGATGATCGTTTGTGGTGCCTAAATCCTGATGGCTGTTGGTGTCCAGCGTCAGAAGTGAATGACCTTCTTTTGCAGTCTCAGTTTAAGTCTCGCTGATCTGCTTTCTGTTAGGTTCTGTTAGGTGGCAGGAGTTGAGTGCTATAAAAGAAATAGCTCGTCACAAGAGATTTTAAGAAGCATTGAATTCAGAATTTGAAGAAACACTAATTTTCTCCAGGAGTGTTACATGAGTATGCTAGCTGCTAACTATGAAATGTATATTAAAGCGTTGTACTATCCACCACTGGGTGACCAGTGGAAATAAATCATTTTCATTGATCCTTTGGAGGCCATTCAAAGTCATAAAGCTATTTCGAACTAACACATACCCCATTATTTCGGGCATAGCAAGAGAGATGTCAGTCAGATTGTGATCTGCCGTGCTCACAGTCTTGAAATATAGACTAAAAAGCATAAAAACTATATCGAAACTCGGCTTACAAATGGCTATAAACATTGGGGTTGCTCAATTAGACTTTAACTTCTAACCATTTAAGGACATCTTTACAGCGGCTTTAACCCATAAGAGCTGGACTGTTGGCATTAGCTTATAGACATTTACCACAATTTGAACCAGACTTTTTGGAACATTTCAGGAGGTTTTTGTGGGAGAACAGTTATTGTTTTCTTCAGAACATTAAGAACATCTGGATTTTATACATACAAGTTCAGAGTCAGAATCTGGAGACCCTGTTTTCACCTCTTATCATGGTCTCTGTGATTTTCCACAACACAGCATGTTAACAACCTCACCTATCTCCTCCCTACACATTAGTCATATAAAAGGTTTTAGAAATATGCATACTCTAAATATTTCCTTGACATTTTAATCTCAGTGCAGTGGGAAGTGCCAAAATATTGCTCTCAGTTAGAAACAAGCTAATCAAATTCTAAATATGTGAATGATAATCTTTGGGTTATAATGAGCAAAGCAGAATGTACGTCTGAGGGTGAAGCCTGAGTCATGGTGAAAGGTTACTGAGGAAGATTACTGAGTCTGGCTGTGTTAATAAGGCTATGTTTACATTCTGTGGCTCCTTGTTGAAGCAGACCTGTATGACCTGGGATTAAAAAGGAGGCAAGTGGCAGCTTGATGGTACACACACACACACACACGTGTGTGTGCACACATACATACACACAGATATGAAAAAGTGCTGCCATTGAGGGTCTCACAGCAGTGTTCAGGAAGTTCTGAGAGCTTTCATATCAGCGGGGTTGCTTTTATGGTATGCATGTTCACATCAGACACCGAAATGCCTCATTAACTTGATTTTTAATAGTAAACTTTATGAACTTTATAGAATTGATCAAACTTAAAAGACCATGATGAAACTACTACTTGTGGGAGGAAAAACTTTGTTTGATAGTTACTTTAAGTGGGGGGAAAAAAATCACTGCCAGTACTCCCTTTATTCATCTTTCCTGTGTGTGTATTTTGCTGCCAGTTTCAGAACATCATTAGGATTATGCTCTGAATCTCTTCCAGAAAATAACAGAGTATAACGCTGATCTTCACAATATACACTGCCCAAGTATGTCAACAAAGAACCTCTGCTTCACCGTGCTAATGTCAAAACTTTCTGTATTGTCATCTCATCGGGCTGAATATCCTCCTTTGTCTAAGAACATCCCTTTATATTGGTAGATATGCTCCAGTACATAGTATTTCTGAATGTCACCCATTGACTTCTTACAAACTGCCAGTGTGAACTACTTAACCCTAACCCTAACCCTAACCCCAGCCCCAACCCTAACCCTAACCCTAGCTCTAACCCTAACCCTAGCTCCAACCCTAACCCTAACCCTAACCCTAACCCTAGCTCCAACCCTAACCCTAACCCTAACCCTAACCCTAGCTCCAACCTTAACCCTAACCCTAACCCTAGCTCCAACCCTAACCCTAACCCAAACCCTAAGTAGACTTTTCAAAAAACTTCCCCCAAAATTAGGTTCTATAGACTCCCCGTGCCCTGAAACGTGCTCCTAACACAATTCTGGAAGGTGAAAAATTGGGTTGGCACTAACCCTAACCCTAACCCTAACCCATGCATTCCTATGGGAAAAAATAAATTTTTTTTAGGAACGTCCTAGAGACTCGGGAGTTGGTTCATTGCACTCAGAAAAATCCTAGCTGCAAGCCCAACCCTAACCCTAGCTCCAACACTAACCCTAACTCCAACCCTAACCCTAACCCAAAACCTAGCTCCAACCCTAACCCTAACCCTAACCCATGCATTCCTATGGGAAAAAATCAAATTTTTTTAGGAACGTCCTAGAGACTCGGGAGTTGGTTCATTGCACTCAGAAAAATCCTAGCTCCAAGCCCAACCCTAACCCTAGCTCCAACACTAACCCTAACTCCAACCCTAACCCTAACCCTAACCCTAGCTCCAACCCTAACCCTAACCCTAACCCATGCATTCCCATGGGAAAAAAACAATTTTTTTTAGGAACGTCCTAGAGACTCGGGAGTTGGTTCATTGCACTCAGAAAAATCCTAGCTCCAAGCCCAACCCTAACCCTAGCTCCAACACTAACCCTAACTCCAACCCTAACCCTAACCCTAACCCTAACCCTAGCTCCAACCCTAACCCTAACCTTAGCTCCAACCTTAACCCTAACCCTAACCCTAACCCTAGCCCCAACCCTAAGCCTAGCTCTAACCCTAACCCTAGCTCCACCCTAATCCTAACCCTAACCCTAACCCTAGCTCCAACCCTAACCCTAACCCTAACCCATGCATTCCTATGGAAAAAAATCTAATTTTTTTAGGAACGTCATAGAGACTCGGGAGTTGGTTCATTGCACTCAGAAAAATCCTAGCTCCAAGCCCAACCCTAACCCTAGCTCCAACACTAACCCTAACCCTAACTCCAACCCTAACCCTAACCCTAACCCTAACCCTAGCTCCAACCCTAACCCTAACCCTAACCCATGCATTCCTATGGGGAAAAAACAAATTTTTTTAGGAACGTCCTAGAGACTCGGGAGTTGGTTCATTTCACTCAGAAAAATCCTAGCTCCAAGCCCAACCCTAACCCTAGCTCCAACACTAACCCTAACTCCAACCCTAACCCTAACCCTAACCCTAGCTCCAACCCTAACCCTAACCCTAACCCATGCATTCCTATGGGAAAAAATCAATTTTTTTTAGGAAGGTCCTAGAGACTCGGGAGTTGGTTCATTGCACTCAGAAAAATCCTAGCTCCAAGCCCAACCCTAACCCTAGCTCCAACACTAACCCTAACTCCAACCCTAACCCTAACCCTAACCCTAGCTCCAACCCTAACCCTAACCCTAACCCATGCATTCCTATGGGGAAAAATCAATTTTTTTTAGGAACGTCCTAGAGACTCTGGAGTTGGTTCATTGCACTCAGAAAAATCCTAGCTGCAAGCCCAACCCTAACCCTAGCTCCAACCCTAACCCTAACCCTAACCCATGCATTCCTATGGAAAAAAATCAAATTTTTTTAGGAACGTCATAGAGACTCGGGAGTTGGTTCATTGCACTCAGAAAAATCCTAGCTCCAAGCCCAACCCTAACCCTAGCTCCAACACTAACCCTAACTCCAACCCTAACCCTAACCCTAACCCTAGCTCCAACCCTAACCCTAACCCTAACCCATGCATTCCTATGGGAAAAAATCAAATTTTTTTAGGAACGTCCTAGAGACTCGGGAGTTGGTTCATTTCACTCAGAAAAATCCTAGCTCCAAGCCCAACCCTAACCCTAGCTCCAACACTAACCCTAACTCCAACCCTAACCCTAGCTCCAACCCTAACCCTAACCCTAACCCATGCATTCCCATGGAAAAAAATAAATTTTTTTAGGAACGTTCTCTAGACTCAGGAGTTGGTTCATTGCACTCAGAAAAATCCTAGCTCCAAGCCCAACCCTAACCCTAGCTCCAACACTAACCCTAACTCCAACCCTAACCCCAACCCTAACCCTAGCTCCAACCCTAACCCTAGCCCTAACCCATGCATTCCTATGGGAAAAAAATCAATTTTTTTTAGGAACGTCCTAGAGACTCGGGAGTTGGTTCATTGCACTCAGAAAAATCCTAGCTGCAAGCCCAACCCTAACCCTAGCTCCAACACTAACCCTAACTCCAACCCTAACCCTAACCCTAACCCTAGCTCCAACCCTAACCCTAACCCATGCATTCCTATGGGAAAAAATCAAATTTTTTTAGGAAAGTCCTAGAGACTCGGGAGTTGGTTCATTGCACTCAGAAAAATCCTAGCTCCAAGCCCAACCCTAACCCTAGCTCCAACACTAACCCTAACTCCAACCCTAACCCTAACCCTAACCCTAGCTCCAACCCTAACCCTAACCCTAACCCTAACCCATGCATTCCTATGGGAAAAAATCAAATTTTTTTAGGAACGTCCTAGAGACTCGGGAGTTGGTTCATTGCACTCAGAAAAATCCTAGCTCCAAGCCCAACCCTAACCCTAGCTCCAACACTAACCCTAACTCCAACCCTAACCCTAACCCTAACCCTAGCTCCAACCCTAACCCTAACCCTAACCCATGCATTCCTATGGGAAAAAATCAATTTTTTTAGGAACGTCCTAGAGACTCGGGAGTTGGTTCATTGCACTCAGAAAAATCCTAGCTCCAAGCCCAACCCTAACCCTAGCTCCAACACTAACCCTAACTCCAACCCTAACCCTAACCCTAACCCTAGCTCCAACCCTAACCCTAACCCTAACCCATGCATTCCTATGGGAAAAAATCAATTTTTTTTAGGAACGTCCTAGAGACTCTGGAGTTGGTTCATTGCACTCAGAAAAATCCTAGCTGCAAGCCCAACCCTAACCCTAGCTCCAACACTAACCCTAACTCCAACCCTAACCCTAACCCTAACCCTAGCTCCAACCCTAACCCTAACCCTAACCCATGCATTCCTATGGGAAAAAATCAAATTTTTTTAGGAAGGTCCTAGAGACTCGGGAGTTGGTTCATTGCACTCAGAAAAATCCTAGCTGCAAGCCCAACCCTAACCCTAGCTCCAACACTAACCCTAACTCCAACCCTAACCCTAACCCTAACCCTAGCTCCAACCCTAACCCTAACCCTAACCCATGCATTCCTATGGGAAAAAATCAATTTTTTTTAGGAAGGTCCTAGAGACTCTGGAGTTGGTTCATTGCACTCAGAAAAATCCTAGCTGCAAGCCCAACCCTAACCCTAGCTCCAACACTAACCCTAACTCCAACCCTAACCCTAACCCTAACCCTAGCTCCAACCCTAACCCTAACCCTAACCCATGCATTCCTATGGAAAAAAATCAAATTTTTTTAGGAACGTCATAGAGACTCGGGAGTTGGTTCATTGCACTCAGAAAAATCCTAGCTCCAAGCCCAACCCTAACCCTAGCTCCAACACTAACCCTAACTCCAACCCTAACCCTAACCCTAACCCTAACCCTAGCTCCAACCCTAACCCTAACCCTAACCCATGCATTCCTATGGGAAAAAATCAAATTTTTTTAGGAACGTGCTAGAGACTCGGGAGTTGGTTCATTTCACTCAGAAAAATCCTAGCTCCAAGCCCAACCCTAACCCTAGCTCCAACACTAACCCTAACTCCAACCCTAACCCTAACCCTAACCCTAGCTCCAACCCTAACCCTAACCCTAACCCATGCATTCCTATGGGAAAAAATCAAATTTTTTTAGGAACGTGCTAGAGACTCGGGAGTTGGTTCATTTCACTCAGAAAAATCCTAGCTCCAAGCCCAACCCTAACCCTAGCTCCAACACTAACCCTAACTCCAACCCTAACCCTAACCCTAACCCTAGCTCCAACCCTAACCCTAACCCTAACCCATGCATTCCCATGGAAAAAAACAAATTTATTTTAGGAACGTTCTCTAGACTCAGGAGTTGGTTCATTGCACTCAGAAAAATCCTAGCTCCAAGCCCAACCCTAACCCTAGCTCCAACACTAACCCTAACTCCAACCCTAACCCTAACCCTAACCCTAGCTCCAACCCTAACCCTAACCCTAACCCATGCATTCCTATGGGAAAAAAATCAATTTTTTTTAGGAACGTCCTAGAGACTCGGGAGTTGGTTCATTGCACTCAGAAAAATCCTAGCTGCAAGCCCAACCCTAACCCTAGCTCCAACACTAACCCTAACTCCAACCCTAACCCTAACCCTAACCCTAGCTCCAACCCTAACCCTAACCCATGCATTCCTATGGGAAAAAATCAAATTTTTTTAGGAAAGACCTAGAGACTCGGGAGTTGGTTCATTGCACTCAGAAAAATCCTAGCTCCAAGCCCAACCCTAACCCTAGCTCCAACACTAACCCTAACCCTAACCCATGCATTCCTATGGGAGAAAAATCAATTTTTTTTAGGAACGTCCTAGAGACTCGGGAGTTGGTTCATTGCACTAAGAAAAATCCTAGCTCCAAGCCCAACCCTAACCCTAGCTCCAACACTAACCCTAACTCCAACCCTAACCCTAACCCTAACCCTAGCTCCAACCCTAACCCTAACCCTAACCCTAACCCATGCATTCCTATGGGAAAAAATCAAATTTTTTTAGGAACGTCCTAGAGACTCGGGAGTTGGTTCATTGCAATCAGAAAAATCCTAGCTCCAAGCCCAACCCTAGCCCTAGCTCCAACACTAACCCTAACTCCAACCCTAACCCTAACCCTAACCCTAGCTCCAACCCTAACCCTAACCCTTACCCATGCATTCCTATGGGAAAAAATCAATTTTTTTTAGGAACGTCCTAGAGACTCGGGAGTTGGTTCATTGCAATCAGAAAAATCCTAGCTCCAAGCCCAACCCTAGCCCTAGCTCCAACACTAACCCTAACTCCAACCCTAACCCTAACCCTAACCCTAGCTCCAACCCTAACCCTAACCCTTACCCATGCATTCCTATGGGAAAAAATCAATTTTTTTTAGGAACGTCCTAGAGACTCGGGAGTTGGTTCATTGCACTCAGAAAAATCCTAGCTCCAAGCCCAACCCTAACCCTAGCTCCAACACTAACGCTAACTCCAACCCTAACCCTAACCCTAACCCTAGCTCCAACCCTAACCCTAACCCTAACCCATGCATTCCTATGGGAAAAAATCAAATTTTTTTAGGAAGGTCCTAGAGACTCGGGAGTTGGTTCATTGCACTCAGAAAAATCCTAGCTCCAAGCCCAACCCTAACCCTAGCTCCAACACTAACCCTAACTCCAACCCTAACCCTAACCCTAACCCTAGCTCCAACCCTAACCCTAACCCTAACCCATGCATTCCTATGGGAAAAAATCAATTTTTTTTAGGAACGTCCTAGAGACTCTGGAGTTGGTTCATTGCACTCAGAAAAATCCTAGCTGCAAGCCCAACCCTAACCCTAGCTCCAACACTAACCCTAACTCCAACCCTAACCCTAACCCTAACCCTAGCTCCAACCCTAACCCTAACCCTAACCCATGCATTCCTATGGGAAAAAATCAAATTTTTTTAGGAACGTCCTAGAGACTCGGGAGTTGGTTCATTGCACTCAGAAAAATCCTAGCTCCAAGCCCAACCCTAACCCTAGCTCCAACACTAACCCTAACTCCAACCCTAACCCTAACCCTAACCCTAGCTCCAACCCTAACCCTAACCCTAACCCATGCATTCCTATGGGAAAAAATCAAATTTTTTTAGGAAGGTCCTAGAGACTCGGGAGTTGGTTCATTGCACTCAGAAAAATCCTAGCTCCAAGCCCAACCCTAACCCTAGCTCCAACACTAACCCTAACTCCAACCCTAACCCTAACCCTAACCCTAGCTCCAACCCTAACCCTAACCCTAACCCATGCATTCCTATGGGAAAAAATCAATTTTTTTTAGGAACATCCTAGAGACTCGGGAGTTGGTTCATTGCACTCAGAAAAATCCTAGCTCCAAGCCCAACCCTAACCCTAGCTCCAACACTAACCCTAACTCCAACCCTAACCCTAACCCTAACCCTAACCCTAGCTCCAACCCTAACCCTAACCCTAACCCATGCATTCCTATGGGAAAAAATCAAATTTTTTTAGGAAGGTCCTAGAGACTCGGGAGTTGGTTCATTGCACTCAGAAAAATCCTAGCTCCAAGCCCAACCCTAACCCTAGCTCCAACACTAACCCTAACTCCAACCCTAACCCTAACCCTAACCCTAGCTCCAACCCTAACCCTAACACTAACCCATGCATTCCTATGGGAAAAAATCAATTTTTTTAGGAACGTCCTAGAGACTCGGGAGTTGGTTCATTGCACTCAGAAAAATCCTAGCTGCAAGCCCAACCCTAACCCTAGCTCCAACACTAACCCTAACTCCAACCCTAACCCTAACCCTAACCCTAGCTCCAACCCTAACCCTAACCCTAACCCATGCATTCCTATGGGAAAAAAATCAAATTTTTTTAGGAACGTCCTAGAGACTCGGGAGTTGGTTCATTGCACTCAGAAAAATCCTAGCTCCAAGCCCAACCCTAACCCTAGCTCCAACACTAACCCTAACTCCAACCCTAACCCTAACCCTAACCCTAGCTCCAACCCTAACCCTAACCCTAACCCATGCATTCCTATGGGAAAAAATCAATTTTTTTTAGGAAACTTCCTAGAGACTCGGAAGTTGGTTCATTGCACTCAGAAAAATCCTAGCTCCAAGCCCAACCCTAACCCTAGCTCCAACACTAACCCTAACTCCAACCCTAACCCTAACCCTAACCCTAGCTCCAACCCTAACCCTAACCCTTACCCATGCATTCCTATGGGAAAAAATCAAATTTTTTTAGGAACGTCCTAGAGACTCGGGAGTTGGTTCATTGCACTCAGAAAAATCCTAGCTCCAAGCCCAACCCTAACCCTAGCTCCAACACTAACCCTAACTCCAACCCTAACCCTAACCCTAACCCTAGCTCCAACCCTAACCCTAACCCTTACCCATGCATTCCTATGGGAAAAAATCAAATTTTTTTAGGAACGTCCTAGAGACTCGGGAGTTGGTTCATTGCACTCAGAAAAATCCTAGCTCCAAGCCCAACCCTAACCCTAGCTCCAACACTAACCCTAACTCCAACCCTAACCCTAACCCTAGCTCCAACCCTAACCCTAACCCTAACCCATGCATTCCTATGGGAAAAAATCTAATTTTTTTAGGAACGTCCTAGAGACTCGGGAGTTGGTTCATTGCACTCAGAAAAATCCTAGCTCCAAGCCCAACCCTAACCCTAGCTCCAACACTAACCCTAACTCCAACCCTAACCCTAACCCTAACCCTAGCTCCAACCCTAACCCTAACCCTAACCCATGCATTCCTATGGGAAAAAATCAAATTTTTTTAGGAACGTCCTAGAGACTCGGGAGTTGGTTCATTGCACTCAGAAAAATCCTAGCTCCAAGCCCAACCCTAACCCTAGCTCCAACACTAACCCTAACTCCAACCCTAACCCTAACCCTAACCCTAGCTCCAACCCTAACCCTAACCCTAACCCATGCATTCCTATGGGAAAAAATCAAATTTTTTTAGGAAGGTCCTAGAGACTCGGGAGTTGGTTCATTGCACTCAGAAAAATCCTAGCTCCAAGCCCAACCCTAACCCTAGCTCCAACACTAACCCTAACTCCAACCCTAACCCTAACCCTAACCCTAGCTCCAACCCTAACCCTAACCCTAACCCATGCATTCCTATGGGAAAAAAATCAATTTTTTTTAGGAACGTCCTAGAGACTCGGGAGTTGGTTCATTGCACTCAGAAAAATCCTAGCTCCAAGCCCAACCCTAACCCTAGCTCCAACACTAACCCTAACTCCAACCCTAACCCTAACCCTAACCCTAGCTCCAACCCTAACCCTAACCCTAACCCATGCATTCCTATGGTAAAAAATCAATTTTTTTTAGGAACGTCCTAGAGACTCGGGAGTTGGTTCATTGCACTCAGAAAAATCCTAGCTCCAAGCCCAACCCTAACCCTAGCTCCAACACTAACCCTAACTCCAACCCTAACCCTAACCCTAACCCTAGCTCCAACCCTAACCCTAACCCTAACCCATGCATTCCTATGGGAAAAAATCAATTTTTTTAGGAACGTCCTAGAGACTCGGGAGTTGGTTCATTGCACTCAGAAAAATCCTAGCTCCAAGCCCAACCCTAACCCTAGCTCCAACACTAACCCTAACTCCAACCCTAACCCTAACCCTAACCCTAGCTCCAACCCTAACCCTAACCCTAACCCATGCATTCCTATGGGAAAAAATAAAATTTTTTTAGGAACGTCCTAGAGACTCGGGAGTTGGTTCATTGCACTCAGAAAAATCCTAGCTCCAAGCCCAACCCTAACCCTAACTCCAACACTAACCCTAACTCCAACCCTAACCCTAACCCTAACCCTAGCTCCAACCCTAACCCTAACCCTAACCCATGCATTCCTATGGGAAAAAATCAAATTTTTTTAGGAAGGTCCTAGAGACTCGGGAGTTGGTTCATTGCACTCAGAAAAATCCTAGCTCCAAGCCCAACCCTAACCCTAGCTCCAACACTAACCCTAACTCCAACCCTAACCCTAACCCTAACCCTAGCTCCAACCCTAACCCTAACCCTAACCCATGCATTCCTATGGGAAAAAATCAAATTTTTTTAGGAACGTCCTAGAGACTCGGGAGTTGGTTCATTGCACTCAGAAAAATCCTAGCTCCAAGCCCAACCCTAACCCTAGCTCCAACACTAACCCTAACTCCAACCCTAACCCTAACCCTAACCCTAGCTCCAACCCTAACCCTAACCCTAACCCATGCATTCCTATGGGAAAAAAATCAAATTTTTTTAGGAAGGTCCTAGAGACTCGGGAGTTGGTTCATTGCACTCAGAGAAATCCTAGCTCCAAGCCCAACCCTAACCCTAGCTCCAACACTAACCCTAACTCCAACCCTAACCCTAACCCTAGCTCCAACCCTAACCCTAACCCTAACCCTAACCCATGCATTCCTATGGGAAAAAATCAATTTTTTTTAGGAACGTCCTAGAGACTCGGGAGTTGGTTCATTGCACTCAGAAAAATCCTAGCTCCAAGCCCAACCCTAACCCTAGCTCCAACACTAACCCTAACTCCAACCCTAACCCTAACCCTAACCCTAGCTCCAACCCTAACCCTAACACTAACCCATGCATTCCTATGGGAAAAAAACAATTTTTTTTAGGAACGTCCTAGAGACTCGGGAGTTGGTTCATTGCACTCAGAAAAATCCTAGCTCCAAGCCCAACCCTAACCCTAGCTCCAACACTAACCCTAACTCCAACCCTAACCCTAACCCTAACCCTAGCTCCAACCCTAACCCTAACCCTAACCCATGCATTCCTATGGGAAAAAATCAATTTTTTTTAGGAACGTCCTAGAGACTCGGGAGTTGGTTCATTGCACTCAGAAAAATCCTAGCTCCAAGCCCAACCCTAACCCTAGCTCCAACACTAACCCTAACTCCAACCCTAACCCTAACCCTAACCCTAGCTCCAACCCTAACCCTAACCCTAACCCATGCATTCCTATGGGAAAAAATCAAATTTTTTTAGGAACGTCCTAGAGACTCGGGAGTTGGTTCATTGCACTCAGAAAAATCCTAGCTGCAAGCCCAACCCTAACCCTAGCTCCAACACTAACCCTAACTCCAACCCTAACCCTAACCCTAACCCTAACCCTAGCTCCAACCCTAACCCTAACCCTAACCCATGCATTCCTATGGGAAAAAATCAAATTTTTTTAGGAACGTCCTAGAGACTCGGGAGTTGGTTCATTGCACTCAGAAAAATCCTAGCTCCAAGCCCAACCCTAACCCTAGCTCCAACACTAACCCTAACTCCAACCCTAACCCTAACCCTAACCCTAGCTCCAACCCTAACCCTAACCCTAACCCATGCATTCCTATGGGAAAAAATCAATTTTTTTTAGGAACGTCCTAGAGACTCGGGAGTTGGTTCATTGCACTCAGAAAAATCCTAGCTCCAAGCCCAACCCTAACCCTGGCTCCAACACTAACCCTAACTCCAACCCTAACCCTAACCCTAACCCTAGCTCCAACCCTAACCCTAACCCTAACCCATGCATTCCTATGGGAAAAAATCAAATTTTTTTAGGAACGTCCTAGAGACTCGGGAGTTGGTTCATTGCACTCAGAAAAATCCTAGCTCCAAGCCCAACCCTAACCCTAGCTCCAACACTAACCCTAACTCCAACCCTAACCCTAACCCTATCCCTAGCTCCAACCCTAACCCTAACCCTAACCCATGCATTCCTATGGGAAAAAATCAATTTTTTTTAGGAACGTCCTAGAGACTCGGGAGTTGGTTCATTGCACTCAGAAAAATCCTAGCTCCAAGCCCAACCCTAACCATGGCTCCAACACTAACCCTAACTCCAACCCTAACCCTAACCCTAACCCTAGCTCCAACCCTAACCCTAACACTAACCCATGCATTCCTATGGGAAAAAATCAAATTTTTTTAGGAACGTCCTAGAGACTCGGGAGTTGGTTCATTGCACTCAGAAAAATCCTAGCTCCAAGCCCAACCCTAACCCTAGCTCCAACACTAACCCTAACTCCAACCCTAACCCTAACCCTAACCCTAGCTCCAACCCTAACCCTAACCCTAACCCATGCATTCCTATGGGAAAAAATCAATTTTTTTTAGGAACGTCCTAGAGACTCGGGAGTTGGTTCATTGCACTCAGAAAAATCCTAGCTCCAAGCCCAACCCTAACCCTAGCTCCAACACTAACCCTAACTCCAACCCTAACCCTAACCCTAACCCTAGCTCCAACCCTAACCCTAACCCTAACCCATGCATTCCTATGGGAAAAAATCAAATTTTTTTAGGAACGTCCTAGAGACTCGGGAGTTGGTTCATTGCACTCAGAAAAATCCTAGCTGCAAGCCCAACCCTAACCCTAGCTCCAACACTAACCCTAACTCCAACCCTAACCCTAACCCTAACCCTAACCCTTGCTCCAACCCTAACCCTAACCCTAACCCATGCATTCCTATGGGAAAAAAATCAAATTTTTTAGGAAGGTCCTAGAGACTCGGGAGTTGGTTCATTGCACTCAGAAAAATCCTAGCTCCAAGCCCAACCCTAACCCTAGCTCCAACACTAACCCTAACTCCAACCCTAACCCTAACCCTAACCCTAGCTCCAACCCTAACCCTAACCCTAACCCATGCATTCCTATGGGAAAAAATCAATTTTTTTTAGGAACGTCCTAGAGACTCGGGAGTTGGTTCATTGCACTCAGAAAAATCCTAGCTCCAAGCCCAACCCTAACCCTAGCTCCAACACTAACCCTAACTCCAACCCTAACCCTAACCCTAACCCTAGCTCCAACCCTAACCCTAACCCTAACCCATGCATTCCTATGGGAAAAAATCAAATTTTTTTAGGAACGTCCTAGAGACTCGGGAGTTGGTTCATTGCACTCAGAAAAATCCTAGCTCCAAGCCCAACCCTAACCCTAGCTCCAACACTAACCCTAACTCCAACCCTAACCCTAACCCTAACCCTAGCTCCAACCCTAACCCTAACCCTAACCCATGCATTCCTATGGGAAAAAATCAATTTTTTTTAGGAACGTCCTAGAGACTCGGGAGTTGGTTCATTGCACTCAGAAAAATCCTAGCTCCAAGCCCAACCCTAACCCTAGCTCCAACACTAACCCTAACTCCAACCCTAACCCTAACCCTAACCCTAGCTCCAACCCTAACCCTAACCCTAACCCATGCATTCCTATGGGAAAAAATCAAATTTTTTTAGGAACGTCCTAGAGACTCGGGAGTTGGTTCATTGCACTCAGAAAAATCCTAGCTGCAAGCCCAACCCTAACCCTAGCTCCAACACTAACCCTAACTCCAACCCTAACCCTAACCCTAACCCTAACCCTAGCTCCAACCCTAACCCTAACCCTAACCCATGCATTCCTATGGGAAAAAATCAAATTTTTTTAGGAAGGTCCTAGAGACTCGGGAGTTGGTTCATTGCACTCAGAAAAATCCTAGCTCCAAGCCCAACCCTAACCCTAGCTCCAACACTAACCCTAACTCCAACCCTAACCCTAACCCTAACCCTAGCTCCAACCCTAACCCTAACCCTAACCCATGCATTCCTATGGGAAAAAATCAATTTTTTTTAGGAACGTCCTAGAGACTCGGGAGTTGGTTCATTGCACTCAGAAAAATCCTAGCTCCAAGCCCAACCCTAACCCTGGCTCCAACACTAACCCTAACTCCAACCCTAACCCTAACCCTAACCCTAGCTCCAACCCTAACCCTAACCCTAACCCATGCATTCCTATGGGAAAAAATCAAATTTTTTTAGGAACGTCCTAGAGACTCGGGAGTTGGTTCATTGCACTCAGAAAAATCCTAGCTCCAAGCCCAACCCTAACCCTAGCTCCAACACTAACCCTAACTCCAACCCTAACCCTAACCCTATCCCTAGCTCCAACCCTAACCCTAACCCTAACCCATGCATTCCTATGGGAAAAAATCAATTTTTTTTAGGAACGTCCTAGAGACTCGGGAGTTGGTTCATTGCACTCAGAAAAATCCTAGCTCCAAGCCCAACCCTAACCCTGGCTCCAACACTAACCCTAACTCCAACCCTAACCCTAACCCTAACCCTAGCTCCAACCCTAACCCTAACACTAACCCATGCATTCCTATGGGAAAAAATCAAATTTTTTTAGGAACGTCCTAGAGACTCGGGAGTTGGTTCATTGCACTCAGAAAAATCCTAGCTCCAAGCCCAACCCTAACCCTAGCTCCAACACTAACCCTAACTCCAACCCTAACCCTAACCCTAACCCTAGCTCCAACCCTAACCCTAACCCTAACCCATGCATTCCTATGGGAAAAAATCAATTTTTTTTAGGAACGTCCTAGAGACTCGGGAGTTGGTTCATTGCACTCAGAAAAATCCTAGCTCCAAGCCCAACCCTAACCCTAGCTCCAACACTAACCCTAACTCCAACCCTAACCCTAACCCTAACCCTAGCTCCAACCCTAACCCTAACCCTAACCCATGCATTCCTATGGGAAAAAATCAAATTTTTTTAGGAAGGTCCTAGAGACTCGGGAGTTGGTTCATTGCACTCAGAAAAATCCTAGCTCCAAGCCCAACCCTAACCCTAGCTCCAACACTAACCCTAACTCCAACCCTAACCCTAACCCTAACCCTAACCCTTGCTCCAACCCTAACCCTAACCCTAACCCATGCATTCCTATGGGAAAAAAATCAAATTTTTTAGGAAGGTCCTAGAGACTCGGGAGTTGGTTCATTGCACTCAGAAAAATCCTAGCTCCAAGCCCAACCCTAACCCTAGCTCCAACACTAACCCTAACTCCAACCCTAACCCTAACCCTAACCCTAGCTCCAACCCTAACCCTAACCCTAACCCATGCATTCCTATGGGAAAAAATCAAATTTTTTTAGGAACGTCCTAGAGACTCGGGAGTTGGTTCATTGCACTCAGAAAAATCCTAGCTCCAAGCCCAACCCTAACCCTAGCTCCAACACTAACCCTAACTCCAACCCTAACCCTAACCCTAACCCTAGCTCCAACCCTAACCCTAACCCTAACCCATGCATTCCTATGGGAAAAAATCAATTTTTTTAGGAACGTCCTAGAGACTCGGGAGTTGGTTCATTGCACTCAGAAAAATCCTAGCTCCAAGCCCAACCCTAACCCTAGCTCCAACACTAACCCTAACTCCAACCCTAACCCTAACCCTAACCCTAGCTCCAACCCTAACACTAACCCATGCATTCCTATGGGAAAAAATCAAATTTTTTTAGGAACGTCCTAGAGACTCGGGAGTTGGTTCATTGCACTCAGAAAAATCCTAGCTGCAAGCCCAACCCTAACCCTAGCTCCAACACTAACCCTAACTCCAACCCTAACCCTAACCCTAGCTCCAACCCCACACCTAACCCTAACCCTTGCTCCAACCCTAACCCTAACCCTAACCCATGCATTCCTATGGGAAAAAATCAATTTTTTTTAGGAACATCCTAGAGACTCGGGAGTTGGTTCATTGCACTCAGAAAAATCCTAGCTCCAAGCCCAACCCTAACCCTTGCTCCAACACTAACCCTAACCCTAACTCCAACCCTAACCCTAACCCTAACCCTAGCTCCAACCCTAACCCTAACCCTAACCCATGCATTCCTATGGGAAAAAATCAAATTTTTTTAGGAACGTCCTAGAGACTCGGGAGTTGGTTCATTGCACTCAGAAAAATCCTAGCTCCAAGCCCAACCCTAACCCTAGCTCCAACACTAACCCTAACTCCAACCCTAACCCTAACCCTAACCCTAGCTCCAACCCTAACCCTAACCCTAACCCATGCATTCCTATGGGAAAAAATCAAATTTTTTTAGGAACGTCCTAGAGACTCGGGAGTTGGTTCATTGCACTCAGAAAAATCCTAGCTCCAAGCCCAACCCTAACCCTAACTCCAACACTAACCCTAACTCCAACCCTAACCCTAACCCTAACCCTAGCTCCAACCCTAACCCTAACCCTAACCCATGCATTCCTATGGGAAAAAATCAAATTTTTTTAGGAAGGTCCTAGAGACTCGGGAGTTGGTTCATTGCACTCAGAAAAATCCTAGCTCCAAGCCCAACCCTAACCCTAGCTCCAACACTAACCCTAACTCCAACCCTAACCCTAACCCTAACCCTAGCTCCAACCCTAACCCTAACCCTAACCCATGCATTCCTATGGGAAAAAATCAAATTTTTTTAGGAACGTCCTAGAGACTCGGGAGTTGGTTCATTGCACTCAGAAAAATCCTAGCTCCAAGCCCAACCCTAACCCTAGCTCCAACACTAACCCTAACTCCAACCCTAACCCTAACCCTAACCCTAGCTCCAACCCTAACCCTAACCCTAACCCATGCATTCCTATGGGAAAAAAATCAAATTTTTTTAGGAAGGTCCTAGAGACTCGGGAGTTGGTTCATTGCACTCAGAGAAATCCTAGCTCCAAGCCCAACCCTAACCCTAGCTCCAACACTAACCCTAACTCCAACCCTAACCCTAACCCTAACCCTAGCTCCAACCCTAACCCTAACCCTAACCCTAACCCATGCATTCCTATGGGAAAAAATCAATTTTTTTTAGGAACGTCCTAGAGACTCGGGAGTTGGTTCATTGCACTCAGAAAAATCCTAGCTCCAAGCCCAACCCTAACCCTAGCTCCAACACTAACCCTAACTCCAACCCTAACCCTAACCCTAACCCTAGCTCCAACCCTAACCCTAACACTAACCCATGCATTCCTATGGGAAAAAATCAATTTTTTTTAGGAACGTCCTAGAGACTCGGGAGTTGGTTCATTGCACTCAGAAAAATCCTAGCTCCAAGCCCAACCCTAACCCTAGCTCCAACACTAACCCTAACTCCAACCCTAACCCTAACCCTAACCCTAGCTCCAACCCTAACCCTAACCCTAACCCATGCATTCCTATGGGAAAAAATCAATTTTTTTAGGAACGTCCTAGAGACTCGGGAGTTGGTTCATTGCACTCAGAAAAATCCTAGCTCCAAGCCCAACCCTAACCCTAGCTCCAACACTAACCCTAACTCCAACCCTAACCCTAACCCTAACCCTAGCTCCAACCCTAACCCTAACCCTAACCCATGCATTCCTATGGGAAAAAATCAATTTTTTTAGGAACGTCCTAGAGACTCGGGAGTTGGTTCATTGCACTCAGAAAAATCCTAGCTGCAAGCCCAACCCTAACCCTAGCTCCAACACTAACCCTAACTCCAACCCTAACCCTAACCCTAACCCTAACCCTAGCTCCAACCCTAACCCTAACCCTAACCCATGCATTCCTATGGGAAAAAATCAAATTTTTTTAGGAAGGTCCTAGAGACTCGGGAGTTGGTTCATTGCACTCAGAAAAATCCTAGCTCCAAGCCCAACCCTAACCCTAGCTCCAACACTAACCCTAACTCCAACCCTAACCCTAACCCTAACCCTAGCTCCAACCCTAACCCTAACCCTAACCCATGCATTCCTATGGGAAAAAATCAATTTTTTTAGGAACGTCCTAGAGACTCGGGAGTTGGTTCATTGCACTCAGAAAAATCCTAGCTCCAAGCCCAACCCTAACCCTGGCTCCACACTAACCCTAACTCCAACCCTAACCCTAACCCTAACCCTAGCTCCAACCCTAACCCTAACCCTAACCCATGCATTCCTATGGGAAAAAATCAAATTTTTTTAGGAACGTCCTAGAGACTCGGGAGTTGGTTCATTGCACTCAGAAAAATCCTAGCTCCAAGCCCAACCCTAACCCTAGCTCCAACACTAACCCTAACTCCAACCCTAACCCTAACCCTAACCCTAGCTCCAACCCTAACCCTAACCCTAACCCATGCATTCCTATGGGAAAAAAATCAATTTTTTTAGGAACGTCCTAGAGACTCGGGAGTTGGTTCATTGCACTCAGAAAAATCCTAGCTCCAAGCCCAACCCTAACCCTGGCTCCAACACTAACCCTAACTCCAACCCTAACCCTAACCCTAACCCTAGCTCCAACCCTAACCCTAACACTAACCCATGCATTCCTATGGGAAAAAATCAAATTTTTTTAGGAACGTCCTAGAGACTCGGGAGTTGGTTCATTGCACTCAGAAAAATCCTAGCTCCAAGCCCAACCCTAACCCTAGCTCCAACACTAACCCTAACTCCAACCCTAACCCTAACCCTAACCCTAGCTCCAACCCTAACCCTAACCCTAACCCATGCATTCCTATGGGAAAAAATCAATTTTTTTTAGGAACGTCCTAGAGACTCGGGAGTTGGTTCATTGCACTCAGAAAAATCCTAGCTCCAAGCCCAACCCTAACCCTAGCTCCAACACTAACCCTAACTCCAACCCTAACCCTAACCCTAACCCTAGCTCCAACCCTAACCCTAACCCTAACCCATGCATTCCTATGGGAAAAAATCAAATTTTTTTAGGAACGTCCTAGAGACTCGGGAGTTGGTTCATTGCACTCAGAAAAATCCTAGCTGCAAGCCCAACCCTAACCCTAGCTCCAACACTAACCCTAACTCCAACCCTAACCCTAACCCTAACCCTAACCCTTGCTCCAACCCTAACCCTAACCCTAACCCATGCATTCCTATGGGAAAAAATCAAATTTTTTAGGAACGTCCTAGAGACTCGGGAGTTGGTTCATTGCACTCAGAAAAATCCTAGCTCCAAGCCCAACCCTAACCCTAGCTCCAACACTAACCCTAACTCCAACCCTAACCCTAACCCTAACCCTAGCTCCAACCCTAACCCTAACCCTAACCCATGCATTCCTATGGGAAAAAATCAATTTTTTTTAGGAACGTCCTAGAGACTCGGGAGTTGGTTCATTGCACTCAGAAAAATCCTAGCTCCAAGCCCAACCCTAACCCTAGCTCCAACACTAACCCTAACTCCAACCCTAACCCTAACCCTAACCCTAGCTCCAACCCTAACCCTAACCCTAACCCATGCATTCCTATGGGAAAAAATCAAATTTTTTTAGGAACGTCCTAGAGACTCGGGAGTTGGTTCATTGCACTCAGAAAAATCCTAGCTCCAAGCCCAACCCTAACCCTAGCTCCAACACTAACCCTAACTCCAACCCTAACCCTAACCCTAACCCTAGCTCCAACCCTAACCCTAACCCTAACCCATGCATTCCTATGGGAAAAAATCAATTTTTTTTAGGAACGTCCTAGAGACTCGGGAGTTGGTTCATTGCACTCAGAAAAATCCTAGCTCCAAGCCCAACCCTAACCCTAGCTCCAACACTAACCCTAACTCCAACCCTAACCCTAACCCTAACCCTAGCTCCAACCCTAACCCTAACACTAACCCATGCATTCCTATGGGAAAAAATCAAATTTTTTTAGGAACGTCCTAGAGACTCGGGAGTTGGTTCATTGCACTCAGAAAAATCCTAGCTCCAAGCCCAACCCTAACCCTAGCTCCAACACTAACCCTAACTCCAACCCTAACCCTAACCCTAGCTCCAACCCCACACCTAACCCTAACCCTAGCTCCAACCCTAACCCTAACCCTAACCCATGCATTCCTATGGGAAAAAATCAAATTTTTTTAGGAACGTCCTAGAGACTCGGGAGTTGGTTCATTGCACTCAGAAAAATCCTAGCTCCAAGCCCAACCCTAACCCTAGCTCCAACACTAACCCTAACCCTAACTCCAACCCTAACCCTAACCCTAACCCTAGCTCCAACCCTAACCCTAATCCTAACCCATGCATTCCTATGGGAAAAAAATCAAATTTTTTTAGGAACGTCCAAGAGACTCGGGAGTTGGTTCATTGCACTCAGAAAAATCCTAGCTCCAAGCCCAACCCTAACCCTAGCTCCAACACTAACCCTAACTCCAACCCTAACCCTAACCCTAACCCTAGCTCCAACCCTAACCCTAACCCTAACCCATGCATTCCTATGGGAAAAAATCAAATTTTTTTAGGAACGTCCTAGAGACTCGGGAGTTGGTTCATTGCACTCAGAAAAATCCTAGCTCCAAGCCCAACCCTAACCCTAGCTCCAACACTAACCCTAACTCCAACCCTAACCCTAACCCTAACCCTAGCTCCAACCCTAACCCTAACACTAACTATGCATTCCTATGGGAAAAAAGCAAATTTTTTTAGGAACGTCCTAGAGACTCGGGAGTTGGTTCATTGCACTCAGAAAAATCCTAGCTGCAAGCCCAACCCTAACCCTAGCTCCAACACTAACCCTAACTCCAACCCTAACCCTAACCCTAGCTCCAACCCCACACCTAACCCTAACCCTTGCTCCAACCCTAACCCTAACCCTAACCCATGCATTCCTATGGGAAAAAATCAAATTTTTTTAGGAACGTCCTAGAGACTCGGGAGTTGGTTCATTGCACTCAGAAAAATCCTAGCTCCAAGCCCAACCCTAACCCTTGCTCCAACACTAACCCTAACCCTAACTCCAACCCTAACCCTAACCCTAACCCTAGCTCCAACCCTAACCCTAACCCTAACCCATGCATTCCTATGGGAAAAAATCAAATTTTTTTAGGAACGTCCTAGAGACTCGGGAGTTGGTTCATTGCACTCAGAAAAATCCTAGCTCCAAGCCCAACCCTAACCCTAGCTCCAACACTAACCCTAACTCCAACCCTAACCCTAACCCTAACCCTAGCTCCAACCCTAACCCTAACCCTAACCCATGCATTCCTATGGGAAAAAAATCAAATCTTTTTAGGAACGTCCTAGAGACTCGGGAGTTGGTTCATTGCACTCAGAAAAATCCTAGCTCCAAGCCCAACCCTAACCCTAGCTCCAACACTAACCCTAACTCCAACCCTAACCCTAACCCTAACCCTAGCTCCAACCCCACACCTAACCCTAACCCTAGCTCCAACCTTAAAGTTTGGTCCAACACTACAGAAATCTGCAAGTTTGCATTAGTTTGATGTTACTTTCTGTCAAAAACAGAAACATCCTGTGTGAAGATGCTAGCATCACATGGTGTGCCATGGGTAATGTATTTTATGTGCTATTTTGAATCTCCAAGAGAAACTGTAATATCCAGATTACAGCTGATAAGAAGTCCAGGTATGATTACTAGAGTGTGCTGGTCCACTTGAAACATCACCTTTGACTAAACAAACTAAATCTGATTGTATAGATGATTCCCATACATTGCAGAGTGGTAATTTTGGGCTGAAAACAAGGAAAAGACCCCAAAGGACACAAAAAGGACTTCTTATTTAAACTGGCTACCACTTATGACAGACACACAGGCACAAACATTGGGAAGCACTAATCTAAATACATGTCCATGCCAACAATCTGCTAGTGACTGTTGTTTAAGGGTGGTGGTTTTAGAAAGTACCTAAAGGATGCCAAGAAATAAACGTATGTATATAAATGTATTTTAAGATTATTCTCTTCTTTTTTTCCTTATCAGAATACAGAATAGTGGACAGAGCAGGAAACTGTAAAGTAACACAGGGCAAAGATCAAATGAGCAGGCTGCCTTAGAGACCCGGGCATCTGCAGGTTGGTCCACTCAATGTAGTGCCCTTGAAGCTGGGAATATTTTGATCATTGAGTGCTTTTTGATCATTGGAAATAGGGCATAGAGTGAGTTCTTGTGGGTTCAACCTTTTTTTTAAAGTTGGTTCTTCTATTTAACTTTAGGAGAAACAGCTTTAAAGCAGTTAGAGACACAGGGAAACACCAAATAGATCCTAAGCATAGAGGGTTTCTTGATCAGAGAACAGTCATACATTTTGTTTTTCACACCTGATCCTTTATTCTCCCAACAAACAACAGTGAGCGCCCAGCACCGACCTAATCCATCATCCTGACATATTTTGGAACCAAACAATTACCATTCGGCTCTAATGTTCCTCTGTTTAACCTTGAGGGTGCCTCCACTGTTACTCCACTACACCTGTGTGTGTAAGGAAATACAATCAGCCCACAGGCACCTGTGCAGCCATCATGCTGCAGATGAAGAGATTAATCACATGGTGGATGAATGCAGGTGACTTCTGGGAAACCGTGACGGCCTGGTCATAACAGGCAGAGATGTAGATATGGGACAGCCTGAGGACTAAATGCTAGACCAGAAGCCTAGATTGGACCATTTGGGATTCAATGCCAGGGCTCAATTTAAAAGGGGTTCCCCTGTTTTTAAAGGAGCAGTCCCACATGTGTAGTTTTTGATAGTTGTTTATACTAGCTCCATCCTCCCCCGTCTGTCCTCTTCTTTGTGCACAAACATCTTCCCACACTGCGACCATAATTGATCAGTGTCCTTTTTGTGCTATGTCCACATACCCAGCAGCTTTATGGTTCTGCCAAGGGGGGTGGGAGCTTAGAGGAGTAAGGGGCTCGCTATCCCTTGGGATCCCTCCCGGCTCCCTACAGCCATCAAGGCAAATAGGGTCTGGTGAGTGGGTTTTTTTTCTTACACACATGTGATATCAGCAGTTACGGCACACTGCCCCTCTCCCCCAGCCCTCTTGCTCCCCCTTGTATCTCCCGGGGGATTCTTATCAATGTGAAGAAGCCACTGAAGGAAATGCCAACTTAACTTGAGGAGTCTGCACACTGCTGTTCGTCGTCAGTCTGCAGTGACAGGGGATTTGGGGGCCTGCATGTCTCATAACCATTAGGCAGGGAGCCCGGTGGCACTCTGGATGCTGTGCGACATGATCTGGTTCAGGATCAGATTACAGGCCTTGTACTCAGGGCACAAAGCACAGAGAAACAGCAGGATCCGGCCCAGCGTGCAAGCATGGGAAATGTGCTCACGGATCGACAGACTGCTTTAACTCTGGGCAGGAAACACAAGTTTGCAGATGTTAAACAGCTGGGAGACATCAGAAAGTAGTACATGGGAAACTAGTGCACATGAAATAAAGTATACTGTAAACACAGCAGAGATTTACATCTTATAGCCTGTGAGAAAAAGAGCTACTGTATAAAAAGTCAAACTGAAACAGACAGCTGTAATTGGATTTCTAAGCTAAGGAGAACATCTTCATTAAACCTGTCTGAGAAATTGTGAGTTTTTTGTGCTTTTTCTAAACCTGTTGACAGCTGAAGCATGTTTGTTATCTTGTGCTGTAGAAATGAGCTGAAAGCTGAAAAAAGTAGAGCAGAGGAAGAGATGAGATCAACTTTGTAATTTGTGAGATCCAGGCTGATAGGAGCTAAAATACTACACTCATTGTCCTGTCCAGAGCAGATGGTATCTGAGATGATGTGATGCATACAAGCCAGGAGCTGGTCTCTAGAGAAACAAGTGAAAAACCTCAAATTAACAAGAAATGTTCATTCCCATGAACAGGCTCACAGAGGATTACTTATTATGCAATTTGGCACTTCTTGTCATCAGCTGTCTGTTTGACCAATTATTTACCTTCAAAGCGCGGTGTCTGCTGGAAAATACCATATTTGGGTTTCGTAATAAGGGACATCTGTTTCTCTGCACCATTTACTTATCTAAAATTTTAGAATTAAGGACTATGTATCAAAAAAAAAAAAGAAATAAAGGTCATCTACATTTTTCTGTAAACCCAGCAGATGTTATAGATTTAAATTTCTCAGTTCAAACAAATCTCAGCAATTACTTCCAAGGCATTTTTTACTTTAATATCAACAACTATGTGACCTTGATAGTGCAATTACTGTAATAGCTTCTAAACCTTTGAAAACAAGCAGCTGTAGGGTCAGACTTATCAGATTAGTGAAACATCTTTGACAAATTTTTTTTTTTTTCTTTAACTGAAAAAGCAAATACATCATCTCTGTCATACCACAGAAAGTGCAACTTAACACTCCAATCTAATAATCAAGACAAATTGGTATCAAGGCTGTACTTGTGGTTAAATTTTATACTCTTTTAACTCTTTAACTTGGGTAATAAATTAAAGTGAACAATTCAATCTTGTCATCAATTAATGACAACAAAAACCTATATTCGTCAGAGTTTTTACTATCAGTGGTGTATTTTAGCTTGTCTTTGTCTCATCTTGGGGTTGTTTTTTTATTGTAACTTTTGTGAAGGATATCAACACTGATGGATGATACAGTGACTCTCCTGTCTGTATTTGTTGTGTTATTTTTTCACCATTTCTCCACGTGTGTTGTTGAGGAGTCTGCATTTGTCAATAGAGCTGCCAATCAATCACCACTCCAAAATATGAACTTATTGACATAAACCAGCATGATAAGACTCAAGTGTCATAACAAAAAGCATGTTTGAAAATGATTTGATATCTATTTCAATTTTCATTTCTTTCTTTTTTTAAAACGTTATATATATTTTTTTCAGTACCATACAAATATGTACATACATATACATCATTTTCAAACCTGCTCCATTTATTCTAGTGGAGAAGGCAGGCTGAATGACCTCTGGATGTTATGGTTTCACTTTACATAGCTGTTGAGCTGTCCATTGTTTTCTACCCATTAAATAAATTACATGAAGGGACTTTTAATGACAGAACATCAGTACTATGAAAGGCCAGCGTCTCCGATTTTGATGTCCACGTCTTGGGTAACTGCAGCTTCTTATTGAAAGATTTCACTTATTTCAGTCAATCTCAAATTACCACATGTTCAACTTTAGAGTTTATAAAAGAGTTGCAAAAGCTTAGGTTAAATGTTGCTGTCCATCTCTGCCAACATGATATTGATCATTTCGCAGTGATCAGTGTGTCCATATGTGGCATGTGCTATAGACAGATCTCCCTGTCTTATTGTACAAACTGAGGTTTGGACTCAGATAGATTTGGCAATCCCTGCAACATCTGAAATTACCCCTAATCTCAGTTCCCAGAAAGCTGTTGAGAAATTCGGTTGGAGCTCACTGACTCTCTCAGCCAGTAAATTGTGTTTTTTCATAAGGTGCCAAAGAGATAACTCCTGGCATGTGTAAGAAAATCTGGTGAATTCAGAGAAAGCACTGACTCCGCAGAAGCAGACTGAATCATGAGAGTTTGGGTTGTTGAGGCTTGATAAATGTTCATCTGCCCTCGATTATGAGGTCATGGGGTTTATAGATATTTGATTGTAATTGAATAGACAGTTCATCAATATGTGCACATCTCTGAGGGGGAAAAAGCACAGCTGACTTAAAGACATGTAGTCTGCTTGAGCAACAGCATTTTACCTCAGATCTCTAATATCTCATCTGATGCATCGTCGCTGCTTTCTCTTTATAGACGTTATTACAGCTCTCATTCTTGCTCATAAAATGAAAAATGGATGCGTTGAATCCTCACCCTTAAGGGAGGTATAAATAAAGAACCACTTGGGCCGGACATTGTCTCTCTGTCTAACAGAGTGTAACTGCTTTTCTGTGTGAAGTTGTTTTAGGACAATGATGACCCCTCTCACTGGGACTTGGCTGCCATGTTTTATTAATATTGCAGCATGATTAAAGTTGCATAAAATACAGTGATATGAGCTGTAACAGATGTGATACAGACAACTCATTTGTGCTGTAACACTTAAAATGGGGGTCCTGTAGGGTGACTCATGTTGTGTGGGGATTTTCTGCAGGACCTCACACCTCCCTCATTGCACACCACTGTGCCTTACTCGTGAATATCTGCATGAATTATCACAAGATTTTAGAAACAGATGGTATCTGTCTGGCAACATAGCCAAGTCCTGAAACATGCAGGTGACACACACCTGTGCAGGATGGTTTTTTTTAATTTGTAAAGCCTGATAAACCAAGTCTGACAACTTTCTATTGGGCATTTGTTCTCTGAGTTGATTAAACGGATGTTTCAATAACTTTGTAAACTTGGACAAACTCTGCCTATGCTGTCTGAGTTTTGTAAGCAATCATTAAAAGAAAGAAAGCTGTCATTTTTGAACGAAGTGTAATGAAGCTTTGGTTTTTCAGAACTTCAGGAAAGAAGATCCACGAAAGCTCTGATTTACATTAGTTTTGAATTAAAAAACAACAAGTAGAACAGAATAGAAGTATTGGTAATCGAAGATGTTGCAGCACCTGGTTAGTAAACAGTACATGACTCCTTTCTGAAATATTCGCAGAGCTGCAGTCTGTATAATTAGATAGTCACAAACCTTGTCATAAATTTGCTCCCTCAGTTGTAAGTGTTGAGAAAGTATTTTTTCAACAGAAGTTTTGGCATCATACACAATGTTTGGTAACACTTTATTTGACACCAATCTCTAAAACGCATTATAAAAATATATTTATAATGCGTTATAATCATGTTATAGCACTGTTTATCTATAGCTATAAACACTCATAAATGATCATTATGCTTTATAGCAATAATCGTAACATATGATAAAGAATTTTATTATGACTTACAAGGTCAGGTATTATAACTGTTAACAACAGTTGCATTGCATTATCTATGTGGGCATTGTCAGTGAGTTGTTAACAGTCAAAACACATTATAATACCTGACCTTGTAAGTCATGATAAAATGCTTTATAATGTGTTATGATTACTGCTATAAAGCATTATGATCATTAATGACTGTTTATAACTATAGTTATACAGTGCTATAACATGATTATAATGCATTATACATAAGCTTACATTGTGTTATAGAGATAGGCATCAAATAAAGTGTTACTCAATGTTTCTCTTGATTTATGAGCAGTTTAATGATTGATTGTCCCACTTAATGGAGAAACACACAAGATTTAAGGATGCCACTGTGCCCCCATGTTTGAAAATATAAAATGTTCGAAAAATGTTTCTATACATGCAAAAGAGCTGTATTTAATCTGTATAGGGACATCGGGTGCAATCTAGGATAAGGTCTATTGTTATTTGAGATGCTGGAATTACTTTGAGAAGTGGACAAATGACACACTAGGGGGGAGTTATCTGGATCTCCTGGCCTAAAAAAGCACAGCTAAGAAAAATACTATCCGCAAAAAAGTACAAACTGACGCTCTTGTCTGCATTAATCAACTCTGTATCTAAAGTATTCCTCTATCAGTGATGCAATGAATGCATTCAAGAATGTCAGACAAACTGGAAATGATATCTTGATGTTGCTGACTGATACGATCTGCAACATCAGGAAAATTTTCTAAAATAAATCAAAAATAGACCAAACTCTCCTGAGATATGACTCATTCTGCTTTCTTCGTTTTTAGTACAAACTCAGTATGTTCAGTGCCTGTGAGGATGGTGCTGGGTGTGTGAGAAGCAGCTTGTCCAGAAGGTGGCACTCTGGTAACAGCTGTAAAATCAGAGTAAACATCATAATATCTGGTAATTTGCTGGAGGATAAATATAGCACCTTCTTTATTACTGCCCTATGAAACCAACTGTTAAGAGAAAAGGACAAAGTAAACACGAGGCTATTCAGTGTGGAGGATAGTTGAAACAATAGACTTTATCCTGCTTGAAAAGAAATAAGAAATTTGACTTAAGTTAGTGGTTCTCAATCCAGTCCTCGAGCCCCCACTGTCCTGCATGTTTTGGATGTTTCCCTGCTCCAACACACCTGATTCAAATGATCAGCTCGTTATTAAGCCATTACAGAGCTTGATAACGAGCTGATCATTTGAATCAGGTGTGTTGAAGCACGGAAACATCCAAAACATGCAGGACAGTGGGGGCTTGAGGACTGGATTTAAGAACCACTGACTTAAGTCATCATGCAAATATTTATCCTAATTTAGATATAATCGATTCTTAATTGACTTAGCTGCACATGGATGTGCCATCAGCTTTCTGCCGAGACACAGGTCATTTTATCATGTTACATTTACAGGAAAGGATAAATATAAGATGAGTTTAAGCACTAGTTCCTTTACAGTGAATAAAATGTGTTATGGCAGGGGTGATTCAGGTTGTAAAAGCTTTTTTTAAAACCTGTGTCTACACAAATCAGTTCTCCAAAACACAAAATATAAAGAATAAATGAACTCTGTTACATTGATTCTCTGTGCTTAAGAATTAATGTGTGCAAGAGGAAACACAGGAGGCTATTATTCTTTAAAGTTAATGTGGGAACATGTAATGTGGTGGTAATGGCTCCATTTACTCTGCTTAAATGTTTAATGTCAGCTGAAGTGTTAACTTAAGAGATATTAAGTTCAATGCAAGACCCAACACTGTGTTTGTGTTCGAATTTAAGCTGTGAAATGTATGTGGTAAAAAAAAAAATGGGTGTGTTTAGTTTTATTAGCATTATTTTAAATTATGCTGTAAAGGTTTCAGAATGATCTTTGCCTAAAAAATACCAGCATTTCCTCGCAGCTATAATTCCTGCTTTGAGAAAAAAAAAAATAATTTACTGTGAGTTTTTTCTTTTGTTTATCACAGTTATTGCTTTGTGAGATTTATTTAGAGGAAGATTAACCATTGATTCTATAAGGTGTTCTATAGTATGTGTTGACCAGACCTTTCACGAAGCTGAAGCCATTGATCCATCAATGATCCTGCTGCAACCGGGCATCAGTGGTCAGTTGCTGCAGAGCGGCTGCTTGTGACAATTTACTGCCGCAGAAAACTCTGCAGGGACAAAGCAATCAACAAGCATTGATCGTCTGTGAACTCCTCACTGCTGAGACAGTGGCCACGAGAGGGTGAGGGAGATCCTGCACCATTCCCACCTTAATGAATAAAGTGGTACAATCAAATCAGACCTGACAGGGCAATACTGGTGATCTTCAAGGTGATCAGGGTCAGAGGGGATCAATATCTTTTGAGAGACAGTGGTAGCTAAGAACCCTCAAGTAAATGACCTTGGATATACATGCATAGTTAAAACACTTGGTCACTTATCCCGTTAAAACAGCTCACACATCACACTTTAATATCATTAACACAGAGAAAAAATTACAGGAATACTAACAGTCAGTATATGCGCTCCCTCCAAGAGTGAGATTAAAAGATTGATACCAATCTTTAGTTTTCACTGCTGAAAAATCCACACGCTGTTAGGTTACTGTAGGTCAACAACAGAGTGTGCAGGAGAACAGCGTTGGAGCCAGGCTTTTTGCCTCTTACTGAACCTTAAAGTTCCTGTGAGGAGTTTGTAGCTGCTTATATAATGGGCTGAAATTAATACTGATGCCTCTTTATGACCTGCAGAAGTAAAAAGACCAACAGAGAGAATAATGGTTATGTCTGTATAGAGTTATTTTTAATGCCTCTAAAGGGCTTGCTGTGGGGGTAGGTGTCAGAAAGGTTCATTAAAAGCACACTGACAAAACAGCCTCATTTTAAAACTTTCTATAGCAAGTATTCAAGTAGATATTTGACAACAGGGTAACTTGTTTTGGTCTGAATACTCTCCATGCACAGGAAATTGTCACCTAAGAGACACAACATATAAGGTGGCTGTCCACTGGGGGGCACCAGAGTTGACACATAGCTTACACAAAGTTCCCCACAGGACTTTAAACATGTGATACACTGATATAAGATGTTTAGGTAAATTTCCTTAACTCTTGGGAAGAAAGCTTAAAGTTAAATTCATTAAAGCTCCTGTGAGGAACTTCCTATTTGTGTCAATTTTGGCGCCCCCCTGTAGGCAGAACAGTCATTGCTTATCTTATCTTCTACATGCTTAAATGGTGTTGTTGAAAAAAATCTTACTTTAGACGGCCAAATGTATCATTTTTGTTGATATTTTATGTGGAAACTGTAAAAAGAGGGATGTTTTTTAGCTGCTCTCCTGACACCTACCCCTCACACCAGTTTCAGGCATTAAAAATCTCAGTATACAAAACTTAAATCTTGTTGCTGGTCTTGTTTACTTTTGGTTAGATGGATATAAATAACATGATAACTTCAATTTCAGTTGATATGTGTAAAAAAAAGAAAAAAGTCCTCACAGGCACTTTAAGAGTGGAACTATGAGGTGTCACACATTTTTTAAAACTGAATGGTTATATCCCCTTTTTTTTAACGATTGTATTGATCACAGCCCTTTAATGCCTCACACCACAAATTATGGCCAGAAAATTCAAATTTTCTTTGGAGCTGAAATGTGTTTATTTCACTCACTACTGAAAAACGATACAATCTGACTGTCCTTAAAATTTAACAAATATATTCATCTATCTTGTTCAATACATTAGATGTTTTTGGAAACTAATAAACTACAAGAGGAAGTTGTTATCATTTACTGGGCTGTATTCAGGTGTTTTTTTAGTAATTTGTTGATCATATTGATTTGATAGAAGTAAAAAAAATATGTATCAAATATAATACAAAAGGCATTAAAGGGTTAAAACACTCTTTTAGTTTCTTACCTGTAATATTACCTGACAGCCACAGCACGACCACAGTTCCTCTTTTGATTGATGGCTCTGTGTGTTAAGACTGTAAAGATCCAGAGCTTAATGGCAGACACTGTAATAGCTAAAGATGATTTAGAGCAACACTGGTTCCAATCCACTAGGCTACACCCCCCACCTCTCCCTGTACACCAGCCACAGGAGACAAATCTCCAAGAACAATGGCAGCCTCCTGCACCATTATTCATTAAAGGACAGTGAATGGCTAGGGGAACTCTGTGGAGAATTTGTAAATCCCAGATAGATCTTACAGTCAATACCCATCTTGATCTTGAATTCCCAGCATGTCAGTGTGCCTCCCCTGCACCAGAGTTCAATGACTTGGACCTTGAGAGTCGACCTTGAATGCTTGTATGCCCTAATATTAGATCATTCTTAATGAGCTGAGGGAGGAGTAGCAGTAGATATTTCAATGACACCATTAACCTGCCTGTGAAGCAGAATGGAGACATCAATCTCTTTGGCCGAATGAAGTGAAAAGGAGCTGATGTAGTGTCACAGATTGAGGAATCTGCAGTGTTGGCTGCTCACAAATAAGGACTAAAAAGACTGAACATTCATAATAAGCACAACTGTGTCTCAATCACTGCAGTACATTAATCTGACTGACTGTCAATCCAGAAAGAATTGTCTTACTGACTGCTCCCTGTGCTGCTCCAGTTCTTACAATAGCAGTGGTTTGACTGGATGGCCTTTGAAAATGATAATATGAGACTTGTATGTGTTAGTGTCACTGAGAGTTGATTTGTCAATTCAAATCAAGTGTGATTCAGTTTTTTTTTCTATGTGTCCCCATGAGAAATTCAAAGGCCATAGTGCAGTCCAGAAAACAAGAGAAGAAAAACAATAGCATAATAAGAGACAGAGCTGTACAAGGTACAAACAACAGAACAAAACAAACTTTAAATAAAGTCAGTGCAATAAATACACAGCAGCAGCGCAGGCTGACTGAAAATATCATACTAAAATTAGCTGCACGCACGTTTCCTCTTTGTTTCCTATGGGAAATATGAGAAATGTCCACTTGTGAGGTGTCACAAGCTACCCCCTTTTTTAGACCTGTTTGTCGCAGGACACTCTTATATTGTACAGACACAGCCTCAGTTGTATGCGTTTGTATTTGTCTAGATCCCTTCTTGCCTCGTTCTTGCTTCTTGCTTCTGTACATAGCTCTGGACAAGTGCCTGTAAAATTATTTTAACACTGTGTATTCAGCACCTATAATGAGACCCAGATGAGACGCCTTCGAAACAAGAAAGGGATCTGCAAACAGTTGAGTAAACTTGTAAAACTATGCTCAAGAAAGAAAGATCTTGGTATGGTAAATGGTACATTGGATCTATGTAGTGCTTTTCTAGACTCTTACAGGACATTACTTTGGTCAAAGGTCTGAAATGAACAGTCTATGTAAATCTTAATGTGCTTTACTGTGAGGATGCTGGTAGATACAGATGGAGACATCAGATTGTGTAAGTCTGTGTCTGAAGCATTCGTGTCAAAGCTATATTCTGCCGAAGTTCCCCACCTAAAGGCTACAACCATTTCAAAGATGTATAAAAGACGAGGAAGACTGATACAAATCCCCAAATCTGATGTGTTCACCCCATCACTAACCATCACTGGGGATTAGCAAAGGTAAGAGTAAACCAAAAGGGAATTATGGTCAGTGAGAGGGGGGGCACCAAAACTGGAGAATTTGGGAAATCAACATTGATTAAGTTGCAGATAAAATGACTCAAAAGTTGGATTTGCACATGAACTGAGTTTACTACCACACTTCACACATGCAGATATTAAGAGGTAAACATGCTAAATATAAAAGACATGGTTTAAAGTTAAGTGATGGCTTTGCCAAACCCTTTTATGACTGCGATTGTAAGCTTGTCTGTGTCTCACTTGGTTTCAGCCCTCAAATTCAAAAGTCGGTAGATTCAGGTAAACAGACCTCAGTTTTGTGAGCAAACTCTCAACAAGCAGTGTTGGTAAATACACACGGTGCCAATCATTACCTCTTTTATGTGTTTTTAATCATGCTCTCAGCTCCTTTTATACCTCTCAGTTGTTGAATTTACACAAGGACTTAATATCTACATGTTTTACCACGCTCTTCCTCAACGTCATAAAGCTAACTCAGCCTTCCTTCTCTTTCAACATGTCCACAGGATAAAGCCAGGATTCAGGAAGGCAGCAGTCCTACATTTTGGAAAACAAAAGCCAATCAAAAGTGGGATACAAATAAGTGATCGAAATGCTTCCCAGTTCTGCACAAAGCAGGACATCTTGTCACTTGACATGTTGGGGAACTTGATCAGCTGTCAGTCTACTGTCTCAAAGTGAAGAAATGGCCATACTGCATTTCCTGTTGTATCAAAAAAAAAAAAGAAAAAAAAAAACAACACAAGCATATGCCTATGTATTGATGCACTCAGATGTAGGCTTTCTGTCCTGAGGGTTCTGGTTTCTGTCAAATCTAAAGTGGAGCAGCAGAAATAAAACATCTGTAGATGCAATCTGTTAAACAGCATCTGTTGTAATAAACATCCTGAAATCATTTAAATTCTGAGTGGGTGAGAGGGAGGCCAAACCTCGGCTAATATCGACAACACCATTACCAACAATCCTGTCTGGTCAATCAGACGAAATGTCCTGTCCTTGCTGTTTCCGTGCAGCCTGTGTTCCTCAGCCCTCTCGCGCTGGCGGCCTAATCCATCATCCTAACTGCAGAGGGGAGGGACGAGGCATGCAGAAAAGCTATGTCGAGGGATTTAATTTTGTTATCTCCAGAGGCCATAAATCTCCAGCAGTCTCCTCCCAGATACAGCAGGTAAGATCAAGCGAAATATCGCCCAGAGGAACACAGCCTTCATCCATGTTTATGAAACGAAAACAGAAACACTTTGCGGCATGATTAAACTCCTGGCATATATGAATATCACAGAAAACATTAAGAAGTTTCAGGATATGTTACAACCTGTTTGTTTAGTCTGGGTTTACACTGATCTATTTTTAGTGCTTAGGTTATCAAAAAGATAAATAGTAAAAAGATTAAAAGAACTTTCCTGTCAATTTGAAGTTGACAAACAGTGTGCACTAATGGAGAAAAACCCTCGAAGGCATTTCTAAAGAGAGTCATTAATCCAACACCCAAACCTGTACACAATAAATTGCTTTTCTTTCTGCTCTGTTTCTTTTTGTTACCTTTTTGTTTACTGTGCAGAATTCTGTATGAGTAAAGTCGTACATGGCAATTTGGATTTTAATCATATTTAAAGAACCTGTCAGGAGATTTTAACTGAGTTTGAGACACTCTCAGTCTATGATTTCTTCATATTGAATTATAGTGCAAGTATTCATGTCAGATTAATAATGATAATAATAATATGGCATTGTTATGACAAAGTGGCCATAAACAAGTTTTAATGTTTATGCCATCATATGTATGCTTTGCTAATTATCAAGAACAAAAGAGTTAAATTGTGAGTATATTAACAATTTTTGGGACACCAGAGCACACAACATGATGGCTTGTGTCAAACTGTGTGTCTGATCACTTTCTGTAAGCCAAGAACAATAAAACAGGGTTAAGAGAATTTGTATTGCTGTATATTTTAGATACAGAAAGAAACACTAACTTAATACCATGCACCCTCCACCACTTGTCTTGAAACAAAGAGTATTAGGACTGAAAAGATCATTTGCTTTTACGAAAAAAACAACTGTGGGTGATGGTGCTCATGGTGGAAAGCTGTCTTCATGCTGAAAAAATTCTTTCAGTTTCATCAAAAATGTTTAACTCGCCACAACATCATTACAGGGCCTTTAAATGTGGGCTCAAAACAATGTTCAAACATCCATCCTATACAAATCATGCATTGATAACAATATCTTTCATTGCCTGGTGCAGGAAACTGCCACAAAATGAAATGATATGATCTGCTTTATCGATTTAGACTGAGAGTAAAAGTCCTTTTTCAGAATTTTCTCTAAGCTGAATCTTTGAGAGGAAAACATAATTTATCATCCAGAGTATTTCAAGGTTGAAAAACTGCCTCCCCACCTCATAAATCCCTGTTTCCAAGCTGTTTGTTATTCATTTAAGTAATGAACAACGCCTGTAAGGTCTTCAAATGTAACATAATCTACCCACATTTACAAGCCCAGGACACAAACTGTCACATTAAATGGAGAAAGACTCTTTTATACACAAAAAGCTGATTTATCAGTTAGCTCCTTACTGCAAAGTCACAGTCACTTTGAGTAAGTGTATTGATTCTCCTTTAACCCAACAGTACGGGGTCAAAGGCTAAGCGCACTCTCATGCACAAGCCACAACTCTAGGTCCTGCAGTGATTTACATTATGCTGACAGTTTCAATGACGTGTTTTCAGCATCTCCTGTCAGACAAACAGTAAATCATGTTTACATACTTAACAGTGCTTGGTGACATGTGGAGATGCTGACCTTCAGAAAAGTGGATTCCTTCGACTGTTGCTTATGAAAATTGCATGTGCGTTAACAACCCCTGATATTCAGGTTAACCGCCTGCTGAGTTAATGGGTTTTGCTTACATGTGACTTAGCAAGAATAACAGTTTGTGGTGTTTACTGAACATACAGTATTTAATCGTTCTCCTTTAAAATCATGTTCAAACAGGCATGAAACATGGCAGGGAGTGGACTGGCATGACAGAGAGGCTAAGCTCCATGGGGCGTCTATTTTTAAAAATGCAGTCTGGCCATGATATGTTTTATTCATATGCGGCCTGGCATCTCGAGGAGAGAGCAAGCAGGCTTATTGGCCAATTTCCTCCTCCAGGCAAATCAACTTTTGTTGCTCAAGAGAAAAGATAAGGAAATCCTATAGGCTACCCACTGCTGTGTATAAGTACTTTTCTTTTTGCATGGAGAAAACAAAAAAAAAGGTTATATGGGGCTTGGAAGAACATCATGATACTTAATCTCATGCGGTCTAAGAGAATACAGGCCAAGTATAAAATCAACACATGATGTTGTGCAATAAAACGGCCTTTACTGTAAGCAGATTTACTGCAGTTTTTTGGCCCAATCACACATTCTTTGCAATGAGTTTTCATTATTAATCTTATAAATCTGCTCCAATTGTATAATTTTTTTTTTATTGTGTTCACATTCCTATTAAAACCAGACATGACCACAGAGACCTGGTGATGAAAGCCATTAAATATTAACCCTGCTTTCAAAAGTGACCTTTGCAGGCCAAACACGCCATGCAGCCACAGTCAAGCTTGCTATATTCAAATGACAAACCCCGTCTTCCACCAAACAGCGCTCTTGCTTTCTGTTTCCCTCTCTCTCCCGGCTGCACGAGCCAGGTTATCTTTAGTGCACATTGAATATTTATACAGCAGGTGGCTGGGGAGTCGGTCACTGATCTCTAAGGTGACTTGCTGAGCCTCTGTGGGGGGTGCTGGTGCACTGATGGGGTTGGACTGGGATGAAGTCACATGGGACATATTGTCTCCTCAGTGTGTCCTTTTATTCCACTTAGGCAAAGGATTATGTTTTATCATTGGATGCCGATGCTATAACACAAGCTCTGAGGAGAGAAGTCAATGAGCTGTTAAAGAGAGGCCGCTGATGTCCAAATATCTCTTGATGAGTTTCCAAAAAACCTCAAACTCTTATCACTAAAATCAGAAGCAGAGTCCTGAAATTAAAGACACACTGTTTGTACAAACTGACTGTCAAAGCTGCACAGAATAAACACAGCTTCAGAGAAATTTCTTGTGACCAGACAGAAAAATATCCTGTGTTAATGGAGCCACTGCAGGTCTATGAATGTCAACCTGAGTCTGACTCCAAGAGCGAAGAAAACTTTGATATGACACATATTAAAGAGTACACCTTTACAGCAGAATGAGGGTCCTTGTCCACTTACAGGTGTTAAAGTACCAATCAGCATCTGTTTTTTTTTTTCAGGAACACCACTACATTCCTTACTGTCACCTCTCTATCAATGACCAAACAAGATAAAGAAGAGAAAAGACTTTTGGTATTGACTTTTCAAACCTGGACCAAGTTTCCATCAGCTGCTTATCAGTTTCTGTGTTTTAGACCAACACAGGCAGGTGCCATGTTGGAAATGCTGTCTTAACTCAACTTTCACATGGACGCTAGCAGAGAGGTGTTACTGAGGCAGGCTTAAAGCCTCCTGGGAAACAGGTGGAGGTCACTATGAAGAGAAACTACTCCTGTTTAAGCTGATACAGTGTCCCGGTCAGGAACAAGTGCTGGGCTCTGATTGTTTATTCCTAATAGCTGTGAAACGTCATCGTCTGTCGGGTTAGGGTTAGGATTAGGATAAGGGTTAGGGTCAGGAGATTCAGAAGTGCGATAATGTTCTGTAATGTTCTGTTCTATGTACAGAGCCGACAGCCCGTGTTTGGCTTGAGCGTGTGATGACGTTTCCATCTTTTCTAGCCAATCAGAGGCGAAGGAGGCGGGACCTTCCTCTGCTGTCCTCCAAAAAAAATATCACGTCCTGGTCTTGAGATGCAAACACAGTTTCTCTATGAATAAAAGCAAATATGAAGAGTACTGAACATTTTACAACTTAACATTCACTATGAAGAAAAGAAGAAATGCACAGTAAGCGCTATAAAATAAGGTTGTGGGCACAGGCCCTTACACATGGTCATAGTACAGATAACGGTTTTAGTTGATTTGTTTTAGCAACGGGTGCTACTGTATCACAGAGAATATATTCATGTCTAACATAGGCTCTACTTGTAACAACAGAAAAATTATTCTTATAGATTTCAAGAACAGATCGACAACAGTTCAAGGCTAAAGTCCTTTGGTTTGTTCTCCTGAAATAAAAGATTTAGGGGTAAAGGATAGTCAGACTTTGTTTGTTTTGTGGGGGTTTGATGTTCAGCTAATCTGCTTGTGTTCTGAGATTGAATTCAGCCTCACAGTTCTGGTCAATTAAAACTTAATTAAAGAAAATACAGTCCACTTGCCACGACAGCTTTTAAGAGTATTTAAAGCTTTTTATAGAGATACCTTGATGAGGATGATATTTTCAGGCCTTGCTATGGAATATAAATTTCACATTTTAAAGCCAGGCAATGTCACAGCTCATATATTAACTGCGTTCATAATTCGAGTGAGCAAAGTTTTTAATGAGGCTGTGGCTGTCAGAGCGCAAATTTCCATCAGAGGTGATTTCTTCTTAAATGCATTAGCAGCCAATAAAAAGTAATAACTCAGACTCGTACCTGAGAGTAAGCAGCAAACACATAATCTTCTGATGCAGCTGTGAATGTTTTGTGTTGCATTCTCTAAACAGAATTGCACCACATCAGAAGTAAGCAACTGAAGTAAACTTTTTTGGACCACAGCTGCACAGTTTGTAAGAAAGTGTCCAATAATAAATTAGCGTTTCTCGAGCAGCGTGGAGAAACTTTCTGGGCACTGGCATTTCATTGTTGTAGCCGCAAAGCTGTCCCCGAACTGAATGTGTGAGATAAGTGCTTTGGAGCACAAACAAACTGAAACAAAAGAACATGAGGTGGAGATTGGTTCAGTAAGTAAGAGAGGGGGAGGAAGCACTTCTGGCGTCCAAGGGCATCATAAACCCCGGCATGTGTCTGCACAACAATGCCAACAGGGGCGCAAATTCTCCACACACAGGAAATCGATTTCACACACAGAGAGGAGGACTTGGAGAGAGGCGTATCAGAGAGACACTGAAATACTGCCTCTTCTGTTATTGGATTTGGAGCCCAGTTTTTCTGATTTTTTCTTCTTTTCTGTGCGCAGCATCTGCAGGCTGGGGGATCCAGTCAAGTGAGGCTTCCAAGAGGCAGACTGAGAACCTGTGGCAGAGGAAAAGAGAGGAGAGAAGAAAAGAGATTGTTCTGGGGTTTACTTCAGAATCAAATTCATAAGTGTTTGAAAATGATAACACAAAACTTTATTTGGTACAGCCTAAAATAATGTTCACAAACTTCATAATCTCCAAGCTTTTATATTACACTTATAGGACAAGTATGAAATATGAATAAGACTTGTCGTTATATACTGTGTTGTAGAAAAGATTAAAAAGCTGTGAACTAGTGTGAGATGAGCCAAATTTATCTGTATATAGAACATATACTGTAGCCCATTATTTCCTGTGAAAACAAGTGGAGACATACTGTGAGGGCAGGAAAGAGCAGCATACAGCTCATAAATATCTGAGACCAGAAAGAGCAGTGAAATGGACTCAAAGATAGTAGCTTTTTGTATGTTTTCTCATATTTCTGAATAAGGATCAAAGCTTTATATAAGCAGTCTTTTATGGCTTTTCAACAGACTGTAGACACGCTTCCTTATTTTGCCTGACAACCTTTTAGTGATTGATTTTGAGGTGCATCTAGCACATTAAAGATCAGTGAAAGACCTGTCAGAATATGACAGCAATGTCAGTGATACCCAAGGCCACTTTTAGGTCAAAAGACACTGAGCACATACTGAAGCCATTTTAGAGGGATTGTGGTACAACCAAGATCTTAACAAGATTGAAAATGCTATTAAAAAATTAAGTAACGTCCTGTAAAGTAAAAACAGTTTTGATGTTTGTTATAAGATGAAGTATGCAAAGAATTTATCACACAAAAATAAAAGCTGGTGATGAGGAGGAATGTATTTACCAGCAATGCTGCAAGATACTGTATAAGCACAAGCAAACATCCTTTCATACAGGTTCAGTCTGCGGTGAGATGAAGTGGTAATATAACACTCATCAGTATTCTGCACAAACAAGCTTAAAGGGACTCTGAGTGGCTCGTGACAATGCCTCAAGAGTCCTTCTCATCGAGAGATCCAAACAATGTGTGCTCGTGTGATGTTTGTAGTTTCACAAGACACTAGTCTCCAAGATGCTCTAAGAAATCCTTCTACCCAAATTATTTTGGGTGTGTCTGACATCAGATACAGTCCTATATATGTTACTAACTCTGGCTTGATGACACAGTGAATGTGACCTCTTTTAAGACAACATATTTTAATCAGGTTTTTATTGTTCTTTTGTAGACTATTTATTCTGAGTATAACTTAATTTTTAATCTAGACCTTGAGTTTGCAACAATAATTTGAACTGAGATGAGTAGTGTAATATAAAGGTAAACTATAATAAGAAATCATTGTCATTCTAACTACAAGCTACTGAAAATGTATGAGGTATAAATGCAGCAGTAATTGCAGAGATGCCTGAGATGGTTTCGGTTCCGTTGGTGTTTGTGTTTTGAGGAACTTGTTGTCATGAAAGCTGTGACTGTTGGCTCCACACTGCTGACTGCAGCCAAGTCTCTCCTTGATATAATTGCATTCAAAGCATGTGATAGTAGTGACACGCCCCCTAGTGTTTAATGCGTGTCAGCCTCCTGGAGTTTAATAACCTTGCTCTGCGTCCGGGAGCATCTCTGAAGGAATGTGGATGCAGATTTGGATGTACTCCTCCTCCTCATCCTCTTCTTCCTCTTCCTCCTCTTGTTGCTAATTGTTGCTGCAGCCCCAGGGGGGTCTCTCGCATGTTGATCAGGGCTCACCCCGCACTCTTCTTATCTCTGTCCGCTCGGACCCGCAATGACAAGTACCGAGGGTGTAAAGGAGAGTGAAGACCAGCCCTGCGTCAGGCTGGAGCCCGGGAAGAGCACGCACTTGCCGGGCAAAGGGACGCCGAAAGGTGGCAGCTGTGCGGGCTTCACGGACAGCAGCCCTAAAGTGACGGCCAACGGGGTGCACGACATCGAGGACCGGATTCTGAGGATCACCGGCTACTACGGCTACAACCCGGGCTACTCCAGCCACAGAAGTGAGTCAAAACAAAAACTGTCGGATCTTGAGATGCAACAATTTCATGCCTTTTTAGCAGGTGAGACGCTTATGAGATTGTTTTGATGGGGGGAAATGGGTGAAAATGATAATTGACTGCACACACAAAGAAAAACGCAGTGCCAGTGGTGAGTGAAAGAAGAGACAATGCATGCATCAAATGTCATTGCAAATTAGTTTTCATTTTAATTAGGCTATTGCAAAATCTAATCATGCAAACTCAGCTAAACAGTTTTCAATTCAGGCTATTATAAAGAAGCATGGTGTCAATCAATGCTAATATCATCTGGAGGCAGTGTGATGTGCTGGACCTTCTATTCATCTGTAGGACACAACACGACAGAGAGAGAGAGAGTCATGGGGGGTTGGGTTGTGGGGGGGTCTGACACCATCAGGTTTTGTAATTGCACAGCAAAGTGTCATGGTGCAAATGATGCCTCCGTTTTCTAACTCACATCCAAAGTAAACTGTTTACACTGCCACTAAATGTTGCCCATGTTGGTGAACTCTGCAAACAATCACTTGTATGTTGGCATCATATTGAATTCCAAATGTTTAATTACCACAATCAATTACCCCCAAATGGCAAACACAGCAGCTCTTCCTGTGATGCATGTGAATATTGCCCACTATCTCCAGAATCCAGCAGCGCTTCTTCAATAGTCCTCTATAATTTTCATTTGTCACCGTGGGTTTGATTTGTAGAGCAATATAGAGTTTTGCTGACACAGAAACAATTGCTGGGATTGGAGGGGAGAGCTGATAATGCACTTTGCTCAGAGGGTTGATCTTAAAAATCTGGCCCTCCAGTTATGTAAAAGTGTTGTCAGTGGGATTATAGCAGCAGAAAAGGAACAGCCATTGTTAGACTCCGCACGCAGCCCAATTAGAGTGTTTTTACAAACTGCTGTATGGTAATGAAGGAAGGTGAGTAGAGCAGGTTGCACAAGGTTTGTAGTCAAAGATTTCCTATGAAAGGTAGTGAGAAGCTCGTGCTTTCTTGAACAAATCCTCAGAAAAGTGATTCATCGTGTACTTGAGAGAGTTTGGATGCTGATGCACTTCATCCTAAATGAATCAGACTTGTCACGTAAGCTCCCATGCTTTTCCCTCTGGCTCTTACGTAAAAGCTAAACTACAAATTCATGACATCTAAAGGAGAGATGCTCCTCAAATGTGATGACGTTGTTCTAAAAGAAAAAAAATCTACTACTTTTTCCCGGGTCATGAAGTATTACTGTGACAAACTCGCTTCAAGTCTCAGAGGAAATGTGTGTGTATGCAGATTTACACTCCGACACACTCGGTTTAGATGAGCTGAGAGCACCTCCATGGGTTTTTTTAGAAAGAGGCAGAGAAAAGGAAATGAGTCTGTCTCACAGTAAGTAGCTCGTGTTTATCAGGGATGTCAGCCGCAGTCGATTAACCATGAATGTAATCGCACGATTTTCACTTGAGAATACATCTACATGTCCAGATTAATCCACTGTTTGAAAATCTTATTAACAACAGACACCCAGAACTTTAAATTGAACTAACACTGAATAACTAAACAGCTGAAGGGCCTCTAAAAAAAAAAAAGGGTGAATCGTGCAAGAAATAGAAGATTCCTTGGCTCTGGTACAAAATTGGATTTTCATGTGTTCAGATGTGCTTTACACATGTCCTTATCTAGAGGAAGTAGGTAAGTAGGGATCGTGTACAGTGCTAAGCCACTAAGACCTCTTATGTAGGTATCAAGGATGCACTAATAATATATATACTTCCCCTGTTGATGGATACAACCTGTCTGCAAATGATTTGGCACATTGATTGCATTAACCAATGATGCTGGGTATTTCCCATGATAGGATACGCATTATGTCACAGAAGCCATTAGACAATACAGAACACTACACACATTGATTTTGGATAATGACCAATGTCCTGCAGGGAATTTACTGTTGTTCAGTATTGTTGTTAGTAAAGACTTGTTTTTAAAGATCCAACAAGAGGTTCTCAGTGTAAACTAAGATACTCGATGTATAATCACTAAGCTTTCATCAAATGAAAACGGATTATATTAAATTGTTATCAAGATGGTATCCTCTCATGTAGATGGAGGTTTGTTGTGTTGCTGCAGCATTTTACTCTGTTTTAGCTGCATGACTCATGAATGACTCCCCGCTTCCTGTGTTTGCAAAAGCCCAAATGCCCCCATCGCTTCACTTTTTTTTGCATTTTCGCTGGCTGAGGTTAGAGTTCCTTCTTCATGCTTGTTCTTTTTGATTTGTTATGTCAATAGCATCATGTGCTTTGGCCTTCACTGGCTTTATTTTGGAGGATGTGCCCTCCTTGTGTGCACCTTACATATACAAGCACTACACTTTTGAACACAGCCCTGGTAGTTGATCTATTACATCACACCTATCCAGTGATGGCAAAGTAAGCCTGATGTTATTGCCCACAAAAATGACTTCCCATTAGTTTAGTGATAATTCATTATCTGAAGTTTATTTTACTGCTTTTAAACACTTATTTTTATGCATTTCATTACTCCTGGATCAGACCAGGTAGTTCTAAAACAGACTAGAACTGACAGCGACTGGTGCCTCTGCTTCTGAGTTTGTGATTGATTAGTATCAAAGAGGCTTTTGAAGCTGTTATTTTATTCAAGAGGCTGGTTTTCATCTTTGTACAATTTGATTTGCACTTACTCAAACAGAACATAACCATGCTTGCTAATGTGTTTTTAAGGAAGATAAATTTGGGACCCAGGCCCAGAAAATGGAATTAATATTAATAAAAGTGAGCAAAGAGCAAAAACATCAGATAAGAAAAAACAGCTGCATCGGGACCAGCTGTTGGCTTAATTGTCGTTGTTTATCATTCAATTGGAATCGAACCAAGCTCTTAATTTGCTGCAGATATTAGCAGCCATATGCTGAGACGATTTAATTCACTATAGGCAGAACATTTATTTACGCTCCCAGATTATTTTCACAGGTTTGAATAGTGGTCACAAAATCTGACATGGGACAGGCAGAAAAATTTGGTGTAACTCAAATGGTTTACCTCTTTACATGATAATATAAATATATGTGAACAAAGCACACAACTATATTGCCTGAGTCAAAATTTAGATACTCAAATATTACTCCAACACAAGAGAAAGCTGTAGTGCAGGAGAACCTGCTTTAAAAAAATACAGAAGTACTCAAACTATTTTTCAGATACAGAGGAAACGTTTTAACAGTCTGAATTATTCTTCATTTTAGAAACCACAATCATGGGCTTTGGAAGTCATGGGTGCTCAGGTCATAACCGTCATCTTTTCTATCCCATACCAATCATAACCAACATGAAATAAACTGTTCAATCTGAGTGACATTTTCATATGATGCAGGTACAGCAACACCATTTAGACACACCACACACAGAACCACACAAACACTGCTAATTGTTTTTGAAAGAAAGAAAATTCACCTGCTGACTTCAGAGCAAAGAATTCATAGAAGTGTAGAGTAGTCTAAGTTAAAGTATTGGTCTTTTAAATGTAGTGGAGTGAAAGCAAGTTTTCCCTGAAAGCAACCCTCAAGTAAAGTACAGATACTCCAAAAATGTACTTGTGTACTTCTCAAATTAAGGTCCACCACTCTTTGCAGCAGGCCTTTGTTTGTCCTGACTCTTATAGTGTACACTGTAAGAGAAGAAAATGAAAGATGGGATGTCATCTGTGATGTAATTTCAGGTATAAGGAGCAGGTGTGGACTGTAATAACATCCATAGCAATCCTGTATACCAGAGAATCAGCGACTGGAGGGGTTATTTGATTCGAGAGCCATTTCCCATTTCTCTGATGAAATATGCCATCTGTAGCCTCGTGTTTCTCCTTCCATCCATCAACTGATTATTGTGCATGCCAGAGTCAACAGAAGGTATTCCTCAGGGCAGCGTACTTGTCACCATATTTCTTGCTTGCACAGCTATTAAACATGCTGGTGCTGTTGCTGTCACTGTGAGGGAGTCTGACTTAGCTGCTCATGTGCACACCAAATCCTCCTTGTTACTTCTTAGAAATATGAAAGAGAAAAGTCATTATGTTTTAATCCCTGGACTCATTCATCAGGTTTGTTTTCAGTGTTTTGTTTACACTTTTTTTTTTTTTTTTTTTTGGGTGAAGAGTCACATGTCCCGCAATCTGTTGATTTTCCATGATGGGTAAGACAAAGCAGCACATAAAAAGAACAGAGGGCTTTTCATGCCAAGCCTATGGGGTAATGATATATTTAGTAAGATTTTGATGCCAGCTTATTATTGCCACCTGCCATCTGTGTTGTATTGGAAGATGCCTCAGAGGGGGATTTTGGACTACATTTGGTGACAGGGTCTTGGCTGTGAAGAATGCAGCGTGATTGTGATATATTATGTGCTGTAATGATCTGTAAAACATAAATGCTTTTCTTACAAAGATTATATTCTACCCCTACATTTCAATCATGACTTTTCAAACGTGGGGTGATTAGTTTGCTTTCAACTCCATCACTTTAATGTAAAGTCAACTGTGGCTGATGCAAACCTGCAATCAACAGGCAAAGATTATGATTTTAAGTTTCATCTGTAATTCCTGCAAACATTTATGGTTGTGGTATTGTCTCTCTCTCTCGCCCTAAAAAATTTAATAAAAGTGCCAGATGATTCTTTAACTGAGCTAAAGCACACAGATGTGCCCAACAAGGAAGCCCAAGTAAGCATAGCCCCTCTAATCTGATTGCCTATTCCGAGTGCATTCCCAAATTCCTCACGGCTGCCCCATTTACACATGCACTGCTCTCCTGAAAAATTCCCAACATTACCCAGGGGAAGAGCATGTTAAAGATGACAGACCAAGTTTTCACCCTTTTGCAACTTTTTCTTGTACAGGCTGTGCAGATGTCTGAACACAGAAGGTGACATGGTGGAAAGAAAGTAGTCCGGGAGTTTATTATCAACCTTTATCCTTTCATATGAGAGTGAGACTAAGGGTTATGTCTAGGCAACCTTGGTCTTTTCTAACTTTTTGAACCAGAATGACACAAAAAACATGACTAGCTGTTTCTCTCATTACTTATTGATTAAGTTATAACTATGTACCTGTTGTTTGGTTAATACTGGAAATTTGTGGTCTTTCACATAATCCATCCTTGTGTTTTTGCTAATGATGCGGCATTTTGTTGCAGTCCAAACTAAGATAAAGCAGAATTACATTGCCAGCATCCAGCAGCATAAAACTTTTAAGACAACAGTACTCCTTAATTAATGCATTCAACATCAGGCTTAACTAGTTGATTTTAACATAAGTCCTGCCTCAGCGGCAGATGCCAGATGTACACCCACAAATTTAAGTTTATAGCTGGTTTAGGTTAGGGATGCACAGATCCAGTCCTGATACTGACCAGAAAAACTAGATCAGATATCAGTGACAAAGGGCTGATCCAGGAGGCTGATCCTTAGGCCAGACCTTTTAAACTCAGGTCTATGCTCTTCTGTGTTTACAACAGCCATATCCATGCACTATGTCATCACCACCAGTCCTCTACATTTTGCCTGATAGAGCCAATGTTGCATGGAGGCAGCTAACTAAAGAGGTTTGGAGATTTGCTTGGTTCATCATCAATAATGATGTTTACTGGCAGTATGCAGAGCTCATGTTTGGAGTGATGGCGGTGGCATAGCTTTAGTAAACAGAAGCTGAAACAAAGCAGTTAATGTTGCCTGCTGTAGGCGACGCAAAGATGCCAGAAACTTCCCAGTAATATTTTGAAAGTGTGGAAAATAACAGAGGAGATTAGTGGACAAACTGTTCTGGATGAAAAGACAGTCGAACAGTTTGACTTTTTTCCCTCTTTTCTGTAATAGTAAGATCAACATCTTTTATCAATGATTTCAGTGTTACTCATCACTTTTTGCCTCTGTGTCTGATAACATGCAGAGAAAGTGATCCTACAGTACATCCCCTCTGTTGAGATACCAGTATGTTTTTGCCATTTCAGATCGCACTGTTTTTGTTTACTTCTCCACTCTATTTTGATTTTTTTCAATGAAAGAAGCACATTTTTGATTTCTACATGCCCTCCAGTGCCTACATCAATATCCCAGTTGGACCACCACAGTCAAATAGACTGAATGTGCCCTAACTGAAGCAGCAGAAGTCAACATAATCCAGGCAGAAGAATACTTAAACAGCTTTAAGTCTTACTCTTACTGTCACTTGTGTATTTCATTGGAGAATTATCCCTTGCCACAGCTCATAGGCTTCAGCTTAGAAGTCTCTTGTAGAATTATTCAGGTAATAGATGCAAAGGGCCTGCATAGACATAAAATCCCCATTTGTTCAATGAAACTGGGCATAACTGCCTGGTGAAAGGCAGTTAGCTCTGGTGGAGCATTGTACAGAATTTGACTTCACGTCACAAAATGAAAGGTCCACATTTTCTTACAGCAGCCAGCTGGCTCTTTCTGGAACACATAACAAAGGTAAGTGCAGTAAATGCCTCCTCAGCATCTCCCAGAAAACTATCACAATAATTTGCTGTGCACCTTGTAAATTTGAGAAAAGGGCAGGCGTGTTCCCCCAACAGCGCTAAAAAGGTACACTAAAGGTAAAGTGACAGACAGGTACTTGTAGAGGCAGTCCCACTAAGAAATGTTCCTGTGTTTATTTCACCACTGCCATCACAACAAGACAACAGCACATACACACGCACACTGGCATTCAGAGAGAATTATGAAGGAAAGGCATTGCAAAAGCAACAATTTATCTCAATGGGATTTATTTTTATGTGCACTTCAGTCTAAAGAAAGAGTCTGAAAGGATACACAAAGAAAATAGACATGCTCCTGAGTCCATTCATGCTTGTTGAGATTGGTTGTTCACTTTGCATTCTTGAAACCATCGCTGCGCAGTGTTAACAGCAGGTTGAATCTACTTTTTCTCCTCAAACATTCTGTATGTGCATGCACTTATTTTTGACTGTCCCATTCCCATGCCTGCACACTCAGTGCTATTTATAACCCGACTCTCTTCGAATGGGATATGAGCTTTGCCTGAATGACTACTAAAGTGCTGCTAGGCTCACATGCTCCTGGGAATGAGCAAAAGCAGCCCTCAAGTAATGGGTGCAATATTTCTCCAAAAGCAGGGAAAGAACTGCTGACCTGTACTCATGCTACAGTGCTTTTGGTCAAATGTGAACACACTGAGAGTCAGAAGGCCAAATATTTTGGCTGTCTCCAGCAGTTCACGTCACAGTTGAGATGTTTTATACCTCAAAGAGTTTTCTGTGATGGAAAAAAATAGCACTACATAACAGAAGACCACAACATGTGAGGGGTTTGTAATAGCCTTTTCATCATGTTTGGGCTATCAGTTATCTTGTCAACAGCCTCATACTGCCCTCTTGTGGCTTGCAAACCCTACAACAACATTAAAGAGACCCTCCACATCCTGAGAAAATGAGACATCTAATGTGTATGTCCTAGATTAAAATTAGTGTGAGAACATTGTTAAAAGTAGGATTCAATCTTGAGATCATGTTGCATAAAGTGTCATTTAATAACTGCTGTTCCTTTAGAACCATATTTTATCTAATTTACATCAAAAATTGTATTCGTTCCCCTTAACATGCAGTGGTGTAATGCTGCTCATATTGCATGTTCCTATTTGCAGTAGCTTTCATACATGTGTCCCTGAGGTTTCTGCTGCCTCTGCCTCACATTAACCGTGGTGTCAGGAGTTATATTTATAGTGCACAAAGCATTAAATGAAAAACACAGTTGTAATAACTCAAACACATGACTTGGCTAAAATTTCAACTTGCAAAAAAAATGAAATACACTGACTCAGCCTCAAGTCTCAGGTTGCCAGTGAGTAAGTTTAGTCTTTACAGAATTTTTACCACTGTAGTTTGATAACAAAACTGCTTTCAGCCAAGACAGGTCATGAATTTTTACAGCAGCCAGTGTCAGCTTGCTTTTATAGTGTTGTCTTTTGTGTTGCTCTTACTGATAAACCCGGGGTATTGATTGATTGATTGATTGATACATTTACTGTGTAGAGCTCATAAAGATGCTGTTAGTTTGAGCATGAGTATTAAACCACAGCCTCACCAGTACATCATGTGAACAATGGCACAGTCGCTCCAGTTCATGCAGGTCAGAATCTCTGTGGATCCATAATATAAAAATATTTTGCACCTATTACTTGGTAAGTGTGCTTTCCCCGAGGCCCTAACAGGCTTATTCAGCTATGCTCTCTCCAATAAAGTCTTTGACACTGAAGTAATCTGCACACTTTGCTGTGAGGAGTTTTCATCAGGAATAGTTCCCTACAGAGGAAGAGGACTGTCTATACTGTAACATGTGAATGAAAGACATACTGGTGTGGAGATCTTGAAGAACCACGATTGAAAATCTTTCTTACTGGACTGGTGGCAGAGAAATGAAGTGAAAGATGTATGAAAGTCTAACTCCATCAATCTTTAAATACATGCCTGACAAAACAGACTGTTTAACATTTTAGGAAGTCCTTACTTAGGATGTCATGGTCTGTCCATATACCTGTAATGCAACCCATCACCACTAGATGTCCTCATCCTCAAATATTACTACACTTAGTAAAGTTGATTATTTGGGAGCAGATCAAATCTCCAGAAGTAGAGTAAGAGTTATGAGCCTTGAGCTAAAATCATCTGCAGAGATCATACTTTTCTTCATCTGTGTCTCTCTTTCTCCATCTTCACTCCTCATCCTCTCTGACATGTGATGAGTAACAGAGAGGGGCCAAAGACAAAGGCGCCTGTACCAGAAAACTGAGGAGCATTGGTTCATCTAAATGACAAAGGCGCCTCAATCAGCTGAGTGCGTCAGTAAACCACAGACCCTCTGTTGCTATGGAGGTGGAGGGACAGGATGTTACACCATTTACAGCTTTGATGTTGGGTGTTAGAGTACTGTTGTAGGATGATACTGAGTTTGGATGCCATGATGTTTGATTATTGAGGAAACATTCTTTCATTTAAAATGTTTTCTGACAAAAAAAATGCATTCAGCTGTTTTTAAGTCTTCAGAACTTTTCACTTCCTAAGGCTGTACTGTGGGAATTGTAAACAAAGGCTATCAAAGCAGCATGCTGGTAATCACTTTGACACCCACCCCACAGCAGCGGTTTCACTCATTAGAAATTATCATGAAGGAAAATCTATCTGAGCTTATGGCCTGATTTGCACTGTAAATCAAAACTTCATACAGCTTCTCTAGTTCAAAAACAGCTTAAAAACAAAAAACCTCACAGGAGCTTTAAGTTGAGTAAAATTCAAATGCACATATAATAGCACATTTAAAAACCATCCTCAAGTGAACCAAAGTGCCGTTCAAGCCTAAAAGCATACAATCAAAAAGCAAATATGGGTTCAAAAGACACTAAACCACAATAACTAATGACAGACACAACAAAAGTTAACACTGGATCGCCGGCGCCCCCACGTGACACCATCAGTATAGTTCACAATATCTCAGGAACTAAACTGTGTTTCTCTATGGAGTATAAATGTGTTCGAAAACTTACCCTTTTGCCAATCTATTGAGGGTTTCCAGGCATTTCTAAACCTGACACATGGTTAACAATCCAGCGGCAAAAACAGGTGTTTGATCTGAGACTTTTGACTGTAATTTTATTGTTGTGATAAAAAAAAATTACTATCACTCAATCATCACTTATGGACTTAGTTTTTTTGGTTGACTTTTATGGTGCTAAATCTACTTTTACTTTCACTTTACATAATCTTAGCACTCTTTAAAAAACGAACAACTGAGGTCGTCTTTAAAAATAAATATGTGTATATATTTGTTATGCTTGAAAGTATAGAGCTGCTACACAGATTTTTCAAAAAAAATAAAAAATAAATAAATCAGCCAGACCAAAAATATCAAAATATAGCCTGGAGTTCTAAGGGTTAAGTAGAAAAGCAGAAATGGAAGTTAAAATGACTTTTTAAAGCCATAAGTTGTGGTACTGTTAAAGTTTAGTGTTACAGAGCTACATGCAGGTTCTGGTATTGGATGTGCTTCATAGTTTTGGTCTTTTTAACTGTTAACTGTCACTGTCAAGTAAATTTGATGAATAGCTTTGAAATTGTGACATATTAACCTCGATCCTAACATGAAAACAAAGAAAGGATGAATAGCTTTTAATCCTTAGAGCCCTTTAAATTGAACCGAGGCCTCCCGCAGTGCCCCAGCTCCAGGTTTTCTCTTAATCTGATAGTGATTAGCATCCTGCACTCTGCTGACTGGACCGTTTCTCTCTTCCCTCTCTCTCTGTCTAGCTGTTGGCTCCACTCATCAGCAGAGCTATTTTTAAGTTTAACCCTCATTGCCTCAGGGGGATCCATACCCCTCCTTCCCCCCAGGCTCATCCCCTACTTACACCTGACCACACATTTGCTTCAGTCTTGCTTGCATCACACACTTAATGCGCCAACATTTTAATCAAGCCTCGACCTCCTTACGTCACTTAATGCATTTGCATTAGTGTTGCACCTCTTCAGTCCCACTGGAGGATGATGGAAGTGTGCTCAGACAGAGGCACTGTCCCGAGAAGAGTAACAGAGTGTTGCCTTTTCAAAGCATCTCCCCAGTATTGAATTCTGCATTCAAACAAACATATTAGCGTGGTGTTACTGGAACGTGGCCCTCCATTTTTCCATTGCAACCAACAGCCAAACAATCACTGTGCTGACGCTCTCTTCCTGAAGAATGCTCAGAGAAGAGCTCTGATCTGCTATGCCGTCTGTATGCGTGCCAGAACCTTGGCTGATGAGCCCTGGAGAGTAGAGACAACAATGAGGTAGGGGGGGGCTCAGAGTGAGAATGATATAATGACAGAGATGCTAGAGGAAACAGGACTGCAACAAAGCACAACTGTAGGTTTATCAAGAGCTGTAAAGAGAAAATTCAGAGCCACATTGTGTGTTTACTTCCCCTGTGTTCTCTGACTAAGTTTGTCGTGCATGTTGTGTTCCTGGCTTGGCTCGTATTGATCTTACAGTGGGAGGATAAGCATAGCAAAGCACAGGTTATATTAAGATTATATTACAGGCTGCATGGCCTTGTGCGTCTGACTGCATACACTCAACACTGCTGTGCTGTTTATATAAAGGCTCAAACAATATTTTATTCCATTAATTCCTCACAAAGACAAACCACAAGTGGAGATAGGATGGCCGGAGATGGAAACTCCTGACTCACGTGGCCCAGGCTGACCCACCTCCGCTCCTCATTGGCTGCTGATGAGAGGGTTTCCCTTTGACTGTGCAACAGTGATGGAAAAAAAAACCCAAAATCTTATTAAAGCAGTATCATCACGATGTTAATATTTCATGTGAAACACTCCATTGAGTGTAAAGGCCCTGCTCAGAGATGGATACTATGAAAGGATGATGCAGTACCAACATAAAGTATTTACAGTAAGAGTGGGGGGTTAATATGATAAAGAAAAAAACATGTCTGGGCAGAACCCTGCAGGTCTGTCTGCATTAGCTGATGAGCCTTTTCATTCATGTTTACAACAGGGTGTCCATCAGCTAACTAGCAATGTACCATCACCGTCATGTGGGTGAAAAGAGCCCCTGACATTTATAACTGGTCTTACTTAGACATAATAATATGCTCAAACACACTCTCTGAACTCATGGGCTAAACTCTTCATGACAGCAGTTAAGAAAGGATTTATTGTGACTAAAGATGTCACGATACCAGTGTTTTAAACTATATTACAATACCAGTGAAATGTAGGAAGTTTTAAAAGTACACTTCAGTCTCTGGATACTGTTAACCATGGTGCCTTGAGGTTCATTACAAATCCAAAGGCCCTGACCCACCGCTGCTGTCTGTATGCTCGAGTTGGCTGGCCTGCATTGTCTACCCATAATCTAAATCACAGATATATCCCTATTTATAACATGATTTTTAACATGCTTCCCTCTTATTAAATAATTTCAGTAATATAAAAATGCTGGAAGCTACAGACTGCGCTCTGTGACCCCATCACAAGACTTTATTTTTGCTTTCTGCCCCCAGAGTGTGTGTTGAAATAGGGAAAAAAATGCATTTTAGGTACACTGCTCATAAAGTCTGGAATTTACTGCAAGAAAAATTGTGTCTAAGAGAGCTGGTCCCTCTTCAGTTTTTTCCAAAGTAGATTAAAAGTGTTGGAGGAAGATGCTTCGACTGATAACTGTCTGCTGAGTGATTCAAGATAAGTTGATATTTTTTCAAACTATGTGTTGTCTTTCTGTAATTTTGTTGGCGCAGGCTGCTGCTACTCTTGGCCTAGACTTTAAAAAGAGATTTTGAAGCTCAGTGAGGCTTTTCTGGTGAAATAAGTTTGAATGAACAAACAAAAAATGCATTGGGATTTGTATTCAGTTTATAGCTGCAAATATTAGATGTTCAAGTCAAAAGTATATTTATTTTAAGGTGTTTTGAGCTGGTTTGTACTGGTTGGCCTTCTTGCAGAAAGTCTATAGTTGTGTCTCTCTAATGGCTCAATTAATAAATGTTGCAGCAGTGAAAGCAATAAACAGGGCTCTATAAATGATCTGACACTCAAGGAGTACTGAAGAGCAGGAAATGGGCCAAGAAGAGAGAAAGTCATCGGAAGCCAGAGGACAAGAGTAGATAGAGAGAAAGACAGAGACAGGGATGGATGGAGTGAGAGGATCCTGGTCAGGTAGACAGGAGATGGGAGAGGAGGACAGGAAAGAGGAGGGGGGAGAAGCTAACACAGCATAATTAGCCTGGGCTGCTTGGTTACCTTCCAAACAAAGCTGCTGATTTGTGGAGCAAAAGAAGAGGAGGGGAGAGGCGAGAGAGACAGATAGGAGAGAAGAGGAGGAGGGAGGATGGAGAGAGAGAGAGAGATGAGGGGAGTGATTGCACCATGCCACACACACTTGAAGCTCAGTCTCCCTTGGAGACAGTGGCAGCCCCAGATCACGGCATAACAGTGCAACAGTAGGGACTCCACTTCAGCGCACTTTTACTGAGATATCTCCACTGAGCTGTGTCACCATCCAGGCAGACAGACGGAGGGAGCGTCAGACAGAGCAGAGCGCGGGGCAGGACAGAGACGGAGCTGGAGTGCTGGGACGAGGACTAAAGAGTTGACAGAGATCTGGGAGAGGAAGGAGGAGGAGGAGGAGGCGGGCGATCAAGAGTGTTAAGAAGAAGCGGAGGAGTCAGGAGTCTGAGGATGGACAGAGTGAGCAGGAGGAGCTGCTGAGCGTGCAGCCCGGGCACTCTTACACACTCACACACACACTGACACACACACACCTCCCAGGGAAGGACAGTGTGTTGTAGCACCCAGTGGAGGATGAAGAAGCACTCAGCCCGAGTAGCTCCTCTCAGCTCCTACAGCACTCAGGTCCTGACCTGCCCCATCTCTGAAGGTAAACTGAAGGAAACAGAGAGGCCCATTTAAACTGAGAAATATATGTGAGTGAGTTTGTTTGATGTGTTAGCATGAGCTCAGTCTTTGGCAGCATTAGCTCAGATTGGCTGCTTACATCTAGGCAGTGCTTTTATCTATTTATGGGACAGCTTTTATAGGGGGTGATGTGTTATTCCCTATGATGCTCAAGTTTCAAAAGGAGAAAATTCTGATACAGCTTGGTAGAATCAACTCCTAATTGAGCTTACTCTACCAGGACTTTCTTGACAGTTTTTCCCTGCTTCGTGTGAAAAAAGAAAAGATGGCTGTCAGAGCTCAGGTAATTGTGTGTCAACAGAGGGTGCAGTTGTAGTAGTAGCGTATTTTTGTGGCAGCACCTCAAGACCAAAAAGTGAAAAGAAGTTCAGTTTCCTGCTATTTGTTCATCTCTTCAGCATTCTACCAAGCTAAAAGCTAAACTTTACCTAAACTCCTCTGTCAGCATTAACATGACCATGTTGTGTTATCCAGATTACATTTCATAGAGACTTACAGCTCATTGGCATATGGAAAGCGTTCCTGACATTGCAGACGTGACTGTGAGCCTCATATCGGATCCAGCAGGCGTCTATTCATCAATGTCACTGCATGCAACGTCATTGACGAGGATAAAACACAGGATGGATTGAAATGAGGGAGTCTGAGCAGCAAAGTGCGTCACACAGAGTGGATAAGCTATGAGTGGGTCCCATATATCACTGTAATTTCTCTAATGAATTGGCATGATACCAACACCTTCAAACTCTCCCCTTGTAAAGTGATAGAACCACGTAGCAGGAGGGGAAAAAAGAGCATGTTTCGCTTTAAATGCACTCTCAAATTTTAAACATATATACCCAATCTTACTTTTGTGAATTCATGTATTAATGGAGAGTATATATAGCAAATTGAGAAGCCAACTACTGAATTATAATAGCTTGAATATAATCAGTAAGTTCAGTTAATATTAGCTCGATAAGTAGTTTTCCAATAGGTCCATAACTTCACTATACTTCAAAAGGTATCTTAAGTATTTCACTGCAGTCCTGAGCTGACAGTCTGAGGGATTTTTTTCAGGGATTATTGTTTTCTCTGCAACTTTTTAGCAGTAATATTTGTCAGCAATAATACTGTCTGTGATGAGAATACAATCCTGGCCACGAGAGCTCCATTTATGAGACAGGGGAATAGTAGAGTTATAATATTACTGCATCTTGGCACCAGATCAGCCTGTAGTGGCTTTTACCTGAGGACAGAAAAACCCGTATCCAACACCAAAAGCTTCAGGATTTTGTCTGTGCTCTGAAACATGAACCATCCTGCTCGAAGGATGAGGGGAGACTGCTTCTCTCCTGCAGAAATTTCAGATCTCAGTTTTCCAGTCAGCTTCCACCAGGCTCATTAGGTTGATTAAGAATCCACGCTGTGACAGAACGTAATTAGACCAAATCCCTTGATGATCCTGTGGAAAAAGAAAGTGTATTAGTGTTGAGCAGTTTGCTTTCAGCGCAATATGTAGTTCTGCTCCCAGCTGGGATATAGTGTAAGTTCAAATATTTTTTATTTGAGGTTTTTTGAGAGTTTCTTGAAGCTGGAGTCCTAATCTGAGCTAAAAAAAGAACTGAGTTTGATCTAATTTATGAAGAATTTTGTAGACTGCTAAACTGTGAGAGGTTTCACCTAAAATGTGGAGGATTTTTTCTGTATTAGAGGGAAACTATTCAGCATTGGTGGAGAGAAGCTTATTTCATTTATGCAAATACTGAAATGTTATTGTTACAAGTTTGTTTCCAGTTAAAGCTCTTTTTCACACTGCTGCAGGAGTATATTTCTTACTTTAACTTCCGTTATATTAACCCAAAGGGAACCCCTAGGTAAAAAAACAACAGGCACTGAAATAGAAAATGAAATCCATCAGCACAAGGGTACATCAAGTAGCAGCAGGAAGCTAAAAGTAAGTAAAACCTTTATTAAACCTCCCATTAAAATCAAAATTTAGACCCTTGTCAGTAATGTCTCTGCTGCGTCATCATCATAACCCAGTGTTTTGATGGTGATGAGTTATAAAGGGATTTTTCATCATGTTGGACTTTGAATTCAGTAGTCTGTATCTTCTGCCTGAGAGCAGGAGCTCAAATTCACCAAAGAGAGGATGTCAAGGACATCATAAGATGTCTCAAGCCTTAGCTGTCGCCCTCTTACTGAAGGTGAAAACCACTCATATTATAAATAAGCTCTCTGTGTGTGATTTTAAACTATCTAGTATTAAATTCATGTTGTACTGTACTTCTTCCTCTAACATATTTGGCAGTCTGACAAAGTTACTGGCCACTTTGAAGACAATGACTTCACTTTTTATGGACAGCTCATGTTTTGGTTCTGACTGTCTGAGACCCAAAAGAGAAGAATATTCTTAATATTTTCCAAAAAAAAATAACACACATATGTTAGTTTGTGCCACTATAGCTCTTCTGTCTTCACCATCTTCAATCCCACAACAACCCCTCAGATTTCTCATGTCACTCTTTGGAGTCAGTTCGAGCTGCCAAATTGTGTTTCAAGTCCTTCAATAAGCTCCCATATGAACATGAAAGAAGTGAAATAATACAAACCAGAATTTAACATCTGACTAAATGATATATGAAAACACCCGTGTTGGAGAGGCCTGTTTTCCACACGAGACCATATACGCATGCATCAAGCTAATAATACTTTTACTTTCACCAAGAGGATGTCAATTTTCACTTTATTAAGATGGTAAATGCTAGGCCTTTGTTAGAGTGGGTAATATTTTACATGGTGGTGTTGGTACTTTTACTGAAGCTGAATACTGATGTGTCTCTTATCTGTGACTTTTAAGTCACCAGTCTTTCTCCTACAGACACCACTTAGCATTAATACTCTTACCTGCTGCCAATAATGATCTCATGCATTCATTAGACTTATAAAGTAAGTTTGGCTGACTGTCGAGTTCATTTCTTGATGAAAGAAGTGGCCCTCCTGAAAAAAAGACACTCATTAACTCACTTTGTTGGATGAAGTTCGATGGCAGAGACAGGGACATCTTCAGATATTACAAAGTGGCATTTCAACACTCTCAATTGGCTGCCTCCTGAAATATCTTCTGCTGCAAAAACTCCTCACATCAGGTTCAGTCTACCTTCTTTAAACATATTTCACTTCTATTCCCATTCTTTAACTCCCTGCTGGGGTCTCCTCACAGACAAACAAAAGACTTTAAGCTCAAATGTAATAATGAACACCCCTGAGATACTGTAAGGTAGGGGTACTCTAGATACTACAGGGTTCAAGTGCTTTCAGAGCTCCAGTGTCGGTAGCTATGGTGGAAACAGCAGAGCTTCACGTGCTGAGGTAGCAAACATCCAGCAGCACATGTCATCTTTTATTCCTGCCCTGGTGTAAATTGATCACACTGTTGAAAGTAAAAGAACCGATCTGAGCTCTCTCCGGAAACACTCGCCCACACAGCACTTCACATATTACACAGCGCAGAACAGGTCCAGGGGCCTTTTACTACCGCAGTCCATTAAGGCACAGGGCCAGATCAACAATGCACCACTGGCTGAAGATTAAAAAACAAGTATGTATGATTTACCTGTGGGTCAATCTGTCTGTCCTTCAGCCTCTTAATCTTGTATTAAAGAGTTTGATTATCAATCAGTTCCCATACAGTTCTCATTTTCATGGTCCAGTCTTTCCCAATGGCAGTGTTCTCAAAGCAGTAATGAACCAACAGTGAAAACCGTTGCTGCCAAGGTTGACATGACTTTCCAGTGGAATGTCATGTGGTTAGGTTTACTCTTGCTTTCTGAGGGTCAGGTTTCTGTGCACAACGGGTACTACAACGGGTGCTCAGTACATGATGCATCAAGAGGTGACAAAGCAACTTCTGACACATTTTTGACTAAGCCTCGCTTTGTGCATTATTGCTGACAGTTGAACAGTGAAAAAGTAAGGTGGTACTTAGCTGAGGACATGTGGTCGTTAAAAGCTAATGTGCCGAAACTAGACTATAGAGACACGAGCTACATCTATATGCTTTGAGATGAAGTTCGGCCGCTACACGTAATTTTGAAAAATGGTTAAATGCTAACTTTGACATAGCAACTGATCATGCTGACCATGCTAACATGATTATTTGCTAAAGTTGAGCTGTTTAAAATGTTGACAATGTTTATCATCTTAAATTAGAAAAGTAGCTTCCTCACTCCTCATTATAATCTCAGTGACAGTACTTACAAGCTAACGTTAACCAGATGGAGCCCATGTCCAAAACTCTACTATCAGACTAGTCATGGTTTGTAGTCTATGGTGTCTAATGAGGTAGGTCTAATTTGTATGATCTGTATCCATTGTACATTCGATTATGAGATTGACATCGTATATGTGGTTCATACTGAGATGACTATAACGCTGTGTAAGTGACGCTTACGCATTAACATTTGTATATTGTTGTTAAATTTGTCTTTGTCTGACCTATGCTGTCCATTTTTCTCCCATTAGGAGAGGAAGGTTCGGACTCTCATGCAGAAACTCCAGGCAGCGAGACCAGCGAAGAGAGCCGATCCTTTCAGACATGTACCAACACAGCTCTGAAGGTGCTGGGTGGTCTGCTGATGGTTCTGTGCATCTCCTCCTCCTGGGTCGGCACCACTCAGGTGGTAAAGCTGACCTTCCAGTCTTTCTCCTGTCCCTTCTTCATCTCCTGGTTCAGCAGCAACTGGAACATGCTTTTCTTTCCTATCTACTACGCTGGACATGCAGTTATCACACGGGAGAAGCAGACACCCATACAGAAATTCAGGTAAACAGACGACAAAAGTATTTCACAGTCTACTACAAATGGTGAAAAACTAAATGAAGGAAATAGAACAGACACACTAGATTATTGTCCTTTGGTGCCTTACTCTATCAGCACATCTGTTATTTTAATTAAAGTGGAAATTACCAGGTGTTCCAGTTCAGTCCAACATCATAAAAAAGAAAAATCCTGTTAAATAGCAGTGTTTTGTGTTCCGCAAAATAAGTCTAACCTTTTTTATAGCAAGCTAAGGAATAATTTGAATAAGCAGCACTTTTAGTGGCCCCTAGAGGCCCTGCTGCTCATTACACTTGGCTCTAATAGATTAGAATCACTCTATTGCCATGAGGAATCAGGCAGCTAAGCAACCAGCATTTCTGTTCCTACATTTTTATGATCCTCTTGATAGCATAGCTGAAAGGCTTACCAAACACAGCCTTCTTTCCAAGGAGTACATTAGAACAATATAACTTCCTTCATTATTCCGCCCTTCGTTTCTATTCCTCCTGTTAGGGAGTGCAGCAAGCTTTTCGGGGAAGATGGGATGACACTTAAGCTTTTTGTAAAAAGAACAGCCCCCTTCTCGATCCTGTGGACCCTGACCAACTACCTGTACCTCCTGGCCTTGAAGAAGCTGACCGCCACTGATGTCTCCGCCCTCTACTGCTGTCACAAGGCTTTTGTCTTTCTCTTGTCCTGGATCGTTCTCAAAGACCGCTTCATGGGTGTCCGGGTCAGTGTGGAAATATCTGTAATGAAAAATAAACTTTGACAGGCTGAATTTTTAGTCCTGATGATCTCAAATCTCTATCTGCAGATTGTGGCAGCCATTATGGCCATCACAGGTATTGTTATGATGGCGTATGCTGATGGTTTCCATGGGGATTCCTTTGTGGGTGTGGCTTTGGCTGTGGGCTCAGCCTCCACATCAGCTCTCTATAAGGTAAAACTACTAAAACCTATCTTGTAACTGTCTTCATGATGACCATGCTTGATTTTATTGACTGAGTTTACAATGTAATCCTTAACCTCCAGGTGCTGTTTAAGATGTTTCTGGGCAGTGCCAACTTCGGAGAAGTGGCTCACTTCCTCTCCACTATGGGCTTCTTTAACCTCATCTTCATCTCCTGTGTGCCCCTCATCCTTTACTTCACCAAGGTGGAGCACTGGGGCTCACTGTCTTCACTGCCCTGGGGATACCTGTGTGGACTGGCAGGACTGTGGCTGGGTGAGAACAAAAAAAACATCCCTGATGAAAAGAAACAAAACATTTTGACTTGGAGGCGGGGCTTCTATGTGATCATTGTGGGTCTTTTATTGTGAAAAAGTTACTGACATGAAAATTTAGTAGGGCGAGGTTGATGAATTGTCTGTGAAAAGTAAAAAATAGATTACTTTCATTACTGATAAATCTGAGTTAAGCAATTTTTATAGACCAGTGGTAGTCCCACCTTGAGGACCCACGCATAAAAAAGTGATAAACATCATTTTTAAAGCTCCTGGAGGATCAAAGTGACAAAAAAAGGTCACCCTGTTCTATACTAACAGTCAAATACGTCACCCATTGATCATTTGTGATGTGTAATGAGTGAAAAAAACTGATTCTGCAACATGTCAACATGGCTGGGTCTATGTCTGACACTAACCCCCTTGCCAGTGTTTTCAGACATTAAAAGTAACCATATAGAGATGGCCAGTCTGTTTGTAAATTGTCTATTTTTGCTTTTTTTAGATCATTAAAAGACATCAGTATTAATTCAAGTCTTTTTCATTACAAGCTAAAAACTCTTCACAGGAGCTTTAATTTTCTCACAAAGATATATAAAGGAAAAATTTTGTTTTTTTTACACTGTCTAATGGTGTTTTATAAACAACCAGTGTGTATCCCAATGAGAAAATAGCAATTGTTTTATCAGGATATAAGTTGATGTGTTAAAATCAAATTTTGACATCCTCTTGGTAGGTGAATGTCAATGAAACATTTCATAGCAGTCTATTCACAAGTAGTAGAGCTACATAAATAGCTGTTTGCCTTTTCTTGACATTAAAGCATTCCTACATTCTTTATCATTTATCATGATAAGTCTGGAAACAGATTGTCCAACCAGCAGGTGTAATAGTTGCATCTTAATCCTTGTTAGTGACTGCGCCCATTTAAAGTATGTCCACTAATATTTGTTGTTGTGGCAGTGACATGCTCCTGTTGATACTTGTAGGGTCTAATGAAGCGAATGTTTCCTTTAAAAAATAAATAGTTGAACCAGAAACCAAAGTCTTGTTCTAAAATCTTGTGAAATTGGAGTTGTTGCAGGACAACAGTGGTGGGAAGAGACATGTGTTTTGTTAGAGTTCAAAAAAACAAAGAGTAGTTTGGCAGACACTCAGAATAACTCAGTGAGCCTGTCAGCTGGGAGTAGGAGCACTTTTTATGGACTAACTCTGCACAAAAGAGACAAAATATTCTTTCAACCAGACCTGTTGTTGGTGTCCTTTGACTTTCTGTAGGCTTTTTCATGTGCTTCTCTGGCACTGCTGCTAAGCTTGCTCATCTCTGCTTCTCTGAATACCACATATTTTCCTGAAGTGAATTGATGTTTTAGCCTTAATGGAGATGAGGCAGCGAGTTTCTGTTTTTTTGTTCCCCATCTGTTTGAATTTCTTTCATATGCTGCCAGATTTTTGTTGTCTTGCCATTCAATTTGACATCATCAATCTCCAAATTAGGGATTCTTCTTACTGACAAGGCATCTCCTCTTCCTCTTGGCTACAACCGAGGACATCGGTTGGATGAAAGTCCTTGAGTGTAGCCCAGGACACATTTGCATAGACTCTTCAAAATGAATGTGGACGGCTAAATCTGTATGTGAAGTACATCTCAAAGCATCCTCAATATGCCCTGTGTGCTGATCTCTGTCTAAGGATGTCCACTGGTGATCCAGACGCCTACAAAATGTGAACAGTGTCTCAGTGGACCTTCTTTGATGAGCAGCAGTGATCTGTTTGCTTTAAGTTTCAGCAAAAAAAAATCACTGTTTCATTTATTCCTATTTTTTTTAACTGTGTTGATGTCTTTACAGTGTTCAACATCTTGGTCCATGTTGGTGTGGTGCTGACATACCCCATCCTCATCTCTATAGGGACGCTGCTCAGTGTGCCAGGCAATGCAGGTAGGGTTTTTATATGATACAAGTTTGACCTCCATTACTATTATTTTATGAAAGTGAGTGTGTTTGTGAAAAAGAGAGTAAAAAAGCCGAACACACTGCGGTTTTGTATTGAGAGGTCAGCACTTCAGGTCCCTGTAGCAAACAGATTACACTGCAAGTCTGCCGCTCTCATCCTGGAAACCCAATCATCAATGTGCCCAAACTATTCTCTCGCTAAGGGAGGATCAGGTTGCCAAGGCAACACTAAATGCCTGCAGACGAGTTCTTTTCTTTAACCGCCATGGACTGTATGAAGGTCAGTGGGTTACCGCAACTTGTCCCTTGGCTGGAGACTGTAAAGACCCTAAGGATTAAGCAGATCTCAAGTGCGGATTTTAAGCCGTATTTGAGTGACTCATCCTCTTCAGCCCCAGTGCCCTGTGGTTTATCTCACTTTCTGTAATTAATCTCACTTTGTTTTTGTTTGCACCTCACTTTCTCTCTCCATCCTGCTCCCTCTTTTGTTCCCTTCTTTCTCTTACCTGTTGTAGCCGTAGATGTTTTGAAACATGAAGTGATCTTCAGCGTGGTGCGCCTGGCAGCCACCTGCATCATCTGCCTGGGTTTCCTTCTTCTGCTGCTGCCAGAGGAGTGGGACTCGGTCACACTGCGGTTCCTAGCTACCATCGCAGACAAGAAGTCAGAGGACCATGGCGAGGAGCTCACAGAGTCCAGTGTCCACACTCGGAGCCGCAGCAGAGCCAACGGCACAGTCTCCATCCCCTTGGCATGACACTTTGTTAAAACTTTATGAGGACCTTTCAACTCTGATGCCCACGCAGGAGATGTGGCAGGATCTTCAGTCCACAAAAGGAGGCACGAAGAAATGTCTGAACTTAATTTAACTTTTCTCTAGAGATGCATCTCTGTCTCTGCCACTTCACTGCAGGAGGGGAAGCTAAGAACTTTTCTGGACTTTGCAAACCGAAAGGGTGGAAAGTGTTATTTACTTTCTTAAAATACTTGCCACGCGCAGTCCTGTTCCTCGCACGCACCTGAACCTAGAGCTGACTGACCTCCCCTGACCTGCTCTGCAGACTGTATTCTGTGAATATAAACTTTGGCAGGGCCACTTTGGCTCAATCTTATAAGTATTTATGATATTTATTTAGAACTGTATCAATAAGAGTATCAATTTTAAGTCTTATTGAATAGTATTATATACAAGGATGGCAAATATACTATGCGTTATGTACAGGATCTTTTGGTTTTATAATAAAAAGACTTAAAACTGACATTTATAGCTGTGTCTTACTAGTTTATCAGGGGACCACAAGTTAGTGATATATTTTTTGAGAGTATTTGCATCTTTTTTTGTGGCCGATGCCAAGATCAGCAAGGAGAATGATGCATATATTACTGAAACAGCTGGCAAGGCTTCACAGAATCTCACATTAAGACAGGAGATTTGCATTTTGCCAGTGCATTAGCCCCTGTTTGGGCACCCACCATCATGTCTCTGGTACATAAAGTAATATTTGGGAAACTTTAGTGGAACACAACAACAAACAACAACTACGAAGAAGGACAAGTTTGACAGAAATATTGAAATGAAAGGAGCGACAGAGATAGGGATCATCAAGAGATGTTCATTTACTTTTACAACTGCTGAAAACAGCTTGACTTATAAATAATACAGATATACTTGAAGAAATATTGAGTTAGATGCTTTAAAGAAATATTTTTTATCACTTGGAGTGTCTCTTCGCCCTCTTTTTCAGCATTTACTGTTTTAGGCCAATCAATAGATAGCATTTAAAGTATTACAAATAAAGACTAATTGTCATATTTAAATACTACTAATACTGTCATAATGATTACAAGTATTTTATTAAGTTTTTTGAAGTGTACTCGAATATCAGGATTTCAAGTGTTGGGTAGTGTATTACCTTGGTCTGGTAATTGCACAACTTTGACATGAAAATACACCAAATACTTTTAAGGTCTAGTATCTAAATTTTATTGTTTTCAAGCTGAAAATTTGAAAACCAACTCATACAAGAGTCTAAGAGTGAATCTATCCTTGTTTTGACCTTCCATAGAAAACCACGGGTATGAATGCCAAGAACTAAGCAGTATGATTCATAAAATATAAGCAATCAGTTGAGTGCATTGCATTGATTTAGCAGCAATGACTTTGCACATTCCCTTCACTTTGAAGATATAATGCAACCCCTTTCTGTGATGCATTCAGCTTACATTAACAGGCGCACACACACACACACACGCACGCACGCACGCACGCACGCACGCACACACATACACACACACACACATGAAAACTGAAGATGATTGAGAAAAATTGGTCGTACTATCCTCTCTCCTCTGAGAAACACAACCAGTTGTTTTACTGCTTTACTGTCTGGATGACAGTGAATAGAAAAGCTCTGGGGACATGTTTTGGTGTTGTCATGTCATAGACATTTGTCAAAATGATTCTTGAGTGCCTCATAACATGGCAGAAAAATTATCTCTGAGCCCAGATAGTGCGACTAAGTTGATGAGGACGTCTTCCCAGATATGGTGTCTTTCTACATCAGTCTCAATAACATGTATGCACGTTCTTGCAGTCCCATTAGTTTCTATGCTGAGTGCAGTCAGAGAGAGAGAGAGACTTTAGAGACCTCTAATGAAGTGTATGTTGAGGATTGATGGTTTCAGATGGACAACTGCAGCAGCATTTTAACATATTAAAATGAATGACCAAGAAGTTGGGATGTAAATATGTAATGTTGAGTAATGATACAGTAGCTATGCTGCTGCCCCGATGATAAAAGCTACTTAAAGACTTCGGCATAAATTGTTGGGTGAGTAACACAGATCCAGCTACAATAAGTTTCTAAAATGTTTAAATACATTCTTATTAGATTATCCTATCTGAAAGTAGAAAAAGAGGCTGGAAATCTTTAAAAAACAACATTAGTGGAATGGGCCTTATTGCAGTTTTTACACCAATCTGCACCATTTGCTAAAAAATGTGACACATTCAGCACTTATATGAGTAACATGAAACGTCTAGATCTCCAAGGAGGCCAAACACGGTAGAAACTGTGGATTCAAGCGGTTTTGTGAGGCTGCACGACATGTTTAATAAAAGTGTTAGCATGCTAAAAGTCACTGCTAGCATGATGAGTTTTTGGAAATACAATATTTACTCTTTAAGTTTCACATGCTAAAACATTATGCTTGTGGTATGTGGCATCAGATACGACTTGTTCTACACTCTAAACCTAAGACAAAGTTTATAAAAACAATTAAGATGCTTTATAAAACTATACTGAGGTATTTTAGGAATAGGCAGAAGAAACAAAGTTGGTTTCATTCTGTGGGACCACACATTAACAGCATTTTGTCTTTTAAGATAAATAATTGATAGATAGGTGCCACCAAGGCATACACATGCTGTTAGTGTGGCTGATAATCAATAACATGACATAGACTACGATAAGGACCAGACTCGTTGTTTTATGACCAATTAGCTACAATATAACATGACAAATTTCAGCTTTTAAAGCGCTTCTGTGCAATGGAAATTAGGTTGCTACCTGATATGTCCACCTTTGTAATAGTTTTTATTCCCCCTGTGGTTTCCTGAGCGTTCATCAAGTTCCTAAGTGAGTTAACTATTTCCCAGAGTACCTGTCTCTCTGCTCACCCCTCTGGGCTCTCAGATACGGATGGGTTGCATAAAAAAAAAAAAAAAAACAGGTTCCTTCAAGCATTAACTTACGAGTTACAAAGTAACCTGTGGGGAGGGTTTCCATGGAAACCCAGCTCATTATAACAAGACTGACAGGTACGGGGGCAGTGATAGAGTACACACCTACTGTTTAAACCACTTGCAAAAGTGTTTGTTACATTTGTACTTTGGCAGCAGGCAGAGATGCTCCGGGACAAACATTAAGTTTACCAGCAGGGAAGATGTGGAGACTACCAGATTTGTTTGGGAACAGCTGCAACAAATGGGGCCAGTGGAGAGTCGATATTAAAGGTGACGTTATCCTGTAACTAACCAAGTTTTTTTATGGGACAGGCTTAAAGGGAATCAAACCAGTGGACTTTTAACACAGAGGCATTTTAAGTTTTTCCAGGCTTCGGTTAGTAATTTCAATCAATGCTGATCTGAAAAAGAAAACTTGCTTAAAAATGATTGTATCCTAAGTATTTCAGCATGTCAGATTAAGAGTGGGGATAGGGAGAATGGGCTCCACAGGCTCCAAAACAAGGCTGCATAAAGTAGCTCCATGTAACCGCCTGCAAGGTGAAGAGGACCAGCCAAAACCACAGTGGACCCTCCCTGCTCTTCCAGTCAGTGCGGAGCAGCCGTCTGCATCTATGGGACTGAAGAAGACAACTTTACCTCCACTGAAACAAGAAATGACTCTTTCCACACTTTCAGGTTTGTAAGCCATCTGTCTCTTCAGTTCTCCTCCTGGCTCATTATTTCTGTGTTGTGATTCAGTGTGCATGTGTGTGCTGTTAGAACCTTGCTTTGCAGGAAAGGTCCCACTCAAGGTCCCTAACCCAAGCATCATTCACTCCCATCTACCCAGAAGGGCCCAGGTTAGCACGTTAAAATTAGCTACCAAAGTATTTTCATTAACTTCAACAGGAGAATCTTGCTGCCTGGTTTAAATGAGAAGTTTCTCATCAGTTCAATTCTGTCCTGGGACTTTGACAGACACAATGTTAAATCATTGTATCTGACTGGTTATGATTTTTTTATACCCAGACATCACATCATTATCTCTTCTCAGGCACTGCAACCACTGGCTGTTCAAATTGGCCAACCAAGCTCTGCCAATCAATTTGCAATGGTAAAAGAAAAAACTCGAAACTGACTGTCCCAGTAAAACCAACCTAATGCCATCTCAAACTCTTATAAAGGAATGTGATGTTTGTTGTTTGTAGAGGAGGGGCTGCAGAGATGGGGGTGTCCAGCGGTTTTCTACAACCGGCCAGGCAGGACACAGCGGCACCAGCCGAATGACTCAGGTAAAGCATCTTGACAAAGTATCTAAGAGCTGGAGTGCATCTGTTACATCAATAATTCATTTTTTATTGAGGGAAAGTTAAAGTGTGCAGCAGTGCTTTAAAAGGGCTGGAGGGAAGACTGGGTGGATATAAAGAGACAGAAAGAGGAGAGGCAGATGTGAGCTGTGACTGTGGGCTCTTCCAGTCCCTGTGGATCTGATTAAAGTGTCACTGGAGTGGAAAGTAGGGTGGTCTTCAGCTACAACTAGCCTTCATTGGGATCTGTTTTCAGGGTGCAAGGGATAGAAAAGCCACTACCACCAACACGTTTATAGACACAAAGAGAAGGGTAGTATGAACAGTCACATGACTATACTTTTTTTAAAGTTATATTTCCGGGCTTTTATTTCTTGACTCAGAAAGGATAGGACAGAGGAAAGCACAGAAAACCTTGGGAAAGGGCAGGGAGTGGTACGTGGGGAAAGGGGTCACAGGTTGGGATCAAACCAAGGCCACCTGCTTGAAAACTGTAGTCTGAGTGACTTTACAATTAGACCAACTGGTCTTACAATTGATGTTTTTAAATGATTTGGTTTTCATTGTCGGTGATAAGTTGTCTAAACTGTGTCATCAAACAAGATTATTGTTTTCTACATGTATGTTTTTAAAGCAAAGAAGTAAATTTGTAAAATTAGAAATAAAATGATCCTTTAACCTAAAGTTACTATCATGTTTAAGTCAAATTATTTTCAGTCTAAAGCTCATAAATAATCACAAGAATTGGTTAGAGAGATTACCCCCAAATGACTGATCTATTCTGTTGTATTTTATCATAATTTTGTTAATACTGGAGGCGCTGTCAAGTACAGAATCAGGTTTGTGAGAGGGTGAATGCGTAAGTCATTTTTAAAAAATAGACATCATCTTGTTAAATATCCTTTTTTTGTTTGTTTTTCGGATTGACTAAAAAATCGTACTATTCCAAGCACATCTTGCAAAAGGTGATTGACGAATTTTTTGTGTAGCTGAAAAATACTCAGTCATCTACAAAAGAAAAGGCTGTCATTTTTAATAAAGAGACACGAGTGAAAAAAAAAGATTTAGTAACAACTTTGTTTTCTGTATCTTCTTCCAATCAACTGCCATGTTTTAATCTAGGAGTAATTTTGACAGTCAAACTGTTTCAGTTTTCAGAAACACGAGTTAAATCAGAGGTCTGAAGTCCACTGAAGAACTTGAGCTGCTCATTCATGCCCTCATCTCATCCCGCATCGATCACTGCAACGCTTTTTTCACCTCTCTCAGCACGTCTGCTCTTAACTGCCTACAGTCAATACAGAATACTCACCGGGTCAAACTAACGGTCACACATCACTCACATGCTGAAACCTTTCCACTGGCTCCCTTTGGCTTTGAATCCAGTTTAAAATTGTTACTCTTATTTTTGATCTCTTCATGGTCAGAATTAGACTGAACTTGTCAACCTCACCCGCCAGCTTGTTCTTTCTGGTCCAACTCACTATGCCAACTGTACTAGGGCCCACAGACATGATTAAATCATGCTTCTGAGGCAATAGTACCGGACCTTACTCTACACCTTAAAGTTCCTCTGACTTTGTCTTTCAAAAACAGTAACAAACTGATTTGTTTGGTGGGTCATTTTGGTTGATCATACTCAGCCTTCTTTCTGTGAGTGATCTGTTCTGATTGTGCCATTTATAATACATGGTTATTGTTTGTATCTCGTCATAAATACAGATTACTCACATGCTTTTATGCCACATCTTAAATCCAGACAAACTGTAATTTTCAAATACAGTTGAGAGTTAAATACCTTTTTGTATCTGAACATAAAATGGAAATAGTCCCCCTTTGCTGTCTCTCTCACTGCTCTGTGAACCCCTTGTAGGGCAGGTTTCTGGAGGCCCAGGTGGCTCTCACTCAACAAGATCACCGACAACGGGTTCACCTTCGACAAGGCCGGGAGCTGAGAAGACGTAAAGTTGTCTACACTGTTAATGGTACACCTGCGAGTTATTATTTAAAATGTGTTATTCGGTCAGAGTTTGGTCAACTAGATGGCACTAATATTTCAGTCATGTCTTTGGATCTTAAGGTGGAGGTACAGAGGGGACCCAGAGGCGGAAACTTGTGAGGAGACCAACAGAGAGGGACATTTTCTGGGACGAGAGCACAGGGAAAAGTCTGGACCCAAAATCTCTACTTCAACTAGAAGAAGAAGAAGGACAGTACAGCCAGACAAACATAGAGCTACTGTGCAAAAGAGAGGAGGGGGTGCAGAAGATTCAAGATAGAGTGGAGGGAACTTCACAGACTGGTCAGTCTGTGGCCAAAAACTTTTTATGGACAACCGAAAAGAAAACAGTAAGAGCTGAAGAGAGTGGTGAATGACCAAGTGACAGCTGGTTGTGGCCTGAGTTTATGAGTGACTGTCAGACAGACAAGAAGGGGGATGCAAAGGGGAAATGGGACTTTTAAATGAACTTAAAATGGATTATTTTTGATGTACTAGAAATCTGGAACAAAAACAGAATCCAAGTTCTTCAAATTGAGCACAAAGATTTCAGATTTCTATGATTTATGTTGCTCTTTTCCTAAATTAATTTCAAGAAATAATGACTCTATCTTGGGCAGTTATGGTCTTGGTTTGCTGTAGAACTAGATAAACCTGCAATATGGCAAAAGAATGAAACCCTTGTTGCTCAAGATTTAATTCTTGGCTGGGGTTATGATGCCCTCTAGGGGTGACAGCGATGCATATTTTTCCAAACCAAATAAGATGGTTAATTGAAGTTTTAGGATTTTTTAGGCCCCTGGACATTTACAGCAAAATACTAAAAATGTAATTCTATTTTAGTCCAAAATGTTGGATTCAAAACTTTCAGGTTCAAAGCTCCCACCTGTCTCCATAACATTGGGAGAGAAATTTGTTCAGCAGTATCCTTCAGACTCCAAAGATCTCCCCTCATCACAGAATTTGTGGCTCTTGAGGAATAATTAGATCGAAAACAGGAAATTGCTGATTGCAGTGTCACTATTCAAGTGGTCTCCCTGAGGCCGCTCTTAGCGTGTTTAAAGAGTCTGAGAGGAGCTGGAATCAAACCAAACACCTGAGGCCACAGTGGCCGACTAAAGCCTGATCCTCAGGCACGGCACGTTAAAAGAACATTGCTGGGATCACATCACACAGCAGGGGGCTGGACAGGAATTCAATGACAAAAGATTATCTCAGCAGTGGTTAAGTAGAAGTGTTTCAATAGGAGAAATAAGCATTTAAATGCATTAAAGAAATCAAAGCAGTCTAACATTAGCTTTATTGTACTCGACCACTGGGTGTCATTATTGGGCAGAGAGATTCAGTTAAGTTACTATCTAAGTAGATGGCAGCTGCAGTGTCTATAATAGTGCACCTTTTTTTTATATTGACATATATTTGGAGCTCATGTGTGTATTTAAGGCTACATTACACATTTTAGAAACATGTTTAAAAACCAATCTTCAGTTTAATAAATTTATTGTTGCCTATGTGAGAAAGAGTTTTCATAATTGTACAAAAGTGTTCATTTATTTCCTGTATGTGTATACAAAAAAGAAAAAGTGTTTTAGATAATAAAAAAGACTGGTGCTTAAAAACACTGATACTAAAGATCCAAAGGTATGATCTGAAGGCACTGGAGCAGAGCATCACATTAAAACGAGTCCTTGTACTTAACCATCCATTCAATCAACAAAGCAAAGTCTGCCAGTGAGAGGCCACTGACTGCAGACTTCAGGAGCCAGACTGGCCACATATTGGGATACTGAGGAGATTTAGAGTGGCCCAAGTCTTCAAAAAAAACTTCTACTTTTCCAGTTCGCTAACCACACACACTGGGCCTTAAAGCCAAATCACGGTGGAGGGGGATAGCCGAGAGGTCTCGGTGTCTGCCACTCCGTCCTGCAACATAAAAAGAAGGTGAAGGATGCCGTGTGAGCAATTGGTTCCAATTGACAGAGGATTGGTCATGGTCAGCCTTCAGAGTGGAAATCCACGTGAGAATGTTGCGTTTGGACCAGCAAGGGGCACAAGAGGCCAACAGCAGACAATGAGGGCACTCAGAGGAGTCTGGCTGCTGAAGAGTAGTGGGCCACAATCTTCTTGGATTTAACCCTTCCTCTGCTGGTTATTCTTTCAACCGAAAACACTGAGGTGAGGCTTTCACAGTGGAGGTGTAACAGAGACAGTATAAAACTTGTCATAGTTCATACGGTGACGGTAAAAAGTAAACGACCAAAGGTTATGACCACAAAGAGAGGTCTTTCCTGGATTTTGTGACACAATAATCATTAAAATAATTTACTTAGAGTTACACATTAATTGAGTTGAAGCACCTTTACAACATCAAGAGGCAACCACCTTTGTGATTTCCACCCTTGTGACTTTTTCACCAATTAGGCAGGTACAGCTCTCTGAATGTGACCGGCTGCTTTCAAGTCTCAAGGGCCAGAGGGTCAACGCTCAATCACAGTCTGCTTAGAGAGGTTGTGTGTTTGAACCAGCCACTAGTTGACAGGGCGGGGATAGGGTCAAAAGAGGGTGGAGGGGAAGGAGGAGGACTCCCGCTGGCTCAAAAAGAGGAGCCTTTTGTAGCCAAGACACTGGCCAGAGGAGCCTGGCCTTTCACAGCCCAGCCGCCCCTCTCATCCAGGCCCACAACAGCTGATGACAAGGCCCCAGCTGCTAATTATCCGGCTGATGGAGAGTCACTGAAGTGGGACTGTCAGAGCGAGGGGTGGCCCTTGTGTCTGCAGTGGGATAAATTTGAGGGAGGGTGAGGGTCAGGGAATAAAAGAAGTTGGGCTACAGGAAAAGGTTTAAAAAAAAGGTAAAGGTATCCATCCACTAACTGAATCAATACTTCTGCAAATCACATTTTTCTATATGATTCCGGCTTTTATGAAAGTGCTACAAAATTTAACTCGTCAACAATTGTCTTTTCTTTTTACATTTTTTTCCCATTTCTAACACACCCATCTGCATTTCCAATTTGGACCTTTGTGTTAAGTGCTCTTCAGTCCATCCACAGTGTATTGAAGTCTTCCAGATACTACAGCATCATCTGCCCAGAAGATACCGGAGCAGTTCCTGTTGAATTCCATAGAAAGTATTCTTTGGACACAAGTTCCCGTGCTGGAAATAAAACAGAGAGAACGTGTTTTTGGCTTTAGAACAGGTTCATACAACAAGTATATTAATTCAAAATTACTTAAGCTTACATGTTGTAATCCGTGGTTTGGCAGAGGAATAGACCTGCACTGAGTGCTGGTCCACACAGCACCCAGAGAGCGTCATGTCAGGCACTTTGAAATACAACTGTGAGGAAAACAGAAGGGTGTTAATAAAAAGCTATGACCACCTGAATATACACCAATACATCTACATTTAACCACACATCTTTGAGCATCAGATAAAGCATGGTGTGTTAAAAAAAATCATCCTAAATGTTTCTTGAGCAAAAGCAACACAGATTTCAACTCACTTTGACATAGGCTGTAAGTCCAATGCAGAGGGGGTCAGTGGGTCCTGGTGTTGGCCCTGAAAAGGTGATCTTGCCCTCCATTGTGACCTCACGAGATTTAGGGAACTTTTGTCCTAGCAAAGGAAAAATGCTTGTGTTTCAGCTTTGTTTTAAACATCATATGCTAGTTTTTTTTTTTTTACATGGGTGTATAAGACCACTATGTGTACCTAGACCCCAGACCAGTAGGTTCTTCTCCTTCGACACATCAAGTTGTCCAGAACTGACTTTCATATCCACAAGACCCATCTGATCCCTGTACAGAATCCACATGTAAGAGTTAGCACACATGCTCATCAAAGTCAAGTCATGGGCATTTAAAAATGCAGGCATTTAAACAGATTTTTATCAGCTCTCCTCTCTAAAAAAAAATCTGCAGATGAAAACAACTGTTCATGCATTTCTGAAGTCAGATCGTTAAATTGTCCAAATCATGTGATTGACTTTGATTCAAGACTTTCAGATTATGCTTATTGAGGTGATGTGTTTATTACTTTGCTGTTGAAAGGACTCATTTGCTCAGTTTAGTTGAGTTACAGTATCAAATGTACAACAGTTTTACTGCCACACTCACTTTACTAAAGAAATGTTCTTATAATGAGGGATACAGCCATATGAATCAGCCTTAGCCATTAAAAATGATGGAGATATCATAAAACATGCCAATCATGTTATGACCATTGTACATTTCATCCTAGTTTGCCAGAACAGCAGAAATAAATAATTTAACCTGCTTAAAAATCAGAACAGTGACTCTTTGTATGATTAAAAATATCAGCCTCCAAGCATAAATTAAAGATGGGTTTAAGAAGCCATCATTCTTGGAGCCTTAAAACTCTTCGCCGCACAGGAAACAAACACTGACAGATGCAAAGTTCTTGTAAATTATCGATTGTGCTGATTACCTGTTAAAGAAAGGCAGGTGTGCTTCACAATAATCAAAGCTGTTCTTCACACTCTCATGAAGCTTGAGTGTTACCGACACACGCAGATGGTTCTCCTCTTCCTTAAGTTGGTACAAACCAAGGATAGGAGGGACGGGAACCTGAGGAAAAATGGCATTAGTTTGAAACAGAAGCAACAGTGTGTGGGATTAAAGGTATGCCATTAAGTGTATTTTATACCTGAGATGTATAGCTGCACAGTCTGAAAGGCTCCAGAGGAGGAGAGAAAGGGAACTTATACGGCCCTGAGAATGCTGAGCCATCATAGTTGTCTACACTGCATGAAGTGAGGATACTGGAGTCCAGAGAGGTGACACAAGGATGAACCAGGATGTCCTGTAGTGGAGAACCATTAGGTGGAAGTGTAAGGGTCACTGTTACATTTGGCAGTACTCCTTCCACTTCACACTGTTACGCAAAAGGGAAAAAACAGGCAGTTAGGCAGACGAATGGGAAAAGTAACAACATAATATGCTTGAGTTTCCATTGTGCTCTTACTTTGCATGTCACAGTGCCAAAAACATCCCACAGGTCCTGTCTGCTCCTGTTACCATACTGCATGGAGCGTACTGTTTCTACCAGTGCTACGTTCACCACAGCTCGACCCCGATGGAGCCCCATTTTCCAGGCTGGCTGCTTCTGGTTTCCAGCAGGAGCAAGTGCTGCAGGTGTAGCAGGTGCCCCCAGTAATGGCACATCCAGGGGTGTGCCTAGAGGACATATCTGCAGGAGCACGGAGGGCAGCATGGCCAGGCGAGAAGCCAGCCCCTCATTGTCTGTTTTAACCCCTGCAGAGAGGAGGAAAGTCTGCAAACCTGCCAGGAGTGTGAGGCCCTGGGAGACAGATAGCAGGCTGGAAAGTGGAGGGCGTGGCTCAGGAGGAGCATCCACCAGAGACAGGCAAGCTAGGATGAGAGGGCCCTGTGAGATGGCCAACACTGGCCATAGTATCCCCTTTTCAGGACTGTCCATGCGCAGCTCCAGGGCTGGTGATCTCTGACGATTGTAGCAATCATCTCTGACAGCTACATAGGGCTTGTCTGAGTCTGAAAGGCCGAGCTCAGTGAGCAGGAGCTGCAGCACAGTGTTGTCCTCTGGGACAGCTACATATGAGGGACCAGCCAGGCACTTTGCACGGTGCTCCACAGCTGCAAACCTCCTGTGTGGAGAGGACACAAAACAACTATATTACATATGCTGAAAGCAGAGACAAAGAAGACTGTGTAAGACAATTCTGAGTGAATTAAAACAGTAAATAAGGCAAATACAGACCTTGAAAAGCGTATTGACACATTTTCTCCTTTCGCGTGAGAAATAATCCACAAAGCACGCACACTCATCTGTCCTGCCTCGCAAAAGATCTATATTTAAAGTTTACTCTGTGATTTTGATATGAGTACCCGCATTATCATTTATTTCAACCAAAATAACAGAATTTCACTGACGCTAAAATCTGCTTCCTGTTATCGCCTCATGTGACAACACACACCAATCAGCCGACTTACGCGCATGCGCATTGTCACACAGCTATCCCCACCCTTTGCCTCCCATACAGGAAGCTGAAGTGCTAACCAGCTAGCTGTCAACAAAGGGCAGAACTGTACCAAATAGATAAATCCATGTAGAAGCCGACTCCGAGCTCCTTTCTCTTTACGATTTGCTTCTCCGCGCGGCCAGTTGAGTCTCTTAAACATGGCAACCACCGCTCAGCTGTTCGAGGTAAGAGGACTGCTGTGCTAGCTGTCAGGCTACGGATGCTAACTATCAATAAGGATCGCTTAACGGTGTCGTCCTCCTTCTCCTTCAGCGGAGTATAGAAAACACCTGAGAGCTCACACACCTCGATAGATGTCTTTTTTTGCCTTAAGAGAAAATTTGCAAGATATTTTTACTGGTATTTAAAGAAACGTCTCTGTTAATGATTGTTAGCCTGACATGCAATCCAAAGACATTAAAGCGCTGCAGCAGTAGAGTGATGTTATTCATTTATCTGTGGGGTATATACGGTCATGTACTGTTGGTTTGCAGATGTCGTAGCTTTAGAAAATTACAAATGTGGGCATGAATGATTAGATGGCTTCCACTTGCTTGGACTTGGAAACAGGACAATACATTTCCGTTTCTTTTTTTCTTGTTATGGTCTTTGTATATATGGAAAACAGCTGGTTATTGATGCAAAAGCCTCTGAAAAGCGCTTTGAAAACTGTTTTTAACTGTCCATATGGTTTATTTGAAGTTTTTAACATGTGGGTATAATCCTGTAGTGAACTAAAAGTCATTTACCTTTTAGTTTTTCAGTATAGTTTGACAGTAGAGGCTGATGTTTTTCCAGAATTAAGTGAAGTGACAGTCCTCAACCCTTGATTTCTCCCATGTCTTCCTCCCCCTCAGGAGCCCTTTGATGCAGATGAGTACATAGAAAGGTTGGCATGGAGGACTCCTGGAGGAGGCTCCAAAGGAGGAGCAGAGGCTTTTGACCCTAAAAGGTACTGTTGGAGCGTGAGGGTCACATTGACTTCATGCATTATTCTTCCTTTAATCATGAACAAGAAACAAAGTATAGTTTTAACCTCAACTTACTGTTTCTAATGTATCACCTGGTTCCTAAATTATTGTTTAATACAATCGGGAATACACCATCATTGCACTTTTATGCAGTCCATCATTAAGAACACAGTCAACACAATTTTCTCTCAGATGTTTTTACACTATCAAGCTTGGATTTCTTGTATTAACATCCAGCTAAGTTAAATCAACACGTTTCCTCTAAATATTGTTTCTTCATAATGTCAATTCTTGGATTAAGAAAAAATACAGTTTTACATTCATGTCTAATGGCAATGTGACAAATCCAACCAGAGCCAAATCAGCGCATTTTAAATGACTTCTCAGTCACAGTCCACATTGTAAGACATCTCTACCTATCAGATTTTTGAACAAAGTTGATCAATTGATGACATTAAGATATTACTTTTCAATCAAATCAATTCAGTCTTAAGACTTAAAGACAAATCTTGTTTTCACGTGGTAAATATTTCTGAAGAAGAGTGCATTTTAACCCCAAGTCCATCAGTATAACATGTATTTTTTTATTCACTACAGTCTGTATCATCTTCCTAAACACTCAGAGCCAAACTGTGCTGCCCTTCCTGCACTTGCTTAAGCGTGTCATGGCGTCTCTTCTGCCAATTAAAATAAAAATAACTGGAAATATCTATGCTTAAGATTATTTTTCAGGGTATTTCCACTGCATGTTGTTGTGTTTACTCTCAGGGACTGAGTTATTTCTCATAAGCAAAAATGCCAGTTTAACCAGTTTAACTATCCCGTGGATCCACCCTGCCTTATCTACTTCCTCCACAAAACTGTTGCCGCCACCTCCTCTGAAGCTCTTAGCAAGGAGTCAGAGACAACATATCTGTGGAGGCCACCATACTGTGAGTCACCAGCCAGGGAATGAGTGTCTATTGGAAAAAAGGATGGGAGATGTCTTTAAGCTGTAGCCAGTGCCGAGGGAATTAGTCAAGAGATTATACACTCATCATTTTGGGATGTTTCCTGCTCCGTGAAATGTGGTGCTGACTTAGAACATTTGCTCTGCAGTCCTGATGGCACTTAAAATGCAGCTGACGAAGTTGCTAGTTTTCAGAGCTTCTTAAGTCTGGGGACCCAGGAATTAATCATCAGGGACTATTCTGTAACTAACTATATCTATAGCCGTGAGGTCAGTGGGACAGATTAAACCTTGTGGTTTTTTGTACTGATCTACTGATTAGACGACTGATAAACTCTGGATTTATACATTCCTTCTTTCCTCTGTGACAGGTTGTTGGAGGAGTTTGAAAACCACATAGAAGAGCTGAAGCAGCTGGATGAGAAGATCCAGCGGCGGGTGGAGAAGCTTGAGCATCAGTGTCATCGTGAGGCCAAGGAGTTTGCCCACAAAGTTCAAGACTTGCAGAGAAGCAACCAGGTATGCTCAATGATGAGAATGCTGATTGACTCCCTCTGAATTTTGTATTCAATACATGACAGAATGACTTATCTGTTCTCTGTGTTTCCTCTGTTTTTCCTTCATCCAGGTGGCCTTTCAGCATTTCCAGGAGCTCGATGAGCACATCAGTTATGTGGCAACCAAGGTTTGTCACCTTGGAGACCAGCTAGAGGGGGTGAACACACCTCGGCAGAGGGCTGTGGAAGCTCAGCGTCTGATGACCTACTTCAACGAGTTCCTGGATGGAGACCTGCGAAGTGACGTCTTCAATAACCCAGACAAGGTAAGTATGCTGTGTGTGTTTCCACCATTTACATCAGTGGAGGTGTGTGTGTATGTGTGTGTGTGTGACCATTACTTAGGACTCCCTGCTGTGATACAGCTGGAGGTGAGAAGGAACAGGATTATGAGGTAAACCGTCCATATTGATTTGTCAAGTTTATCCCTTTAGTTGGATCCCTCGGCTAATTTGGATTAATCAACTGTCATTTGCCGTGTGACAATAGCCCACTGATTGACTAGCATGGGTGTCAACATGCTCATGTCAACCCTAATTGCATTTACAGGAGGTTGTCTAGGAGCAGGATTTTGGTAGGTCCTCAGCTTTGTGTCGCATTACAGCAGCAAAGAGCCTGTGGCATTATGTAAGGGCGGTGATAACATGCATGCAGGAAGATGAGGTGCACTCTCAAACTTAGTTCCAGCCCACAAAGATACCACACTGATGTTGGGAGAGTAACCCCAGAAAGTTTGATTTTGCAGTTTTCCAAGTGGCAGCATGAAGATTGGGATGCTTTAGATTATTTCTTATTAGTAGCAACATCATTAGTGGATGCAGAAGAGTGAGTCTGAGGGTCAATCCCAAAGACGAGAGTCTGAGATGGAGCTGGTTTTTCCGGAGAGGCATGCAGAAATATCTGGCCAGATTCCTTTTTTCCTGAGCATACCTCGAGACGAAGGGGAAAGAGGAAAGCTGCAAGTGAATAGCTGAAGGGGGATGGCTTTGCTAATCCTTCTGAAAGGGAGGGCTGGGCCGCCAGCGTGGAGACAAGTGCTGCTAAACCCTGACTGCAGGGAGACGGCTACATTACTTACATGGGATTTAGCTAATCTTAGCTGGGGGACAGATACTTAGAAAACCTTCGCCGAGCAGAAAGGCTGGATCCTCCTCACGGGAGCAGAGTAATGATGTTAGCTGAGGCAGGCATCTGCGGGAACAGAGGAGTTGCGGACGGCGGGCCTTTCGTAGGTCCAGGGTTTTTTTCAGTCAGTGTGTATGTCAGGAGGGGGCGGGGGGGAGGGGGGTTCTCAACAGGGCCCCCTTTTTTTGAGGCAGATATCCCTGGCCGGACAGATTATTGAAGGCGATTTAGACTCCTGTGGGATTACAGCCCATTCAGAAAAGGCATGCCAATAAAGAGTTGGATGTGCTGCTAAGTCAGGACTGCTGCTGTTGCTGCTGCCGATGCCCAGGTGAGCGCAGCCTGTCTGTTATCAGCTTCCTGTTCAACATGGGAAGGTGGAGGAGGGCTGCGCTGAAATGATGATCCCCCAAATGGAGACACTGCCGGCGGCCTACCAGCTTTTTGTCTGGATGTCCACCTCTCATGGACCTGTCGTGCTCTATCTCTTTTTGCCGCACCTGACACTCTACCTCCTTCTCACACTCATCCTCTCTCTCTCACTCTCTTCCTCAGATTAAGGAGGCTGCCGATATAATTCAGAAGCTGCATCTAATTGCCCAAGAGCTGCCATTCGACAGGTGAGTCAGGCATCCTGGAGGCAGCTTTAGACAAGAGCATGTCAAACAAGGGAAAGGTAGAGTATTAGTGATGTAGACGGTTAGTCACAGTGTAAGCCCAATGCAAGACTATTGGGTTAGATAGTGTTTCCAAAAAGTAAAGACACGTTTATATTTCAAATATATTTCATAATATCTTTTTAAATTTTCTGCCTGAAGATTAACAGTTTTTGTTTTCTGACAGATTCGCAGATGTCAAGGCAAAAATTGCAAGTAAGTTAATGGAATAAAGCATAGTATCTACTTTTAAACAGGCCTCATTGTTATTGTGATAGATCAGGAATCAGTCACAAATGATACATGAAGTTTTATTTCTCCTTACAGGTAAGTACCATGATCTGGAGAGGCAGCTAATCCAGGAGTTTACTGCTGCTCAGCGCAGGGGTGAGATCGGACGCATGCGCGAGGTGGCAGCGGTGCTTTTACATTTCAAGGTAACCTGATCACAGGGCTTGTCATTGTCACCATATTCAGTTTTAAATGCAAGCTCCATGTCTGTGAAGTTCTTCTGTGTCTTTAAAGCTGCACTGTAGTGACACAGTCTCTCTAACTCTCAACCTGGGTCTTTTTTAAAGGGCTATGCACACTGTGTGGACGTCTACATCAAGCAGTGTCAGGAAGTGAGTGTTCAAAGTTTGAATTACTCTTATTTTGTAGATAACATTCACAGCATCCCTGTTAACCCTTCATATGTCTTTCCTATAGGGGGCCTACATGAGGAATGATGTGTTTGAGGACACTGCAGTTCTCTGTCAAAGGGTCAACAAGCAGGTCGGAGACATCTTCAGCAGCCCAGAGACTGTTATGGCCAAACTCATCCAGAACATCTTTGAAAACAAACTACAGGTATCAAAATTCCCTCTCATGCGCTTAATTAAGATTTCTTTATCGTTCCTTTAATAACTGAAACATTCATGTCTGCAGGCCCACGTCAAAGAAAAACTGGATGAGACTCGACACACAGATGTGGAACAGTATCTCAAAAACCTCTATGACCTGTACACCAGGTATTCACTCGTTTTTTTTATCCCAGTCTAAATTCACCTTCATGCTATTGTTTTGACACATTTATTTATTTTTTCTGATTTTCTAGGACCACATCATTAGCCACTAAACTGACAGAGTTCAATCTGGGCTCAGACAAGCACACTTTCCTGTCCAAGCTGATAAAGAGCATCTTCTCCTCGTACCTTGAAAGCTACATTGACATGGAGAGGGAATACCTCCGCACTAGAGGTGCAATGATTCTGCAACGCTACTATGACTCCAAGAATCACCAGAAACGACCGATTGGCACTGGCAGGTCAGTAGAGGAGCTGAAGAATGAGAATGTATGATGCAGAGGGATGAGGTTTTATTTTTTATTTTTTTTACAAGCTTGCTGTGTTTTTCAACAGTATCCAAGAGCTGAAGGAACGGATCAGACAGCGCACCAACCTGCCTCTTGGACCCATGATTGAAACTCATGGAGAGACCTTTCTGTCCCCAGAGCTCGTAGTCAACCTTCTGCAGGAGACGCGACACGCCTTTGAAAGATGCAACAGGGTGAGACAACTAAAAAAGAGTTTTTTAGAGAGCTTTTTTAAAAGCTTTTTGAGTTTTAAGGGGTTAACTCTCTTTGTTTGCTGTGACTCAGCTTTCAGATCCCTCAGACCTTCCCAAGAATGCCTTCTCTATCTTCCTGCTGCTGGTTGACCATCTCTGTGTGGATCACATCGACTATGCACTAGAGATCGGCCTCTCAGGTACATCTCAGAAAGAAAAAATCTTGATTTATGTCAGAATCACAAATTGTCAAATCCCACAAATTTAAATAGATCTGGAAAGTCCATAAATAGATGTTTCTAACACTTCACCATCAGCCTGTTTATGCACAGCAAACCAGCTGCTGGAATTGTTTAACATCCACCTACTTCTGTAGTACACAGTTACAGCAAGAAATGTGTCAACCCTTGCTAACTTAGCAATGGCACCTCTTCTGTAACCATATTTTAAACATGCAGTGTGCAGATGTTAAAGGTGACAAATACACACTCCTTAACACAACCCATTGTGTAGAGTTGTGCCCTTCAACCTAGATGCAAGAGTCCAGCTTCTAAGATACCAGTGATTCATACAGCTAGTTTCCGTCTGCAAACAAAGGTCCATTCTACAAACTGTAGAAACGGTTTGTTGGCTCTCTCATCGCAGCACATTACCTTGTTTCCTATTAACACAAGGGAAAATGGACTGACAATGATTTGATTCTGTTGAACCTACATAACATCTAGTATTTGTCTAAACATGTATTGGTTATCAAGGCAAAAATCTGGCAAACACAATACAGTCAGGATATTTCCTATGTCAGTGGGTGGACAAGGATCTCCCCAAAGCATCATTGGTTACAACTGACCCGAGAATACACTAAATGTTCCCTCTAAATCAAAGCAGTTCAGTCTCAGGATTTGGCATGTCAGCCAAAAATATGCATTCGATGGTGAATACTAGGGATCAATCAATATTGGAGTTTAGTACAGATTTTTCATAGTTTAGAGGACTGACAACTGATACCTGGAACAGTAAAATTAAAAAACTTTAGATTTTGGTATAAGACAAACTTCAATACTAAAATTTGCTTTAGCAATGGTCCAGTCAAAAGTAAAATGTCAACATCACATACAGGAATAAACAGTCAGCCAGTTCATCTTGTTCACCTCTTTCTAGCTGAGAGCTGGTAAAACTCAGGTGTGCAGCAGGCAGAGGAGGGGGCAGGGTTGTTTTCTAAGACCACTTTGATATTTTATATGAAGTATAAAGCTGTGCCATAGTGGGGTCTTTTACATTCTGCTCTGCATTTGTTTGAGTGATGACATGTAATTTCCAGGAGCTACAGTGGAATGAAACATACATACTGTTATTAAAGAAATTAAACTACTGTGTCCAAACTGGAATTATATTCTCTTGACTGTCTGATACTGGAGCAGAATCACAGAGGACAACAGTGGCTCTTTGTCCTATATGAATCATTGAGACGTACACTTTCCCCGGTCTTTGGATTTATTGTCTGTACTCATCCTCTTTTTCTTTGATCTGCAGCGATTCCCTCATCAGACGCCAAGAATGCCAATCTGTACTTCCTGGATGTGGTTCAACAGGCCAACTCCATCTTCCACTTGTTTGACAAGCAGTTTAATGACCAGCTCATGCCTCTTATCAGGTCAGCTTAGGGTCAAAGCTTAGAATCACTTGTACTCCACAGTATTCAGCCATTATGCTTGTACTGCCTCTTATCTGCACAAAGTTTTTAGATGAAAGGGAAAGCCCAGATTTGACCTCCTCTAAAATGTGTGTCTCTATAGCTCATCTCCAAAGTTGGCTGAGTGCCTGCATAAGAAGAAGGAGGTGATTGAACAGATGGAAGTGAAACTGGACACAGGGATTGACAGGTCAGTATGCTTAGGAGACCACCAACCACTCTCAGATGTCTAATATAATCTTAACAATGACACGTCCAATGACTGTTTTCCTGCTTCATGCAGAACAATAAACTGCATGGTGGGACAGATGAAGTACATTCTAGCAACAGAGCAGAAGAAGACTGACTTCAGGCCTGAGGACGAAAACAACGTCATGATCCAGTATACTACAGTAAGAGGCGCACAATCTCAGTCTCTCCCTCTGAGCTTACACGCAAAGAAAAACAAACTTAGAAGTGAAACATACAAATCACTGACCTCTGTCTGGTGCTGTAAGAAAACAAACCTGGAAGTTTAGGGTTGTCGAGTCTCCGTCAGCTGTTTCCATTAGTCTGTTTTCATTGTCTTATTTGTGTCTGTCCCTCTGACAGGCTTGCTCCAAGGTATGCGCCTATGTCAGTCGGCAGGTGGAGCATGTGCGAAAGTCTATGGACGGAAAAAACGTGGATACAGTGCTGACGGAATTGGGCGTCCGCTTCCATCGGCTCATTCACGAGCACCTGCAGCAGTACAGCTACAGCTCCATGGGAGGCATGCTGGCCATCTGCGACGTGGCTGAATACCGACGGTGCGCCAAGGACTTCAGGGTGAGCAGGGTGAAGAGGGGGGGTTCAGGATGTATATGTCACAGGACAGAACATGACTCCTCACAAAAACTGTACATTCAGTACAAAAATACCAAAACTAATGCATAGATGCAGATTGACACATTAGATATGACATATGGCATAATTATTATTATTTTATCGTAATTTGTGATGGAAAAAACACATATATTTAGTAAATAACTGTTTGTTTTACACATTAAAAAAGCTTGTGTGCCTGTCTCCCTTCCAGGTCCCCCTGGTGCTGCAGCTCTTTGACACCCTCCACGCCCTCTGTAACCTCCTAGTTGTCGCCCCTGACAACCTTAAGCAGGTCTGTTCAGGTGAACAGCTCACCAATCTGGACCGAAACCTGCTGCACGCCTTCGTCCAGCTCAGAGCGGACTACCGTTCAGCCAGACTGGGTCGACACTTCAGTTAATGACTGATTTAACCCCTCCTCGCCCTCCGTCCAGTAACCTACTCATTGATGAGACGATGCACCTTGGACAAACCCATCCCTGCTTCAGAGAACACACCCAGCTTATAGACTTTACTGGGATTTCTCTGATCATCATCCTGACAACAACAGCCGCTGCTCCTTGAATTTGGGAAATGTGCATTTAGCCTTTTTTTCATTGTTTGTTGCTCCCATGCTGATGAAATGTAAATGTCTATTGACTTGAGATTTGTTTTTAGTTACTAATCTACTGTCAATCCCCATGTTAAAGAGTTCAGATATATTATAAGTAAATGGACACCAATCTCTGTGCTTATGTATAAAAGAAGCTTTTTTTGATTGTGCCAAATATCTAAATTCTGCAGCTGCACATGTGCAAGGGAGTAGACTTTAGGGCTGTTCTAAAGGGAGACTTTGAACAATCACCGTAAAGTCCGACATCAGAACTGCTACCATTTGTAATGAACTGCAGGGGTTTTGACAGAAAAGGCCCACAGATAAGAGCCCTGTCTGCTTAAGAGAGACACATGACCACCTCTGTAACCTTTGACCCCACCACAAAGTAGATGTCAAGAGGCCATTGAGGAGAAGTGTGATGGGGGCTACGGACAGGTCTGAGAATCTCTGGAGGTTTGGGTGGTCCCCTTTTAGGCTCAGATGTCAGTGTGATGGGTCAGTGAACGTGTGTCACTGTAATTGCACAGATCAACACTTGCGCATCCAGCGGTGCACACAGTCCAAAGACATTCTAGACTGGATCTGCAGTGTTTCTGGGTCAGAGGATGTTGATGTCTAGCTGGTTAATGAAATAAACAAGAGAGGAGGATTTCTTCTCAGAGGGCACTAAAAGAGAAGACAGATCATGTCCCTGATGCCTGAAAACGATCTCCTGCGCAAAGCTGCTCCCACTGTACTGCTGTTTACCTTAATTTGTGACTCATTAAAAATATGTTGCATTTTATAATTGCCCTCTTCTGCAAATTCTTCATGAATGGGAAGCTGTTAATAGAAAGTTTGGCCAGTTCTGTCTGCGAATGTCACTTTCAAAGTGAGATGAAACAGTCTTTCTTTCTATAGAAGTCATCAAGTATTCATGGGAATTCTTGCCACCAGAGGAAAGTTCTTTCTCAGACTTCAGGAAGTGAGCAGAGCCAGAGGGGATTAGATATCTACGAGTTGATGAATTGTGTGCAGTAGTCATGGACTGGGGGAGAGCGGGCGAGATAGAGACGCCTGAGAGCTCGGTTCCAGCTCCGGCTGGTTAGCGTTGTGTAGAAGGTACACACAGTGCTGTGCAAGTTCAAACAACATAATTAATTAGGCTAATATTAATATTATCAATGCCACATAAATTCAATTCTCTCCGCCCTAATCACAACTGGATAGCTTGTAAAAATTATTTTGTTAGGCCCTGATGCAAACAGAGGGTCTTTTCCAAACATTTGAAAACTATTTGTTTTTGTGGTGATTAATGTGTGTGGCGCAGGAAGGGGTTGGGGGAGCGGAGCCGGGCCAGCGATGATAACTGGTGTGGAGACGGAGGCAGAGGCGAGGCCTGGCCCCAGGGACTCCCAGCACAGGCGCATGGAGGAGGGGGAGGGATGTGTTTTTTGGGGCGGCTGTTTGAGCAGGTGGAGGGGATTAGTAATACTGTCAACACTGGAGAGCTGGATAAGACTGTCCTCTCATACTCGTGGGTTTCAGCATCTCTCGCATACACATTCAGACACATAAAGACAGAAACACATACAAACGCTGGAGTCACATACAGGAGAAGGGAACTTATCTGACCAGGGGAAGTTGGTCACATCCTCCTCTAGCTCAACTTTTTGCACAGGCATTTCCCAACATCTGAATATCCCTCCATTAGCACATTCAGTGTATTTCCACAGATATTTGGTCACATTTTTAATATGATATTTATTTCCCATGAATCACCTTTTAGAAGACCTCTGTGTCTGCATCTCTAGAATGAAACTCCAGGGAGATGCCCATTCTTCTTGTCTCAGATTTTTCTGTTAAATTTTTGACATTTCTGACACATTTTCACGTGTCAATTTAGAGCTCTTGTAATCTATTCTTCGATCCATGTCCTAAGTCTTATATAAACATGCGCCTCCATGCTCAATCTCAGTCATATTTCAAATTTCTGTCTCTGACCACAGACACCTCCATTTGTTGCATCTCTTTGTCCCCTCTGCCAGATCAAGGACCACACTTTCCTGTATTTCCACTCTATCTACACACCCAGTTAGTCCCCCCAACATCCCTATAAATCCTTGCTCTCGGCACATTGCAGCCACCCCAACAACTAGGCCGGCCCTCCCTCTGCCTCCTGGAGCACTGACAATAAAGCATTACAGCAGTCAATCCATGTCAACAACAGCTTTGCTTAATTCCTGCTAAACACGTTTAAACTAAATCTTCACCTAATGATGCATAATGATTTGCTCTTTAGTGCGGCTAGCGGCTCGTATCAATTTCGTTGGTTTAATTTAGCAGCAATCAGAGGGATGACTCAGGTGGTCTGACTGTAGTCAACACACAGGGACGGTATTAAGGATCCCCCTGGTTTAAATTAGTCAGGTAATTGTGAAGAGACACACTGCGGAGCATGCTGAACATGTCTGGGTTTTATTTGCAGGTAAGTGTAATTTCAGTCTATATTTTCATCCTGAAGAAAGCTCTGTGTTTATAGAACATTACAGGGATGTGAAATGTGTGAAATATTTAACAAAAAAAAGAAAAAACAGGAAAACTGTACATCAGCATCTACACTGAGGAAATGCCACTGTGCAGTTTAGTTGGATTGAAGTATAAACCTTGAAAGCACTTTGCTGTCCTTATTAAAATCTATTCTTTCAGATGTCTCTGTGAAAAGACCCTCATACTGCAGGCACTCATCCAGGCCCTCTGATGTGCTGCAGATGTTGCCCTGGCCTTGACCTCCTGCCCATTCAGTGCCGGGGCCAGAATGGCACAGGTGCCTCCCCACCTTCAGTCTTGGGCAGACGGGAGCTGCACTGTGCAGGATATAAACGCTGCCAACTCTGCACCTTTGCTCACTTTTCTCATCATCATCAGCAACATGTAGCCTTGTTGCTTAAAGAAACCCTCCCTGGATTCCTCTTGATGATGCTAAGCTAGCGGGCTTCTCCTTCCCCCCCTCCTCCCCCTTCCTCTTGCTCCTCTTCTCCTATAAAAGCACTATTAATTCTCTGCCATAGTGGAGTGTTTTCCAGTGCTATTTCCTGGCTTGGTGCCTGTGCCTCGCGCTCTCTTGGCTGGGTTTGTCTGGTTGACTGCTCCACAGGAACAGACTGGCACTCTAGCTGAGGGCTCCGGGGTCTGCACACACAATCCACTAAACATGTCTCTGTGTGAGGAGCTGTACTGCGTCCTAAATTTAAAGTAAGAATTATTACTTATCACAAATTGAGTGAATATTTCAGATCATTTTTCTAAGTTTTACCTTTTTTTTTTAAATAATTGGAGTCTATGACTGTCATTATTGATATAACAGTGGCTGAAGTTGCAGGTCTACACTAGTATTATCCCTTCTTTTAAACTGTGAAATGTGTCCTATTTGTGGAGGACTTTATCCGCATGTGCATACAACTGGCTGTAAAATTGGAAGATGTACAAATAAACATAAAAAAGTGCATACGGTGTACACTACATATTAAAATCCCTCAGTGACAGTAAGAAGAACAAATTGATTGTGATGGTAAAGGGACTTCAGTGCTCAACACATTCACTCCCAGTGCAAACAAACATCTGTTACGTTTGTAAGGCCTTTGGCCCTGCTAACCCACTGATGTTGAACCAAGCCTGCACACATGCCAGAGACACAAATGAGGTCTCTCTCTCCTCCACTGAAGATGAAACACTGCATCACCAAAGCATGTGCGTTTGTCTAATCAAGCTTTTAGCCCGTGGGTACACTGCATGTAAATGAATAGGCCTGTGTGTGCCAGCCTCTATTTCTGCTCATTCTGGCTCCTGTTTGATGATGAAATGGTGCAGGAGACATGAGACAGAAGGGGGCACTAGTGCTCCAGTGTTGCTCTCCTCCCCTGTGGAGCCCTCTTCTTCCTCAGAGCTCCTCACAATGGGGATCTGCCTGAGGGGGGAAATGTTGCTTTTTTAGGTCTGTGAGCCCATATCCCTTAATCCCCAGCCATGATTGACAATCATGATTTAGGGTATATGGTGTCCCATTCTAATCCACGAGCAATGATTTCATTTGCATACCTTCCGTACGTGGCCTCATTTTGGAGGAAACGGCTGCCTTTGTAAGTGATACAGAAAAGAGAGAGGGAGAGAGCTGAACAGAGCGAGAGCAGAGAGAGCGAGAGAGAGAGAAAGGAGGAGAAAGAGAATGGATGGGGGAATGTTTGTGTTTTTTTCTTTTTCTTCTTCTTTTTTGCCAGAAGGAAGATGATAGCGGTCTCCATGCCTAAGCAAACATTCCCATATATATATCTGCCTTTCCTCTACAGCACTTTCCCCTCAAACAAACACACACACAAACACACACACACACACACACACACACACACAATGCATGAACACATTTAAACTCTCAAGAATATTTAGAAATGTAAAGATGTATGGAGACGCTGCAGGAACACACAGAGACGCTCCCTCACACGATGCACAACTAAATTGCTATTTGCTCATTTTATAACCAAGTCAGGCTTAATTATAATCATGGGAGTTTGGGAGTTACCGTATAATCTCTAGAAGGTATTAAGAATTACCCAGAGCACAGCAGAGTGTAAAAGAAACAAATACAAATACGTACAATTATTTCCCAGTCATAACACCCTGGGGAGTGTGAATCAAATAACGCTCAGTGTTTGGTGTGTCCATAGAGACCATTCATCCTCGCTTTTATCTACTGAGCAGGAGAAAGACAAGTGAAATGATGGAGAAAAGGGCAAAGGGGTCACATTTCAGCGTAAGGTAAAGGTACAAAGTTAGAGATGTATACTCTATAGATTTAAATTCAATGATAAGAATCAAAAAATATGTAGATATGAAGATTTCATTATTTTTGCGAGTGACAATAACCCATTTTCAGACTTTTTTCCAGACTTAAAGAATTATAAACTCCAGCGCACATGAAGTTGTTTAAAAATTAAAATTACACTGTCCATGTTGTAGATACAGAATTACCTCACTTTTAATCTGCAGTTTAATTAAAACCAATCAAATTATAAAACTAGATCTGGATTTAAAAGGCAAGAAATCTTTTTCTGTTACATTATTTTTTCAAAAAGAAAAAAAAAAAGATCCTATTTTAAATTAGAAAAGCTAAGTCTTAAATTGCATTACGAAGATGAGAGGTGTGAGGAAATTACTTTTAGTATTGCTACTGCAGTTTTAATGGTATCATTTTTGTTACTTGGATATCGTTAGAAAAAAAAACGTTGATTTTTATTCATTTCAATCCCAAACAAAAAGCGGCTGAAAATGAAAAAAATAAAATAAAATCAACAATATTTCCTTTTGATTAAATTGTGCCGCAATAAAAACACAGTGACTAATTTTTTTCTTTTTTTTCAAAGCGTTATGTATGATAACAATATGCATAGTCGCTATACTTATTTATAGTCCGAGTTAAGAGATTGATTAAGCTGATATATAGTTAACATAATGTGTGAAACCATCAGGTTGAAATGATTTTTCTATTTCTGTCTTTGGATTTCAGGAAATATTTTGATACATATTATGATAAAAAAAAAACTGATAACAGTGATTTTACTTTTTAAATAAATGTCAAAAATCTCTCATGTACATTAAATCTATCTGCTCTTTTTTCTTTGAGGTGATGCTGCAGCTGAAGGAAGAAAACACCACGACCACATATACTCTATCATTCATCCATCTTCATCCCACCATCCTCCTTTCTTTCTCTCTCTCTCTCTCTCTCCGTCTGTCTAAGCCTGGCCAGGTCTCTGTGACAGAGCACACCCCTCTGGAACAATAACAGTCTGATAATCTGCTCTTATCTGCAGTGTGTTTAGTGCCTGGTTAACAGGCTGTCGACTTGACGCCTGTCTCTGCCGTAGGGGGAATGATGGTGTCATGATCAACCTGAGGGGAAGAAAAAAAAACACTGAGCAGCACTCTCTTGAATGAAGGCTGCAGTCGAGAGACGTCAAATTTTAGAAAGTTGTCTGAGTTTTAGTATTTGTTAAAAAAAATAAAAAAAAAGAAATCCAACAGTTTATAGGATTTCAAACTGAATGTGTTGCACTTTTCTTAATTTTTTTTAGATAAGAAAATCCAGCATGGAAAAAAAACTCAGGTGTATGGTCTACCTGTCCTGGGTGTGCTTCCTTCTTCTGGTCCACTTCTTACTGTGGATGAGAGTGTGGGAGGTGGAGAGGAATTAAACCGCCCGAGGGTGTGAGCACTTGAACATCTCACCCATCATCCCACCTCCATGGGCCGTCCCACCCTCTCATCTCTGTTTACCAGGCCCTGGCCTAATTGATTCCCTCTCTTTATCTTTTTACCTCCTTAATTTTGTTATTAAGTGTGCGGGAGAGGCGCGAAAGCTCCTTTTTTCCCCCATTTTGAGAAATTATACTCTTGTACTTGATCCAGCTAACAGGATTTTCTTAAATTACTTTATAAAAGACCATCTTTTAACTTTCTTCTTTCTCTCTCGATCCATTCATTAGCAGGTCTGCCTCCAGGCCTGCTCACATCAATTTCTTGGGTTAAAGTTACAAACTTAGGCAGCTCAGCTCTGCGCTCACGGTGGTTTGCGGACGAGTGGGGGTGTCTGGGGGTGGAATGGGGACGAATTATTAATTTGTGAAGTATTAGAAAAATAAAGAGATTGAATTAAGAGTATTGGTCCTCTGTTATCCAGCATGGCTAGCCTCAGGGACTTTCTGTGGTGGAGGACATTATGCAAATGCACTCCCTCACTCTCCTACTCTCTCTCCATGCTCTTGCTGCTATCATCCCTTCTCTTTCCACCTCCCTCCCCTTTTTTCACCCTCTCTCTCCCTCCCTCTCTCTGGCAGTCAATCTCTGCTGTCTTATAATCTTTCTCTCTGTGTGTCTCTGTCTCTTTAATCTTCATCAGTCAGCAAAGACAGAGACAGTGTAGAGAGTGTCTCCTGTCAGAGCACATCCTCTCTGCCTCTCTCTTCTCTCCTATCTCACTCTCTCACTCATTCATGAAGGGCTGGATCCCAAATCTGCGAGAGCAAATTGAAGGACAGGAGAAGAGACCCAGGATAGCCACAGTTTCTTGTAAAAATGAAGGTTGTAAAGTTGCAGATGGAAACTTTGACTTCTTTGTCGATTTATCATTCAGATATTGTTTTGTTGTTTGGATTTTGATGAAAATTATCAGATTATTTGAATATTTCCTACAAAATCTCCAACTTCTGAAATGGGGCTCCTTAACTGTATCCATGAGGCATGTATATGGATGCTGTTTGCTTGTGGCGCTGTTGAGGTCTTTCTGAAGCCTATTGGTTGCTTTGATTGTGGCCACTAGCAAGGGTGATCATATTCTGACTTCCCAAAAAGAGGACACGACTACACGGGGGCAGAGTCACAGTCACACAAAGTTGCGCAAAGTTAATTATAAGAGTTTTTTGGGTCGGATCAAGTGTCTTTTACGTGCTTCTATCTCAGTAAGTCCACGTGACACAAAATCAAAACCTCAGACATTTGAAGGATTTTATAAACTTCCTCGGACAAAGACAAACCCAGACAGACCCCCAAAAAGAGGACATATTCGGGTGGAAGAGGACATATGGTCACCCTACTTCAGCTTGTCTTTATCTCTGAGTGGGGTGTTTCTCATCTTCATCTTGACAAATATTCCACAGATTCAGTTTCAGCTCAGGTGAGTTAGCTAAAGTCGAGAAAAGTCATATCATCATATACACCAGTAATCATTTGGTTGTAGCTTTGGCACTGTGGGCAGGTGAAAAGTGAAACTGAAAAAGGAAATCAACCTCCCTATAAAGCTCATAGGTAGATTGGAGAGTGAAGTGCTCAAAAATCTCCTCGTAGACCAGTGTATTAGACCACTGTGCAAGAGTCCAGTTCTTTTCCCTCCTCAGTTCAACTCTGATGTCGTCTATGCTTCAGTGGTGTAATTTCAGGGATCTGATCGTTTTAGTATTTTTTCTGAAAACAGTGATGCTTGGTGGCTTTTGATGTACCGACACCAACCTCAGTCCACTCCTCGTGAAACTCGCCCTACTTCTTGAATTTACTTTTTCTTGACAATCCTCTTAAGGCTGCAGACATCCCTGTTGTGTGTGCACTTTTTCCTACCACACACCACATTTTAACCTTTGTGTCAACTATGCTTTGATACAGCACTCTGCAAACAGTCAGCCTCGACAGATTGTCTTCTGGACAACTATCAGCTTTATGCGTGTGCTGAACGAGACTGAGAAATACAGATAACATAAACTGCATTCACATGTGCACAAGACTGCTTAAGGACTTCCTGAAATTTTTGGGGAGAGATGCATGTGTGAACACACACAGCAGAAGTTTTCACTTGACTTTTTCTTTGCAGCCATTCAGTGAAAACTGCAGCATGATGTGGAAGAAGGCCAATGTGAGAAAGCAGCAAGATTGGAAAAATTCACCACAAGCCAGCTGAGATCATGATGTTTGTGTTCATGTGGGCTCCAAGAGCAACACATAAATAAGAAAATACATCCAAGTTTTAGAAAGAATAATTTTCAGGACAAGAACAGCAAAGATGGACTTCTATCTTTTTTCATTCTTCATTTATCAACTAAAATAGATTCGGATTCTTCAAATGTCATTACTCCCAAATATTCTTTGTCTCTTTGTATAATTTCAAACCAGTGTATGCATCTTTTCCCTTAAATAGTTCGCCCCTTTTCTATAGTGATTCTTTTTGTTGTTGTTGTTGTTGTGTTGTTGACACCACCTTGACATTTTTACTGATACTACTCTGAGTTACGGGGGCAGAGCTCCTGAATTTTTTTCAGACTAGTTTATTTTCTTTTATTTAATCTTTTGTTTAAACTTTTTCTTGTGTAATTTAATCTTCTTTTTGAAGCCTCACCAGAGATGGGACCACATTAACTTCTGTGAGTTTAATCAGCCTTTTACATGATCAAACAAAAAAAAATTCTACCTGAAG